ATCACATTTCTATTCTTACATTCATTCCTATTTCATGGACAAATGGATTAGATTTGAATCTCTTTTTTTGGATCAGAAAATCTGTTTTCAGTTGAAACTTTTGTGGCTGAAAAAAGGACAATTTGACAAATCTTTTGATTCAATATTGCGCTTGAAAGAATCGTTTTAACTGCAATTAAACTGGACATGGAAATGGTTCAATAAATTGTTGTCAATTGGACATTATTCGTGATTGTTTCGAAAAAGAGTTTTTCTTCTTTTCTCTGATATATTATTGTTGTAATGCGCTATCACACAATTGGAGTAAATTATAATGATATTAGTAAACCTTTCATGTAATATAATAATCTTGAGATAATGTATTCTTCCGTTGGTTTCAATTGAAAGACAAGAAAGCTGTATTAATGTATTTACGTGACAATAGATTGGAAAAGAGGAAAAGATGAACAAAGATGATCAAGATGAAGATGATGCCGGTGATGATGATAAATAGCAAGACAACGGAAGAGAGAAAAGATGAAAACAAGAAATGAAGAGAAACAAGATGAGAAAAAAACAGGCAAATATGATTGAATGACTATCAGAGAGATTTAATTAATGAATCAATTATTCTGTCTTCTTTTCACTGGTTAATTGAGATATTGTTTAACCTAATAATGAATCTGCAATTTGTTGAACCCATCAATCGATTGTCTTGAGCAACTTAAGGTTTTGTCACTGGGAATGTTTAATGAAAGCAGAATATCGAAAAAATTTCATTCCATGAAAAAATTGATTCCCATTTAGATTGTTCAAATTGGACAGATCAAAGGCAGAAATGATTTACCATGAAAAGACTGAAATCTCTGCTTCTCTGAACACTTTTATCAAGATCAACCTCCAAATGATCAAATGATTGGTCTTGTTTCATGTCTCATCATATAAGAGTAAGATCTTGTTAAACTTGCAATTAATGATGAAAATGATTCCTACAAGTTTAGTTATACCTTCAACCCAACAAGTTATGAAAAGGTAAAAGAAATGAGCTTTTAGTGACCAATGCGGACTGAATAAACGGAATTGAATGGAAATCAGAAGCGACATTTAATCTCACCTGTTTGGTAACTTTTGGTTCAACTATTATTTACTTTTCCATCTACAATTGAATGTTGATAGAGTGAACAAAATGACAAATAATCTGAGCGAGTTAATGTACTAAAAACTGGTGAAGAAATGAAATGTAGCAAAAGTAAATAATAACATGTTCATCACTTTGGTTTTACTTGTTACAGGGTAAAAACATTAGAATCTTTGAAAGGTAAAAAGGTGATGATAATTATGATGAAAAGGGACAAGAGTAACCTGACTTGAGAATGATAATGATTGGATGAGAGAGAGAGAGAGAGAGAGAGATGAAATTTGAAGGGAAAAAAACTGAACAAAAGCCATTAGGTTACATTAGAAAGATAAAGATGAGCTGAATGATTCTGTAAAAGTCCAGTTAAATGACATGGATAAAGATAATATCAGGTAATATCACAAGAATTAGACATTAAAGTTGAACATTGTATCATAACTGGTTGACAAGGTTGATGAAGGACTGAATTGAATTGATGGTGGAAAGGAAGCTGAGGAGCAAAAATGGCCCATGAAAATGGAATGAAAATAGAGTGTGGAAAAAAAGTGAAATGAATTTTGTTGGTCTCTTCACTTTTCCCTCTCATCACTGATAATGATTCAAGTGTAAAAGTTGATTGCACCAAGTTTCAGGTTTGGTCAAGTTGAAATGCAGGATAACACTGAATCCGCCTAGATAGTCATCATGAGGTAAAAAGATGAAACTAAAAGGACTGAGAAAAAGGCAAGAAAATTGTTTACTCCAAGTAACCAACATTTTTTTCACTTTTCCTTGTTCATTCAATTTTTCAATTTTGTGGTCAAAATTGGGTTTCACCTAAACTCATGAAAATCTAATGATGATCATGATTCTGCAAGTTATAATATTTATCTTTAATAGGCTTTTCCACCAACTTTTTTTTCTTCTTCTCCACTTTAACAACAAATCTCTGAATTTCATATCAATATTACAATATTTGAAAATGCTTTAAAAGCTTATTTTTAGCTTTTGCCTTTTTTCAATAAAAAATATTTACTTTCAAAACTCATTTTTACTTTATTGAACAATGAGTATCGTTTGAATGTTATTTACAATGATTAATGAATTTCCATTGAAAATATTTCAGATAATTCTTACTGATCAACACTTGATGCTTTGCTAACAATTACTGAATGTTGACTAACCTTTAATTTCACCTTATTTAAACTCATTGTTTCTTTGCATGATCTTCAATCATTATAAATGAGGTGAAGATTCAGACGAAACTGAAAACAAAAGTAATGAAAAGAAGGAATTTTTCAACCCAAAAAAGGCAACTTCTTAACACTCTTTGTACTTTTAATGTTCATTTTTTGTTGAATTTTTCTTGTCATAAAAAGTCCATTAAAAAGACAAAGATTAATTTGGAAAGATGAATATGAACAAAGACTGGTTTTAACAAATTGATAACATCTTTAATAATAATGATTTAGTTAATGAAGTCAAAATGTTAATAGGAAAAGGAAAGTTAACATTTCTTTTAATCATTTAAAGGCAAATATTGAAATTAAAGCTGTTTAATGTGTAAACCAGAAATGATAAATTCCCAAATTGAATCATTTTTCCTGGATGATATCAACGAAGCAAAGTGTCTTATTAAACATGATGAAAGGCAATCATTGTAATCAAATAGCCGGCAGCTTTTAGGCTTTTAAAGTAAACCCAGGTAAGGGAAGCTCATCAAGGTAACAACAAATGTTGGTCCGTTTATTTGATTAGATTTGAGTTAATCAGTTGACCGAGAAAAGTTAACTCACCAAGTCGAGGGTAAATCAAATTAATGAAGTAAACAATGTTCAACTTGTTTCAAGTTGCAGTTGAAACTTGATCATTAGTCGTGAGTAAATCATCATGAAACTGCTAATGATTTGAAAAGCGAAAACAGAGCAAAAAAGCTAAAACTGAAATTCAGATAAACATTTGTTAATTATTATTACAATTGCAATTTGTAATAATTGTCTATTAGTACAATTGAAGCATTTGGTTAATTACCTTTTATCTTGTGCTAATTAAAGTTATCTTTTTTTTCTCGTTCAAATGTTCACTTTAATTGTGTTATTTGAGAGAAAAAATGACATTTCTTTTTGTTCTTTTTTTTCGCATTCGCCATCTTCTTTTATCAATACTGACGATCGGGTTCATTATTCATCAACAGTTCTCCTCATAAATGAACAAATAACTTATCATAACTTATCACTCCCAGTTATCACTCCTTGTTATCACTCCCTGTTTGACTTGCGATATTAGAGTTCACCTTATTGGATGCATTACAGTTACAGTTAATACATCTGTTGGATGTTAACATGAAGGATACAAAAATTGGTAATAATAGTTATTATTAATGAAGACAACTATTTAATCAATTCAGCTTTTCCTTCTCGCCAAATATCTTGTAACTGATATTAACATTTACTTTATATATTGTTAAGGTATTACTTGGGTCAAGTTGAATATTTGATTGCTACTGAAAAGTGATTAAATGTCTTGTTTAACCATTTTTGGGTAAATAATTGTTGCTCATAAAATTTGATATAATAAATTGATAACAATATTGACCAACATCAATAATAAGTAATCCAACATTCCAGTCAAGTTTAAGCTTTACCTTCACTTTTGGGTAAAGTTTATTGTTAAAAGGTTCAACTTTTCATCCAATTTCATCTTATTAAGTTATTATCTTCATTCCCAGAATTGTCATTCCAGTGGTCAATATTTCCTGACAATTTGTTAGTCTTTACATATGCTCTGGAAATCTCAAAAAATTCACATTCAGTTCTGTAAATTTTAAATCGAAAGATTTGAAGGCAAAAATAAAATTTCTGGTCAAATCAAGTTTAGTTTGAAAAATAAATGTTTTATCAATCAGTCTAAAAATTTCATTATTTTGTTTTGCAAGTTATTTCAGATATTTTATGCTCAATGATTTTATGATTGGATTTGGTTTATTAATTGCTTCAAGTTGAATTGAAATACTGAGATGATGGAATGTAAAATAATTTGGAAAAATATTCTTTCATAGTTATTCCAATGTTCAGAGAGAAGTCTTTCAATAGTAAATATCCATTTCTGTTTCGATGCTTCTGTTCGAGCGTTTTCTCCAAGACTGTTCATTGTTTTTATGCGAAATTAACATTCATAATCATTAAGCATCGCTGTTAAATTCAGAGTAAATCAACGTTAAGCAAGCCAGAGTCTTTAGAAACTCGAAAAGTTACCCAAAAATAAATTTTCTGGTTAACTACAGTTGGTTTAGTGGGGAACTGGTTTGACTAAAGTTGAATATTATTTTGCTTTCAGTTTGTTTGCTTTGCTTTTTTGGAAATACGAGTTTCTGTAAAAATGTTATTGAAAAGGAAACTTGCAAATTGATTGATTAACCCAAAAATGATTAATTATTTATTGGTTAAGGTCAATTGTTTGCTGCTTAAATTGACTTTCAAAATGATACTATTTTTGGACAATAAATCTTGCACTTTAATATCAACATTTCCCACATTTTACCCAAATGTCACAATAAATGATTTTGTTTAATGGTTTCCTTTTTATAAACTCAACCATATCAATTGGTAAAATCATTTGAAATCAATTCAAATTGTATCATTTCATTGTTTTATTGAGGAAAGCAAAAAAAAGTCTAATATTTTGAATAAACATTGAAAGTAAACGTTTATTATAAAAACATGAATAAACCATAAAATGACATTAATCTTGATCTTTATTCAACGAAAACTGTCATTTCCAAAGTTGACCAGTTTCAAGTTGGATTAACCAGTTTTGACTAATGAAATTATTCAAGATAAACCTTTAATGCGTCTAGTAAATATTCATTTTGATCCAATATGCTCATTAATCTTTATTCTTTCAGGTTTCTTGGGTTCGACAAAAGGATTTGCACATTTTAACAGTTGGACGTTACACTTATACTTCCGATCAAAGGTTTACCTGCATTCATCTAGACGATTCAGATGATTGGACACTTGAGATTAAATACGTTCAAAAGGACGACGCTGGCATATACGAGTGTCAAGTCAGCACCGAACCAAAGATGAGTCTAAGCATTAAACTTGGAGTTGTTGGTAAGCCTTTAACTTTACCAGAAAAAAAGTTTAACCAGAAAAAAGAGAAATATTGAAAAATATTGAATTTCCTATTAAATGATGATTTAAGGGAAGCTGAATTTTCGCTTCTCAAATTGTTATTAAATTGTAATCAGTAAACATGGAAAATGATTAAATGTTCATTTGATGGATTCAAATTTCATCAATTTGTCAGACATTTTTGCATCTTATCAGTTGAATGAGCATTTCAATGGGTTTTCATTTTTTCTTCAACTTTTCTCCTTTTCTTTTCCCAATTTTTTATCATTATTCAAAATGACAATTTAATGAGATTAACAACGACATCAGTTTGGTTGTTGTTGCTTCTGTGTTCACCAATTTACATTCACTTTATGCTCTTAAACATGATAATATTGAGAATGAAAAGTCACATTGATGATGCCTTTATCATGAACAATGAACAACATCAACAACAACAATATAATGACAATGAATAACAAATAGTGAGGGCACAAAGTACACATCAAAATGGGTTGAAGGAAAGGATCTTGTTTTTTTTCTTGCTCTGGGAAAAGATGAAAGTTTCGCCTTTTTTTGTCAATGAACAATCAGTTTTAAAATTTTATCACCAAACTACTATTCTGGTGACAGGCAAGAAAAACTTAAATTATCATTCCCTGTTGAGAGAGACATTTCAATGTTTACTTTTATCCAACTGCAAGCCATCAATCACTTTTTTTCACTTTCCTCGTTTACATCTCAATCTGTTCACTTTCAAGTAGCAATTGTAAATGTTCACCTTTACATTAAAATGATTAACAAATTGGGCGATCAGCAAAACAAGAGTTTCAATCATTTTCATGATCTTTCCATCAACAGTTCCAGAGAGTGACAATTTTGCTCTATAACTTTCAATTGACTTTTTTCAGCCTTTTGTTTCATCCATTTCCAGACAAACTGCTTTAAATTTCAATTTTAAACCAGAAAGTCAATACAATCGATCTTTGGGTTAACCCGAAAATTCCTTACACGAGTTGAATAGCGTTTGCATCGACTATTGGAATAGATCAGACAAGATCTTTGATGGATTTTGATTTGAAATTTGATTCTAATAAACATTTAACTCTACTCGAGTCTTCATTTGAATTGGTCAAAAGGGAACTAAAAATCCAGGGAAATCGAAATTTTCATCGTTGGAAAGTCGATTGTTCAATTTAGGTTATAGCAATGGATGAAATTTGGTATTAGTTGAGCTGTACGTGATTAGTGTTGTATCGGCTTATCGGGCCAGTTTCATGAGATTATTCATGAAGTGGTGTTCACTGAAAGTTTCCCAATTTTTGTGTTGAGAAAATAATTCAATGGTTATAAAACAGATAATAATATTATTAGTGTTTGCATCCGATTCTCAAGATTATTGGTCTTCAATGTTATTGTCATCATTAGGTTCATCCTTATCATCATCATTATTATTGCCATTACAAAATCATTTCTCTTATGAGTATTGAATGAAGATGATGATGGTGATGATAAGAATGATTCTGATCATCTTGTTTTTTCAATCGTCCTATTATTTTGCTTTTACTTTCATCTTCTTTTAACCAATCTAATGGATGTAATCCACTTTTACGATAATATTTATCAACAGATTACTTTTTATTCAATGTTAATAACAATCGAGAGAATCAAATGAATTTCAGATAATCTAATGTACTTTAATTGTCCAATATTCTTGTTTCGGTTTTATCCAAGTTAATTGGATTAATAATGGTTACGGATTACGGTTTTTAGCCTATCTCCATCTTTACAAATGTAATCATTTTTCATTATTTTACTTTTGATTAAACAACAATCAATGTTATTTTGGTTAATATCAAAATGTTGAAAAGATTTATTTGTTTATATCTTTTTTTGTATTGAGCGCGTTAATGTGATTTGATTGTCTTTTTTTCAATGGTCATGTGGTTTTGTTTGGCTTGGTTGGTTAGGGAAATGTTTAATGGCGCTTCATTAATATCATTTTCATTATCATTAATTTGCTGTTTAGTTATTATTATTTAATGTTATTTATAATGTGATGATGAAAATCGTGATAATAATACTTGATTGTCCATCTATTGTATCATTGTATTATTATTAAAACTATAATTCTATTTAGTTTCTCTTTCTCTTCTTTTTTTTCCTCATTGTGCTTCTTCTTTTGTCTAATTAAAGCTGTTTATTTGTTTTGTGTTGATCAACTTATTGTAATTATAGTTAATCAATTCCAACGTTATCACCATCCTGGCTCACACTAATCATTTCAGGTTGATTTAAAAGGTTAATTAGTTTCATTTCGTTTCATTCGTCAACTATAAAAATCAATGGTTTCTTTTTTTCTTTCAGATTCTTGGTAAAAAAGATAGTTTCCAGTAGGCAATCCATGGTTTACACTCAAATGAATCCGTTTTGTTTAATCTGTTATGATTTTTCCAAATTTGAGTCTTGATTGTGAGTCTAGTAATTCAAGATTGGGAATCAAATTTCAAGGATAACTCAAGTTTTGCTGATGATTAACTGTAAAGGGTTGATTTACAATTTCACTTTGCTTGGCTTCATCAAGAGTCAATTTACTCTTGTCGTGCCATTGCCTTCTGACAATCTGTTTCTTGTTTAAAACATGGTGATGGCTGGAGAAATGATGACTTGAATTAATAATGATAAATACATAGACATATTAATGAAAAGTGTTTAGGTTGAGCGCATAAAATTATCAACTGTCGCGGTAATTGGTATCCGCGTTGTTTTTTAACAAATCTCACTGATTGATGTGTTCAAAATGTGTATGTAACAGCTATTAATTTAATTTTGATTTTTCACCATTATTTGACAAGTTTCAATTTTTATCTCTTCAAGTTTAACATTAACTTCCTTCCTTTGTCAACAATCATTTAATCATCATCATCGCCTTTTTTTGTAAAACTAATATTGATTATTTGTTTCTCTCTTCCCCTTTATTCCGACTCATGTTAACAGCGGCTAAAGCAATAATACCAGAAGGACCCGAGTTATTTGTTGAAGTTGGCGTTACAGTTAATTTAACTTGTTTAATTAGTGAACCATCATCTTCACCGCCGGTTTATGTTTTCTGGTACCATGATGGAACAGTGATTAATTATGATTCACCGAGAGGAGGAGACATAAAAGTGACAACGGATCGTAGCTCTTCAGCTGTTAGTCGTTTAACCATTATTGAATCAAGACCATCTGATTCTGGTGAATACTCATGTAAACCATCCTATGCAGATTTTGCCAATGCTACACTTCACGTCGTTGCCGCATCATCGTCTTCACCTTCATCATCTTTATCGTCAATTGCATTGGATAAAAAAGATTTTCCCGGGGAGTTGACACCATTCTATCAATATCCAGCGAGCTTGGGTACAAGTCTTTTTCAATATCATCATCAATACTATATTAATTGGTCTATTTACTTCTTTGGTTGGCTAGTAATTTATCGATCCAAGTAATAGTTCAAAGTCAATGGTATCGAATTATTGTGATAATATCGCCGGTGATAACATAAGAGTTAAAACTATGATCTCCTCAAGTCCTTAGCCTGTTGGACTATTGGTTATTGTAATAAAAATTTGGAAAATTTTAGACTTTTAGAAATTTTTACCCTATTTTTGTACAATATAAAAATACAGAATTTAAAAAATAAACTTTGATTTCTTTCTTAAATCACTCAACAATCAATCTTTTACACTACCTCTTGATGTCTAAGGTTCCTCACCTTTGATTTTTTTGTGATACAAACAGATTGTACAAACAAATTAGTGATGACAACTCAAATACTCGAGTAAAATGTTGAGACTTATTGATTTCACGTTCAAGATAGAATAAGGTTGCCCAGTTGATTGTCACAATGAGTACAAAGAGTATCAATGTTCAATCAACAGAAATTATCTAATAGTTAATCTTGAGTGACTGAATAAGTACCAAATAGATTAGACAAAAATTTCGGTTATAACTAATTTCTTTACTTTTCTTGCTAATAAAGAAGAAGAATCAAAGCAGAAATTGTAATCTATTAATACTTGAAATCACTTCAACATCATTCTATTGTTCAGGGGAAACAAAATTTATATACACTGAATGTTTTGCAAAGAGTAATCTTACTTCTCTTTAATGAACTGTCTCATTTATCAATCAACTTAAATGTAATACAAATATTGATCCATGGTTTGAGCCTAGGCGATTCCAATAGCTACTGATTGCAGTAAAAAAGCTTTCCAGATTGTAAATTGTTCACAGAAGAGTATCAATTTACATTATGATTTTCTTTATATTAGTAAATGAATAATAACCAGAGTTGTAACGAAACACTTACCGTCAATCCTCCCCTAACACTTTCAAAGTAGTTGGTCACCGTTTTAAATGATTAAATTGATAAAAAATTGATAAAATTGTGAAGTCATCGAAATTATTGCTCTTTGACCGCATAAAAATTTAAAGTCAATCAAACTGATTTACCTTTTGAATGTGATTGTGAAAAAATAATCAAAACAAGTCAGTTTAAACAAAGATTACATAAGAGATGGCAGCACTGGTGTGATGTAAATAAAGCAAAATGAGTGGGCCTTGTTTTTGTTTTTGTTAGCCAGAAATGAAATTACAATCACAATGTAATCAATTGCATATTTTTTTAATTTATTAAGTTTATCTTCACCAATTCTTACAGTTCTCTTTAACCTATGTTTAGTTGATTCCTGTTGCTAACCTAATGTGTTAACTCACTCTATTCAGTTGTAATTGGAAAAGAGATCCATACTTTTCAAGAAATGGCTACTAATTCATCAGCTGCTTCAACAATTCAGAATGTTGATTCCAGAGGATTTCAAATTGCTTCCAGAAAATTTCACCATCTCTTTGCAATGCCAGAGGAGGAGAAACTTGTTAATTACTACTCGTGTAACCTTTGGCGAGGAAAAGTACCTAGACAAGGAACAATGTTTCTCAGTATCAACCATTGCTCTTTTTATTCCCATTTATTTGGTACCAAAATCAAGCTGACAATCAAATGGACTGACGTACAGCATATCGAAAAAAAGAATACAGTTTTGTTTCCAGATACAATTATAATTTCTGCTAATGATGAAGCTTACAATTTTTCAATGTTTTTAAAGCCCTCAGAAACATATAGATTAATCCAACAGTTAGCTAATATTGCGATGAAAAGTTTAATGACCGATGAGAAGGTTGGCTCATATCAGGCTGATCTTGATCTTGTCGTTAAAACTTCTAAAAATGCTCCACGAAAGGTATCATTTCTCAAAAGAGATTTGGATGCTAAGCAGATAAGTGAGGCTTACCGGATGGCTTTCCGTTTACCTGTTCAAGAAAAACTTGATGGAACTTTACCCTGTATGCTTTGGACACCCTACAATAAGCAACATGTTTGGGGTAAACTGTTTTTATCTACAAATTACATTTGTTTTGGAAGCAGGGTAAGAAAAATTCAATTTCCAATACCCAATCTTAGCCCTCAGATAATTTAATGCGTGTGCACACTTAAACTTATTTATATTCACCTTTTGTTGTCATTCTGGTTTTTTCAATTCAAGATCAATTGTCGTTAATGAGTTGTCTTTTTTCATTATTACTTATCACCATGCATTAGACACCTCAGTCAGTCTCTCTTATCATTCCCATGAGGGACATATTATTGTCAGAAAAGGTTGATAATCATGGTGGACCTCCGTGTGTCAATGCTATCCTCATATCAACTCGAAAAAAATCAAATTTCCTGTTTTCTTACATTGACGACCGAGACTTTTTAATTCAAAAGATTTCAGAAATGCTTGAAAAGCTTCCTGAGGACAAAAGGTTAGCATTCAACACTCGATCTGTTTTCATTCTCATTACAAAGAAAAGATTGGGTTTCAGATTAATTATCATAAAAATTTTTCCTTCATTCAATCCAGCACAAATACGTCCTCGTCTGTTTCGAAACCTGATGGTGATAATGTGTTCGAAATTCAGCGACCTTTGAATGAACTTTTTGCTATGCCTAAAGAGCCTGAGGTTCAAGCTAAAGAAGCTGTACGTGAAAACCTTTGGGATCTTTATTTTAGTGATTATGGACGAGGTGTGTCCACTTATCGGACTCCTAAGGCTCGTGAATTGGTTGTGAAAGGTATTCCAGATAAATATCGTGGTGAATTGTGGATGCTTTATTCTGGAGCAATCAATGAATTGGAATCAAATCAAGGTTATTTTCAACAAATGGTCGAAGCAAGTACAGGCCGTAAATGTGTGGCATCTGATGAAATTGAACGAGATTTACACCGATCTTTACCCGAGCATCCTGCCTTTCAATCACCTGTTGGTATTAACTCTCTTCGACGGGTTCTCAATGCTTATGCTTACAGAAATCCAAGTATTGGCTATTGTCAAGCTATGAACATTGTAACCTCGGTATTGTTATTATTTGCTTCTGAAGAAGAAGCTTTTTGGTTGTTGGTTGCTTTATGTGAACGTCTTCTCCCTGATTATTACAATACTAAAGTAATCGGTGCCTTAGTTGATCAAGGAGTCCTAGAAGAGTTGGTGAAAACACATCTACCTCAATTATATCAAAAATTGGAACCCTACGGGATATTGAATATGATCTCACTCTCATGGTTCCTAACAATTTTTCTATCCGTCATACCTTTCGAATCAGCTATTCATATTATGGACTGTTTCTTTTATGATGGAGCTAAAGTCGTCTTCCAAATTGCTTTATCGATCCTTGAATCTAACCAAGAAGCATTGTTAAAGTGTAAAGATGATGGCGAAGCAATGACAGTGTTGACAGGGTTTCTTGAAAATATTACAAATCATGACGCTTCATCTCATCTAGCTCATTCAGTCACTTATGGACCAGTTTCCAAAAGATTTAATCAGGTAAATGTATTATTTGTTATATTTTCACCTTTGTCATAAAATTATGTCCATCAAAATTATCATTAACTATTTCTAATCATTTCTAATCTTTTTTTCATAATTCATCCTCTTTTTTATTCAATTTTCTAGAAAGTCACCGAGATAAATGAATTGATCAATGATTCATATACAAAATATGGTTTTTTAACTACTGCAATGATTGAAAAATTTCGATTTGATCGTCGTATTAAAGTTGTCCAAACTCTGGAAGATAACAACATGAGAAGTGTTATTCGCAGTGTTCAAAGTAATCCATTTGTTAATCATTATTTAAAATCAGAAGAAATACAAAATCTATACGCAATTGTGAAAGAAGAGCAACTTCGTCAACAATATTGGGGTCGAGCAACATCTCAATCATCGTCTACCTGGGATCCATCTAAACCATTTTATGATATGTACAAATTAGATTTTGACCAATTTAAAGGTTATTTTCACCAAATATCTTCATGGACTGATGGTGATAATGCTGAAACACTAGCTTTACGGGTTTTCAAGATTCTTGATGAAGATGGCGATGGTTTCATTAATTTCTTACAATTTCTTATCATCATAGCAATCATGTTTAAATCAGATGTTGAAGTTCGTCTCAAACTGTTATACGCTTGTCACCTCATTCCACTTCTTGATACAGAAAACCCAAATGGTTCTTTACCAGAGTCAGAATCTGATGTAGAAGAAGCTGAAGAAGCTACCGAGGCAACTGAATATTTCGGCAAATTATCTTGCAGCTCTTCTTCATGTTCAGCCGAATTATTACCCGGTAATGATCCTCCAATCAAAATTTCAGAAATAATACCAAGTCGCTTCGTTGTCCCTTCATCTTCACCCTCAAAAAGCTTTGAAATCGTCTCTGGACCATCAAGTACTACATCAACTTTAGCATCATCCCCACCATCATCCAGCAGTGTTAATGTTACTCTTCACCCTTGTCATGAATACAAAGCTCTTCCTCCAATGAAGCAAGATCAATTTGTTGAACTTTGGAAAACCCTTTATGATATTTTCTCTGGATCAACCGAGGAACAACGAATGTATCATTGTGTAGCTTCCGTTTGTACTACGCTATTCAAGATTGGTGAACTCGCCTATCAACTTCGTGAACAGAATCAAGAAGAAGGTCAAGCAGCATCTAAAAGTCCAACCTCAGATTCTAAATCAGTCGAGAGCTTCGACATTGTAAGTCAAGCATCAATATTTGGAGATGAACATCATATCAACGCTGAAGGTGGATTTATCACTTTTGAACTATTTCAGGCAGCTTTGTTCATTGAAGAAGCTTTGGTTAACTTTTTCGAGAGAAAACCCAAACTAAATGAAGCATTGCAAAAACTGCGTAATCGTAGGTTTGATCGTACATCTAGTTTTATTGGCAATGCTAAAGCTGATTAATGTAAAAGTAAAAGATTGAAAGTGAGGGGCGTTTAAGCAAACAAATTGATTCAATTTTGATCAGATCTCAAAGGCTTGAAATTGATGAATCTTGCTGACAATGGAGCTGACAAAAATTGAATTTATTTTGTTTAGATTGTCTAATAAAGAAGAAGAAATTCGTCTATTCTTATTTCTTCTATTCTTATTGAGTTACCAGCTAAAGAAAAGATGAGATTTAGCTCACTTCTTATCATGAATTTTTAAAAAAACTGAACCAAAATTGTAATCCTGATCATGTTTTTTTACCAAGAAACATTCATCATTCCTTAATGAACAACTGCCTCCGAATTAAGGTCCATCTTCATCACCAGTCTTCACCAGGTTATAAGCAAGATTAACCTTCAACCTTAATCCTTTTGATATTGAGTGTTGACAATCTCTGACCTTTCTCCTATGTATAATTTGTAACCAGATGAAATTGAGCAAACATTATTTGCATTGACTTTTCAAGTCATGATTTGAATTTCAGCTCAGATCTCTTCCTTCTGTGATCATAGATTAGTTAATTTTAATCGTTATGTTCAACAACAATCACGACATCTGCTAGATTAATCTCGATTAATCTCCCATTGAAATTGTTAACTGTTTTTTCTGTTTGATACCCTTTAAATTGTCAATCAAGTAAACATAACAATTTTTTTGTAAACATGATATCAATGATGATGATGAGATTCAACAGTGAGTTTCAACAATGAAAAGCCCATTATTTTACTAGATCATGTAGATATTTTCATTTTTTATGAGTCAAAAATCTCTTTTTGTAATAAGTGATAATTTTAACCAAATGATGAGAAATTAAATTACAATAGTTGATATGCATATCGTTTCTATCATTACTGAATCATGTCTCGAAATAGTTTATTAATGCAAACCTTTGGTGTTAATTACAATTGGATTACAAATCAAATGGTTTAACCAGTCTTTTTTTCTGATGTTCCTCTCCTCTTGTGTATTCTGTGTTAATCAAAGCACAACCATTTGGTTGCGTTTTATTGATTGTCAACAATTGATTTTTCCGGGAGATAAACTTTGAACCATTTTTGTATCTTCATATTTCATTTCAATTCTGAATGAAACTTCAATTGTAATATTATAAATATTTACATATAAATCAAACAAATTGTTATTAAACACATAAAATATATTTACTACTAACATGTGATAATTTTGTACTGAATATTTCATTAAAACTTGTAAACACAACACTTGTTTATTTTTGTTAATTGATAATCATTTGTCTTTTAGCCCAAATTGCTAATCAGACGATCACTTATTACACCAATTTTTAACCAACTGTTAACCCGATATTTTGGGTTATCACAATATTAAGCAAAAAATTTCACAGTTACGTTAAGATTGGTGAAACTGGTTTGGCAGTGGATGTTGAGTGGAAAGAAATATTTCTTGTTCTTGAAATGCGATATTTATGATTGAAATTAATTGGTTTAAATTGTTATATAATTAAGTTGTATCAAACTACCGTGAAAGTGGAGAAAAATTTGTATTGTAACAACTGTTAAGTTGTGAAAATCGCTTGTGCTAATTGATTTTGAAACATCGGCAATTTTACACACTTACAAAAGCACAAAATAGAGATTATTTGTTTACAGATTGACTTAAAGTCAAAGGTTATCTTCTTGGGAACTTTGTTGAACCCTGAAGGGTCACTAATTATGCTGTTTTAGACAAAAAAAGTAACTTTTACTTTTGTGAGCCAAAGGTTCACAATTAAACCGAAAGGTTTAATTGTCGGTGAAGACAAAGATTAACTTGGTTACACTGGTGAATCAGAAGTAAATACAGATTTTGTAGTCTACTTGAAAGGATTAACTTGCTTTCAGCTGATTACCGTGAGAAGCTCTATTTTCACCTTCAACCTGCATTTCGTGCGAATTGTTTTTAAATTTTGAATTTCACAAAAATTGGCTGCTAATGCGTATTTAAAAAAATTATCAAAACCTTAAATGGAATGTTAAGTTTAATCAAATTTTAACCAATAAGATTTAGCTACCCTTTATGATGTTGTTTCACATTTTTCTATTGGTGAAGTTAATGTTTACATGTGTTGTATTGTCTTTCAGTTTCTTATAAAACAATAGGCTTTGTTGGATGCCTTATTAGTTGGCTACAAGTAAAGTCTTCACTCTCATCATCACCATCATCTTCATCTTCATCATCATCCTCATCAACACATTGGAACACTTTTCTCATCTCATCTAAATTTTCATGTTTTGCTATTGACCTGTTGTTGATCTTTTACATTTTGTAATTTGTGTAGATATTTATTGTTTTTGTTAATTTTTCTTAAATTTGACTGTTATTCATTGTTGATCTCTTTTTGATTGTATTGTCTTGTATTTTTAAAAATGGAAGTTCTCCCGATTTCGTATGACTACACTAATGAAATGTCTCCAGAAATGGATTTATTGGCAGCCGCAAGCATTGGAGATCTTGGTCTAGTCCACAGACTTCTTCAACAAGGAGCGTAAGTATTTTTTCATTTCGCAGTAAATTCTCTTCTACGTTCATTTTCAGCTATGTCACTGACCTTTTCTTTTTTTCTTTAAAGAAATGTTGACCTTCAAAATGAATCCGGATGGACTCCATTAATGTATGCAGCCCATTATGGTCACTACAATGTAGTCAAAATGCTGATTGATTATGGAGCCAATGTAAATATTACCGAAAAGATTCAAGGTCGAACCCCGTTAATGCTGGCTGCTTCTTGTGGACATACTCGTTGTATTGAGGTCCTTATCACCCTTGGCGCTGCTGATATTGACATGACTGATACTCAAGGTCATAATGCGGCTTATTATGCTATACACTCAGGCCATGGAAGAAACAAAATTATTGCTAAGCTTCTAAAGATTCAAGGGAAAAGTCGCTCCTCTTCATCGACAAATGCAACCTCATCTACTTCAGCTTCTTCCTCTTTAGTTGGCTCAGCTTCTCGAACTCGACCTTTAACAAAAGGTCGTTCTGATGCTTCACCAGCAAATGGTAACTCTAATGGTAACAACAACGCTAATAATAACAACAGCTATAGCAAGCATGCAAGCAATAGAGGTCAAAATGTAACAATTTCATCAAATAAGATCACATCAACAACTAAACCCGATATAATTATCTCACAAGAAAATATAAGGCCAATCATTGAAGACTCTTCACCTTTTTCCAATGGAAACGGAAACAACAAGAAAAACGATGATAGTTCAACCTGTGATTATTACAGTCCTTATCTATCTTTGAATCGTGAGTGGTCTCCATTAGGAGGTCGTCAGTTCACACCATCTTCTCCATCATCACCATTTTGTGTAAATAACGGTTTCACACCTCAATTAACCATTGACGGACTTATGGGTAAACGCCGGCTTCCAATGAGCGAGCAAAATGACTGTTCGCGTTCTGAAAGCCGTTCACCGCTTCCCGAGAACCTTGACTCTCTATTAAAGAGAATAGGTCTTCCACAGTATTCGCAATTATTTAATTCTCACGGAATTGATTTGTATTGTTTCTTAACTCTCAATGAAGCTGATTTTGAAAAGATTGGAATAACTCTTCTAGGACACAAACAGAAACTCTACATGGCTCAGCTTCGATTCCGGGAATCGGTTGAGATTGCCAGCACACAAGAACAATTCTTAGCTGATTGGCTTCTCTCTGAACGAGAAAATCTTAAAAAAGAAAATCACGAATTGAAAATGAAATTAAAAGGAGTTGAATCGGCAAACAATTTAATGCCACTTTATAATTGAAAATGGTGCTGACATGGAATTGCATCAACTTTTACCCAATTCACCCCATTCAAAGTTAATTGCCTTCAAATCGATTGTTTAGACTGTGCTTTTTGCATTCTAATTGACTAGTATCAAATGCTTTTTTTATTTCTTGCACTCTTTGCCCTTTTTTTCCTGTTTTTCTCTATTTTTGAAATCATAATTTGTTTTTTTACCCGAAATTTCAAAAAACCTCAACTTATTGATTTTTTATCTATTGAATCAATTAAATTGCTCTGTTATGAAAACTGAAATTCGATCCTTTCATCTTTAATCTTTCGCTCAAGCCAAAGATATTGCATTTAAATTGATTAAGAGTTACCAGGTTAAGTTTTCTCTAAAAATGGAGACACAATTCTTAGAGTTAATGATGTCTTGGCATTTTTAAACAATCTTTTTTTGCAAAGCAGCCAATATTGAGGCAAAACAAATTAATAAGAGTTGAAGATTTTATCTCAACTCAAATTTCTGGTTAATTGATTATCATAAATGTAACACTGTAACAATGTAACATCATTTTTAACCTATTTGTAATGTTGGTAATGATATTTGAACTTTAACCCCAGCTTTGGCTCTGACCATTTAAAACTCTTTACCAGTTAAAGTTACCTAGAATCAGCCAATGGTAGCTCATCTTGAGGCGGAGTGAATCTTTCATCAACTCAATAAACCCATTTAGACAGTAGCTCTTAAGACCTCGTTCCTTTGTTTAAACAACTTCAATTTAGATTTTGTTTCATTTGTAAATTGTCTTTTGGTCCGATAACTTATCTTTTTACCTACTTCTTTTTCTTCTATTGTAACAGTTTTGTAACAGTGAAGTTATTTTCTCCGCAGTTATTTAACCCAGTCTAACTTAACCTATCCTAACCTAACCTCTTTGTAAAACAATGTCTTCTTACGGTAACTTTCCTCGACGATTCCATCGCTCTTATGGTCGCATTAAAAACAACTTTTATTCACCTTCCCCAGCTAATTGCGACTCTTACATTAAAATAAATCGCTGGCGATCTGCACCTGTACCTTCTTCTAATGTGACTATACCTTCTGACAATTTTCGACAAAGAATTCCTTCGACATCATCGACTGGGTCGGCTTCATCTGGATCCACTTCAAATACATCTTCATCATCGACTCCACGAAAATCCAACAATCAATCTTCATTCCATAACAAAGGTAAAAAATCGGACAAAGCAGGCAAGACGAAAATTTGTGTTTTCTGCAAAAAAAATAGAGAACCCAGAGAGGTTTATACTGACCATACTCTCAAAGATGAAGCTGGTAACACTGTTTGTCCAATATTGTGCAAGTATACTTGTACTTTGTGTGGTGCTACTGGTCCTGAATCTCACACCATTTCTTACTGTCCCATGTCTCGCGTCGTTCGGAGTGTTTTTGACGATGCCACTGCATTCATCGAATTTGGAAACTATGCGAGCCAAGCCAATGTGCCTTAATTTTTAACTTATTCCTTCGTGATTTCTTCAATTTAATTGATTTACATTGATGTCATGAAATCTAAAAGATAGGAACTATGGTTCCTAACTTTATTATGTCCAAGATTTTTTTGATTGATTTTTTTTTTTGAAAATAAAAGTAAATAATTAAAACAAAGCGTTTGATCAAGTCAGATTTTTTTTACAATTTTAATCAGCTTCATTGAGATGATCGTTATGTTTATACATGCTTGATGAATATTTAATTGGGGATCAATGAAAACAGAAGATCCAGGAAATCAATCTCTCTACAAGATTGGTTAAGGGGTCAACAAATTGATTCAATTAGATGATTGACCCGAAACACTGTAGGAGTTGAGGGAAATTTGATATTGATTTTGTTTAGAATATAATTGTTATGTAAAATTAAACAGCTTTTGGATTCTTTAAGCTTTACAAGTTTCAAGATTTTTCACGGTATACCATAGGATTACTTTAGAATGATGATTGGTGTGAACTTGCTGAAACTATGATGAGAAAGGTAAATTTGATGTTGTTTAATAACTAAATTTGCAAGGTCTACATGTTGACCTTAAATCAGGCCTGATGGCCTTATTCTCGTGAAACAAACATCGGCTTACAAGAACTTGTTTATATTATAACGCTTAAACAATGAACTGTTTCAAATGGAAACCATCACCATTCAGTTATGTGATCAGGTTTTTCTCCTCTTTCATATTTAGACCACATTCGCCTATACAACCTCTCTAGGTTTGAAGTATAGATTTTAACGTTGAATAACGGGGATTCTGCCCTGGCTTTCCAAACTTTTGCGCGAATTGCTTTAAGATATTGCCTGTCTGTTCCTAACTTAACAGCGATGTCCTCGTAATCTTGGCGATTTCGAGCGATTAGGTCAGGCACACCTAAACAGGCCAATTGTGAAGATGCTACACGAGATGCTAAAGTTTCACCAGCTAAAGTGATCATTGGGGTTCCAGCCCAAAGAACATCCATTCCGGTTGTGTGCCCATTGCACAGGGGAGTATCCAAACAGAGATCGGCAAGTTGTCCCCGACGGACATGCTCTTCTTTCGCCGCGACATTAGATAAAACAATACGATGTGAAGGTAAACCAAGTTCTTCTGCCATTGCAAGAATGTTGGGTTCACCATGAGCTGGAAACCGAAGAAGCCATAAAACACTGTTGGGCACTCTTTTCAAAATATTCACCCACATAGTGAGAGTTGGAGGGTCGATTTTATAAAGTTGATTAAAATTACAATAAACAATTGCGTCCTCAGGAAGGCCATATTGTTGTCTACTAGTAACAACAATTGATTTAGGAGCCTCTTCCCCGGTGGCTGCTTTATTATTGAGTTGAGTTGTGGCCAATCCATTTTGTACAACAATTCCGTTGACTGAAGTTGAAAGCTGCCCGGTGCTGATCATTACCGAAACAGCTGATGTAGTAGGTAGTTCAACCATTTTTTTAACAACTTCAATTTTTTCAAAATTAGCAAGAGATTGAGTACTAACAACAGTAATCTCTTTTACCTTTTTAACTTCTACCTTCTCCATTATTGGAGATAAATCAGTTGCGTTAACAATAGCAACGTTGTCTGGAGGAGCCTCATTTACAAGCGCACTTTGCGAAGATGAATAATTGTGATTATGTTTTTTAAGTCCATTAGTCTCAGTTGTTAGAATAACTCTTTCAATAAGATGGGGAAACATGTTCTTATGATCGCCCACAAAAAATGTATCCGGCATAAATGCTAATTTCTCTGAATATTGTGATGCCAATTCAACCGGTGAAGTTATTTTGTCGGTGACAATATAATCCATGAAAGGAGCGCCACTAGTACCAGGATAACCAAGCCACATAACTTGAATAGGTGCTGGCTTTAGAGCAAATATTTCATTACGGGCTCCTTTAGTGTAACCATTCATGTTGACCAAAATATGTACTCCATCTTCAAAAATCATATCAGCCGCTTTCCCGTTGCATGACACTGTAGACAGATCGACAAAATGATCACACTCGCCAGCAATTTTACTTCTGAATGTTGTGCCATCATCGGGAGAGAGAGCATAACAAAATATTTCAAAGTTTTCACGGTCATGGAAACCTGGTACACTTTGCATTAGATGAGATGTTGGATGATTCCCAAAATCAGAACTGACATAGCCAACCTTTAATCTGTCAACTTTACCGAATTTGAATTGATAAGGGGGTTTGTGGAGAACTTGAATCTTTTCTAAACATAAAGCAGCGTGTCGAGCAGCAATGGCTTTTCGAAAATCATGGGATAATGGATATAGCATTGAATGGTGAGGGTGAACAGAGGGTAAACGATTTTTCTCAAGTTGTTCACGAATTATCGCAACCAACTTCTTCATTCGAGCTTCATAGTCTGTCCAATCACAGATTATCTGAAGACAATGAGCAAGGTTACAATAAGCATCAGGAAAATCGGGCTGTAATAAAGAAAGAAATAAGATTTAGTCACAAGGAAAAATGAGGAAAAAACAAACCAATAAACTGGAATAATCAGATAAATGATTTGATCATTAGTTGACTAGTCAACTCATATACTATCTAGCAAAATAATATAAAATTCATCATGTTGAATAAATAAAAATTTGAGATTGATATGTGAGGCTTACCTTAAGCTTAAGAGCCGTTTTATAAGATTGAATGGCTTCTGGAATATTACCGGAGTCTTTATGAACAGAAGCAAGATTTGAATGGGCATCAGCAAACGCAGGATTAATTTGGATAGCACGACTATAACATTGTAATGCTCCCTGAATATCGCCCATTTCTTTTAGTGTATTTCCCATGTTAGAATATGCGTCAGCAAAGGCAGGGGATATTCTGATTGCTTCTTTATAGTGCATTAAAGCTTCACTCAATTTACCTTGCTGTTGTAGTACTGAAGCTAGATTGGAATGTGCAGCAGCAAATTCAGGGAAAACATCTAATGCTTTTAAATACAGCCTAGTAGCTTCTTCAATATGACCCTGTTCACGTTTGATGTTAGCTAAATTATTTAAAGAATCAGCATGGGTTGAGCACAGTCTAAGGGCTGTATTATAACAATCTTCGGCTTCGGAGACATATCCTTTCTCTTTGAGAGCATTAGCCAAGTTACAGTAAGCATCTGGATAATCCGGTTGTAATTCAATAGCTCGTCGGTAAGTATCAATAGCCAAGTCGATTAAACCTTGTTCATAATAAACTCCAGCAAGGTTACCATGAATAATGGCATTGTTCGGACTAAGATTCAATGCCCTAAGGTAAGCAGCAGCAGCACGATCAAAGATTCTAGCTTCTTTGAGAACATTTCCAAGATTTATATAGGCATCCAAAAAATTCGGGTCTAATTGAACAGCCTGAAAGAAGAAGATAAGATATAGTTATAATTGCGCTTTAATTTAAAAACATTTAACATACTTTCTCGAAGTGATGAATGGCAAGCCATATTTCACCTTGAGCATTGAAAACGCATCCAAGATTACTCCAGGCCACCGCAAACGTGGGACAAGTTTCAATAGCCTTTAGATAACACGCTTTGGCTTCGTCAAGTCTTCCAATCGCTTTCAATAAATTACCAAGATCACTCCGGACACAATAAAGATCGGGATTGTATTGAAGTGAAGATACATAGGCTTGAACAGCTTGTTCCAAATCTCCAGCAGCAACCAAAGCAGCAGCAAGATTGATGTATCCATCGATGAAATCAGGTTTAAGCCTGACCGCGTGTCTATAATTCTCGAGAGCCTCTTGAAGTTGACCTTTTTCTTTATAAACATTTCCTAAATTTGAGTATGCCTCGGCAAGAAGAGGATTTTGTTTGATGGCCAAAGAACTATAATGGGCTGATTTATCAAGACGTCTACACTGGAAATTGATTGAACTTAACAGCAAAAGAATACTAGTGTTGGTTGGATCTTGCCTCCACAGCTGCAAACAATGTTTTTCAGAACTCTCGTAATCACCAGTACTATATTCTCTGTGAGCCAACTCAGCTAAGCTTTGAAAGGCTGCAGCAGATGAATTGTTAGCCATTTCTTGCAAAGTACGAGTCCTCTTGTTCTTGGGTAGGTCGAACAACATGTGAATTTGATGAACATAGAATTAAAGATAACTTGCAGAATACGTGAAGACGAATTAGAAAATTAAAAAAAAAATATATAATTAATAATAATGATTACATTGTGATGAATGAGAAATTTAGTTAAGTGCCAAAAACGTATATTAGTGGGCTGATACGAACACAAATATCGAGAAAGAATCAGATCTCAATAGATATTGATACTCGATACTTGGAGTCTTTACTTTCTTTCTTTCTCTCTTTCTTTATTTTCATCCTTTCATTCCTTTCATCTTCTCCTTTTCATGACTTAAATAGCTTTGACCGGACTCACGTAGGCCAAATGAGGGTTTTAAATATTTTTTAAACGGCTTACCCGAATTATGTCTCATCTAACTAAATTTTGGGAAAATATCAACCTATTAGCTCATCTATCTTGGTAACAATTAGGTGAAAATATGATCATTCGTCATCTTAAAGTAGTTTTTTTCAATTTGTGAAAAATTGTATCATCGGGCTCATTACAAAAAATTAGATATTACTTGGTTATGCTAATTACCATTGATTAACCGTGTTTCGATCCTAAGTAGTTTATTTTTCCACCCAATATCCGTTAAAGATATACAAACCTGTTTAGAATCCAGAGAGAAACCAATAATGATCTGGGTTGACAATCAGCTGGACCAAATTGTGATGATAAATCGGCTTTGCTCATTAAATCCAATCACTTTTGTCGAAATCCTGATGTCGAACTCCCAATCCAATGAAATAACCACCAAAAATATTGATCAACCATTAAAAGGGATTCATAATTAGCAATCACCATCCTCTTTTTGTAGCACCTCTGATCGCACTGAACTTTCATTTACTTTTATCATCCACGGCTTACAAATTATCCGATTAAATCTAATAGATCGTCTTCTGACTATCAAGCAATTTTGATCAAGGCTAAAAAACATTAACTAACAGACAAACGGATCGAAAAAATTTATATTAAAACTGAACATCTTCAAGGCTTAACATAGTCTTCCTCGATTAATCGTTTCTTATTAAATTATGAACCATGAGGAGAGCTGAGAAATTAATTTTGAGCTGTCTTCCATTTAGTTGAACTGTGACATATCGCGAAAAATCTAGTGGACTTCGCTTTACAATTTTATTTCAGCATTTAGTATTCAAATTCATTTTGTAACCAAAGTTTTTTCTGTTCAAATAGCTTATTTCCCTATTTATCGAGCAACTTATTCTTTGCTTCTTTCTTATTTTATTGTTGGCAAGATCAATTTCATTTCCAATGAGACAAATATTTTTTCATTTTTAATTTTTTATTGTAAAAATTATCAGCATATGGACCTGATTGTTCAATTTTATTTTTTAAATTTTACTTTGACTTGGATCACTCGAACCAGTTCGGGATCCTACATTGCCAGGGAATGTATTCAAATTGAATTTCATTGCAGTGGTGGCTCTTATCTGACTTCTAATGACTTCCATTTTATGAATCTTCAGTGTAATTTTGAAGAATTTCCCGCAATTTTTGATTTGAGAGTATCATTAATCATTGGAGTTATCAAATCATACAATCAAAGAGTGCTAATTTAATGGATTTTCAAGCTTTCTAACTCAACTACCAACCAATAGAAATGAGTGAGATCAGCTGATTGATGGATAACAATTACAATAAATGGTTCCATCTCACTTTCTGAGATCACACCCGAATATTCAAATTTAAATTGAGTCAATTCATTGATTCATAATAATTCATCTATCGGTTCTAAATATTGTATTTAAATTGTTTCTTCTAGAAGTTAATCTATTCAATTTCTCAACATTTAGCAACTTCCAATGATCACCTTGAGTCCAACAAAAGTCATGTTGGGACTCACCAAGTTAAGTCAACTAGTTCAACAATTAAAAAACAGTCGATATCAAATTGAAAATTAAAATGAGAAGTGTCAAGAAAATTACAATTGACAACAGCTTAATCGTTTGCGAGTTGTAACTTAACTGCAAACAATCTTCAGCTTACAACCATCTTCTAATTTTCAAGCTTTATCAGACTGTATTGACTGTGATCTGAGTTTTTCAGCACAAAATTATTGCCCAGCTATCTTGAATATTTAATTTAAGATATTTTATTATAAGATTACAATATAATCATTGACAGACTGATCAAACTGACAGAAAAAAACAAACGAAAGTCCCTTTTGTTTAAAACTTTGGACGGAGGATAATTGATAGAGGAAAAGACTATCTTCAACGTAAGATAGAAAGTGATTACAGGTATTTCGATAGTAAAGATGGAAACGAGATGCTGGAAGTCAATTTTGTTATGATTGACTTTCCCTGAAAATGTTATTTCACTGAATAAAACAAAATTCTTTGATTTTACCTTCTACAATAAATATTTATAAAGAGAGCGACAATTTTTTTGAAAAACCCTCTTCAAGTTTCCTTGGTAACAGTAAATGTTTCAATTTTCTGTTTTTTAGTTGATTTGTTGATTATTTATCCCTTAGAACAATGAATCTAGTACGCTGTTTAAATCACGACGTTGTTAATTCTTAAATTAGACGGATAATGTCCCATTTTACCTGCTCAAAAACATAAAAAGTGGACGTTATGTTTTGCTTTGTTTATCTAATCTTGTTTCATTGAAATGTTTGTAACATCTTGTGGCTTTTGTTTTTAACAGTGTCTTTGTGTTGGAACTTGTGTTTTGTTTCTTGACAGTTATCCAATTACAATAAATATTAGCTGCTAAAAATTTATCACTGTAAATAATTTGTTAATATTCAATTTTTAAGGTTTAACTTTTGTATATTTTGATATATTCTACAAATTATGGATTATATGGACACCATTGCAAGCTTCATCAGTGTTGAGGGCTTTGGTACAGAAGTCATTGTAACTGGCTTTTTAGCAACTGTAACCTTAAGTTTATTATTTTATTTAGTTAATCGCCAGATAAGAGCTAGCGGATTCCAATTTATACACCCTTCAAGCCAGGAGGCTGTGAATAATGCTAGACAACAATTGAATATACTTTATTCTAGTAGATTGGTCTCAAATCGTTTAAACTCTAACGGTGATACGAATGGCACTAATGACACAAATCAAGCCAATGGTGCCAGCTCAAATGAGGATAGCAATGGCAACAATAATCAAGAAACGGATGGTAATCTTAATGGTAATTATAAAATAAGTATCTGAGTGATAATTTTTATAGCTACTCAGTTATTGTTTCTCTAAAGTAATCATGATAATGCACAGCTGTTAGTCACAATCCATCTCATCGATTTTTGTCTTTTGCTTTCTCTATTGTACTTAATTAATCAAGCTGTATCTTCTTTTTGATTTCAATCAAATACGGATTTCATGACTACTAGTGAAGAAATATCTTTCTGTGACAAGTCTACCTTCAGAGATAAAATTTTAGTTAAACAGATGATCTAATAAAGGTTTTTTTTTGTTTTATCAGGTAACTTTGTTCGTCTTAATCATTATGGAGTCGATTCGGCTTGCCCTGTGTGCCTAAATGAACCTGTTCACCCTGTTGAAACAAACTGTGGACATTTATTTTGTGGAAAATGTTTAACTGTTTATTGGAGACACGGGAGATGGTTAGGACCTGTACTCTGTCCAGTTTGTCGCCAACAAGTTTCTTTGATTCTTCGTTGCTTCCCAGAAAGCAATAATTTAACAGCTGAGGAATCGAATGAAGTACAAAATTTGTTGCGAGATATTCACGAGTACAATAGGAGATTTAGTGGAGAGCCCAGACCAGTACGTATCACCTATCCCATTATTGATTGGTTGATTGGTGCCTAACTATTCCTTGTCAGTTCATTTAGTTTATTGGTTTAAATTTAATTTTTATTTAAATTTCCTCATTTCCTCATTTTTAATCTTATTTTTTTTCTCTTCACAGTGGATCGATTATTTATATGATCTCCCAACACTGCTACGACACAGTGTATCTGAGTTTTTCACCGTCGGAGGATTGATGTGGATGTTTCGAATCAGAATATTTTTGTGTTTCATAGGAGCGATTATGTACTTAATAAGTCCTCTTGATATTTTACCTGAAGCAGTCTTTGGTCTTTTCGGTTTTCTTGATGATGTTTTTGTGGTTCTCCTTTTCGCAATATATGTTACAATTATCTATAGAAGATTCCTCGCTAATCGTTGGGAAAATGCCAGCCTATTATGATTCTATACGCTCAAGCTGAGGGATGAAACAGGATTTCCCAGTTCACCCGAAGGAAAATGGAGTCCACCCAAATGAAAATGTTCGGGATTATAAGGTGCCTATAATCCCTTGCATAAAAAATTGTTTGATTAACATCTGTTTAAATTGTTTAAGTCTTTTTTCATTATTGTTCTTGAAATGAGTCAATTGTGATTCAACTCTTCACCAATCGCTGTATTTTCATGAAAATATCAATGAAGATGGTTTATAATCAATTTATTTATTTTCTTCAACATAATCGATTGAGTAAAATGAATAAATCCGAGAGATGGTCGATGGACATTTTTGTTAATTTCATTTTTAATAATTAATTTAATATGTTTGTCGATTTAGCAAATGGTATAATCAGGATTTTCTCATGAATTTGTTTTTGACGATGCATGATTATTATGATTTGGGTTGAAAGGAACAAGTTTATTTCCTGAAATCAAAATCAGATCCAGACCAGCCATGGGTTTCTGGCTTACCCCAGTGATCATTCTTTCCATAGTGATGATGCTCTTCGGTGTGTGAATGTTTGTGGTGCTCTTCATGCTGTTCAATCAAAATAATGAAAATTATATGTTAATTATGTTGTAAATTGTGATAAGTTTTTTTTGAAAAAAATAATGAATTTGTTTTTTTACAAAAGCTCAATCGTAGCGCTTCTTGGATTGATGCTTTTACAACGACTCTGATCGCTATGAAATAACTAAATATTATTTGTTTTACAGTAACCCCTCTCAAAGTGCGACAGTACCAAGAATTTGCCTTGAAAATAGACGAAACTTTAACCAAATAGTTGCATTTTGAGAGGGATTACCGATTAAGATTATTAATAGTTTGATCAACACTTACTTTTTGATTGTGTTTCCCATGGTGCTTGTGGCCGTGATGATGTTTATGATCATTGTCATGATGGTGATCATGATTGTCGTGGTGCTTGTGTTTCTCATCAGCTTCATGCCAATGTTGATGCTGTTAATCAAAATACAGAAAGGTATGAAAAATAGGCAATTTTGATCAATTTTGTATCATTGAATAATTTACACGACTGATTATTAAGAAAACCCATAATGAGTGAAAAAACAAAGTCAACTTACATCTTCCTTTGCTTTGTGTTTATGTTGGTGCTTGTGTTTATGGTCATGGTGCTGTAAAAAGAAAAACAAATTAATATTGATTTATAAACAACTATTGAATTTAAAATATAGCGCAAATTACAGTTGGAACTTTCAATTTGAAACTCTCTTCAGCCTTTACTTTGATGAAAAGGTATAAATATCCTTGATTTGAGAAAACTTGTTAAATATTCGCTTTTCGAGTATTTATACTTAAATTGGTAAAGATCAGTAGATCTTTTTTTATTTAACGCTTTAGATGTCTTGGAAATTTGGAAGAAAATTATGTAGATCAAATGCCGTATGCGAAATCAATAGGAAATAATTTATTTGAGTTTTGGTCAAAATTGAAACTCTCATTGATTTTGAGCTTTTTGATCGCTTATTAGTCAATTTATCTATTTGAGAATTGCAAACAAAGATAATAAAGCAATTGTCTAAAATGTGAAAGAATATATTTCAATAGAAATTGCATTAAACAAAACTCGAATTTGATTAGTTTTATGGATGAAGCATTTTTTAAAATGAATTCTCGCCACTGAAAACTTTCGATATCTCAAGATTGACGCAAAAGTATTCAACGAACTCTTGATTCATTGAACATTTGTTTGAGTTTTATCTTATAAAAGCATCAAAACATTGGAAAGCTTTTAATGGAAAAAATGATTGTAAAATGCGAAAATTTGAGGACAATCAATGCATGATTGAAAAGATCATCAATAGAAATGGTTTTCACTGATAGAACCCAATCTATTAACCTGATCTGATTTGAATCCAATCCAGACTGTTGACTCCAAATGTTGATCAAAATGGTCTACAATTTTCAATCTCAAAAATTACCATTAGGTATGGAAGGTTAGGGTTGAGGATTCAAGTCTAACTTGAGTGTCATTTGTCATTTACAATCGTTTTGACTGAATTTCCTCGTGTTAATGTACATCTTTAATTCAATTGGCGTGTATATGTACACATTTTAGTAATAAAATGAAATGTTTAATCACAAATGAGTGAGTTTTGTTTGAAACTTAATGTTTCAATTTACACTGCTTATTGAACAATACATGCAACAAATATAACCTAACTACAGCTATTTAATTAACCATCGAGACTATATGCATCTATTCATTTACATGTTTTCTGGATCAATTTTTCAATCAATCCAAATCTACTTCTTCAAGTAATTTGCTGTTTCAGTACCAACAATAATAGTCACGATAGTCAAACTTGTTAATCAAATTATCCAACTCATACAAGTTGTACTCTGGTTGATTAGTTCACCTAACAAATAATAGCTGGCTTATTGAATGATACCAACAAAAAGTAATCTTCAAATTACACACTCATTTACCTGGCTCTATTGAACCAATTGAAGTTTCCTTTTTTCGGTAACCAAATGACTGAATTAGCAAGGTAACTTAATTATAATTAGAGATGACAAAGGAGCAATTAAATTTCCGGATTTTCTGGTAATATCAATCAAATTCACAAGACTAGTGATCAACACTTACGGTGAATTTGAGAGTCATGGTTATATTAGTAGTTAAATGTAGATGAACACAATTAACGACAGCTTTGTTTACAATCGCTACGGATAATCAACAGAAAGGATTTCACTTTATCATTACTTGAACCAAGCTAAATGATGTTTAGGATAGGATATTAATTTTTGTCACTCTTTAATTGTGTTAAAATATAATCTGAACCAATTGACTCTTTTGTACAATTTAGTTTGCAAAATTGACCTGTAATTTATATATACATTACTTATTATTTAATGGATCAATGATCATTGGAATCTTGTTACCTGATTAACAGCTAATAATCAATCTTATGTTTTGTAAACAATTATTATGTATTTCACTTTTTCCTTAACTCTACCTTTCACTCTTAACCTCTCTACTTTTCAAAGATTCAATCTACCCTTAATCAATGACAATAATTTTGATTTAGGTTAATAATTTCAACCCTCATTCAACTAATCTATTCTTAATGATTCAACTGATTACACTGGCTGCAGTTATTTCATGAAGAGACAGTTAACTGTCATTGACATCGACAGATAATCTTTGCGTTTTAATCAATCCTTTAATGAAAAAAAAACATTTGCATTTATTTATCTAAATAGGTGAAGTCAATTGATTTATCTTAATTTTGATCTGTTGATCAAAGGATAAGCTAATCAACTTGCAAGTCTGACGGTTAAAGCAATTGACGCTCAAATGCATTTTCCTGCAAACGATGAACTGTAAATTTATTTGTAATTATAGCTTTAATTTGCTTATATTTGCTTATATTTGCTTATTAATTGAATTGTTTATTTCAGTCTCCTATTTTAAATTAGTAAATTGAATGTAAATTATTTGTTTACTAAACTGATTGATTAAAAAAGATACTTTCAAATTGGCGCTCATCTTAAGCGCCATTTCACACATGTTTGTTAACATGTGTTAAAATCGGGTTACAATGGTTTTACAATTTTGGGTTTATTGTCTCGGTAAGTGATTATTTGTTCATTTATTGCCTCTTCCTTAAATATTTACTTTCCCTTGAATTGTAAAAGTTAACCTCTTCTTAATTATCTCACTAATTCATTTAGTCAATCAAAGGATGATTGTGACAACCATGGGAAACTACAGCTGAAGCAAGGTCAATTTACGGTCATCAGGAGGATAGCTCATTGTTGATGGATGAGTTTAACGATGAACATAGGTCACGGGAATTTATGATTGTTGAAATGGTTAACTTGGTCTCACAAGCAGGATTACAATTTAAATAATATCATAAAAACAAATCATCAAATTCTCATCAAGTTCACAATCAGATTTGTAAATGTGTGTGGATATATGTTTGTGTTTATTCATCAATCTTATCTGGACACAAAATCAACCTGATTTTGAAACAACTTGAGGCCAACTATTCGCTGGACAAATAATCGCAGAAACAGATAGCTGGTGTTGCTAATCATTATAAATGATTATGATTATTATACAATGAGTAACATTTACTACGAGTAAATTAAATTAAATCAACATCAACATCATCATCATGACCACCAGGAGCAGAAATAATAACTACAATCACTACCATCAAAATTTACTTTAGGTGTTAGCAAAATTTAGTCCTGTAATGAGTTAATTTCACTTTCTTTACATTTTAACCTAAATGTCTCTATTCATTTTCACACCTAATCCATCATCTGACTTTAACTACACAATCGACAATTAAATTTTCACACTAATGTATCACAGTTTTGGACTAAAATGGTTAATCAATTGTATTCATACGATTATTTTCTGGGAAAGTGAAAAATTTGTTGTGTAAAAGGAAGCAAATTGATTTTACCTCAAACTGTACATTGATTGTTGCAAATTTGGATTAATCAGTCCTTTTGGAGATGAATTTAAATTGTAATCAACTTAACAAATCACATTTTTTACATGCAAACCCATCGGCGATTACATTTTTAATATACACATTAAATGGTCACTTTTGCCAGCTGTCTACTCACCGAGCTATCGGTTTGTTTATAAATACAATCTTGGAACTGGTTCGATGAACTCAATTTCAATTTCTATTAATCCTTCCCAATTGCTTAATCGGTGGATTAACAAGCAAATATAATCATAAATTACTCTTGATTCAAAGCTTTTCTCACGGTAAAACAAAATCTTTCAAAGCTCACAAGACTTTCCTTAAAACACTGTAATCAGTAAAGGTTGACAATTTTGATTCTTACCTCTTGGTGGTCATTCTTATCGTCGTGATCATGGTAATGATCATGGTGGTGCTCGTGCTCATGCTTTTGCCATCCGTGGTGGTGGTGATGTTCAGCTGAAACAATCATAATGAACACTGATAAAGTGAGGAGCACAATAATGTAACCTCTCATTGTGATGATTTTAAATACAAAACTGATGCAACTCTTGATGTTAACTAAATGATGTTTGAATTTTAACTGTTGAAACTCAGATGGAAATGAATACATTTATATATATAAGGAAACATTGAATTGATCAGGATTATCAGAGGATCATTTGGGTGACAATTAGAAAGGCCAATCAAGCAAAGCTCCCCTCAAGTATATATATAAACTCACACAATCTTAATTGTCTTGTATTACTATTTTCATTGGGTTATTAAGTCTGTCTGTTTCATTCATTATTACATTCAAATTACATACTGTTTGGTAGCTCATTTTGTTAGGAAGTACAAATTGTAATTGTTGTTACTCTTGACAAATTGTAACGTTTGGGGAACAGTTGATTGTTATTGTTATTGGAGAAAAATATTTCTCTTATTAAAAGTCAATCACACTAATAAACATTCAATTGTCCATTAGAAACACTTACAACGCAAATCAATCATCAATTAATCAGTTTAACTTGTTTCAAATATCATTTCATTTTTACCCTCAACATTGATCCAACTAGAGCTGTTCATCCCAAAAATAAAGTCTCTAATATAACCAAGGAAAATGTTTAAGATTGAATTCAAATTGATTGTTTAATTGAGCTTGGATGGGGTTATTGTAATCAAGTACAATTGTTGCCAATTACAAAGTACAACCAGAGTGATTATAATCAATTGATTGAGCACAAATTTTTCAATGAAACTCATGCAACTCTAAAACGTATATTAATTTCAACGAAAATATTCGTGTCAAGATTTATCAAGTACAAATTTCTGGTCAACCTTTTTATAATACAATACACTTTTATCAAACAAACAATGGTATTATTCACTATAATTAATTAGTTTATTGTTTACAGGGAAATTTAATTGTAAATAGGGAAATGTTGAGCTTTTTTGGTTAAAAGTGTTCAAGTTAATAAGGTAAATTATTGAGCTTTTGAAAGTTTGTATTGATTTTTTTAGTCAGTTAGATTTAAAGGCAAGATTTGATGGTGAATCAAGTTAACTTCACTTTCAATTGACTATCATCTTAATTATGAAGGAGTGGATTAAGTTTGATTGCTGCAAATTAGTTTATATTAATAAGTTATGGTTTAAAATGAACATTTGTTTAGCAATCTAACCTGAGAAAGTATGAAAGTAAAGAGGAAAAAAATAGTTGCCTTGGTGAGAGTTGAAAAAGTGAGCTTTGAACAACCTCTCTTCATGAAAGCTCACATTCAATAGTGGAAAGTGTTTGTCCAATTTAATAGCTGACCGAATCAGTCGACCGTTAACTATTGACATGTTATTGTTTATTTGATGAAATTATAATTACAGATCATTCTTGGTATCAAATTATTTTCTTGGTCAATAATGTAACTGGACGATTCAAAGTCAAACAGTTTCGCTTGTTACGCTATTGGATACAACAAAGATTGTTTTTTTCTTAATATTCAATAATTTTCCTTCGTTGAAAAAACTGTTTTTTTAATTGTATTTTTGATTCATCTATAACAAATTAACTAATGATTAACTAGTTTGTAATGTGATACTTAAGTTTACCCGTCAAATTGACCTAGGATTTGCATAACTGAAGGATTATTACGAAAAGTGATTCTGTGATTTGATAAATAATGACTCGTGATACTTTTGCTTTTATATTGTTTTTGATTAACGTTCATTTAGTGATTACTGGACGAGTTAGAGTTAAAATTTATGACCATCGAGCTGAACATGATCCAAATACTCTGTATGGAACCGGACCATGGAAGTATAAAGGCTATGGATACGGAATTGAATATCAATATGAGCCTGATGGTTCTTATGGACGTGAAAAAGGTTATGGTTTTATGAAAGCTTTTGGTGTTGACTTTTGTCGGTACAGAAAAAAGTCAGCCTGTCGTTCGTCTGATGGCTCTTTTTTCAGTGAAATGGTCAATCCTGGAGAGCCTTACTGGGGTCATTTATCAGGTGATGTTTTACGTGATCATCTGGAATTGCAAAGTCAATCAAAGGTAGTTCAATGGAAACCCAAATGGATTCGTCATGAGTAATCTCGAATAAGTTGACAAGCTCCATTTTATTTCCAATATTGCACATATTTACATTTGTATATTGTTTATACATTGATATTTCTTTGTTTAACTGCAAACTCATTGGTCAGTCTGTAGATTAATTATGTTCCTGTGAATGGCTGTGAATACTTTTGTCCAGTCATTGTCAATTTAAGTACAATTTACGTCCAGAAAAAGTGATTGTTTGAATCAGATAACTGATTTATTCCGACTTCTATCAAAGATTTGAAGATCGAGGTTTTTGGTAAAAATTTGGTGTATTTTTTATGCTTTTTGTTACAAAAAAAATGTTGAATAAATTAGTTTATTTTTTTAAAACAAGTCAATTTTTTTATATTTGATTAGAAAGTTTTCTAAAAGAATGATTGAATTTTCTCACTTCTTGCTTGAATAAAGTTGATTCATTAGCATTAATGATTCTGTAATTATTTATTGATACTGATATCAAACATTTTGAGGTAAGTGACAAGATTAGGTGAAATGAGGCCAAGGGCAGGAACAAAACGTGTTTCCTAAACATACCAAAAAGATGAATTGATGTACCTGAATGATAGAGTGACTATTTTCCAATCAAGATGGATTGAGATTTATCCGATTTGGGAGTAAATGGCGATCAAAAACAGGAGGACAAGTGAAATTGCCAAAAAAATCGACCAACTCATTCAACCATTTAACATTTGGTACAAGTTGATAAACAAAACAAATAAAAAAGTCGAGAATAAAATCATCTTGTAAACAAATGTCGATTTGTATCGATTAACTCTTTTCCATTCATATAATTACGGAGAACTGGGGGGATAATTATGGCACCATCTTGGTTCTGTCCATACTCGATAATTGCTAATAAGATTCTAGGTAAGGCACAAGCTGTTGCATTGATGGTATGAGCAAATTTGTTGACAAATGGCTCGTTAGTTTCATAATCTGGTTGCAAAACTTTGTATTTTATATTGAACCGACGGCTTTGGTAGTCTGTACAATTCGAGGCAGATGAAACTTCACCCCACATTTTTGATCCAGGAAGATAAACTTGGATGTCGAATTTACGGGTAGCAGATAATCCTAATTCTTCTGGTGGCATATCAATGACACGGCACTTGAAATTAAGTAGGGACATTAGATGTTTTTGAATTTGCATAAATTCAAATAACATTTCAGAGCTATCTTCTTCCCGTGTTAAAGAATACATTTCTACTTTAGAAAAGTAAGGAACTCGATAAATTCCTGTTTCTGTTTTGACTTTGGAGATTTCCGCACGGTAACATCGGCTAACAGTACAATATTTTTTAGGCAACTCATCTTCATTGAATGTTGCACCCACATGAAGACCTGTCAAAGGAATTTCTGATGTACCAGCTAAACAAACATCACCATCAAATGTATCTTGTTGATCTCGTGTCCAAGGTTTATCTTGACTAGGTCCCAAAAGTTTATAAACCTGAGTAGCTCGTCCTCTAGGTTGATAACCACATCCAATAATAGCATCCTCATAGACAATATTAGGTACAATTACTGGTGTAAAATCAAATCGACTGATTAATTCATCCATAGTCCAATCTATTAATGCTTGGTGAAGTTGAGCTAATTCGGCGAGCAAAGCATAGCTTCGTGTACTTGTGACGACACCAACACTATCAAATTTACTTGTCTGTATTATTCCCAGTTTATTGGCAATATTTAAGGCTTTCTTAATTTTATCTTCTTCGACCATAAGGGCTAATCCAAACTCTTCTACAATAAAATCTTCAATATTAGATCCAGCTTTATAGTCAATCCACCTTTCATCCAATTTGTTAGGTAGATGGTTAACATTGGCTTCCAGCAACTTAACAATTTCTTCATCATTGGAACATTTTTCCAATCCTTGGACGAGATTTTTCAGCCTCCTTTTACGAATATTGTCAACAACTTCCTCACGTTTCTCGGGACTTAAATAATAATCACGTTCGATATAATCAAAAGAAGTAATTGAAGAGCCTTCGGGATCAAAACGTTTCCAATCTCTCCAGCCATCAAATGTTGCATTGCATCTTATAGCTGGTGTAAACAAACAATGAGCTAATTTTTTCAACTGTAACCCAACTCTGATAGAATGCAACATTATAAATGTTTTTTTAACTAAATCACATTCATGTAAAGATTAACAAACTAATAAAATTGGCATTATTAATGACCGGCTATCAATGTTTAAAGAGGGCCAAATGATCAATAACCGAATTCTGTATACGGTTATTTTTTTATTTCGCTCTCAAATTTACTTCTGCTGATAACAGAGGGCATTGCAAACAGATCTCAAAAAGATTGTTGTTATTAGCTTTGGCGGGAAAGGTCATTCTCTGTCGCTGCAACATTGTTGATAAAATTCTGATTTCAACATTGAAGTTGAATTTTTTTAATATTTATATTATAATTATTGAAATAAATCCTCTCCATATTATTCCTAAAGTTACTAAATCTCTTCGACCCATTCACTGTTTATTGTGTTTAGCACCATTACTTTGTTTCTATTGTTAATTGTTATCCTTTTTGTTTCATGAAACAATAATGTTCATTCAAGATTTGGGCAAAGAATTTTATGAATTGCTTTATGGACAACGTATTCTAGTTTTAGTCAATTACGATGTTGATGCAACCTGTGCCGCTAAATTATTGTCCAGTTTGTTCCGATCGGATAATATTTTGTTTACCATCGTTCCTATTCTGGATGCTGAAGACCTGTTTGTTACATATACAGCTCATCGTGCTAGTGTAAAATACATACTCCTAATCAATATTGGTGCGAGTCTAGATATTGTTGAATTACTCGAGCCTGAAGATGAGCAAGTTTTCTTCATTGCTGACAGTCATCGACCAGTCGATGTATATAATGCTTACAGAGGCAATCAAGTCAGGTAAGTTGATCGACTTTGTTGCATTCTTGATTTGTGCTGCATTCACGTATATCTGAATAATGTTTTTTGCCTCTTTTCAGATTGTTAATGAAAAATGATGACGCAGGGGAGATTCCAAGTTATGAGGATCTTTTCCGTGACTCCGACGATGAAGATGATGACGAGGGGAGTCAATCTATAGCTGGTATGACTTTAGAACAGTTGGAGAAAAGACAAGAGAGAAGAACCTGGAACGAGAAAAGGCTCAAAATCTTGAGTGAATATCACGAATTCAATTATTATGGAGAATCTGTTGCTTGGACATTTTTCAATCTGGCCCGAAAATTGGGTAAAGATAGCAATGAACTACTCTGGTTAGCGATAGTGGGTATTTATGATTTGCGTCTAACAGGAAGAATAGACCGCAACACCTTTAAGGGTTATCTAGGACAACTAAAAAGTCACGTAAAACGTCTTGGTGATCTGAAAAGCAATGTCAACTTATTCAGAGAGGCAACGCCTATCGATGATATATTCAACGCTCCTGCAGGTCGACGTAGCTGTATATCAGTTACTCATAAAAAGGATTTACAACTTCTCCTTTATCGTCATTGGAATCTTCATGATAGTCTCAAACATACGATGCATGTTTCCTGCCAGTTTAGAGTATGGCATCTTAGAGGATATAAACGACTTCTAGAGTTTCTCGCTGAATTGGGAATTCCATTGAGGCAGAGTAAACAAAAGTTTGCTTGCATGGACTTAGAACTCAGAAAGCATATCCAGGAATGGGTTTCAGATCTGACTGAAAAATACGGTCTTTCCAAAATAATTGATGATACCTTTGAAGCCAGTCATGGATTTAAGTACAAATTTGTTGCCTCTGATGTCGTATACGGAGTAAAAGCACTTTTAGAATCACCCAACAAGGAATTGTCACCTAAAGAGAAATTCATGAAAGCTTTAGATTCACTTTCTTGGACGAAAACAGATGTTCTCATCGAAGGAATAGAGTTAGCAAAGTTACAGCATTCAGCAATCTTGAAAGCTGTTCATGATATCATCGAGATGAGAGCCATCGAGTCTGCTGGGCCTTTCTTGCATACCATAATTCCTGAAGGAGCACCCGATGCCAAATTATTTTCCTATCCTGGTTGCTTAATTGCATTAGCTCGCTTTGCATTAGAAGCCTATGTAGTAAGTGTGAGACGAAAGAGAGTTCTCGATTTACCATTGATAGTCGTGACTCCTGACGTTAATACTCCTGGTTGCTCGTTAGCGGTTGGAATACCTCCAGTATCTCAAGATCCAACGAAAAATTTGTTTGGTACAGCTTTTATTGAAGCAGGAAAAATGATCAACTGTCAAATTGAAGTAACTCTTTATGACATGTGTGTGGTTCGATTTCCATCTGAAGAGAGGTCAAATCTTTTCGAAGCTCTCATTATTCAACTGAGATAATCCATACTTATTGGTGTATTTTTCTTTTATTAACAATTCCTAGTTATACATCATGCATAATTTTATAATATTATTTAAGATTATATAGTAGTGAGCTGGTTGGGGAAGAACAGAACGACTTAAGAGTTCTTTTTTTCAGGATAAAACATATTATTTTTGTATCATCAAACTTCTTCCATATTGTACAGGTTAATGGGAAAATCTTGCATTTATATCACAATATAACTCGAAAAGATAGCATCGCCTACGAGAAAATCTTTTCTATTTCATCTAATCATCATTTTATCAATATACAATTGTAACTTTTCAAATGTCAAACTAAATCAACTCAAACTCGCCGTACTGCGGCTTAAACATGTGGTTAATAATTAAACAAAAATAAATTTTGCAACTGATTATTCTAAATTATTTCCAAAATCTGTTTTATCAATCATTTAATCAGGCATTTATTTAAAAAAATTAAGAAAAGTAAGCCTTTAAATTGTCACTCTTTTGATGTTTACTGTAGATTCTTATTCACACAAGTTTTAGCCAATTACAAATTTTGATTATTCTCTTGAATTTTGAAACACCTAAAATTCTGGTCTAGAAAACTGAATCAGCTAAATAACATTTTGAAATAATAGTCAAATTATTTCTTATTTTGAGCATCATGAATGATATACAGAAAAGCAAACTTTATCCTTATTTGTATTAGCCGGCTAAAAGATAAGCAAGATAAAAGTGAGCGATCTTCCAAAATGTAAACAAAGCTTTGAATTGTTTTTCCCATAAACCTTCAATATTTAGTGTCATCTCTATTTTTCTGTGATAAATGATTTATATTATCCTCATTTAAATATGTATAATTAACTTATTTGTAAATACTATTTGATGTTTTTAGTAAGAATCATCCACTCTCATGACTTCTATTCCTACCAACCAAGTCCATTGGTTTTATCGAAAGAACGAAGCAACTGATGATGAATGGCAGCCATTTTCTAGATGCGATTCAAATCGATTGGAGGATGTGTATCAGAAAACCTCGAATCAGTTAGATGAAGGAAGATTCCAGTCTGATACCAATCATAGACTTGCTAGTAATTTACACAATGACAGTGAAGGTGAAAGCAACAACCAAACAGATAGTAATGGTGTCGAGCCTATTGTGTCAACCAATGGTGGAAGATATGATGTTTACTTGAATTCTCGATGTCGTAAAGCAATTTATTGGTCAGAATCGGATAGCCTAGTGCTTAGAGCAACATGGTTTTATCGACCTGGAAGTAGAATGAGTTACAAACCATTCGATGAAGAAACAGCCTCTATATTGGAAATTACGTATCAGGAATGTCTTCAAACCGGCATTTGGAATCGTAAGATTTTTACTACAGCTGGTGATACAATTGTATTTCATAATGCTAAGGTGTTTGCTCATTATGAAGCTGATCATGCACCATATACCGATGATTGGAGCAACATTACTGATAATTTAACCAAACCAGGAAAGGTTTGGCGCGGTGTTCAAGACCTTAACTTTGAGGAAGGTGAGGCAGATGCTATCGATCATTTGGTTTTTGTTGTTCACGGAATTGGCGAAATTTGTGACTTACGATGCAGAAACTTAATAGAGGTTGTTGATGATTTTCGTCGATTAACCAATAGTTTAGTCAAGACTCATCTATTCGAAGAGGTGAAAAATTTATTAAGAATTGAATTTATTCCTATATCATGGCATTCTGCGCTACATGGAGATGATACTGGTATTGATAATAGACTTAATTTGATTACTCTCAATAGTATCCCAAAGATGAGACACTTTAGTAACGATACGATATTAGATGCTCTTTTCTATACAAGTCCTGTTTACTGTCAAATCATTATCGACACTGTGGCTAACGAGCTTAATCGTGTGCATAATCTTTTTTTAAAAAGAAATCCAAGCTTCAATGGTACTATTAACCTAATGGGACACAGTTTAGGATCTTTAATTATTTTTGATATTCTTTCCAATCAAAAAACTAACTCAGCAGATTTACAAGAAGAAGTGCAAACATTTCCTGACAAGTCACTGAAAACAGACAATACTCTTCAATATCAATCTCTAGATGAAATTTTTGACCATCTTGATCTCACAGAATATGTTGATCGATTCAAGAGCGAAAAAATTGACTCAATCACCTTATTCAACTTGAATGAAACTCATTTAATCCAATTAGGCCTTGAAATGGGTCCAAGAGTAAAGCTTCTGAAATTTATAACAGATAACTCTGTCAATCAGTGTCTTGAAAAATTACAGACTCAAAGAGAAATGATCTCGGACCAATCTATTAAGTACCCGCAACTATCCTTCAATACAAAATGTTTCTTCGCCCTTGGTTCACCTATTGCTGCGTTTCTCACCGTTCGAGGAATTACAAGCTTGTCCAATGATGATCTAGGTCTACCAACTTGTGATCAAATTTTCAACATATTTCACCCCTTTGATCCAATAGCCTATCGTATGGAACCATTGATTGATGAACATTTTCACAGCATCCCTCCATGCCAGATACCTCATCATAAAGGACGCAAACGAATGCATCTCGAGTTGAAGGAAAATCTCATCAAAATGGGAACTGATTTGAAAGAGAAAGTTTACAATTCATTAAAACCTGTATGGGACTCATTGTATGGACTAAAACGAGTTCGAAGTATAACCTCTTTCACTGATAATCAAGAACCATCACCAACTCCTTCTACATCATCGAATGCCAAAGAAGCTGACTTCGAAAGTGATTTAGGAACAACTGACGACGAAGAATCTAAATTGGACGATGAAAATAAAATAATTGATCTATCGAATCTCGATCACCCTTGTTACAAATTCAATTCAACAGGTAGAGTTGATTACGTTCTCCAAGAAGCACCCATAGAGTTTTTCAATGGTTATATTTTTGCACTGGCCACTCACACCTGCTATTGGCAATCGGAGGACACAGCGCTCTTCGTTTTGCGAAATATTTATAAGAACGCTCCTCAATCATAATTAACAATCTTACTTGAATTATGTTTTAATATATCATTCATTTTCAAAGATTCAACTCTGTTTTACTTGTTTTTACATGCAATACATTTTGAAATTTTAATTTATCATTTACCAAACAACCGTTTGTGAACTCATTATTGAATTGGAAAGATTTTCCTTCAATATCCAACAGATTATGAATATTGTGCAGACAAATATCCTTTAAACCTAAATGAAATTTACATTTGTAACAGTGACTGTTTATAAATTAGCCTCAACTCAGATCGCTTCAATTTGTAATACTTAAGCAATTGTTATCCGCAAAATTTTAATTAGTCGTAATTGTTAACCAGAATGCGAAAATTGTCTCTACAAACAAGATAGTCCAATTTGATAATTGCATCCAATAATCTCCTCTGACTTGAGCAATCGACAGTTCGTCTATTGTTATTACACCTTTTCGTTAATTATCGCACTTTATAACCATAACTCAATTGGTTTTACAATTAGCAGCTAAATTGTAAAGCTAATCGATTCTTACTTAAACAATCTTCATTAACAAAAAATCCGTTTCCAAATAAAGAGTTAATGAGATTCACTTATTGAGATAATTTAACAAACATCAAGATCAATGTTTTGTTTTTAAGCTTGATTATTTTACTTCAAGGAAATCTTTAATTATTATTGCTGTGAAGCGATCAAAGTTTAAGCTTAACATTCAAAGGCTGTTAATTGATGAGCTTTTCGCACTTTGGTTAACGATTAATTTGACAACAATCATAAATTATGGTAGCTAAATGTTTCAGCCATTTGTTTGAAACTGATGCTGCTTTTGATGAAAATTTCAACTTCTCATTTTGGGAAGATGATGAAAGTTGCACTTTAAATCATTGAATCTACTCATTATCCAAATAAAACCAATATGGGATTGGAAATGATGAATTTGATTTATCTCTTGAAATGAAAGTAAAATCACATCAAATCATGGTCATCAAGGAACTCACTTTTTTGGTGGAAAACGTTGCCATCATTTCATTATGAAAAAGTTCAAGTTTAGTTTATCAAATTAGCTAATCAAAAGAAAGCAATCCTAATATTGGTTCACAAACCTATTTAAATTGGATAGCACAATTTTCCTGTAGTTTAGCCAATAATCTCAATAATATATCTTACAGTAAATGTAAATTAATTGTTTAATAAAACAAGCGAACTATGGATTGCATTATATCTATACGAACAAGATTTTGAACAAAGAGATTGAATTTGGTATCCAACAATTTGTAAGATTACCAAATTAAAAGTAGAAGTCATTCTGTAATTTTCAATAAATGCCGATTTTAAAATCTTTCAGGCTGATAGATGAAGTTATTAAGAAAATACAAATCGATGGTTTGATTTGTTTGAAATTCAAAAAGGTTTTAGAGTCATTTTTAAAAGATTTAAATAGCTTTAATTGGTCTTGAAAATTGAAAGAACATTTGTTGTGAAGAGAAACTAGCGCATTGAGGATCGTTGATCATGATTGACCATAAAGTTTTGTTAGTAACACAAAAAAAATCATTTGTTCGCAAAAAATTGGTGTTCCAATCAGGATCAACAGTATTGAGGTATTCAACACTGATGATTGAGGTGAAACAAAAGAGAGTTTAGTGAAGATTCGAGGGCGAGAAAAAGGAATGGGGATCTTTTGTGGTCAAAAAAATTAACCTGTGAAAGGTCGGAAACCTGAGTAGACAGGTTGGGCAGCAACAAGTCGAGTTGGTGCTGGACCGAAAGCAATTGGAGCAGCAGCAACTGGAGTCTCTTCGACGGCAGGTGGGGCATTGGCAAGTGCGGTAAGTTGTTCAGCTGTTCGTTGGTTGGTAGCAGCAGCAATTCCAGTTGAGTCTGGAGCAGAGATTGCGGTATCAGCACCAGCTAATGGAGCAGTTCCTGGCTCGTTGGTTTGGATGGAAGCACGGAAACCAGTTTCATCAGCAACATATGAGACAATTCGTTGGCGTCCATCAGCATCACTTAAAGCGTATGAACCAGTTTTACGACCGAAAGCATCACCTTGTTCAGATCGTTGGGAGCCACCAGAGAGTCCTTGTTCGGTGTATGAGAATTGGTAGTTACCGGTACCATCTTCTGATCTTGAGACGGATGAGGATCCAGTTGAAACAATACCAGCAGGGTTGATGACGGCAGCTGAGGCAACAGCGACTAAAGCGAATAAGATAGCAACCTAGGAAATGGGAAATAAGACAAAGAAAGGAACATTAGAATGATTTGAACAGATATTCAGTTGTTTAGGTAATCCATATTGTTGGTTAAATGAAACAAATGGTAATAAGTTAATCATAAATGAGATTAAACTGAATTTAATGTTAAACAAATGTATAACAAGCAGACAAAAAATGACTGTTATTTAAGATGGAAGTAAAAGCGGTTACCTTCATTTTGAATGTAAGAGTGAGTGAGAGTTTAACTTGCAAAGCTAAAAGAGAAAGACAAATCTTAATGAACTGGTGAATGTTTCAAATTGAGATTCCTAATCCAATGACGGAGATCTTTATATCCAAATAATTCTGGGCAGTTATTAAATTAGGAACCTCCTTCAGGGAATATAATTTACTGGACCAAAAAAGGTAAAAATTAACACAAAAAAAAAGAACAAGTCTTATTCTTATAATTATGATAATTATATTGCACCATGAAATCCACAGTTGAATACTGGTACAAAATAAATCAAGTAATTGTGGGCCGAGTTTAGTTTTAATTACAAATTGAATTAATTTAACAAAACCCATAATGTACTTTCGAACCGGTTGTAACAACGAGTTGTACATGCAATAAATTTATGTAAGCGATCCCAACAAGACCACAAAAACTTCGGGGTTAACTCCTCTTGTTAAAACCACATCTGACCTCCTCGTAATATGTAACATTACCTTGTCCAAGCCTCGCCCAATGTATCGAGACTGACCCAAGTCAATTTATCATCCTAATCATCCTGATTCTCATCAGCGTACTCATAATCATCTTCATGATCATCTTGTTCTCGTCTTTTTCCTTCTTTAATTTTCCTTTCACTTTTCGTGTCTTGTGTGTGTTTTGTTTTTATCTTTTGATTTTTCTTCTTCTTCTTCTTCCAATTTCTGCTTTATTAACGATTAATGTTCCTTTTAATCAACAATTTACCTTCGGCTGCAAATGAACTTGCTCTGAATATTGGTTCATTCAGGGGGGGAAACCACGTGAATACAGAATGGTTTTGGGATTTGAAACGACAAAACCTGGAGATGAACCTTGATCAGGTAGAGGTTAAGGTTGAACAGGATCAGCTTGATGAGACCTTGTTAGTTTAAAGGTGAGCACAGATGAAAGATTTGGGTTAAATCTGGTTCAATTTAAATTTACTTTCACTATCCGATAATTGAGTGATTTTCATCGCCAAATTCAGCGTAATCATCTTCATCGCGACTAGACTATTAAATTTTTATTTCATTTTTTTTTACTTCGCACTTTTTCCTTATGATTTTTTTTGCCTTTTCTGGTTTTGTTTATCATTTTTGCTCTGATTTTGGGTTTTACATTTTTTGCCATTTTAAATGGTTACAGTGAATGTGATTTATCCAAATAATGTGGTTATGTAGCAATTTGTTTATTGATTTTGACTGTTTCCATGCAAATCACAGTTTAGTGTCTCCAATTTGATTGATGATTTGTTTTAAAATTTACCTTTGCGTGGTAAGAATACAAAGTGAATCAAATGGTTTTTTTCTTTGTTTAATAGTTTAATACCCTTTGAGTGTTCATAGGATTCATTAATTTCCAATCCATTATTTAATTAATTAACTTCACCATTCAATAATTAATAGCTCAGGGTAATTGAATATGTTGGATCATTACCAATGTGATAAAAGCATCGAAAGGCTTTTACTATTGATTTTGGTCTCAAATTTTTGCTGTTTTTGTTGAACTTCTCATTGAATTGATGGATTTATTTCTGATTATTTATCTCAATAATCTTGACTGGTCAGTTAATCTACTTAAATTGCTGTTTGAGTCATTGCTGGATTTGAATGGACAATACCTAAAAATTTGAAGAAAAGAAGATTGTAATTCAATGATAGAATGACGATTTATAAATTGTGTTTTCCTTGACTTTGGTTGGTGCTTAATTGATAAATTAATGCATGATTGAGTTAGAAAGCGATGGTAAACGATGCAAACTAGTATCATGTACTTCTGATTGTGTCTTTATACTAATATTTTAGATTGAGATCAGTGAATTTCGAATGTCTTTTTTTCTTTAATTACCTTGATTGATTATAATCTGTCATGATACTTTTTTTCGCTTTCCTCAGTCACATTTTCAATGCTCAAATTACGATAATGGTTAATTTTATTGAATTTATTTCGATGTGTCTCAACCAACTCACAAAGAAACTTGTTTACTTTTGTGTTTAAATACAAATTGAGCCACTGGCTATAAAGCTTTTCACTTAAACTGGGTAAATGTGACGAATAGAAGAGGATAAAGAGAAGCAAAAGAAGACAACAAAGAAAATAAACGAGAAGGAGATGATAAAGAAGAAGATGATGAAGACGATTTAAAAGATGGAAAAGATGAGAAAAAAGATGAAGGAAAAGATGAAAACCTTGAGACACTGGGCTTTATCCACCAGTTGCTATTGGAGTTATGAAAATGCCTAAGGCAAGAATGATGAGAGTCAAGCTCATCATTATCATCATCTTGCTTTTTCTCGCTCTCCTTCTTGCTTTCCTCCTCCTTCATCTTCTTCTTTCTCTTTCTTTCTTAGTCCTCTCATCTTAACTTTCTTCAAACTTGGAAATGGATTATTTCGATTGAGTTTCACTTAAAAACACTAAAACGACTCAAGTCCTTGAGATTTATTTGCACAAAAAAATACGATCCCGAGTTAAGCACACAAAAATTTCAAGATTAATCAATGGTTAACACTTGATGCTGATTAAGATGAAACGACAAAATCAATGACTAATCAATTTTAAATCTTGAATCACTTAAAAAACAGGGAGAGAAATGAAATATAATTAAAGATTCTTCTGGATTTGAATTACACTCATTACTGAATAACAAATTAAAAAGGTAAACAAAAATCTAAAACCATTTGAATGGTTGATATTTTAATAAAGAGAGGGCAACACAAGCTTAACTATTACTCTCTCCGATGTTGTTCACTGTTCAATGTTTGTAATCATCAACATTAGCATTATGATTATCATCATTATTATTGTAGTGATGATGAATATAAATTGTGATGTTTTACATTTTCTGGTTAAATTTATCATTTAATAATTGAGTGACTTTATGCTTTTTTATGGGAAAAGACTTCATGAAAATTAACGAAGGAAAATGATGATTAAACTGATAGCGAATCTTTCCATTTCCTTTTTAACTGGTTTGGATTCGCAACTTTTCATTTTCACATCCGATATCATCATTTCTCTCTCGCACTTTCTTTCATGCATGCTGATGATGATGATGATGAGAAAGATAATGATGATGAGGATAATGATGATGAGGATAATGATGGCGATGATGATGACGATGGGGATAATGGTGGTGATGATGATGATGATGATGTGATGATGATGACGATGAGGATAATGGTGGTGGAGATGATGATGACGATGAGGCAATGGTGGTGATGATGAGAAGGATAATGATGGCGATGTTGATATTGCTGTTTTTTTATATGTTGATGTTGCTGGTGTACAAGTTGATGATGACGATGATGATGATGACTCTTTGGTTCAGTGGGTTGATCACGATGATGATGATTATTTATCCTAAACTCCTTCTTATCCTTATAAAAACAAGTTTTACCAGGTTACAGTCAATAATGTGTTAGGCTGATGGTTTTCAACGAGCTCTACTCCTAATGATGATTAACAAATTCAAACTCAAATCCATCAGTGAAACAAATTAATCTGAATAAAAATCTTTTCATTCTATTGTTCACATTTAACCCATTTCATCACCAATTCAGTCTTTAAGGCCTAAAAATGTATTTACTTTAACAAATAAGAGAACCTAAAGGAAAAAACAGAAACACTGAACTGATTATCCAATGCAAGTTCAACCAGAATTCATTGTAATTTATCCAATAGGACAATCAATCTCTCTATTAACCAGAGATTTTTTGGGTTTAAAATGGTTGATACAATAACCAATAAGCAATTGATTATGTTGCTTGGTTGTAATTTCATTGTAATTTGATATTTAATGTTTCAAAACCTTGATTGCTTCCCAATTGTCGTCAAGTGAAGGCGTTTAAATGACCCTGACATGTTAATGATAGTGATGATGATGATGATGTTTTTCTGATTATAATGATAGATCATTATTATATGGTGAAGATGAAGATGATTATGATTATTATAATGTGATGATGATTGGGATAAAAAAATATAAATGCTTTTGTCTCTTGTTTTTACACAAACTCATATTGATGTTAATTGTTTTCCTAATAGACCGTTTGATTGGCTAGATTAGACTATTTCAACAATTGTTTGATTAACATTGCTTCAACAATTAAACTGTTAGTATTAAATCAAATTCAAGATTGATCTTGATCTTGATGAAACTTGAAAATGACCATTGAAGGTAATAAAAAATCTTGTATCCAAAGCTATTGTAAGAGCCTTAACTGTTAGCTTGAAGCAATCACGATTAAACCCGATAAATTATCCAACAATTAGTACCATTAATTAAGCTATTTAAAGTGTTAATTTATTAGGTAATTGAATTTAAATGATTAACTACATTTAGTTTTGAAAGGGTTTGGTAAAAAAGAAAATTAAAATACAATGTTTCTGGTTTATACATTTGGTTAATGGGTTCACACTTCTGGCTCTTTATGATTTGGATACTTTTTTAGGATCACAAATGATTGCCTCAAGATTTAATCACCTTTCAATATATTACTTGATTAGTGACTTTATTATTTCAATTTATCAATTGTTGCATCAATTAAACAATCAGCGAAACCCTAAAGCTATTGTTCCATCAGTAAATATAAACATAACAATGATAATTTATTATCACTAAACAGCTCAACACTTTAATAAACCTATTGTTGTCGTTTAATTAATTATCATCGGTACTTTAACCCTCTATGTTAAACTAATAGTTTCCCATCAACAATTAACATTAATAGGCTCTTGATAAAACCTATTAATAACAATTTAGTAATATCTTTGATTCTGGTGATGGTAAAAATGATGAGATTTTTGTCTTTTCCTCTTTGGATAATCAGTTGACCGTTCAGGTTAGGATCTTTAAAGGGTTTAAAATAAATTTTGGGAAACATTTTTTTTTCATAGATTTAATTTTATCTTTATTTAAGCAATAATTTTGGTTTCAATTAGACTGAAGTAAAGCTTCAAGATGCAAAACTAGGAACTGGAACAATTTGTCGAAAATAATGGGATGCATAATGATTGGGTCCATGAATTTCCGTAGATTTTTTTTGGTAGAATTGAACAAAAGGAGGAAATCCTCAGATAACAGATATTTTGACAAGTTGTTTGAATGTTGGAAAGATAGCGAAATATGAGAAAGGGAAAAAACATTACAAGTTTTACAAGAAAACAAGATGGAATTAATTTTTGTTTGTAATCAGCAATTAAGAGCATCGTGCTGAGCCCTATATTCAATATATTAAACTGGAATGGTTTGGGTTTATCTGAATGTTTTTGTTTAATTGTTAGCGGTGAACAACTAAATTCATAGCCAAAAAACAATTTCTTTGCACAGTTGAGAAAAACAATATTCAAACAATAGAAAGATGACTATTGCGTTAATTGTTTTGTATTATATGTACATGATATTTTTTTTCTTTGTATATGTTAAATCACTACATTAGAGATATGTAAATGTTATACAACTGCATCAAAAGTATTTGTGATTAGTGTACAAGGCAAAAAGTCGAGCGTCTTAATCACAAATAGTTGTATATGCTAGATCACTACAATGGAGATGTCCATGGTTGAGAATCTCATTAATGAACAAGTTCAATGTAGTGGTCTAACAGATTGTGTATTTTGCGTGTGTCGATAAAGTTTTAAACGAAACTAATCTTGTGATTGGTAATGTTAATGTTGCAATGAGGATGATATAAATAATGTATGTGTGTGTGTTATCTTATTTAGAGGCAGGAATAAATGATTGTAAGGCTAGAAGAGATGAGGCAGCAGTGCGAATAGGCTCACTACATTTGTTTAGGTCTACAAGGCATTGATTTTCTACTTTTGTTGGTGTTGTTTTAACACTAAGATCAAGAGCATGAGCTGCAAGATCCAAAGGCTGGGGTTCACAATGAGCATGAAATAGTCTTGTGGGAATCGGTTGATTTCTTGGAGTTCCTTTGGATGGAATTGGTTCCTTCTCTGAATCAGAGGTTTTGGCTAGATCGAGAGGTTGATATTCACTATTTGATTCATCACCATCATAGTCTTCAGTGACAGTGGATAAAGATTTTCTTTCAACTGTTCCAGGAAGTCCGGGAACAGTGGCTACAGTTGAGGTGGAGTTACCAGCAATCGGAGATATTGGAGATATTATTTGACATAGAGCGGCAAGACTTGAGTGGAATTGCCAGGCTAATGTGATTGCATCGACGGGATCTTCATGACCAGAAGCATTAGGTAAAGGTATAGATGGTGGCGGATTTGAGGTTTCGGTGAAACTACAATTGCTGGCTGAATTTAGGGGTTGACTGTGCTTGATTGTTGAACTGGTTGATGTAGCATTGGTTTTACGACGAGCAATTGTACCAATAGTTGAATTACCTCCATTTTGCGATGTTTCACCGAGTGTTGCGGCCTCTGATTCAGAAATTTCATCACTACCACTTTGGGAGTTACCATTAACAGAGGTACCATTGACTAGTACAATAGATTTTATGTCTTTTTTCATTTCGGGATGGAGTCGGATTACATGGCGAATGCAGTTATTTTTTGTACTAAATCCCAATTTACAAAGTGTACAGGAGTATGGCTTTTGACTCAAGGCATGTAAAGTTTTTATATGATGACGAAGAACTTTGTTACTTTTAAGATCAAGATTACAGTGACGGCAAAGAGTATCATTTGGTCCAGGCCATTCAGGACCAGAAATATTTGGTAGACGAGTGTCATTATTATGACGAGTAATATTTTGGATGGTTACTTGACTGGAGTCAGATGTTGGTGAGGATTTTGTTAAACCAGCGTTGAAAAGCATCGAACTTTTAATCTCTGGCTTTGACAATTTCTTGTGACGCTTACGAACATGTCGTTCACAGTTGGATTTGGTTGTAAATGCATATTTACAAATAGCACATTGAAAGGGACGCTCTCCGTTGTGAGTGCGAAGATGGCGTACCAAAGTTGATTTGTCCAAACTAGTATAAGAACACATGTTACAAACGTAATTATGTCCACTTTTGGTATGACCTCGATTATGTCTTTTAAGTGCGTTAAAAGTCTTGAATTCGAGAGCGCAGATTTCACATCGATGATTTGGTTGAGGTACATTCGCGTTCATACTACTATTTTGTTGGGCCGTTTCACCAGTATCCATTTCTTCAGAATTTTCCTTCCCCATGGAACCTGAGGTTCCTGAAGAGTTGTTTTCTGGAAGATCGATTTCCATTTCTTTTTCTCCATCCTCCGAAGGCGATGATGATGTTGTAGCTTCTATTGATGGTGGATTGCTATTTTCTCCATTCATCTTATCAGTATCCTGTAAGGGTAAGGATGCTGAAGCTCTTGACGGCGAACGAACTGATGATGTTGGTGTAGATAATAATCTCCTTCTTTTGAAACTTGTCTTTTTATTATCAAGAGATGACGAATTAGCAAATGATAATAGTGATGAACACGATGTCACATTCTTCAAAAGTGAATCTTTAGAGTTGGTATACTATAAGAGAGAAAAGAGAAATGAGAGAAAATTTGATTAACACAAGGATGTAAAAGAGGAAATTTAGTTCAAGATGTTATGTGTAAAACAAATTGATAACTATTAGTCAAAGAGGAAAAAATTTTCGCGTAAAGTATCAAGAGCAAGAGGAGTCACAAGAATGCGTTTTTGCATCTATTTGAGGTTGAAAGAAAATGGTTAGAAAAAGCGATAGCGTATTATTGATCTAAAATTTGGAACTTAGGCGGTTTAAGATATCTCATTGGATTTAGTATTGGTTAAAAGATAAGGAATAAAACTAAAGGATTGGGGCAAAAGATTAAAGTGATAGGGGGAATTAGCAAAACCGAGTTTATATGATTAAAAATGTCAACTTACATTACTATCTGCTAAGTCATGTTTAGCTTGTTTTTTGACTTCTTTGGTTTTATCGGTCAAAGGACCATCCAACTTTCTACTTGAGGTTTTCGAGTTTACCTTTGATTTTACCTTTGATTTAATCTTTGATTTGGTCTTTGAACTATTAGTGATTGAATTTTTATTAAGGCGATTGAAAGGCGGTTTAGCGTTGCTTTCCAAATCTCTAAATGGTGATGATCCATCTATAGATTGAACTTTGACCAGGCTGTTGTTGATGTTCTTTTTGTGTAATTGAAGCATAGCGAGAAATTGCTCCTTCTCATTGTCATTGCTTAAATATTGCTGATGATCTTCATCATCATTATCATCATCATTAGAAAAATTTTTAATGACGACATCTGCATTATCAATTGAAGGCAGTTTATCAGTGGTAATGGACGGGTTAGTTACGATTGCTTTTGAAAAGTTGATGGATGGAGATGAGGTCGATGATGTTAAGTTAACGCCTTTAACAACAGATGATAAAAAACTATCATAGCGATGTTTAGTTTGATGTGCAGCATACTCTACAGAACTACCAAGGTCGATTTGGCAAATATGACAAAAAGTTGAAGAGAGTGTTGATGGTTTTGACTGGCTCTCAGGGGTCTCCATCTTCAATGAAGTATGATCAGTGGAAATGATTGAAGAATTATGGGATTTTTGCTGGTGCAACGAAAGAGCAGCAGCACAGGGGAATGCCTTAGGACAATTTGAACATTGAAAATTGTGGTAGGGTGAACTTGATTTGCGAATGTTGGACTCGCAAAATGATTGAGCGATTAGCGGATATTTGTGTGAGGAAAAATCAGTGAATGTGAGATCATGGAATCCAATTGAAGCAGAGCCATTACCATTTTGATTATTATCGTTAGGCGAGTAACCACTATCCTTCGATGTGTGATGAGGACTTCGAGGACTATCCTTTGACGTGTGGTGAAGACTGCGAGGACTATCCTTTGGTGTAAGTTGTAGACTTCGAGAACTATCCTTTGATGTTTGCTGAGGACTGCGAGAACTATCCTTAGATTTGAGATGAGGACTGCGAGGACTATCTGGAGCAGCATTTTCATTTGAAGTTGTCCCATGAGTTCTCATGTGTCGGTGCATATTTCCGTTAGTTGTGAATGTCATATTACATATTTTACATTTAAATGGTCGTTCACCGGAATGTATCAGCATATGACGGTCAAGGGAACTAGCCGAGGAAAGAGTCTTACCACAGATCGAACAGGTGTGTGAGTGATCAGTAGGGTTATGTTGGCGAATATGTACTGTAAAAGAATGTTGAGAATCCCATTTTGTATCACAGACAGGACAAAGCCATTCGCCATTTTTCTTAAGATGTCCTTCACTCATAATGATGGTGATGATGATGTTGATAATGGGAACTCAAGAGAACAAGAGAAAGGAAGAGGAAAAAAAAGAGAAAGGAAGATAAAAACAACAAAATAAAAAACTTGAATAATAATAATAATAATGATGATGATGATGTTGTTGATGGCGATGATGGTGATGATGGTGATGATGATGATAATGGGAACTCGAGGATAGAGAGAGAGAGAGAGAGATAGTGAGAGAGAGAGGGAGAGAAAAAAAAGATAGGTAGAAAGATAGAAAGAAAGAGATAGTTAGAGGGAGGGAGAAAGAGACATAGAAAGAGAGAGGAAGAAAAACAAAAAAAAACTTGATATGATGAGAGATGAGTTGAGATGTAGCTTTATCTCTTACTCTACTGATTCTACTCTGACTTCAATCTGATTCCAAGCTCCTCTTCAACAAAAACATACTTTTACTTTTTCCCCATTCTCTCTCTTACTCCCTCACTTAGAGGACAAGGCTTCGTTACTAAGGTTACACTGTAGCACCATCTACATGTATACGATTCACTGCAATTACAAACATAACGGGCGGCGCCAGCATAAGCCGTAGTTCATCTCTAAAGATGTAACCGAATCCTTGCCCGCAACAATAAAATCATCTAACTCACCTGAAGTAAAAATCTAACATTTTCCTTGCGCAGGGAGAGAGAAGAGAAAGATAGTTTCATACTGTATCCTCAAAGTTGATGGTTTTTTTTCTTGTTGTGTTTTTAGTGAATTTTTTCTCCTTCTCCTTCTCATCATCATCATAATCATCATCATTATTGTCATCATTACTTAAACCTGATTCTTCCTTGTTATCAAGCCATTTCTTCAATCGATAGAGAAGATGATGATGTCGAAGGATATACATTAGGTTGTTAAGGTGATGAGGGAAAGGAAAGAGAGAGAGAAAAAAAATGATGATGATGTTGTTGCTGTTGTTGATGATGATGAGAATGATGATTATGATGATTATTATTATGATGATGGTGATGTGAGAGTGAAAATGGAGGTGCATGATGATGATTCCTTTTTTTTCTCTTCTTTTTTTCCTCTTCTCTTCTCTTCACATCGAAATATACATGTATATGGATTTCACTTTACCAAATTAATCTATACATTATCTTAACCTATTTTTTGTTTTTTTTTCCTTCTATTTATTTCCAAAGGTAAACTTCACATTTATTTATGTTGCTTTTCACAACAATTATGGTTAAAATATCTGTCTTTTTTCTTACCTTTGCCTGCCTACTAAAAAAGCAAATGAAAGGGTAAAAGTAGCCAAAAGAGTAACCGTCTTTACATAAGGGAAACAACTAGAAATGATTACATTTTATATCATGAAACACCATATTATTTATCAAAATTATCTTGATCAACAGAGTTTTCTTAGTATACTTAATATGTATATTGTAACCATCATGTTTGTTTAATTATGTTGGATGTTGGGATGATGGAAACAAAAAAACATGACTTGATAAAGAATGAACGCAACCAACACAATTTGCAGCATCTTCCAGTTAAGCTTTTTTTGCTGCTTTAACGACAACCAGGTCACCATTTTTCACTTCAAGTTTTTCACCTCAACTACTTTTACTTTTACAGCTCAACTCAATTCAATTTAATACTTCCTTTAAAACATTTATCAGAAGAAGAAGAAGAAGAAATCAGAAGAAAAAATCAGAAGAAGAAGCGAAAAGAAAATGAAAGCAAAATAAATGTTAACCGATTAGTAATAAACTTCCATTTTTATTTAACAAGACTAGATTTTCAAGATTGAATTAATAGATACCGATCTTGATCTTATTAGATCATTAACATTAACAGATCTTCAATACTTTTTACTGTTGTCTTTGTCTCTAGTTTCAGATCTTGACGCCTTCAAAAGCCTTCACTTTGTGTTAACCTTTTTTCCTTTTGCTTGTGAATTTTGGTTTCTCTTCACTCATTTTTTTTGTCCTCTCTTCTGTTGTTCGTCTGTTCATCTTGGACAATTCATTTTGACTTTATTTATCGATTTACATTCAGGTCAATTGTGTACATTTAATCAATCCATCAAGATCGAAACAAAATTACAAGTTAAAGTTGATAATCGTAAAATTGTTACCATGTCAACTCTATATGTGATGAACTGTTTTTATTCAACTTGTGTGTATTAGCTTGTAACAGCATCTAAACAAAAGTTTTTTTCTCTCTCTTTCTTTCTCCTCTTTTATGTCCATCTGAGTTTGATTATTTTTTGGAATCAATTTTTTGTTACCTGAATTATAATTTCTTAGAAATCATCTTGCAATCATGACTTTTACCTTCTTTTTTACCTTAAACTTGCCAGTTCTCATGGTTCTCATCTTTATCTTTCCTTCTTTTCATCATCATTTTTTAACTTAATTTAATAATTGTCCTCCCATTAGTTGCCTGTTTTTATCATTGTTTAACAACATTTCATTTTCGCATTTTCATATCTTCTTATGCATGCTAAAGCTACTTTTTCATCTTATAATTGTTACATTTCATTGCTACGTAAGTGTACATGTAAATTATAACATTGACTGAATAATCATTTTTTTCTTTCTTCTCTCACTAACCTAGTTTCATCATTTTTTCGTCTTTTATTTTTCTCGTTTATTCAGTCAAATCCATATATGCTGCTGGTTTAACAATGAAAGCTGAGAAATGGATAGCCAAAGGTTGTTTTATTTTCATTCAATATTTCCAATGGAACCACCAGTTTTGTCAATAAAGCAAAGTCTAAAAAGAGTTGATAGAGGAGAGATGGTTAGAGGGATCAATAGAAGTAGGTGGAAGAAAAGTAGGAGGAGGAGGAACGTCTTAGAAGACGATGGAAAAGGAAGGTTTCATCTTTAATGACAATTGGACAAAAACAAATTTTTACTGGAAACGGCTTAAAAAGTGGTAAACAATCTATCTGCTTACAATTTGGGACTCGTTTTGCGTTTGAATACACCTGAGTCAGGCGATTCTCAATCCATTACCTATGACCTTCTATAAGCTTATTTTGTTTGGAGATGAATTTGACCACTTTATCCTCCTCTTGGCTATCCAGAAAGAAAGCATCATTAGAGATACCTTTTTGTTAAGGAAGATAGCAGTCGAAAAGTTAATTAAAGCTGGTTTCTCTCAGTAAATTCCCATAAACCTTGAAGGGTTTTTTCAAACTGGAACCTATTCAAGTGGTTTTGCCTAATCAAGAAAAGTTGCCTTCAATAAATGATGATCATTTTGATGATGACAATGATGATGGTGATGACGAGAAGGAAAAAAATACATTTTTATTTCATCAACAAAATTCGTTCTAATGTTTATCTCTAAATCAAACCTTTACGATACCCTTTCCAATTGGTGTGTTAAAAATTGAGTAGTTTATTTATCAATTGTTGATAATTTACTATTTCATATATCGATATGTTTTTGGTTTCCAACACTATGCTAATACTCAATCCTTTTTTAAATTTTAAAACCAAGGAATAGATAAACTCTTCAACCAGAAACTCCATTGTTGTTTCAATAGTCTATTCCGCATCAAAATAATCCCTAAGAGTAAAAGTATCTTACTCTAATTAACCATTTACATCTCAATTTAGGTATTTTGTTACTTGTTTTAACCCTTCAAGTATTTGATGGAGAAAGAGAGAGAGAGAGAGAAAGTAAGTTAGTGAGTTAGTGAGTAAGTGAAAGTGAAGTTTAAACCCAAAACCAGTTTTTTGATGATCAATGTTTACAATCAATTTCATTGAAAGATGAAACATAAGTTACTAAGTGAGTGGATCAGTTGAGGCTAACCTGAGGCTTAGTTTTCAATTCAAGACTCATTTGATAAACAGTGACCTAACTGATAATAAGCCTTTAGTCTTATTATCACTCTTCATAATAACAGTTAATTAAGCTTCATTGGAGCAAGATTCAGATGGTTCATCTCGAACAATTTACTTACTTCCACTGCGTATTAATTGTTACCTCAAACTCTAGTTCCAGTCAATAATGATTGATTTAGTAATGAGAAATTAATTTTTTTTGCTCTTGATATGTTTTCAAGATGCAATTTTGATTCTATCTTTTGTATTGCAATTCATTACTGACCAATAGATTGATCAACATTTAAGCTGAGTCCAGTGACCATAAATTTTAGGTTTTGTGTCTTCATCATTGAAATTATTAACACAAATAACCAATCTCAACTTGATCCTATCTAAAGACTATTAACTAATCAATATTTTTGCTTTCACTTTCCTTTCCTGTTAACTTGTTTTGTCAATAATCAGGAGACAATTTGACAACCGAAAAGTGTCATTCTGTATCCTTTTCACCTTATATCCCAACAAAAACCATCAACCCTCTCAACAACTACAATTACAATTGAATGGTGTTAACAATCATCAGTTTAGTTATACATACAAATTGAAATAATTTTAATCACCAACCATTAAGCCATTGAAGATCAGCTTTACCTGAATCCAGAAAACCTCTCAAGCTCTCACATCAACATTTCCAACTTCAAATATTCCAATTTCTTTTGATTCAGATTTTATAAATCTAGTTGTCTATTTCAATAAAATCAATCGTCACAATAATAATTTTAATTTGTATTGAAATAATTCAATCATATTTTAACGAAGCTCATTATAAGCTCAATTATTTCTTCCAGGCTTGATATCACAACATAGTTATACTCAATTTAATCATTGGTGATCATCTTAATTCTTAATTTTATTATATTTTGTAGGTTTAATCATTTTTTACTATTTATTTACAATTTTAGACAAATTTACTGTTAATCAGTTTTTACAATAACCGCGTAATATTTTAAAGGTGTTATCCAAACAGCATTACCATGCCAACAACATATGGCCTCACATTTCTGACTTTTTGCTTAAAAATATATCTTCGTCAGAATACTTTATGTTTAGTCAAAATTTAATTGTTCTCTTTTTTTCGTTAATTAATTTATTCAACTAACCTTTTTATCCTTCCCTTTACCATTTTTTGTATAATCTTTCATCTCTTCTTCCCTGTTCAATTCTCATCTTCATCATATCTCATACCTTCTTGCTGTTAAATTCATTTGTACAGATTTACGTAGAATTTAAACAGCAACTAATTTCACCTTTTTATTACATTTCATATTACTATAAATAAGTGTAAATATATACATATTTATAAAAAAAGTCATTATATTTTTGTTTTCACTAAGCCAATTTTTGTACAGTCAAATTCACTATGTCCTGTTGGGATAAAAGGAAAATAGCCAATGGTCTATCAAAAGATTCCAGTGAAATCAATCCTGCCACTAAAGATGATAAAAAAGGAGTTAATGGAACAATTTTAATCAACAAAACTGGAGAGGAAGATGGAGACGGAGATGGAGGTGGAAGGAACAGGTCGGAAAATGGAGATTTTGGCGAAGTATCCTTTGGAGAGATTATGAATGAACAATATGTATCTTATTTGATGGAAAAGGAGGGATTACCAGGTGAAAAGGTGGATTTATCACCTGATATCGTTGAGAAGCAAGTTAATGGTGGTGATATATTGGTTCCAATGGAATCGCTCGATTTATGTGCTTTACCAATTCCTGCAGATGAAGAATCTACTGACAATGATCTGCTTTTGGCTCAATTGCTGCAAGAAGAGTTTGACAAAGAGTTCAATGATCACCTTGAAAGGTATCATCAACAATTACTATTGCCTTTCCTAAGCCTTCTGTTTGTATCTTAGTAAGAGAACGATAATTTTAGCCTTTAGATTGTTCTAATGTGTCTTGTCGCAGGAAAATTTCATTGAGCCCAATTTTGATGTTTTGATGCATTTCATCATCTTGTTAGATCCACCATCTTTTCTTTGCCAATCATATGCATATTTCATTGTTAGATTCTCTCTAATGTCAGACTAATTCAACTTTCAACTTATATCTTAATTTTAATTTGGATAGTTTAATTTTGTTCCAGGTAAGATCAAAGCCTAGGAATTTTTTTCTTCCACATTGCGAATGAAATAGCCACTCATCACTTTTTATCATTTTAAAAGACTCTTATCTAATTAGGATTTTTCCTCCATGTTTTTTCTTCATGTCTTCTTCTTTTGTCATTCAGCCAGGGGAAAGATTTGACCACCAAGTCCGAAAGTGTTGCTGTTGCATTTTGCCCTTCCCGTCGTGTTCCCAACGATTCAACAAGTGAATCAGAAGCAGATGATGCAACTCCAGGGGCTGATGACAAATATCGTGATTGGGATTCATTTGAAAGTGCTGAAAAAGGCTCTGCTGCTGTAACACTTGGACGTAAAGGTTTTGCCAAAAATGCTGAAGGATCTTATACCACTAAGCATGACCCAACAGTTTGTGGTCGAAGAAATGCGTGCCGTGTTATGGATTTTGATGTTGCTGTTAAAACTGGTAAGCTTCGTTTTTACTCCTTCATTTTTTGCTGTTCATGACCTTTTAACTCACTTAATATTCTTCAACTTCTATTGTGCAAAAACAAGTTTTACCGAAACTCATATCCAAGACCTAATTATGTGATATAATTGTTGAAGAAGAAAAAACTTGACTCTTTCTTTTAAACACTTCTACTTTCAACTGTGACTTTTGTCAAATTCTAATTTCCTAAGTGTTTTATCTTCTCATAAAAACACCTTTATTACATGATTAACTTAAGAAACATTCTTATTTTACCGTAGGAGATGGTGGTGGCTTTGATATGAAATTGAACAATAATGTATTCAACGCTCTCAAGGTTCACTCAAAGAAAGAGAGTAAACGTGCAGCACGACTTCGACAGGCTAAAGAAAAATCTACAGTTGAACATGTAATGGACGAAAAAACTCGACTTCTCCTGTATAAGTTGGTCAATCGGGGTATCTTGGATGAAGTTAACGGTACGATATCAACTGGAAAAGAATCACATGTTTACCACGGTATTGGTGGTGATCCTGAGAAACAAATTACTTGCGGGGAAGTTGCCATTAAAGTTTACAAGACAACTTTAAATGAATTTAAAAATCGTGAAGCTTATATCAGAGATGATCATCGATTTAAGGATAAATTTTCTCGTCAAAATCCTCGAAAAACAATTCATTTATGGGCAGAAAAAGAGATGCACAATTTAATGAGAATAAAAAGAGCTGGTATTCCTTGTCCAGAAGTTGTTATGCTTAAAGATCATATTCTTGTTATGAAATTCATTGGAATGGGTGGTAAACATGCTCCATCTTTAAAAGATGCTAAACTATCGCTTTCTCAGTTGACTCAAGCTTACAATGATGTTGTTCAGGTAAATCTTTACGCTTTCCTATTTTATTTGCGTTGCTAATTAATCGATGTCAATGCTTAATTTTTCCATACTTATCTCTTCTCTTCTATCTAGATTATGAAAAAGATGTATGGTAAATGTGAATTGATACATGGTGATCTAAGTGAATATAATTTACTTTGGTATCTTAACAAAGTCTGGGTTATCGATGTTAGTCAATCTGTTCTAACAAATCACCCTTTTTCACTTCATTTTCTCTCTCGAGACTGTCTCAACATTACCAAGGTAAGTTAGGTTTGAAACTTGCAATTAAGCAAGAAAAACGAACTTGAAATAACTGGTTGTTCTTTAATACATTATTTCTTTTTCCTCTACAGTTTTTTGAAAAATGTGGCCTCCAAGAGATGAAATCAAGTGGTGAACTTTTCTATGAAATAACTGGAAAGGAACTAGAGGGAGATGATTTAGGAGATATTGATCACCTAGCCAATATATTAGACTATGAACGTGATGTGGAAGTGTTGACTTACGGAGTAAATACAGAGGTGGATAATTTCAACGAACTGTTTGAAAGAAGTGTTCTTGAAAGGGAAAATATGGCTAACGGGAAATCTATTCAACCTAAACAGAGCGTAAGCTCAACTCCTTGTTCATCATCATCAGCTTCAAGGAAAAAAAGACCATCACATTGAAGAATATTTAAATTAAAAGCAAGTGAGGAAAAAAATGATAAAAATCATCGAGGTACCACTCAATACCATTGAATCTGAATCCATTAAGTTGGGTTATCAATGTAATCACACAAACAAAAAATTACCAAAAAAATTCCCTCTATTCATGGTGACAAGAATATAGTTGTAAGTTTTTTGAACTGGAAAGTTTAAATTAACATCCGATAGAATTGAAATCAAATGATTGTGAGCAACAATCGGTCAAACTTGCTAGTTTGTCTTTCTATTGGAAAACTTGACTAGCTAAATAAAAATGTCAGCCTAATTCAGGTGACAAATGCAATTGTTGTAAACTAATTATGTCTCTATTTTTCAATTATTTCACCGAAATATTATTCACAATCGCTTTAATCTTGAATTGATTTCAAATCAATCATTCAATCTGAATCTATTCAAAATTCCAATAGATTCGAGTGGGCCTTATAAATCTCAAGTCATGATCAATTTATCTATCATTTCACATTTTATTCGCTGATCAAGCAAATGACAAGCCTTACATACATGTATTTAATTTCTTGATTAGATATCTCGCAATGACTTAATCTGTTTTGTTCAATGAATATCAACTGATCAGTGATCAGTGATCATTGATCAATATCAAATTGATCAATTCTGATAAATCTATTATCAATTATGGCAAAAAGTTACAGATTATCGCCAAAATCTAGTCAGTTGATTGTTTATCATAATTTTAGTCAACCAATTTTAGTGCCTAAACATTTCTTTGTATTCTGATTAACGGATCAAACCATCAGAATTATTAATTTGCCAAAAAGTGACTGACCCTCTTGATTATTAATAAAGATGAAAGTTAGTTTATACAAATTACTGTTACTTATGTCGTGTCTATTACTAACTTGTTATTTTATTACTTAACATCAAGATATCTAAGCTTCATAGAAGAACTTATTTAGTCAATTAATCACACTAATCTCTGATTATTATCTCATTTACGTTAATTCTTGATAACAATGATAAAATAAATGCTTATTTTAAGCTTTCAATGCTTTGGATTCATATAAAATCACCACATTTGGTATAATCTAGCATTTATCTATGTAACTATCTTTTACTCAAAAGATATAATCTCATATCTTTATGGATTCAATATAACATTCAACATATGATTTTTATTTTTAATCATGTGACTTTCACCTCTCGATCAATAAAATTGATTGTAAAAACGGTAAATATAAAGGTGAAAATCTCAAAAGTCATCTCAGTTAATAGCAATACTAGCAATTAGTATTTAATTGACAACTGTTTCAATAGTTTTGTGTACAAAAGTCTTATGCATTAGACTAGTATTTTCTGTTAGTTTGGGTTCAGCCATTTCTACTCTCTCTTTCACAACCAACTTCATCATCGTTCTCATCATTACTTTCACCATCATCATCATTACCAACAACATTCAATAATCGTCATCAACATCATACTGTATTTTCAAGTGAAATTCAAGGCTGTTCTCTCGAAAAAATTTTGCTTGTAAGCTTTGAGCTTTTTCATGGTAACCTTGATCATCAACTTAGGATAACACGTTTTCCATCCTTTAATTCTTTTCTTTTTGTTGAACCCATTTATTGTTTAACTCATATTCAACACAGTTTAACTCATCAATATGGCTAACCAATTCAATAGATGTATCAATTTCTCTGCTGGCCCATCGAGATTACCTGAAGAAGTTAGTAAAAATAGTTTAAATTTATCAACAAGAATAATACTCATTGTACTTTTCTCTTTATTTATTGGATAGATTTTGGTTAAAGCTGCTTCTGAATTGCTGAATTATGATCAATCAGGATGTAGTGTTATGGGTAAGTATCGTTTTCTATTCCAAGTATTTCTTGTCCTGACCAGATTTAGTTTACTAACCTAAATGACAACTTTGATGGTGACAGTTGTCAAAGTTTTAATTCTTCGCTATCCATCTTAATCATTAACTTTGGTTAAAATTATTGATTAATATTGGGAATTACTGTTATCCAAACAAATTGTCAATTTTCTTAGCATATCTGTCTGTCTGATTTTTTGGATTGCTTAAAGTCTTCTAACAAATGGTCTAATAATCGTAAAGTTCAAAGAGTAAAGTACTCTTGGGTAAAGTTAATCTATTTTCTCAATTATGTTTGTTTTCATTTTTTTCAGAGCTCAGCCACAGATCAGCGCAGTTCGCAAACATAATTACCGAAGCTGAAAAGGACTTAAGAGAATTAATGTGAGTTAAATCAGTTATTTGTATTATGTAAGTTTTATATTACAATGTAAAGCTTAGGAACGCGCAATGAGCTTAGTAATAAGACCTGATTTCTGAAACATTAGCCAAGTTTAAACAATCTCAAAATGTGTTTTTTCAAATTAGATAACAATTTATTTTAACATCTTCATTGCACCTGCGATTTAAAGCTGTTATTTATCCTTGATAATTGTGTTATGGTATTATGGCATCCTTGGTCTTATGTAGTAATATTTAGATTGATGAACTTCGTACATTCACCTTAGAGATTTTTTGTTTTTTTTAATCAGAGATGGTCTCGAGTAAAACCTGGTTACTATGCTTTGATATTTCTTTTAACGATTTTTCTATTTCATTAGGTCAGTGCCAGACACCCATGCCATACTTTTTGTCCAAGGAGGAGGAAGTGGCCAATTTTCAGCAATCCCTTTGAATCTCCTCTCAAATAGCAATGAATCTGCTGATTACTTGATTACAGGAACTTGGTCGGATAAATCCTACAAAGAAGCTCTCAAATTTGGGAAAGTAAAATCGGTTACTCCATCAACCAAGGTTTACACTTCAATTCCTGACCCTTCAACTTGGAATCTTTCCTCGGATGCTAAATATTTTTATTATTGTGCCAATGAAACTATTCATGGTGTTGAATGGCAAGAAATACCTTCGAATGTTCCTGAAAATATTCCATTGGTTAGTGACATGTCATCTAATTTCATGACTCGAGCCGTCGATGTTTCTAAATTTGGTTTAATATACGCTGCCGCACAAAAAAATATTGGCATTGGCGGATTGACTGTTGTTATTGTTCGTAAAGATTTATTGGGTAAAGCACAACCTGTTACTCCAATTGTCTTTGACTACAAGACAATGGCTGACAATAATTCATTATACAATACACCACCCTGTTTCGCGTAAGTCATTTCACTTAATTTAGCCCATTATTATTCAGCCATTAACAAAAACATTTCCAATTAACAGTATCTACATGACTGGTTTGTATTTGAAATGGATCAAAGAGAAAGGTGGATTGAGTGCTATGGAGGAAAATAGCAAAATCAAATCAAACATGATTTACAACGCTATTGAACAATCTAATGGCTTTTATTATTCACCTGTTGCTGCAAATTGCCGTAGTCGAGTCACCATTCCATTCCGTGTAGGTGGATCCAATGGAAATCCTGAGCTTGAAGCCAAATTCTTGAAGGAAGCACAAGCCGCGGGAATGATACAACTTAAAGGTCACAGATCAGTTGGAGGAATTCGAGCTTCATTGTTCAATGCCATTTCTATCGAAGATACAAGAGTTTTAGAGCAGTTTATGATAAACTTCATGAAAGCCAATTCTCAATAAGCCTTCGATAAAATTTTTGAAATTAACATTTGAAATTTTGACTAAAAACTAATGCTTTTTAGAATAATATTTTGACAATTTAAGAATTTTTTTGTCACTTTGCTATTAAATATTACTAACATTGAAATAAGGCAACTTGAATAATAAGATTAATTTAAATCATTAATTAAATTGATACAAGCATAGCAATTATCGCTTAGCTCTAAACCATATTAGAACGTTGTAAAAACGTTTCTTTTATCTTTTTAATTTTTATTAACAACCAGCTATAATCACCATTTATTATCGTCTACTGTTGAATTTGCTTTCGAAAGAGACGTTGTAAGAGTATTCAATGACAGGTAAGTTACGAACATAATTGTAGTTCTCGACATGAATTCTGGTTGCCTTGGTTTTGCCTTTGCTTATTATTCATTATTTTTTATTATTTCACAGAGAAACTGTTATACAATAATGTAAGAATGGAAGGTAAAAAGACTAATAAATCCAAATCCTCGCCCAGATTTACTTGATAACACTGCTAGTCCAACTATTTTTGATGGTTCACGTAAAGAATTTACATTTGATCACTCTTGGTCTTTTGATGAATTTGTTATCATGTATCTTTGGTTACTGTACTATTGACTTTGTAGATGTTTTTTGTTCTTGCCATTCGCCAGTACGCGCTAAATGGCAATAACAATCAGAACGATTGCCGTAAATACTCTGAACATTGTACAGAAATAGTTTTCTAGACTAAATCCTTACCGGTGATAGTTTTGGTGTTTTTTAAATCAACTTTTACCATATTGGTATTGTTAAAGTGGAGCTACAGTTTAAAACAATTCTTGGTGTAGATTCTAGAATCCAATGCTGTAGGTAACTTTGAATTATTTTTTACAAGATGTGTATATGAAATTGCATCGATCAAGATAATTAATTTTTGGCTGGCTAGTATTAGATTTTATGGATTATTTTACAATTTTTATAGAAAGCAATGAAAGGGATAACGGCACTGATTTATGAATCAAAACTGATCACATTATATTATAATTTCTGGTTACTCGAACTCGTTTTCAAGATGGAAAAATATTCATTTTCCAAAAAGCTTCATTGATCTAATAAGATTTTGAGAGATATTGGCGATTTATGGTTCCACTTGATTATGTTTCCTCATTATCATGAATAGTTTCTTGATTAGGTGAAATTTTCTTATCAATTTAAGTTTACTTGCTCTTCAAAATTCAAATTCTGAATCATGTCTATTAATGATTTGCAGTATCATTTTGTGGCGCCACTCAAATTATTTTAGTTTTATCAGCTTTACCCGCAGTAGTTTCAGAAGTATCATTTCTATCGTATCATGTCTATAACTAATTTATGAATCAAAACAAGTTTCTTTGAATTATCAATCAGCAAATAGTTCAATTGTGATTTTCATATTGGACCATTGATATGGATTATTGAAATACATTTAACTCAACAGTTTATATTATTATTGATTATTTATTTTATTACTTTTTTAAAAACAATTGTTGACAATAACAAAGGCCAGTTAACAACCAGCTCATTGGCAATGGATAGTGCCAAAGACTTACCTGGATATGGAGACACTTTTTCCTACGAGCGTCCGCCTCCATACGATGCTAGTTTTGGTACCACAGATTTTGGTACCGGGCCGTCAACTTTTGTTTATGATCAACCAGAATCTAGCTTTGATAAAACTCCAATTCCAAATCAAACCCAGCCTTACCAATCAAATAAGCAGTTGACAGATAACCCTAATAATGGTAATTATTTAAATTATTTACATCGTTCCTCTTCTAATCTTGGCCATTAACCAATCTTGATCTAAACCGTGAATTAAACCATTTTAATTTCCCTTTTCAGTGCCAATCAACAAAGTCCCGCTTCATATCAGCGATGAATTCGGACCTTACAGTCAGAATGCTGTCTGTCCTCATTGCAATCAATATGTTGTGACAAAAACGAAACATATCCCTGGACTAGTGACATGGCTTACTTGTTTGGTCTTTTCTTATTTCGCCTGCTGTTGTTTACCATTTTGTATGGACTCATGTCGTAATGTTGATCATAAATGTCCAAATTGTAAGCAAAAGATTGGTCACTACCAAAGATACTGCAAGTGACGCAGTGATGAGTGATTCATCAAATGTATCATTAACCGGAAGATAGAAGTCCCCAGGACTCGCTGATTTTTCTTATCAACGAGATTAGATGAGAAAATGACCCTTTATTTGAACTTCTCTGATTGTCTGAAGTTCTTACAGAGAAATTGTTGTATCATCATAAACCGGCTATGATTATACAAAAATGATGCTTAGGTTTTGACTTGAAAGGATGATTCGCACAAACATAAATCCATTCATATTTTGACTGTTTCCTTGTTAGCTTTAAGTGTTCTGAGCATTGTAATTGTTGAGATTCCTGTAATTTAATCATTAAACCGGAAAAAATGTTTTCCTAAAAACTAATCTCTACTTTATACTGATTTACTTTGTCTTAATCGTTTCTAAAGTTCCACTCTTGAAAACCTAGACTGTTTAAGTGCAGAAAATTATGCCAATTGATTGTATTATTCATAAATCAAAGGGTTTAATAATAATAATTAATTTTTGCTGAATAAAGAGCATTAAGCAATTAATTTATTTTGAATAAATTTGAATTCGAGTATTTATGGCGCCACTATTTCTTGTAATATTTGCTTCTTTTGCAATTATCTTCATCTTTCTTCTGAGAGAGTTACTCCTAAATATCTGACAGAAACTGAATGATAGATGTTCTGACTATTTGCCAATCAAGATGGATTGAGATTTATCCGATTTGGGAGTGAATGGTGATCAAAAACAGGAGGACAAGTGAAATTGTCAAAAAAATCGACCAACTCATCATTCAACCAAACTAACATTTGGTACAAGTTGATAAACAAAAAAAGTCGAGAATAAAATCATGCAAGCAATCTTGTAAGAAATGTCGATTTTTATCGATTGACTCTTTGCCATTCATATAAATACGAAGAAATGAGGGGATAATTATGGCACCATGTAATGTAATCATGACCAGTGGGGAAAGGTGCTCTTGAAGGTATCTTTGCTTACGGTCAAACAAGTTTAGGAAAAACCTTCACCATGACTGGATCTCCTGGTAATGAAGGATTGATTCCACAAATATGTAAAAATTTATTTGTTAGAATGAAGATGGAATGAGAGCTCATATCCAACAGAAGTCGTTTCATTTTCCAAAACCAAGACTCCAGATCTTTTTGGGACAAGCAAAATAGCTCAAGTTCGAACATCTAGAAATCTACAACGAAAGAGTTAAATATTTACTTAGAGCATCAAAGTTTATAATTTCAGATCTGAACTGTTCACTGTTCAACATGCCCGTTGTTGATGGATCATCAAGCTTGAAGTTGACTTTATATCAATTTAAATAAGACGAAATGAATGAATTTGGAGCATCAGAGCTAACATTAATCTTAAAGGATTGGAACAGACTGCTAGATTGATCTCAAATAATAATTAGTTGCTTGCGTTTCAATACTTTTCGGACCTATTGTACGTTGAAGCTATGAGGAAATAACATGGTTCAACTCAATGGTCCTGAAGCTACAAAACTGCTGTACAAACAAGCTGAAAACCGGAAAGAATGAGAACTTACAATTACTAAAGTTATCTGGAATAATAAAAATCTGGCTGAAATTATCAAGAGACAGATTATACGCAAAGAAAAAATGATTAAAGAGAATAAACTTATGTAAAGAATTGAAACTGAAACTGAACTCAAAATGATTTATTGGCTAAATTTGGGTTGTAATTGAAGTGATTTTTGATTGATCGTATACAGATGTAGAAAGAATGGAACCAGCCTTTCTTTCCTTGATTTTCTTAGATCTCATGATAAATTATTGGGCATTGCTTGATGTACCTGCCTCATCCGAGTGATTGGAATGTACTCACGGGAATCAGAAAACCGTTGATGATTTAGAGAATCGTAAACAAAAGAGGAACCCTGATGGATTTGAATAAATCCAGTTGTATCAAACAAACAGCTTCGGATAAGACAACAGCAAGATTAGTTTCAAATGCTGATTTTATTAGCGTCTGCTTCTGCTTGTTTCTAATTTTCATAATAAAGTAACAATATACAAAAGATGAATTATATCAAGAGTGAAGCATAATTGGGAAACATTGTTCATCTTTTTTTTTCAATTGCAGAGTAACTGGACAATCTTTGTGAGCCAATAGAGCTGTTTTTAATTCAGTCACTTTCTTCCGCAAAATGGCAACTTCACCTTGTAACCTATCGTTTAGCTTTTGCATTTCATCAGCATTGGCTTCTAATGCTTTGATTGCCAATTTCCTCTTTTCTCGGCATCTCATAGCAGCAGCTCGATTTCTTTCAAGAGATCTGACTTTCTTTTGTCGAGGATCTTCTTCAGGAGCAGACTTGCTTTTCCTTCCGGGTTTCACTTTGGCTCCTGAGGTAGATTGAACAGATAACACTTGACTTTCGCAGCCACTATCGCTTTGAGAGCTAGATCTTGAGTCTAAGGTGGATAATGATTGACTAGAGTCACTCGAAACTTCAGACACGGTTCTCTGAACCATTGCAGTTGTCAGTTTAATGTCATTACAGGAGGATGATGTTGTCAATAAAAAGCCTGACTGAGCTGCGGCTGCAACATTGGCTAGTTTAATCAAACCGTTTCCCGATGAGAAGGAGAGCGTATCCATAATGGAACACAAATCAAGATATTAAATACAATTTAACATAAAAAAAGTTTAGATTATGGTCTGTTTCTGAGTGGATAAAGCATTGGAAAATTGATGAAAAAAAGCTCAAAATTACAATGAACCACTCCAACAGATATTTCTCAATCTCGATATATCGGATGCAGAGAAACGATAGTATTAGCTGATCTGGTTAACATCGTACTTTAAATTATGATTTTCATTTTCTTGGTTTAAGGTTTCAATTCAAACAAATTGCAAAATTATTAAGAAATTAACAAAATTCTGAAGTGCTTGAATTTTCGATCAATAACCACGACTGTAAAAAGATTAATAGTTGCAGTGGAAATTGAAGCTCAATTAAGGCTTAAATGATAGGCGATTGGCAAATTATCAAAAAAGTATCAAAAGCAAAGAGAAGAAGCTGAATAGTTCAAATATGAAGTTTTTATAATTCATGCCGAGGGTGAAAATTGCAAATAATTGATGAAAAATTAACGAGAAAAATCAAAGAAATGAGCTTTTGCAAAATAGGACGAGTAATAATGGATATCACTGATTGTTTGAATAATGGGTCTTTATTTGGGCTTATGGCATTTGTTTTAATAACTTTGAATGAAAAATTATCATTGGCAGATTATTAGAATTGTAGATTGACAAGTTTATTTCTTGCCAAGCTTTTTGCTACCAACACCAATTGGTCCCCGTGATGAAGCTTTAGCCTGAGCCTCTTTCAATGCTTTCTGTTCTTCTCGGAGCTTTTGCTTCAAGGCAAGATCATCTTCATCAACATCACCTGATTGTTTTTTAGGTTGCTTCAATGGCTTCTTTTTACCACCTTAAAGCGAAAAACAGAGAAAAAAATTAAATATGATATTAACATATGATGAAAAAAGACGATAATAAACAAGGTGACAGAATACAAACCTTCTCGGGATGACATTTTCCTAGTGAGTGATGGCCTTCAAGATTGAGCTATAATGTTGAATAACAAATAAATTCAATGGAAAGAAGAAATAGTCACAAAATCAATCAAAGTGTAAACAAGTTCACTGGTTAAAACAACATGTGTTGCTACAAAATTTCAATAATTTATCGTTTCTGCAAATAGTATTACTCTTTGACAAGGTGGCTGCTAAGGCGCCACTTTCTGTTTTTCAAATTTTGAAATCTCCTCCTCAGAAGGGACCATTGAAAAATTTATGTGCACTTTCTGAGTGGTGCATTTTCTGAGTGATCACTGTATTTTGATTGTTACAGTGATCACTCAGAAAATGCACCACTGTGGAAATAGCTTATTCTCACTATTTATCGAGTAGTCAATTTCATGATTTTCAATTCACTGTCAATTCGAAAGTCATTCACCAATCATTCAAACCCTTCCAAGAACATCAAGAAAAACTGTGATTATTGAAGGAAATTAGTCATTCAAACCGGAATACCGTTGATTAGCTGATCAGCAAAGACAACCAAATTTAATCAAAGATCATTCAATAGATGATGTAGTCCCGACTAAACTAAAATAGTTATCACAAACTGAACAAAATGACTACTCAATCGTTCATGTGGATTCATCTGCAAATGAAACAAACTTGTTGAAATTACGTAAGTTTTATGGGAAATTTTATCAATGAAGCTTATTCAGCACTCTTCGGAGTGTGGCTGATGTTTTCACCGCTACTCGCCGTAGCATAAGTCTATGACTCAAAGAGACCAACCTCTCGGTTGATTATTCAATAAAGTAAAATGTTACAAGTGTTCAGCTTTCATTACTCAACAGTATTCCTTCAGCAGAACTCCAAGTCATCTTGTCACCAAAGCCATTGCAATTTGATTTCATGATTGTCATCTTTTCTTGGTGAACTCATACTCCATTTTATAAGGGTCCAATCAAAAATTGTGACGTTGAAGAGAGTAACTGTTTTGATGACAATCAAGGGAAAGATGAAAAAATTATATTGTTCATAACCAATCAAGCTGAGCGTGATTTATGTGACTGAAGAGTTGATTGGAAGCAATAGATAGTAAAATCAACAATTATTCAATTTGGGACGTTTCATTAGCTCTAACCAGACCAGTTGAATAGTCCAATATTGACTAATTTTCCGTCCTCACCATGCTTAACATCAAATCAATACTGATAATTTGGAAAGATAAAGATTCTTTTGAGATTCCATGAGAAAGAAACTGAAAGAGAAAAAAAATTAAACTAAATGTTTCGATTAAAAAGACATGTTTGAAATAATTTGTCCAATCTATAAAAAAGCCTTTTCTTAAATTGACTTCTAATTTTGAGATCTTTTCTGATTATTTTTACATTTGACCATAATGAGAATGATCTTTTTGTTCAGTTTCACCTAATGACACTTTTATTGTTGGATTTTATCCAATAAACTCTACAATTTATGCGTTTTGTTTAACGATCACTTAAATTACAATCATATCAACAATAGGCTACGAGAAATTAACTCACAATCAAAGAGTCGCCTTGTTGATCGACCTTGTAAAATGATTCAAGCTTTTACATTCAGTTTGGTGCAACATGAATATTTTTTTCTCAATTGTCATGACTCTCAGGTATCAAAGTATTGCAGTTAACTGTAACCAGGACAATTTGAACGACAATTTAACCTGGCAAAGAAAGAAAGAAAAATGAGAGAAAATAAAAACATTTTAAATGTAATTAAAGTTAAAATAGCTGGTCACATATAAAAACAGAAGATTGAGATTTAATTGTTTTTCCATGTTGAGGCAATATTGATGAAAATTTATCATTTTAAAATATTAAATTTGATTCTCACACATTTGCTAAAAATAGTTGGCTTCAGTTGAATGGGATTTTGGGTAATTAATGAAATTTGGTTCACATTATTAAAGCAAATGGCTTCAAATTAAGCTAAAATGATGCAAAATAATTCCGGCTTACGGTAAATTTACCATTAAATTTAAGGCGTTTGCCTATGAAGAAGCATCATTATCCTCGCCATTTCTTGAGATTTGATAATCAATGCCACCATCAGAAACTTGCCAATTCAGTATGCCATTTATGAGTAACTTGAGTAACATCTTTTCATCTGGTTCAGAAAAAAAAGAGCAGTTAATATTGAATAATCAGGTTTAAAATGAAATAAAAAGAAACTGCAAGATGAATTGAAAACGTATTGTCGCCCATTTTACTCCCAATTTTAGCCTCTATCCTCATCAAAAGTTTTAATTTATATCAACCTTTTTTTGTGAGTTTACTTTTTGGTTGATGAAAAATGATGATGAAGATGGAGCTGGAAAAATTGAGCAAAGAGAGAGAGAGAGAGAGAGAGAGAGAGTTGAAGAGAAGGTCGATTAAATACCCTTCAAGCAATGGCATATAATTTATCTGATCGCCATTCCGTGACGATATTGTAACTCCAGCAAACCAAGAGTAGACGCAGCAAACTGTTTTTTTATGAACTGATGTTGATGGTGTTTCTTTAACTCGATCATCTTGGATTGCGGTTTCAATAAAATCTAATGAGAAAAGAAAGAAAAGGTTAGTTTCTCAGGAGAAAGAAGGGAAAAAATTCAGAAAAAGAGAGTGAAGAAGAAGAAAAAATGAAGAAAAGGTAAAAAAACGTTGAATAGTGAATAGTGAGTTTTGATTGTGATTTTCTGTTGACCTCGATGCAAGAAATTTCCTGGCAATCGGTTGATTGTTCATTTGTTTGTTTGATTTGTCAAATCAAATCAAAAAAACAGATGAAAACAGAGGGAAAGAAGTGGAGAGAGAGAGAGACAAAAATAAAGGTAAGGTTGGTAATGTAGGAGGGGTTGAGAGGAATGAAGGAAAGACAGGTAAACAAAGTGAGTGTATTGGGATTGCAGGGAAACAGTATACTTTAGAAACGGTTTTGTGAGTTGGCTTTGTCATTGAATGTGGATGTTATGAGGTGCTGATGGCACTTGTCGAACGTGTTTTCATAATAATGATGATGTTGGTGGTGATGGTGTTGATTGTTGCAGGTTATAATCAAACAAAGCAATGATGGCAAATTGTGATGATGAAGATGAACATTCATTTATCAAAGTTTATATGATTTAACGTTCAATTATATCATTTCTCTTTCTTGCCTTTCTTTGCTTTTCCCATTAAAACATGTTTAGTTAATACAATTAATCAATTCAGGATTGGTTTCTCCGGTTTACTTTCATTGTCATCCGATTACCTTTTCAATCTAGTTCTATAAGGAAACAGTTTTGTTGTGTTCACCAACTGATATATTAATTATTGTTGTTGTTTTTGTTACATCGGATTTACTGTTGCATGGATATGAACACAGTTGACCATGGACCTTTCAACTGGACATCTTATTTTACAACTGCAAATTAACTCGATACACGAAGGGTAACTTTAATTAGTTCCCATTGTCTGTTTGTTTCCTTGCCATCTTTTTTGCCACTTTTCAGCTTCGGATAATTACCAAGTTAACATGTAAGTTGCTATCTTCAATTTTAACGATTGTGAATAATTGTGTTTCCCTTTTAAGATGATAATGTTGACCATGGTTCCGTGATCCATGAAGATGGATGAGTCGCTTTGTAAATTTTGTAGCGTCCAACAAACGGTGACATTTTCTCATGATCTCCACAGCTCAGTTAATATAGTCATAGACATAATTTATGATTTTCATTTAACCATGCAATTCATAATTCCATCCACTGTATTGATCAGCAATAATATTGTATATTAACCATGTTTCAACAGCTCATCCTTATTTTTATACAATGTAAACAATGTGTCAGCATTAAGTAGGAAAGCAAAAGGTTAACACTATCAAATATCAGTTATTTTTGCCATCAAATTAACTAATAACTGGCCAGTAGAGTGATTTATCTTTCCAGAAGTATCTTAACCAATAGTTGTCAGCTTTGGCTTTCATGAGTTTTAATTAAGCCTCTTTTTTACGTGAAAAAGGACCCGTTTGAGTTTTTTCAATCAATCAATCAACACTATTAACCGACTTGCGACTGAGAGTGAGAGAATAAAATAAGCACAAATATCGCTTTAATCAAACTGCTTGAAGGTGATTACTGCAAATGTTGATCCAGCCTTTTGCCAATAGTGCTTTAAAATGATTACCATTTATAACTTAGAGATTGAGTCGAGATGAGTTGAAACTTGTCCATCTTAATCCAAAACCAGAATCATTTTTCGGTAAATCTTGGAAGAGGCAAATATTTGTTTCCATTAAAATATTGGGTTAGACACAAGATAACCCAGACTGATAGGGAATACCTAAAAGAAATAAGAAAATGAATTAGATTGATTTATAAGCATCTTATGGTGGATACTGCATGTTGGTCATCAGTGAAGCTACCAAAAGATTGAATCTAGTAATAAGCTTTAATTTTTAAACAACTGAAAATGGACCAATTCAACTATAATTGAAGATACACTTGATTGTGTAGTTAGCATGAACGTGACAGCCAACAATACTTGAAAATGTTTTTCATCGTAAGTCGGGCAATCATCATGAATGTATCACTTTAAAAAATGGGTAGGTTGAGGATAGAAATTGAAAAATCTAACCTAATCTTATCATGATTAACATATTAATAATACAATCACCAAACTATCATTATCTGTAACGATTGGAGAAACCTTCTGATTAAGCTTATTGTCTCGCTGTCACACTTTAAAGTGAAAGTTAACTATTTTGTCAATATTTAAATAGCAATTGAACAGCTTTACACTAACTTGTAAGATAGGCTAAGAATCATTTCAAGAAGCTTACATTGAATCGATGAAATGACCCAAGTTACATCTTCAATAATCAATAGTTAACACAATATTCAATTGAATAGCCCTGAATCTCAATAATAAGCGCAAAAATAAACAAAGTCATGTTTTTTTGTCGATCAGTTGTTTACTAAAGATTGAGTTGCAAGACAAGATAAATATTGCCTATACGTTTTTTGCTATTGTTAGTTAAATGTTGATACATTTGACGGCTTCTTGATCAGCATGATTGATAATATCGAAGCATGAATCAGAATCAAATTTAATAGGGTTAATAGTAACAAGTTAGATAAACTTTTCATCCTTATCTTATTAAACTAGCTGTCTCACATAAACTTGCTTTCAGGTCACTTTTCACTTTCAAGTAAATAGACTTTATTACATGCTTACCTTAATCTTGTTAATCTTGTTACCTGCTTTTTTTGTTGATTTAGTTTCTTCTTCCAACTGATGAATGATAAAACAGTCCTTGAAATAAAGGAGAAAAAAACAGTAACACCGATCATGCATAAATCAATCAATACTTGATCAGATAGTTGTAACCTTTAACTTAAGCTATAAACTTTCGAGGTTAACGGAGTCATTTTACAACTTCACTTTGCATTACGGATATATTGCTGTGAGGAAATGCTTTTTCCAAGTCAACATAATCACTCCCATTTGGTTTGTTCAATGAATCGTCAAATTAATAAACTAATAAATGGATAATTAGTTGAATAAAATCTTCTAGGGTTGGTGTCAGATATTCAAATCCAAAAAGATGTTGTTTATCATTACTGTTATTCATGTTGAGACATTGAACTAGGAAAGCCCATTAGATTAGCTTCACAGCTGGTTTAATTTGGCTCCATCTTTTTAAGTTGTACTTTTTAAGAATTGATTGAAAGTTAAAGAGTTAAAGTTGATTAGATTTCATCGATTTAACATGTAATAAAAATTTAACTTAAGCTGTTATTAATATTAAGTGTACAAATCAAAGCAAATTTCAAACCAAAATATCCTGAGAATGATTAATGTCGATAGATGGCAATATAGTAGCAATCGTTGCACACTTCTGCTGGAAACTTTTTGTTATGATTTTTTATTCAACAGATAAATAATTGTTGACATGAAATTGTCTTTTTTTCAATTTGTTAATAATGTTTCTTTGTGCCTTAATGTTTTTATGCATTTATATTGATCCTCTGGATCAACATCATCTTAAAAGTTTCTCTAAACAACCCTTGTCATCAAGCCAATGATCGTTTTTTCAGTCTCAACCATATTGAAAGCGTTTTGTTTTTCTTTTCACTTTACAGCCTTGCCTTCTCATATCTGCTGTAATTTTTATTGTGAACCAACCATCTACAATCGCCATTTTTCATCAGTTTCAGTAATTTTGTGCTGAGCTAAGTGCTTTAAAACAAGGTTAAAATGGCTTCCGTTAAAGTTGCTGTGAGAGTTAGACCCTTCAATAATAGGTAAGTTATACAAACATTTTTAGCCCCTTAACTCTAGTTGAATGTTATTTCTTTAAATAATATTTACTTCACGATTTGATACTTTTGCTCTTTCCATTATCTCTAACTTGTTTATTCTTATTTCACAGGGAAATTGAAATGGGTAGTTCGTGTATCATAAGAATGGAAGGTAAAAAGACTGCAATAATAAATCCAAATCCTCGCCCAGATTTACTTGATAACACTGCAAGTCCAGTTTTTGATGGTTCACGTAAAGAATTTACATTTGATCACTCTTATTGGTCTTTTGATGAATCTGATAAAGACTTTTCATCTCAAGAGGAAGTTTATGAAGATTTGGGTAAACCAGTGGTGGAAGATGCTTTTGAAGGTTACAATGCATGTATATTTGCTTACGGTCAAACAGGTTCAGGAAAAACCTTCACCATGATTGGATCTCCTGGTAATGAAGGATTGATTCCACGAATATGTAAAAATTTATTTGTTAGAATGAAGATGGAATGTAACAAAGAGAGCTCATATCGAACAGAAGTCAGTTATCTAGAAATCTACAACGAAAGAGTAAAAGATTTACTTGGAAAAGGTGATCAAAGTTTAAAAGTCCGCGAACATCCAAAACTTGGTCCTTATGTCCAAGACTTGTCCAAACATTTGGTAACTGATTTCCGTGACGTTGAAGAACTGATGGCTCGAGGTAATGCTCGTCGTACTACTGCTTCAACGGGAATGAATGACACCAGCAGTCGATCTCATGCTATTTTCACCATAGCCTTTTCACAAGCAACATTTGCTGGTAAAACACCACGTGAAACACTTAGTAAGATTAATCTAGTCGATTTGGCTGGTAGTGAACGAGCTATGGCAACTGGTGAGTAAATCATTATTGAAACTTACAAGGGAAGTGACCTTGCTTGTACGGTCATTTTCGATTTTTTTCGAGTTTATGTTTTAGAGGACGAAAAATAATTAGACACGTATTTTTGCTTTTTTTACGCCGGTGCGCGGTTATTGATATTTAGGCACTTTTAAGTGAGGATATTGCATTGAAATCTATTGAAGTCACTGAAAAGTGATTCACAATTTTTATTAAGATTTTTCATTTTTCTGTTTTTCATTGTTTTACTTGCTTCTCAGTGACTGGAATTCATTACTATCTTTAATTAAAAGTGCCGAAATATCAATAACCGCGCACCGGCGTAAAAAAAGCAAAAATACGTGTCTAATTATTTTTCGTCCTCTAAAACATAAACTCGAAAAAAATCGAAAATGACCGTACAAGCAAGGTCACTTCCCTTGTTAGATTTTCTTTATAATCACTAATCATGATTTTTTATTTTCATAATCAGGTGCTAGTGGACAAAGATTAAAAGAAGGAGGACATATAAACAAAAGTTTAGTCACAGTTGGTTCAGTTATTAAAGCACTCGCAGAATCAAGTCAACAAAATTCTAGCCCAACGACTCCTAAACATGTTTTTATTCCATATAGAGATTCAGTTCTTACCTGGCTTTTAAAAGACAGTCTTGGTGGTAACTCTAAAACAGTTATGATTGCTACCCTTTCACCCGCAGATTGTAATTATAGTGAAACTTTAAGTACTTTACATTATGCTAACCGAGCCAAAAACATTATCAACAAACCTACCATTAATGAAGATACTAATACCAAACTTATTCGTGATTTGCGAGCCGAAATCGATAGGCTTAAATCTTTACTTGGCGATCATCCTACTTTTATAGAGAAAGTCCATGAAAATGAAGCAAAAGTAAAGATGCTGACCGAAGAATGGACAGAGAAATGGAAAGAAACTCAAAGAATTCTTAAAGAACAAAAATCTCTTGGACTTCGAAAAGCTGGTCTTGGTATAATTTTAGATTCTGACTGTCCACATTTATTGTCAATTAATGATGGCTTACTAAGCTCTGGAATGACTCTTTATCAGCTCAAAGAAGGTAGAACACGAATCGGAACTGAGTATGGAGTGGCCAAGCAAGACATTAATCTTCAAGGATTTGACATAGAAGATGAACACTGTTACATTGATCTCGAAGATGGTGTTGCTACGCTTACTCCAATAAATAACTCATTGTGTTTCATAAACACTATACGCATTGAAGAGCCAACACGTCTGGTTCATGGCTGTGTAATAATGTTAGGAAGAAATAACATGTTTCGATTCAATGATCCTGGAGCTATAAACAAGCTGAAAACGGGAAGGAATGATCATAACTCATCTTTACTGAACTTATCTAAAATAATGAGTCACTCAACGGAATTAGCCAAATCGTGGGATAATTTATGGTCTCAAGTAAACGAAGGAGAAGTTTTTGAAAAAGGAGTTGATCTTGTTGATATCGAAGAAAAGCGCCGAGAAATTGAAGAACTTGAAGAGGAACATCGAAGAGCAGAACAGCGTCGAATTGAAGAACAACGAAGAGCTGATCAAGAGTTAGAGATTAAACGTAAAGACTTAGAAAAGTTGATCAAAGAAAATGAACTTCTTGAAAAGAAAAGAATTGAAACTGAGACTGAACTCAAAATGATGAGAGAAGAAATGGCCAATATTAGTGTAAATACTGGTGACGAAACTCTTGAAGCGTGTACAAAATGTTCTTGTTCTGACACTGATATCGAAATAAGTGATTCAAATGGATTAAATGACGAGACAAGGAAAAAGTTAAGCAATGGTGATCGCAGTGATGACCAAATTGATATTAAATTGTTTTCTCCATCAGTTACATCAACACCCTGTCAATGTAATAACAATAATGGAATATCAGAAGAGAAGAGCTTGTTCGACAAATTATCCGAATTGAAAGCTTTCGAGGAACGATTAATTGCCATGGAAAAAAATTTAAATGAGCAAAAATCTCTGTTTGAAATGCAGCGTGCTAAAGAATTGAGCCAAATACAAAAGGAGAAAGATAATCTAATTGAAATGGAGAAACAAGCTGAACTTGATATGTTTATTGAAAGAGAAGTGCAACGTCGACTTCGTGATCATCAAATGAAATGTGAGAAAACATGGAGAGAAGGATTAGAATCTCGAGCCAATGATTATCTAAGAATAACAACATCATCGCCGACTCTAATGTTGGCTGAGGAGATGGAAGAGGATGAAGATCAAGTTCATATTAAAATCCCATCTTATAAATGGATTGAAAGAACTTTCGATTCACACTATGAATATACAATTATCATTTATATCAATGGTCATCGGTTAACGATTCACCGAAGATATCGTCAATTTCGAGAATTTCATTTATCGTTAGAAAGAACTTATGGAACCAGAGAAACAATTATGTTGCCCTATTTCCCTCCAAGAAAAATGTTTTGGACGAAATCATTGACTTCCCTGGCTGAAGAAAGGCGTAAAAGTTTGGAAAAATATCTTCGAAAAATAATTCCAATGTTCATTCGTATCCATGATTGTCCACTTAATTACAAAGCTCAAGGAGCCAAGAAACTGTCACTCTCTCATCTTCTTCAATTTTCAAATTTCTTTAAAGATGATGTCCCGGATATTGAAGATTAACTAGTCTTTCATCGTGTAAATCAGATTTCTATAATCATTATTATTATCGTAATTATTCTTCCAATTACCAATTATTTGAATCATACTGTCTAAAGACTGACATAACATGCAAGTTCGTCATAAATCTCAACTCATCTTCCAATCATAATCACAATCATAGATCTGTTGATTCATAATTTCATCGCCTTTTCTTCAAACAAACATTTGAAGCATCACATAAAAAATGGTTAAAGAAGTTACTATTTCTCCCTTTATCTTCTATTCCTATTATTTGGATGGAATAAGCGGAAAATCACTCAAAGACATCAATATTTTATCAATGCTTCCAAAAGGTTACTTTTATTGCCTTAAACCTATTGCTTTTAAAAATAACCAACGTTTCTGGTTTACCAAACTTCGTTTCTTCACAATCAACAATAATGCAATTTATATGTTAAATTTTTGTTGGAAAAGATTAAGAAAAAATTATTGCATTTATAAAAGTCGCATGTCTTTTCATTGATGCTCACTGTTTTTATATATTTATGTATACATATATGTATTTTGTGATCGCAAAATATTTCATTGTACATTGATTATATATATTTATATTGTTGCTCATATAATTATCTAATGCATAATATAAATTTTAAATTATTTTGTTAATCTTTTATTCTGGTTTTATACTTTCCTGTTTACTTGTTGACGGTTGATTATCTTCAAACGAAATAGTCTCAGAAAACTGATCTTTAGCTTCAAGTGATACAAAAATAACATTGGACCCACGAATAAAAATTGTTTTGAAAGTTCTCCTCTTGTTTTGTGGTAAATTTTTTTCAATATTTTTATCATCTGATTTTAAACTTATCCTTTCGACAACATCAGACAAAACCAGGTTATAGTGTTTATCAAATGCAACCAAATTACCAAAAAGGTGAGCGTATTGATCATGGTTTTGAAAAACTATTCGTCGTCTTCTAATAACAACTTTTACACGTTGATTGACACATTTGAATAAAAATGCCACAGGACCAGCAACGTCCGAATTCATTATGGATAGTACTGACTTTTGATTTTTCTTGGAGCGCACTACAGGAGTCAAAGTTTTCTTCAATTCTTCCTCACGAGCTTTTCGATTAAATTTTAAACCATCATCAAATAATTTAACCTCTGTTGAACTGACAGTGGCAGCTTTAGATGAAGTACCTTGCTCGATCTCTCCGAGAAGTCCTAGTTGTTTGGCACCACTTTTCCTTTCATATTCCTCGAGATGGTTATAAGTTTTTGCCTTCGGATCAGGTATGGTAAGCAGTTTTACATCAGCTGTTAAAACAGTTAATGGATCAAATTTATCCGATTCAAAATCCAGTTCTGGCATGTCTTTTGAGTTGGTTAATTCGTTAGCCATTTTTGTGGATGGAGAAACAACAAAATGTATAGAACTGATGGTCAAGGCAGTTAAACGTTAGGATTTTTCAATACAAGTCGGCAGCTCCAGTTTGACTTTAAAATATGGATGTTATGTTGAGTTGACGATTTACGTATACAGTGTGAATCAGTGTCATTGCACCAAATTATTCATTATAAAAAACTTGTTGTATATTTAAAATATTTGTTCAAAGAATAGTAAATAATATTAAATTTAGATTAACTTTGTTTAAATGTTATTGAAATTCAATTGGATTCAAATTTGCAATTGTTATTAGTCCCTCCATATAAACTCCATCTAGCGAGTTTATTAACAACTACTGGTGTAAACAAAAAATTCTACGATTTCTATCATGGTTTTCAAATTACTTCTCAGGTAAATAAATTTTGATTAAACAATTTTTTTAATTCAATTTTCCAATAATTCAAGCATTCTTTAACTTCTAGCTTCCTTCTGAGAACCCAACAAGCTCCATTTATTGATTCTTTGATTGACAAAGTAAGTGATGTAATTTTGTTATTTAATTTACCATAAACCAGGATAAGTTAAAATAGTATAGAAGCCTTATCTGTTCAAAATCTAATTATTTTGTTAGAGTATTTATTATAAACCATTAAATTTGACGGGCCTTTTTCTTTGAAATTGAGAATTAAGTTATAATCAAACAGGTACTTGATTAAAAAACTCCTTTAGTTTAAACCTTATCAACGCATTTACTACGTATTAACTTGAAAATTTTACTTATTCAATTCTTTAAATAACCCTTGTTTTTTATCTCCAAACTTTTCATGTAATTTTCACTTTTTACATCCCAGTATCACACTAACAAATTAGTCCATTATGATTGTCAAAGTAATCAGAGATTGTACTCAAGCCTGTTTTACTCGCCTTTAAATATGTCACTGTCTGAGTCCCTCTATTAAGATAATTAATCTCTATTTATCTCTTCTATTTATTTAGCTTTCGAACACAAGGCCTATTAGACGGTCTGCTCAGTTGGCTGCATATTTCATTAATAGAGGTAAGAAACTATCTGATATTATTTTATCATCTTTCCTGTGTTTATTTATCTATTTTTTGAACATACATGTACATGATTTATGTTACTCAATATTTAATTTAATTCTCTCTCTCTTTTTCGTCTTATTTTCCTCAATCCAACATAGGGAGTCAAGCATATGGAAAAGATTTACAAGGATTCTTCCAATCTAGTGGATTAAAAGCAATTAAAGATAAATTTAGTGGCGGTAATGGCCCCAAATATTAGATGAAGATTATCCTGTTGATAGTTATGTATTTTAATTAATATTTTGCAGCCCATGTTTCCTGTGATATTTAAGCGTAAAGAAAAGTGTAAATAGTCAACTTAAAAGAATGTAGACACAAAATAAAGGAGCAACAAGATTTAACTCACCAAAATTGTATCTCCATTTGCTTACAATTTACTTGCGATGTTATTACAAGTTAATTGATTTGAATATTTGATTGGGAATATCAACCTCATCAATTGGCACCTTTTTGAGATACCTGTGGATTTTGACTACAAAGATCAGTGTTCATTAATCAGCAGAAAACATGAGTGTACAGATTGCTACGCATTAAACCAACAATTGAATCTATACCATTTATTGCTGAACTTACCAACCATTTCACCGGATTAAGGCTTACCTTCAATATTATTCAAACCCGTGAATCATATTTTTTCCAACAATCAGCCAGGCATTGCAGTGGCAAGGTAAATTATTCATGGACTAATTGGGAATGGCAAAAACATAACATTGTGATTGGGGCTAGAGACCACAATAATTTAAACTGTCATTGAACCTATGTAAACTTAATTGCCTAATTTTCCCATCTCTTCATTTAACCTTCACACACGATTTGCATCAAATTTTGTATGATCATAGAATCCATCTTGGATTCTCTATTCTCTCGTATAATGTCCCTCCAACTAATGATTAATATGAAAATATTTATTTAATTATTTTCATCAATCAAGTGTTTCCACTATTTTTTGGCTTTTACCTTCTCCAATCCAAATCACAAATTGACATTTCCATTGTCATTAATTGGTACTGATTTTGCCTTTTCTGATTGTTTACCTTTTTTTATTTAAACATATACAAATATTATATTGTTTGCTATTGCAATCATTTACTTCCCCTTTACCTTAACTTAATCAAACTTATTAATCTAATTAACCGTAAAGACCAAGGTAATAATAAAACAATGTAACGCCAGTTAAAGGAAACAAATGTCATTATTTTTGGTGTATTTTTTTGGCTCTTTATTTGCTATCAATCAATCTGAATATCACTTTCAATTTCTTATTTTAACCAAATCATAAGGCAACAAGCAGAAAGACAAAAACATTTTTATCAATATTATTACCAAGTGATCCATGTTACTAAATCATTAATTACACAACTGATTCTTCAAGGAAATTACATAATTGTCAAATAAAGTTAAACTACATCAACAACAATTAAGCTTCCCAAAAATACAGCAAACGATACCAACCATTAACCACAAACCATCAAGGTAACTCAACATGTTTACCAGTACAAGTTGCGATCCATTGGTGCCTTGTATGGCTCACAAACCTGACTTTACTTGTTACCATCAAACTTGAGCCTAAACCAACTGTTTAGATTGTCAATTGAAATTATTAAAGTTAAAACGTATTATCATATTAAAATGAACAACCAATCAACAATACAAGATGTAAAGGTGAAAGATTACATAAAAAAATGTGAAACTGTTTCCCCGACAAATTCAACCTCACTTTTATCCCTATATTTTGATTGATAAATTTCAACAATTAATTCAAGCTAATCAAAGATGATAAAGGAGGGAGCTGAAAATTTAAGGTTTAATTCAATTCATTTAACAATTCATTATTATTAATACACCATTGAATCTCAACAGTTGCTTTTTTTACCTAGCAAACTCTTTTATTTTTAACATTCACTCAACTTTCATTAAAGTGTTATCAACCAAATCACCACAAAATTGTGTTCTTCTTTCAATTAATCAATCATTTCATGATACTTAACATGTTTAACAATCAATAACAACACAAGACCAAAAAAACACACCAAAAAACACTAAAAATCATCAACAGCAACATCATAAGAATCAGTTGCCATCATCAGTTTATGGTAAACCTTTTAACCTTTCATTCCCTTTTTTTAACCTGTTGCTACTGTAACCAACAAACCAAGCTAATCATCTTAATATCAGTTGATTTTTCAAATCAAATTAACATTGGTTGATGATGAAGATTACAATATGCCTTGACAACCTTGTAAATTGAAGCGTTTTTGTGCCTTTTTACAGTCCTTTTGTTTTACAAAAAAAGTTGAATCTTTTGTTTTCATATTTTTGCTGGATTCAGATGAATTTCACCAAATTAATGCTCAAAGAATCATCAACAACAATTGACGAATGAGTTCAACAACAAAGGTAATTATAATTTCCATAATTTCTTGTTTAAATCACAGATAATCATTGTAAAGTCTTAAATCTTTTCAAACCATTGAACCTTTGTTTTCTGTATTGCACTTTCACTTGCATTAACAATTGTCAAACAATTAATTTTTAGCCGATTGTTCCTTTATTTGACTTTCTTTCATCTCATTATCTTCATCATCAATATAATCAACATGTTCAACATGATGATCATCAAATGTGCTGTTATTATCGTTCGGTAACTTTCAAAATCAAGGTGAATCCCAAGTCATTTATTTCAATGATTAAACAACATCATCAAGGGTAAAAAATGATTGGCTAAAAAATGTTAAGCTTGATGTAGATGTTAAACCCAAAACACCTAATAGTGTTAAATCAAATCTAACCAAGATTGGTTACAACTCTAAAGGTAACTGAAGGTGAAAAGTTGAATATAAATTTTACTAATTGTTAGACAGTTGATAAATCAATAATTATCATTACAACAATTTGTTTGCGAAAAAAAACATCTCAAGATGAACCAATGGTTACCAGAAATTTGATCAACTTTCAACGCTAACCAACATCATCTTTCAATTTTACCCTTTCAATTGGCAACAATTTATCCTCTCTAATTGTTGATTATTTTGTTTCTTAAGGATCTTCAATATTGACATTTCTTAATTGTGTTCATCATAATCATCATCATTAAATCGCTGGATTCAAGGGAAAACCTATTCACATTGAAAAGAAAACCATTGAAAAGTAAACAAACAAGATTGGAAGCTGATTACCCAAACCTTCACAATTGGTAAGTTAACCTGATTAACTGACAGTCAAGATCAATTGATTAACATGATTAGTTAATAACCCGCAGTCCAAATTAATAGCAATCAGAGCACAATTAAAATTGTAAATAATGAAAGTGAAAACCTTTTAGGTTTAGGTTGAAACATTTACTAAATTTACCAGATTTGTTACCAGAAAAATGCTCTTAAAATCCATTTTTAAAAAAGCCTCTTTTTTGCTTCACTCAATGTTACAAGTTTAATTGCACTTGATTGTAACCAGTGTCAACCGTTTGTCTCGTGATTAATTTTAATTAACTGTTGATTTGTAAATTAACATTATTTTCCAATTGTTTCATCTTTAATTTTTCTCTCCTATTCTTTGCAATGTTAGCTTCAGTTGCCACTGTGATGGTTCTCAATTGATTGTGATGCTAATCATTAATATATTCATTGATTCATATCCAAATTCATTCAAATAATTTATCAAATAATTGTCAATTGTTTACTTTTACAATAATAATAGCTGTTAATACAAGTGAATACCTGAATCTTGTCCATTATTATTTGTCATCACTTTGAAGCTTGCTAATGCTTTCCATTTGATTGACTTTCAACATTAGTTAACAATTAATAACCAGTAATTAATTGCCAGCAAATTTAACGTTAAATAACCATTTCTATGATTAACATGAAAGATTGAATCTTAAAATGCTTTTCTTAAAACATTCAATTTTGATAATTTAGGCCAGCAACCATTTAGAGTCAAAATTATTGTTAACTTCAAATGAAATTGTCATTTTGAATGAGCCTTAAAATGGTTAATCAAGATGTCTTGGAATGGTTAACGTCTCTGATCAACTTAATCATTAAGTGCCTTTCTTGTTGTAAAGGTTAGATAATTTAGCTAAAATTGGATCATTGTTAAGCTTCATGTTAGATATGAGTTTATTCAAATGATCAGATTGCCAATTGAAATTAACTATTTTCGGATCAAACACATTTCCATTATAAATGTTCAACATTGCCTTAAATGTTGAACTCAAATGATATTATAAGTGATCATAAGTGACTATAAATGATCAATTATACAACAATTGTAAGTGGAAACAATGAGATTTAATACAAAGTTATTAATACATTAAAAGCATTCCAATTGCTTATCTTGTGCTCAATATTTATCATCTCGAATCATTGATTTTATCGGAAACTAAATTTGTAATTTCAAGGCAATTAATTCCCAGTAAAACCAATGACATTAAATTGTTGTTGATCATCTTAGGAAGCAAAAGGTTTGTTTAAAAAATGAACATAAAAACTGGTTAAAGAAAAGATTTCCCAAAAATTGAAATTTCATCTCAAAATGAATCCAAAAAGTATGTGAGTTTGAGATGAAAATGTGTTCAAACAGAAACTATTATTAAATCTCTTGATTGAATGATTTTGCTAACATTTAAATGAATTCATGAACTTTTTCGTTGAATAATTAAGGTTAGGTTGAAACAAGGAGAGAAGCGATTTGAGCGACATTTGTGCAATTCAGCTGAACTATCAAATTTATCTGATTGTTGCTTTAGTTAAACTGATTGCTCTTTGGTTGGATGCAAGTTAAACGTCTTTTGTTTGAATGCTGAAATCGTTAGAGCAAATCATCAACGTCAACTTTTTTTTCAGGCCAATTGTACTGATTCATTTTTTGTGTTCATCTTTTGTGATCATGTTTAATCGTCTTGCTTATCACCAACAATTACATTTAAATCTTTTAATCGTCTTTGTTCAGTTCAAGTAAACCCAAGATTAAACATTGCTTCATGTTTAAAGTATCTTCAGTGTTATTTCGTATATTTGATTAGCTGTAGTTAACGATGAAATTTGTATCGATTGCGTTGAACCAAACTGTTATTTTGTGAAACTCTAGTTTCAACCTTTCAATACAAAAAAATCTTATACAATCATATCTCAGTTCATCGTCCTTTTATCATCATCAATATCAATATCAACATCGTCAATCATTTTATAATTGCGGATTAACCGTTGAAACAAGCAAAAAAGTGATTCAATGAAACAAAAGCAAACGTCCAAAAAAGCTAATCCAAATTATTTGCAACTAATGCTACAAATGGTCAAAGCTGTGTACATACACGTGAATACACTAAAAGGGTAAAACAATTTCTGGTCTTTTCTTGAAGCTAACCTTTTCCCCATGAGTTGATCAGCCAAAGTCGTAGTTAAAAGATTAACCCAATAGTTAATCTTAAATTTAAATTTTGAGTCACTAATTTCTTATGAGCTACTTATCCGATAGAAGCTGATTGAAATAACCTTTGATTTCATTCTTAAATTGATTAACACTTCAATGTAAACACTTAATCATCAGACAAACAAAACAACAAACCAGGCAATATATAAACAAGAAATGCTTTGAATGTTATAAATTGTTCATGAATATTTAACCAGAAACTGATTTTATTTACTCTTGTCTTTCAAGATCACCATGCCATCTCTACCAACCATAAGCACCATTGAACCGTTACCTGCGGTTAAAAAGGCACCAGTTGAACCTGTGGATGACACCAAGTCAGCTCTAAAAGAGATGTTACTTCCCATCATGTTGAGTGGCTTTGGTAATATGGGTGCTGGAATGGTTTTGGAACGAGTCCAGTTTATGGACATTTTCATGGCCATACCACAGTTGATTCAACTGGTTCCACCATTACTTGGCCTTAAGGGTAACGTTGAGATGACTCTTGCTTCCCGTTTATCAACCCATGCAAATCTTGGTCACTTTTCCGATGCACCAACAAGAAGACGAATCATTGTTGGTAACATTGCTTTATGCCAGTTTCTAGCAACTGGAGTCGGTTTCATAGCACCAATAATTTCTCTCCTCTTGTCGCACATTCAATTTTCTGTTGCCCCCGAGACAGCCTTAAACCCGTCAACAACAACTGCACCAGGAGCAATACCAGGAGTTGTATCAGAACCTTTTCTGTCATCTGGTTCAATGGCTGACCATTTAAAGGCAACCTCTTTATCAGCCTCATCAATGGTCCAATTTGATATTGAACCCAATCCAAATGACTTTGGATCTCCGTTATTGGCCAAAGGTATTTTGATCTCGGCAATTTTTCTGGCCACCTCGGGACTTGCTGATATAATCCTATCTTCAACAATAACAGCGGTTGTCTTCATTTCATCTCAAATTTTGGGTATTAATGCTGATAATGTGGCCACTCCAATTGCTGCTTCAGTGGGTGATTTGATGACCATGGTTTTCCTGGTTTACGTTGCCAAAGGCCTCTACAACTTATCACTCATTGCCGTTTGGACACCCATGATTCCGCTGCTTCTTTGGACAGTTATTCTCATCTGTACTGGTATCATTGCTCGTCGCAACTCTTTCACCAGGTCAAAGGTTTTCCATGGTTGGACGCCACTGGTTGTAGCCATGTTGATCCAAAATGTTTCTGGTATTGTCATGGAAACAAGTCTTCGACGATTTCCTAAGATGGCCATTTACCAGCCAATTATCAATGGTTTTGGTGGTAATTTAGTTGCTATACAAAGCTCACGTGTGGCTACTTACCTTCATAAACATGCACATAAACGGGAATTGGTCAATGAAACGGATTCATGTTGTCATTCACCCTTATTTTTCTTTTTTGGTGACGGTAAGTTTAATTTCCTTTTTACCCAACCCACATTAAACATGTAAAAAGCCTATCCAAACCTTGATTATCAATCAATCTGGGTTGATACAATCTTGGGTTAACCTAAAATTTTTAGCTTCTCTCATTGACTCAAGCAAATCCAATTGCTATTCAGTTGTTAGTCATATTCAACCCTTAATTTGTTGCCAAGTCTTTTCATTGATGGTTTTTTTCCTTCACTCAACAACCCCATCAGGTTGTAAACCGACGTCAAATCTTAACTCACAACTAATTGTTGTTGATCCCTCGATTAGCCGATAATTACAATATTTACTATCATACCTTGTTATTTCACCTACAAATGGAGTGGTTAATGATATGTAAAAATTTACCTATTTTGCTAGCAAAAATGTAAACCAATTTATTGTCAACAAAACGGTTGAAACATAATTTATTGTTTTATTGACATTATTTTACTTTATTAACTTGTGACAATTAATCATTTGTGATTAATTGTTAAGATGTTTCAATATTCAATGGAAATAAGACAAATTGCATTTTCAAGTGTTAATCTAAGATGCATTCGTTCAAATCAATGTTACCATTTAATCAGACTGTGAAATTGGCGGATCAAATCAATTGAAAAGCCACTTACATTTTACATGTAATTTAACTCTCTTAACTGTCTTCCACTTACTAACCTCATTTTAATCTACCCAAATCAAGTCCAAATGAAAATGTATCTAAATTTGATTGACAAAACGATTGATTAAACGTGTTCAACTACTGATCAAGAAATTGGATGAGATTATAGTCACAAATTGATAGATAAATTGTTAACCATTAAAATACAAATAATCTGTTTGATAGTTATTTGCGATGTGTCTCTAAATCTTTCCCTGTGCAACCGAAAACCTTATATATTGTTCAACATAATCAGACATTAAACCAGGAAATTGATAACCATTTGCTTACTAATTAAGTCAACCTCTCAAAATGCAACCTTAATTATCATATCGAGTTAAGATAAAACAATTAGCTAATAATCAAGCTCATAACCAGTAAAGTAAAGCAACCAGATTAACCCAAAATGTATTGTAAAATGTTAACCAGATTTTTATCCACCAAAGTCTAGACCTTTTTTTAAGACAATACATTTTAATTGTTACCTTTTTTAATAATTTTTCCCGTTTCTCATTCCTTTTCAGGTCAACATGGTAGATTAGCGTTCTTGATGGTCCTTTTGGCTGGTCCAATTCAACTTCCATTGGTTTTAATTTCAACCTTATTATCGGCAACCTCGCAAATTACATTTGCACAATTGTTAACTTATTATGTTTGTGCGACAATCCAAGTTATTATCATTCTTTACATTGGTTATTGTTTTGTCAATTTACTTTGGCTACTTGGTGCCAATCCAGATGATAACGCAATACCAATATTAACAGCGTTAGCTGATCTTTTGGGTACCATTGTACTGGTTTCGGGTTACATGTTTTTAAATTCAATTGGAGATGTAAATGCTTCTCATTTTGATGAAGGTTTATTGGCGAGTAAATCAATCGCTTCAATTGTTTACAATGCAACATCAACATTGAATATAACTAATGGTACAACTAGTTTATCGCCATCATCGGGTCCCTTCATTGAGCTAACTAATATAACATCAATCTTGTCAACGACAATGGCTCCGTTTTCAGTGACAAACAAATTAGCTTCATCGTTGATTGCCAATTTAACAACACTAGCTCCAATCAATATAACAATCTGAAATGAGGCTTTTTTAATTGCTTTTTCCCTTCTTTTTGCGTCTTTTACAGCAGTATTTTACTCATTTAGAATAATTATTGAGATGAAAAATATTATTATCACAATTATTGTTTTTATTAATAAAACAATTTATAGACATTCAAATAGATTGACTCAATTTGATTTGTTTACCATCAAACATCATGATTTGAAGTACAGATTTTCGGTAAATATACAGTCGAGAGGATGAGTTTGATGAAAAACATCTCGACAAGTCGATACATTTGGTAATGAGATCGTAAATGTTTTAATCAACAATCATTAAAAATAAATCCTTGGGTTTGATTGTTTACAGTTTCATCTTATTTCCAAATGGACTTGTCAAGATATTTTTGTTTTCATCAAATTCAGGTTTGTATCAACATTGGTTATTTGAAAACATCAACAGGTTCAATTTGATTGTGACTCTTGATTTTGGGCTTATTTTGTTTGATTTTGTTGAAAACAAATTTATATTTTTTAGCTAAAATGGTTCAATTTTATTTAAATGGCATCTTCATTTGATGAATCGGATGATTGAGTATGAAAACAATAATGAGAAAGTATGGAGTGACTGTTATTATGGGAATTGTGATTGTTGATGTGATTTAAATGGGATGGATTATGAAGATTACGATAATAGTGATGATGGTGATTGTAATAGTTTTTAAGATTAGTGTTTTGCTGATGGGAATGACAATTGTAATCATTGTGACCATTGGAGTTGATTAATTTACTTGTTACACTATTGTTGCAATGGTCGTCTTCAATTGAAAGGGACTTCTCTTGCTTTTCAATGATTGAAGGTGCCTGTGGTTGTGTTGGTGGTGGACTGGATGGAGGTGATGAAGAGGCTAATGATGATTTTGGGTTGATTATTATGTGGTCCAATTTTTCAGACTTGACTGGTTGACTAAGTACTGTCATTATGCCGGATGAGGCAAGTAAACTATTGCTTGGACTTGAATCTTTACGATCGGGTAACTTGAAGAATGAACCTCTTTCCGAGTTGATTGATGAACAAAAGCCAATCGATTTACGTCCATTTATTGAATCATGGCTCTTGGGGAGACTCCGAATCGTCTTCCACCTTGCAAGATGATGACGAACCGAATTACGAACCTAAGTGGAGAAGGTTGAAAACAAGAATTAAATCAATTAGAAAGCAATTAGCTAATTTTAGCTTTGATTACCTCTCCGTTGAGGAAACAGTAAAAGACAGAAACGGTAAATCCTTGGGTTGAGTATAAAGTTGCTTGAAGATAAGTGAAAACAGTCTTAGCCGGACCAGAACCAGGAGTTACCAGGAAAAGGATATAAGTGACACCCAATAAAGGTGTTAATACTAATAATGCTTTAGCTGCTTTGCTATTAAAAAATAAATACAATTAATGATTTAATAGACTTATTTGATCAATATGTTACGGTCAAAGGTCTAGTCAAAATAAGCTCTCCATCGATCATAAGATTGAAAGATTTCAATGTTTATCATTAACATTGGTTTCTTGGATTTGGAGTTGTGTTTGATATTTATTTTGATATAACCTTTGAAATTGACAATTAATAAATGTAATGAATAAAATTAATAATAAAGGAATCAATTTAAGTTGAAACTTACCGATATTGACGCGACTCAGCTGATGTTGCTGCTCTCAATTTTGTTATTAAAACCCACATAATTTTACAAAGAAAAAAGATATTTAACTGTTGGAGAAATAACAATTAGTTTTGAATGAGAAATAAATTTATGGCTAATAATAGGGCGATGCAATTGAATTATTCAATAGGGAACAATACTATTTTTTACATTCCAGCATCAGAGTAAAATAATTTAACCGTTAATTGAACTGTTATTTTTGTTGCTTTTACCAGCAGGTAATGCTGAATAATTCATATCGACTTGTCTCAGCAATCTATTTATATTTCATTTTGTCCTTCTTTGCTTAATTATTCTGATCATTTTTGATAATCTGGAGAGTTAGCTGAATAAGACAATGATTCACAAATCAAAAACACAAATTGATCAGCTCTGATTAGTCCTAACTAGTCCAGTAAATAGTAATTTGCTATTAGCATCAATCCAATATTAAATTATCAGTAATTGTCAAACTATAATTGTTAGGTTTTAGGTAAAACTTACCATAAGGACAAACAAGATCGGACATATGAATATGCTATCGATTGAATCTTCAGCCTGCCATGGACAATTGGATCTGAAAATAAAGACAAGAAATGATTAATAATTTAATTGAAAATATTGATCAATAACTTACCCAGAGTCATTCAAATTGTCCGCTGATTTGGCTGAAAAGTATTTGGAAGGAGCCCAGAAAAGGACGACAAGAGCTGGTAAGCCTGGTAAAAAAGTGGAACCAGCTGATTATTAGAGAATTAAAAGTGACATGAAATACGAATATTTCAACGTTAATGTTGAATTTTAATTGAAACTAATTACTTACCCCAGCCTATTGTGGCATAAAAGTGTATTTTAATGGATTCAACTGATGAAAATGTTTTAACAACCAAAATATAAAGGTATAAGCCTTCAATGAACATCCAAAAAAACTGGGTTCCAGTGAAATATGGTAACAAAATATACAGGAAACATAGGATTCGAGCGGCAATCTTGAATGATCAATAAAGACAAATAATTAGGTAAATGATGTAAACCATTATTAATAACGATAATAATAAACAAGTTGAACAAATAATAATGTTTATAGCTGACAATAACAATGTGAAAAACAGGACAAATGTTGATTTATGGGTATCTTGTTAATAGGAGTGAAAATGTAAAAGGTAACTACAAATTTATTAATGGTTATGACTGATGATGACCTTAATACTACTTTTATCTTTAAGTGAATTCATCGGAAGCTCAGCCATTTAGATATTAACTAGAGTCAATTCTGAGTCAGATATAGAACTTGAACAACTGTTGCTTCAACTATCAAATGGTTGACACGAATTTAGTCATCTCATGGATTCCACTTTAATAAATCATCTGAATGATCTTGATTCTTTTAATAGGCTTCTGTCGACTCAAGGATAACTCTTTCCATTATGACCTTATTTCTGTAAACATTTCCGTTCGCTGTTTAGGCCGAAAGGAAGCTACTTTTACTCCTATTAACTCGAGAATCATTTCATTATCCTGTTTCTGTTGCCATTTTCATCTTTCAGAGAGGTTGAAAATAGCCTGAACATGAATAGACAAGTTCTAGATGGTTGTTGCTTACCTCGTTTGTTGGCTGATATGATTGAAGAGTCGCTGTGATGATCCATGTTAAGGCAAAAAGCTCATAAGTTACAATTAAATGGGTATGAATAGTATTACGAACACATCGCAAGTCTCTAATAAATAAAATAAAATGTAGTTTCGTTAATTGTTGGATAATGGATAAGAAAAGAGCAAATTGTACAATTTGTGAAATCTGGACCGTAAAAAGTTTTAACTTAGGCTTTTACCAAGCAATTTAACCAATGTTACCTTTTCTGGTTGTTACCTAAAGACACAATAAACACAATTGTCACATTTATGCACAAACTGAGAAAGCAATTGACATAAATGGGCAAAAACGGGTAGAAATTGATTTATTTCAAATTTAGACTCTGATAGTTTGAAACGACATAAAAACTGAGTCTATTTATTTGACTTTTAAGTTTCTCTGGTGAACAGTTTTCGAGAAAATCGCGTTCAAAGTTGAAACTTCGATTGCCTTTTGTACGATTATGGAAGCAGATTTTTTGATGTAACTTCATTCAATGGCATAGCTTTTCACGGTCAACCAGAAAATGCGTTTGTTACGAGAAATAAAATTTTCTGTTTTCTGGAAAACAGATAAGTTCGATTCTCATTTAAACTGGCCTAATTCTGTTAGCGGAATAGTTAGAGAGCTTAAATTTGTGATTCGTATATGAAAATGGACAGTGCAAATCAATGATTAAACATTCTTTTCTATTCATCGATAGTTCTCTTGATTACGGCTATTGGCATCGAAACTTTAGACCTCAATATTTCGAGAACAGCATCACCTCACGTCGTTATTCTTTGCCCAATAATTAAATTGCATAATGGCAATAACAAACTGACAAATAAGATTGAATACTAATGAAAGTCTGGGCTAATTGATACAATAATGAACATATAACCCAATACATAGACTTACAACCAGAAAAGCAAACTTATTTGCATTCAATAGCGAAAGCTTATTATTAAACAGACTTAACAATCAAAAGAAGTACTGTCAAAGCTCGAAAATTGGAGTTAAGAATTTAGATCTGGTAGTAAATTGTAGACAGTTGTAAATTGTGTCCATTATAGCTATCAAAAAACTTCTACGATCAATAGTTTTATCGAAAATCGAGGTCAAAGTTGAAACTTCGATTCGCTTTTGTTGAATAATGGAAGCAGATTCAGCAATGAAACTCATTTCACTGGTGCAGCTTTTGATGCTCAATCAGAAAATGCCTTTATTTTGATGAATAAAACTTTCTTTTCGAAATAAAACAGATAAGTTCGATTCTAAGTTAAACTGGCCTCATTCTGTAACCGAAAGTGTTGGAGGGCTTGAACTTATGATTCGTATATACAAATTTCCGTTTCATATCATAGACTGAGTAATTTTTCCACTTCATCAATAGTTTCCCTGATTTTGGCAATTAGCTTCGAAACTTTGAACCTTAATATTTCGAGAATTATAGTACCTAAAATCTTCATTCTTTCACGAATCATTAGATTTCATTATGTTCTATGATACAATGGAATTTGGATCATCCAAGATTCTTCGAAAAAAAGTTGAAGCATTTTATTTGTTATGTTACCAGATTTTAGACTTAATTTATAAAGATAAATGTTTTGCAAACACAAATGTTAGAAGGATGTTCATTATTGTATCAATTAGCCCAGCTTTTTAATCAAGTTCATCAGTTTGTTATTGCCCATATTAATATCCTATGTATGGTTAAAGAATGATGATCGTAGGTGCAATTATTCTCGAAATATTAAGGTTCAAAGTTTCGATACCAATGGCCTAAATCTGGAGAACTATTGACGAAATGAAAAAATTATTCAGTCTATGATGTAGACTGTCAATTTTTATGCACGAATCATAAATTTAAGCTCTCCAACTCTTACGGTTATAGAATGAGGCCAGTTTAACTTAGAATCGAACTTATCTGATTTATTTCAAACGGAAAGTTTTATTCATCAAAATCATTGCATTTTTTGGTTGAGCATTGGAAGTTACATTATTGGTATGAGTTTCATTGTTGAAACTGCTTCCATAATTCAATAAAAGCGAATCGAAGTTTCAACTTTGACCTCGATTCTCTGGAAAACTATTGATCGTAGAAGTTTTTTGATAGCACTAATGGACACAATTTTCAAGTTCCTACAATTTACTACCAGATCTAAATTCTTCATTCCAATGCTCGAGCTTTGACAATACTTCTTTTGATTGTTATGTCTGTTTAACACTCAGCTTTCACTATTGAATGCAAATAAATTTGCTTTACTAGTCTCAAGACAATGTATTGTGTTATATATTCATTATTAGTCAAATTAGCCCAGATTTTCTTGGCCAGTCATTCATGTTTGTCAGTTTGTTATAGCCCATTATGCAATCTAATGATTCGTCAAAGAATAATGATTGTGGTTGCGATTGTTCTCGAAATATTAAGGTTCAAAGTTTCGATGGCAATGTCCTAAATCAAGAAAACTATTGATGAAGTGAAAAAAGTATTATATCGTCGATATATCCTGTCCATTTTTATACAAGAATCATAAGTTTAAGCTCTCCAACGCTCACGGTTAAAGAGAACGGCCAGTTTAACCACGAATCGAACTTATCGATTTTATTTCGAAAAGAAAATTTTATGCAGTAAAATAAGTATATTTTCTGGTTGACCACCAAAAGTTACATTAGCAAACTGAGTTTCATTGCTTAATCTGCTTCCATAACTGAACAAAAGCGAATCAAAGTTTTACCTTTGAACTCGACTTTCTCAAAAACTGTTCATCAAAGAAACTTTAAAACTGTACAAATCGACTCAGTTTTTATGTCCTTACGAAATCTGCATTTGCAAGATATCAATTTCTGGTCCATTTTTTCAATTTTTACATAGATTTGACAGTTGTGTTAATTGTGTCTTTTTAGTAACAACCATCTTTTTGTAGATCAAATTGCGCATTTAAATAAGTTATTAATTTATATTGCTCTTTCGCTTACAATTATTACAAACATAATTACTAAGCTATAAAATTTATGATCAAGAGTCAGTTCAATAATACTCACTTGAAATATAAAAATATAAACAATGCTGTGGTTAATGCTAGAAGTGAAAGTCCGTAGCCAAAATAGTATATTGTTGAAGCATCTTTTGCATTCCAGATGTCCTGAAGAAAGCAGTATAAATGATTGAAATGATCAATAATGAAACAATTAAGGATTGAAAAACAATTGATTAACATCAAAACATAAACTTACTGAATAACTTGTAGGAATCAGCTCTTCTGGTGTGATGGGTTCACACAATGAATAGTCCGACTTCTCAGCCCAGGTTCCATTGGATAAACACAATTTAGATGCATTTTCTAGTAGTTAAATAGCAATTGTAGAGTTGAATTGGAGTTAAATTGGAGTTTAATTGTAAATCTAATCAAAACTTACGAGAGGAATCATAAGGAATACCATTTAACTCCTTAAAACAAGGAATAATTGCTAACTGATTGATAGGAGTCGTTGGCCAGCAAGATATCCTATCCCAAGTAGCCTGGCAATAGTTTGAATTAGTGTCTATTGACAAAACCAGAAAACTGATTAAAATTGAATTTTCATTTTTAATTTTGTTCAATAAAATGGGTTAAATTAAAGCTTTCAATCTTCTTACCAATTGGCTTTGAACTATTTTCACAGGCAATTGCCTCGGTTAAATTGCTGACAAAATAATCATTTGAATTGAAACTATCATCGATTCCGTAAAAATCATTCAGGCTATTTAAACCGTTCTCTTCGGTTAGGTTAAATATTATCATTACTTTCAATCAATCCTTCCAAATGATTAGTCATTTAAATTGTTTCTTATGTTTTCTTATTGATTTCCTTGGTCCATCTTAACCAGCTTCGTCATCAAGTGTACCATTGAACCATCAATTTTTGGTGTAAATCATCTTTAAATTGGAAATGTTGGACTGAAATGAGAAGGAAATTTATTTTTAAAGCCAATGTTTAATAGCAATTGGATTCAATTGTATAACCTTGATAGTCAAACAATTAGCAAAGAACGGATGAAATGGGTTTAAATTGTGGTTTAAATTGATTCCGGTTTTGGGTTTTATTTCAATCTGGTTTTGTTTTCAATCCAGACTATTGTTTAAGCATGTTTATAGTGATTTCATAGTCTATCAGTTGGATGATTCAACAAGATTAATTGGAATTGATCAATTTGCTAATTCAATCATCAATTATACCTTTCAGATTTTGGGTTTATTTTGTCTTATTCAATCTAATTTAATCCAAATCAATCCTAGCAAATGATCAACAGATTAAACCTCTATATCTGTAAGTAAATAAATTAAATTGTTAAGGTTAACCATTGTGTTTAATTATTGTCAGGTTTATTGAACTGAATCAGTGATTTTTAACTTCAATTAGCTTAAATTGTCTGGTTTTACAAGCAACATTCAATGGAAAAGCTGGAAAACCCAAAAATTCACATTGACTTGGATATCATTTTTGGGTTTACCGGATTTAACCCAATGTTGTATTAAACATTATTTATTTGGAAGATGATTGAGTAAATTATTGCTACAATTTTGTTACAATTAGCTAATTCAGTGGTTAATGTACAGCAAGCATTACAAGGTTAAGATTTTGTTGCTATAAACAAGTTGATTGGGTTTGATCAATTTTTGGGTTTAAATTGTGAAGCAAGTGAAACATTAACAAATTGAGAGAAACAATCAAATACACTTTTAACTATTAACTTTTGCCTGGTTAGACAATTAATAAATTGGAAAGAAATCGTAAGAATTCAAATTATCATGCACAAGTGGATCAATGCCAACCTTCAATATCTCATTCAATTGATACGTTGAAATGAGCCTGGTAAATATGATTAATAATAGTGCTTAATAATGTTATTATTACAAGTAAATCACTTGTTGTTGACATGAAGCCAATAAGTACTTGGAAATTGTAAATCAGATAATCACTAATTAAGTTGTAAGCAGGAAAAAAGACGATGAAATACATTGACCAAAATTAAGACTGAAGACTGGCTTTGATTTTAACACTTGATTTCATGTGAATTAGTTGACTTTCAATCTGATATTTTGAAAGATTTATCAGTTGATTGGTGAGATGGTTAATCTTGATTGAAATTTTAACTCAGTTGCCAGGTAATTGTTGACTTTATAATTACATTTTGTTGATTTCCTGAGACACCAACAAATAACAGCCAATGTATACAAAAGAAACGTTGAAAGCGGCACAAATGAGGAATCCACTTGAGAAAGATATTCACAATTTTCATTATTTATACCAATGAATTCAATTAATCACCTACTTGATGATATATCAAACTGTCAAGTTGATTAATGCAATTACAGTCAAATCATCACAATCAACAAATCCAGGTTGGGGACAAAGTAAAGACAAACTGTATTCCTGCAAATTGGACTACAATGGATCAGCTACAAATACAATCAAAATTTTCCAATAGCTACTAAATTAAGTAAATAATAGCTAATTAATCCAGTTCAATATTAACATAATTACTGAATAATAAGAGATGAGAATCAAAATCCCAAGTAAAAGATCGCTCAAGTCATTACATTGTATATTTTATAACTACATTGGGTAAAAACATTGGGTTTTATGGTTGGTAAAGAAACCAGATTTGGGTTCTTCTTTGGTCGCATTTTTACCATTTTATATGCTGGCCAGTAAATCACTAATCATCAACAGTTAATTAATTCTGGTTAAACATATAAATTAATGGTTAATTTATACACTTTAATATGATAATAAAAGAAACGTTTTAAGAATCAAATTTCAAGGTTTACATGAAATTTGGAAACACCAAAGCAAATAAAATCCATTGGAAGCTGAATGTAACAAGTTGTTATGGAAGCGATTGATGCAATTTTGGTTACAACAAGGAATGGATCAAATTTGGTTGTGTGTTCAATTAGTTAATTGCGATGATCATTAGTATGATTTGTTAACTAGATTGGAAGTTAATTTAGAGGAGAAACAATAAATTGTTGAACCGTTAATGCGTTGTGTGTTTGTGTACAAAATATTCAGGTTAAGTAACATATTGACTTGTGAGTGTGTTGTTAGTGTAAATAATGTGTATTATAATCAGTATTATTGTGATTTATATTATTAGCTTAATAATCTGGATGAAAGGGCGATCTGATTGTCGGTCAATAACCTAATCTATCATGTTAAGAGTAATGTAAGTGTCTTTGTGATTAAAGATGATTCCTAACTGTAATAGTATCACTGGTTAGGTTTTTCCCGTTTCATGAAAAAAATCAACATTCACACCAATAAACCATCATAACGTGTAAATCCTGAGCAATGATTTATAATTTTTAGCAATCAACTTATCCGATTATCCAATTCATTAACACATTAATTTATAAATAGTTTAATCAACAGTTAATATACATAAATCAACCCGCTTCTCGTTAATCCAGGGTAAGTCCAAGGTATTAATTGATTATTAAACATGCTTTAACCATAAAAGAAATAGATTGAAAATAAAATGGGTAAATCCGTTTCAATTGATCACTGTTATCGGAATTAAATTAAGCAACCAAATTAGTAAATTATTTGCTTAAGATGGTCAACTGATCAATCTGTTGATTGTCATGTGAATTAATTTTAGGGAAAAGTATCAATTGAAAGGTTAACCATTTGTTTAACAAAACATGTTTTGGGTTTTACATTGAAAAATATTAAGTCACTGTTCATTGTTTACCAGTTTAGGCTTTAATTCACTGGTTAACCCATCATTATGTTTAAATTGTAATTATTACAATCAAATCTCAAGGTTTACTGCTTTTATTGTATCATTGATTTAGATGATTGCAATCAAATGGTTATAAATTTTGTTCAACTACTGCAATCCAAGGAGGTTCAGTTTCTACCTTTGCAGACATATTTTTCAAGTTAAATTTTTGGGTTAACCAGAAAAATTGGTAACCAGAAATGAAGATGTTGGTGAAGTTATATTTATAAATTGGTTAACCTACCTTTGGATATTAGGTCTTTGATTAACTCCACAATCCAATTTGATTTATGATTTTCTTCTTCTTCTTCTTCTGATTCACTTCATTTAAATTTGATAAGCCTTGTTAAACAATTAGAGTTGGTGGTTAACGACACTTAATTGCATTAAATGTTGATAGTTATTGGAGTGTGTTTAAGAGTTGAAGGATTAGAAAGATCACACACTGAATAGCAATAGATTAATAAATAAGACGCAAATTGTTGTGATAATCACTTGAATAATTGTTTAAATGTTCAGCTAATTCCTCCAATTGAAAGTAAAACAATGTTAAGATGTAATAAAAAGTTATACAATAAAACTGCAGCACACTTTCAAGTTAAATTGAATCAAAGGTAAGAGACTTGCATGATGATGATAAAGATTATAATGAAGACGCTGATGATGATGATTATCATGATTATTATTATTGATGATCAGGCTGATGAGAGAAAGAGAGAGTAAAAGTGAGTCTACAAAGATTATTTGCTGGCAGCGCAATCGCTGATAATATATCAATGCTGATTCTCAAAGTTATTCAATTTCTTTCGTATTTATCTTCGTCTTCTTTCCCATTTACCTTCCTATTTTAATCATCATCATCATGTCTTCCTTTAGTAACATCAACAATGTACCGAAAATCGCGTTATAAATGTCTTTTTGGAGTTTCCGTGTTTAAACTCAGCTGGCCTCATCACTTTCATCGTTCACCTTTTTTTGTTCAACAATTTAAGCGATTTTATTTTTTCATTTCAATTTCGGGATTTCGATCAACCATTTATGTCAAATCACAATTAACCAAAGTTAGTGCATGGTTTAACAATAAAAATTTAGCTGAAAATTGGGTTTTTACAAAGATTTGGAGCAACCAGAGTTACTCTAACAGGTAACTTGGGAGAGATTTTGGTGCAAATTGTTTTGATCAAATTTGATAATTATATTGTTGCGATTGTTAATCATTTTGTAAATCATTCAAAAGCTTAAAAGCAGGTTTGTCTCAAGTAGCTGATCCATCCTCAGAGACAATATTGCTTTTGTTCCGTGTTATTATTTATGAGCTTGTAAGTGGGGATTGGGATTTTTATTCAAATATTTGATTCTGTTCGTTGATTCTACAGTGTTTTGAGTTACAAAAATTACAAGCATGAATTTTAATCTTTAGCTGACCTCAGAATGTTTCGCTGTTGCAGAAATTCAAGGAGAGTTAGATGACTTAGAAACCGGTGGAGTGAAAAATCCATTCAGAACTATCGCCTTATGGGAAATTTTGTAAGTGAATTTATGCATTTTTATCATTTCTTAGATGCTCCAAGTCTGGAGACTTCGAGGAAAACGGTTTACTAGTTTTTACCAAATATTATGGACAGTCGACATTAAGAAATATTATTTAACAAAATAATATAATTGTCGGTTTCAAATCTTGAATAACATGCAAATTCACCAGCTAATTGTTCCTCACTCAACCGAATAAATTGAAAAATCTTTTATCTAATGTTGAATTATCTGATCGAATGCATCATTCATGGTGATGACACTTAATAAAAAGCTCAATCTGTCTAATCAAGATTAAGGAGAGATTATTAAGAAACAAAGTGTTGAATCCTAGACTCGAGAAGATCTTGGCACTTAAATCAATCGATTTGTGAAATAGAAAGTGATTTTCTGATTTCGACTAAAAAATAAGATTTATTATCACAGACATGACAGACATGAAAACTGTACACGAATGAAGGTAGTCTTCATTAAACTGTGAGTCCAATTTTATCAAAAAGGGTATGGCACTAGTTCCATAAAAAACGAGTATGGAGGGATTAGGATTGACTATGAAACTATTCTTAATCCGTGACAATTGTAGCCGCAAACGAAATGTAAAGTTATCATGATTTGTTACAATTGATAACAGTGAAGACACTTAAATCAAATGTAATCCAATGCAATTTGCTATTATTTAATTGTTCATTTCTGATGAGCAATAAGAGGATTCAATTTTATTCAAAAATAAAAAATATTTTATTGAAATGTATATAATGATTACAAAGGTTTGTACGATAATCAAGAGATGGATAACTGATTGTTTCCAAAGCTGGTCATCTTAGCATTACCGTCATTCAATCATGATATTGGGTAATTAATTAAACTGATGTTGCTAAGGATATTAGATTTTAAGTATTGAAATTATTTGACTGTTAATAATTCGGTTACTATGCATATTTTAATTTCAGTCTGAATGGCTGATCGAACTACGTTTTTAACTATGAATATTAACTCAGATGAATTTAAGTTAATCTTAGGATTATGATTCTTCAATCAACATGGTAATCCGATTTTCCTCCAGTTTTCTGTATAAGTTTGATGTCTTTGATTACCATTGATTTATTTGCTGATTTACACATGTCATAAATTGTCAGAGCAGCGATTGAAACTCCAGTTAAAGCTTCCATTTCGACTCCTGTTCGATTAATTGTTGTAACAAAACAATTGACTTCAATTTCTGTTTCTCTCACTGTAAAGTCCAATGATATCTTGGTCAGAGGAAGAGGATGGCACAATGGGATTAAATTAGATGTTGATTTAGCAGCCAATATACCAGCTATTCGAGCAGTGGACAAAACGTCACCTTTTTTCACTTGATTATTTTTAATCAGCGAGATGACCTTAGAGCCAGTTGAAATTGTTCCAGAGGCATGGGCAAAACGCTGGGTAACCTTTTTATCCGAAATATCAACCATCTCTGCGTCTCCATATTTATTAATATGACTCAATTGATTACCATCCAATAATTGAGATTCATTTTCCGAAACATCACCCTTACCATCGCTTTTATCGTTTTTCTTGCTTGTTGTAGTCGACGGAGAGGTCGAAAACATCCTCTTAGCTAACCAGAATACATAATATATTGATATAAATATATCTTTAGATTAACAGTTTTGCAAGTAAATTGAAAATGGAAACCCATCATTCGTCTTCACCCACCAATTAAGATCATCGGTTTGTTTGTTGATTTTGAAATATTGATGGCTCCTATTAATTGTAACGAAATGTAAAAAAAGCATTAAGATAGTGATGTTATTAATTCTGTGATTAACTTGCAACTTGACTGCTAAGTTGTTTACAATAGGAATAAAGTAATACCTGCATGTCGTTCACGCTTTTTAGATAATGCAGACTGGATCAACTTGATTATCTCTTGATCACTCCAACCTGATCTTAGTGGGTCTCTTAATGAAACTTCTTCAGATCCGAAGAGACAAACCTAAAAATAGAAAGTCAAGTATTAACAATGATACAACGTGTTTCTACAATTAGAACTAGAAATGCTTTTTCCTTCACTGTTACCTTAAGGTTACCATTTGCAGCTATTCGAAGACGATTGCAGGCTCCACAAAAATTTTGTGTCATTGATCCAATGAAACCGATTTTACCTTGAAACCCGTTAACTTGAAAAAGCTGAGCAGTATCACTTGGATGATCTTTGGGTAACGATTTTACTTCATATTTGCTCTTGATTGTTGCCATTATTTCATGTGCTGGAAACATTTTTCCATAAGACCATTTATTATCATCGAAAGGCATGTACTCGATGAATCGAACCTCTAACTTCTTGTGTTGAGTAAGTTCAACAAAGGAAAGTATCTCGTCATCATTTAAACCTCTCATCACAACACAATTAATCTTTACTGTTTTAGGTAAATCGGCTTCCAGACATCGCTCAATTGAATTGAAAACAGCACTGAAACCTTTCCTACGAGTGATAAATTCAAACTTTTCCGGTCTCAAAGTGTCAAGAGATATGTTTACAGAGTCAAGTCCTAAAAATGACAAAAAAGAAAGGGATTAACTCAATTATCATCACTTCTATATTAAGATTCAGGAATTACTTCAGAATTTACTTCGGAATTTGATAAAAATGAAAAAGTACCCTATCTTGACTAATGGATGATAATTTAAAACAAATCAAAATAATCACAAGTAGGAAGTTTGAAAAACAATTCAAGCTCACCAGAAAATCAGATATTTAGAGGAAGAGTCAATAATAAATAATTTACCTGATTCAACAAGCTTTTTAATTGAACGACCAAGAACAAGACCATTAGTGGTTATGCCAATATTTAACAAACCAGAAGCTTTTAGAGCAGTTAGATCAGCAACAATTTGAATACAATCTGACCTGACTAACGGCTCACCTCCAGTTAATTTGATTTTCTTGACACCGAGCGAGGCAACAAATAACTTAGCAAGCCGGATAATCTCATCTCTCTGCAGCAAAGATTCCTTTGGTGATAAAATTACTCCATTTTCAGGCATACAATATGAACACCTCAAGTTACATCTTTCAGTAAGACTGATTCGCAAGTAGTCATGTTTACGACCAAATGAATCCTGAAGGAATCTTGGTTTGACTGTAGACGATGAAGCAGAAGATGATGTTGAAAAATGGGTCCATGAGTATGTTATATAGCGTTTGGCAATATCTTTGAAAAGTAGCTGGTTAAGAGGTAGCAACATTTTTACAGAAAAAATCACAAAATCCTTTTACGTTTATTTGATTTCACTTGATAATATCATCTTATGATCTTACGATGTCAATTTATTATCAATTATTTAGACAAAGCACAAAGCAAACAATAGAAATAAAAAATATGACTGAATGATTGTAACAAACAAATGTAGATAACTTTGATAATGAAGAAAGGGAAAACGGCGGCTAACAAATGTCTTTTGTTTTCAATCATAAGGGGATCATTGAGTAACTATAAACAGTTGCAATTTACACAGATTTTAATTAATTTTTCCAATAATTTATCATTTCTTAGATTTCAACCTAATCAAAATCACTCGCAACAATCACAAAGAAATTTAAGATTAAATATGCTTTCCAATTCTGTTAAATATGAGTTCTATGCTAACTGTTCATTGAATTCTAGAAAAATTCTCGAAACAATTCATTTCGCTTAATAATCTTAGTTAATAATCTATTGTGTTTTCTTATTTCGAACGAATTAATTGTTTTTCTCAGAATCTATGATAAATTAAAGGTCAGGAGTTTAGTTATATTATTATTTTACTGATAATCTAACTGTAATTTATTATCTTCCACCTTGTCCATGAAATTCATACAAGTTAGTAACTATAGTAGTGCCATCTTTTATTTCTTGAGCTAGCTATACTTGATTTTTTCATAAACATTCAAATAAACATTCGTATTACAATTTCAATTGTAATTTTATTAATTTTTAATCGTTTTATTAGTGAATTGCTCAACTGAGCCCTCGATGTCTCTGTTAAAAAAAGTTTATGATTTGTGTGATTACGAAGTATTTATGATGATTTTATTCATATTAAACTTTAATGGTTAAAGACCATCAAAAATTGCAGTTATTGAACATCTGGTTGAATCGTCATCGCTTAATAGGTTTCTCCAGACAACTCTTTCATGAGTAGCTTCTTTTAAGCTAAAGTCTAGAATAAATTCAAGAATTTATACAATCATTGCTTGAACCTGTTTTTTTATTATACCTGTGATTCCACTTCGTCTCATTCAGCTTTTCATCAAACCGCATCAAATCGAGCTTGGATTATAATTTTCTGATTACTATCTGTATTCTCGACGAAACAATGGAAAGGAATCTAAATTTTCAAGCATTGGACAATAATTTTACCATTTAATCAACCTCCTCATGCTTTGATAATGAAAACAATACCAGAACTGGCAGTGAATCGAAAAGGACGATTTTTCTAAGCAAATGGCATAATAGAGGTAAAACAATGCTTTCAAAAAACATATCATAATCTCGTGATTTGTTTAAGCCACATCATTTTGAATCTTCTATCTCTTTCACAATTCCGATAGTGATGGTTAATTCAATGCTTCGCTATCAATTGGTCAACTAATTAGTACATTGATTAATGCTAGACTTTATAATTTACTGATAATTTTGAATCAGGCTTTAAATGATGAACATTGGGTGGTCAGTGACATTGACATAGCTTTAACTGAGCTAAAGATATTTCAAGATTTACCCGATTTTTGAAAATCACATTTGATTATTTTACTATTTTTATCATCAAAGATAATATAACAAAGCATATCAAATCGATTAGGTCATCAAATTGAAGATGATTATCAGAGCTTAATCAATGGTATAAAAAAGTGATCTCATCAGAAACACAGTCACTTTTGTTTTAATTATTACATTTGGTGCATAATTAATTTAAACCATTATTAAACGTTTAACAACCATGATTAAGACATTCTCTTTATCTGTCCTCTTTTTAGGTCTCATCTGTTCTTCCCTAGCTTCTCATGTTCCCGAAGATGACGAACAAGATCCAAATGAGTTTGTCGACTCCATTCTGACCATTGCTGTTAAAAAGATACATGAACAAGGTGCCATCAGTATTCCTGGTAAACATAAAGTAGGACCATTTGGACTATTAACCATTCAAGATGTGGCTATCCTTGGCATTCAAAATATCTCGAGACGCGGAGAAGCTCACATCAGAGGAGTTGAGGTAAATTTCAATTTAACAAAAGATGATTTGTGCGAATGAATGATAAACTCCTTTTTTTGTATCTTTCAAATTTTCAGGAATCTGGAATCATCTATGTTAACACATCATTCACTTTGACCAATATTCGGGCTAATTCAAGTTTTGTTGTTAATCTACCAATGAAGGGAGCCATGAGAGTTACCGCAACCTCCACCATCGCCCGAATTGACTTGACAGTCCGAGCTCAATACAATCCTGCCAAAGGAACCCTTACACCTGAAGCAGTCCACATTGACTCCTTTAGTGGCGTGGTAACTGTAGTTAAAGGATTGGGTCCATTCAACCCGATCGTTGAAAAAATGACAACAATCACAGCTGACGTCTTGGAAAGGATTATCGCCAAAATATTGAACATCACCATTGAACATACAATCGATGGACTAGTCATCACCATTCCCCAAGAGTATTAAGATAAACCATTAGGAAATCCGTTCAGCAGGTTCATTTGGTGAGACTCAACAGCATTCATCTTAACACAGATGCTAATGTAAATACATCATAACCAATGGACCTAATGAGAAACCTGATCAAGTCTTTCATTTTACAATCTTTTACTCGACGACCAATTTTACATGGAAATGATTCCCTCTTATTTTGTTTATTACAGTTAAAATAGTAACCTAATCTATTATCAAGTTAATCAAATCTTTACATTATAATTTAAAAGAATTGTGACGAAAAAAACTCATGACAAATGACGTTCATGATTAAACTGTTGGTAAATTTCAATCAACCAGCTAATACAAAATGATTTGGCAAACAAGAAAAACAACAAGTGAACAGGAATGAAAAAATTCAAGGTAAATTATTAACAATCAAACATACGGAATAAACCAACTGGTTGACTATCAACAGATTGTTTTAGCCATTTGAAAAGTGAAAACGGTAAACTTGAAATTGGGTTAAGCATGAAATCTTGAAATTAGTTGATCGCCCAAGAAGGCAACTAATAGATTTAAAAGAAAGATTAAATTGTCGTTTATTTATTCAATGGTGTGAAAGACCATACAATTAGATGGCAATTATTTTACATAATTAAATGTTGTGCCCATTGTTTGTTTACAAGTGTATATTATATAAGTTGGTTTTTTTCCTGCTCAACTTACCAATTGAATTGTGACAATTTAGGTGATAATATTGATAATAATAAAACATTCGTTGTCACCTAAATTAAAAGGGTAATAGTGAACAAAATTGTCTTAGTAAATTGTAATTTAAATCCACTAGATAACACATAAAAAAAGGTTGAACTCTCAACCCAATCGGTTGTTTATCGAGAGGGATAAAAATTATAGATGTCGATGGATCACGGAGCAAGATTAGACTTGAAATCCTTTTAAATTGTGTGTTAATTGGTAATCAGCAGATTCCACCAATCACAGTTAATAATTAAGCACAAAACCAGTTCAAATCGTACTAGATTTGACCTGTTGTCATGTTGGACAATTTGACAACTAAAAATATAATAAATGGATAAACAGAAGAAAAAGATTGATCAGTATTAACATTGAAATTAACAATTAATTTTCTATAAATGGGTATAAATAATAATCAAATATTGTGGAACAGATAATAGAGATTAAAAGGTAAAAATGCGAAATGTTAAAAAAACATTGATAAATGGTATTTGTTTTTGCAGCAAAAAGCAAGGCCTTAACCAGACAATTAAGATTTAATAGTAATATATATTATTTACAATTAAGAGAAGCAAAAGATACATTGTACATACTTTTGTGTGTTAAACTGTTCAGTTTGAGTTGTCTATTGAAAATTGTGATTAAAAAAAGTGTTTAAAAAAAGATGATCTAAAATGGTTTCTCTCTTTCAATTAGTATTATTGTGATTCTCGATCAACCTTTTGATTGTCACACTCAATATTAAAATTGCCAACCAAATTGACTTACCTAGTTAAGGAGAGCAAATTAAAATTTATAATTTCAAATCAAACTAACACTTTCATTTTGCTTCAAATAACAATCATAATTATGAGTGTTGTTGCATTCATTTGCTGTTACTATCACTAGTTATAATCATCGTTGTTGTAGTCGTAACAGTAATTATCAATGATAAATAATATGTATATATATATGAAAAAAGGTAAATCAAAACCGGATAAAGGTTCAAATTTCAGGTTGAAAAATCAATTGATTGCTAAATTGATTGTTAAATCCAAGCCATTAGTCAACTGCATGTTAACATGCAACGTGAATCTCAAAATAAGTTGATACACACAGAGTAACATTTGTAAAGTTAAAAAAAAGCAATGAGATGAGCTTACTTTATAACAATTTGAATTTTTTCCGCAGTAAACTCAAATGGATGGACAAAAAAAAGAAGGAAAAAAAGAGGATTTTCAACTATTCAACCAATCTCATACAGCATAATTTGTTTACCATGTTAATCGGATGTTGATTGAGTGTACGTGTGTGTATATTAATATTATATCACGTTATAAGTAATTAACAGTGTGATTGGTGGAAGAAAAGGGTAAAGTTTTTGTATATAAATTTTGCTTGTGTTACGCTGGTTCGTTTTTAAAAGGATTGTTAAGCCCAACCTTGGCCCGTGATCGTACATTGTTAACAAGCTCCTGCGCTGCCATGGTAGGAGAATTGTTGGAAATAAGGCAATTCTTCCTCTTCCGATATGGAATTTAAATTGTTAGGACCTGGAGGTGTTAATTTAACTGATTCCCCAGTAAATTCAGAGTCGAAGTATCTGGTATCAGTTTCAGAAGTAACAGCTGGTTTGAATGGAGGAATAACCTGAAAAAGATAGTAAACAAGAAGTTATTAGGATTCAATGTTATATTTTTTTCAATTATGGATGATAGACAGGCAAAGGAATGCTGACTAGAGAGCAAGTTAACTTGACTCAGTGATAATGCATGTATTTATTATAATTTCATAGGTTGATGATAATGTCTATGATTATTAACTGGTTTTATAGAATTGTTATTTTATTATCTTTTTTTCATCTTTCATCACTCTCTCTCTTCTCTTTTCATTTCTTTCTCCTGAGTTCATGTTATTGCCCATTTTGCTTTTATTTTCATCATACCTTTTTTGCAAGGACATCTTCCCAATTGATTCCGGAAAAAAATGCATGAACCATGATTTCTTTTGCATCATTTGGTCCACCACCGAGACGTTTTTTAGGATCTTTATTGAGTAAGCCTGCTAGAAGACTTTTAGCTTCAACTGAAAGATTTCGAGGGAATTTAATTTCCTCCATTAAAATAAGTTCAAACAGGACATCGTGATCTCGGTCGTAAAAAGGTAACCGACCACACATCATTTCATATGTAACGACACCTAAGCCCCACCAATCAACGGCACGGCCATAATCAGTGTCTTCAAGAATTTCTGGGGCCAAGTATTCTGGTGTTCCGCAGAATGTTTTTGTCGTTACACCCCAATTAATGTCTTCCTTACAAAGGCCAAAATCGGCAATCTTAATATGACCATCTCGATCCAACAATAAATTTTCAAGCTAAATGAAGTAATGTGATAAAAAGAAAAGAGAAGATTAATCTATTGATTGAAGATAAGTAAATGTGATGATCAAAAAGATTCAGCAAGATGACGACAATTGAAAGGAGAAAAATGATGATGATGATGATGATGAAGAGACAGGATTTAGAAAATATTAGAAAAGTAAAGCAAAAATAAGGGGAAAATAAGTGAGACAATGAATAGCGTGTTGTTATTGTGTTTTGAGAGCCAAGAATTTATGAAAAGCTTATGATGAAATGGATGATGTGTATTGGCAAATTTGTGAATATTGACAGAGAATGATGATGATGATGATGATGATTGGCATGATGACATAGGCAAGGAAAAACAGGGAAAGATAGAGACAAAGAGCGAGAGAGAGAGAGTGATAGTAATAAGAGCGGGCAAACAGAAGAGAAAAAAAAGTTGTAAACAGAAACAATGTGTTAAAATGTTAGATACACAGTGATAATAATGAAGAGAGAAGGAAAATTAGAGAAAGAGAAATGATAAAACATGGGGAGAAAGCTTGCAGGGGAAAATGAGAGATGAATGAGATGTATGACGGTGAAGAATACTATGAACATGAAGATAACCATTTTGTTTACCTTTAAGTCTCTGTATATGATTGATCGTGAATGAAGATAATCGAGAGCTAGAAGTATCTCACTGGCATAAAATCTTGTTCTATCTTCGGTAAATATCCTTTCCTTTGACAGATGGAAAAACAATTCACCTCCATTAACATATTCTATTACGAAGCATAGTCTATGATCAGTTTGAAATGAATATTTCAGTGTCTAAGGAAAAAAAGTGAAAATTGGGGAAAAAACGAATAAATTAGTAAATTTTTTGTTATTGTTTTTGTTGACATAAATATAAAGCGTGTAAGTGAGCAAACAATTGATTCAATGTTCATCAAAAATAATCAATCAATCAAAATATGGAGAAATTCAGATAAATAGAAAGAATGTGAAGATAAGACAAAATAATAGAAAGATAATATTTCTGAGTTATTGAAATACTGTTAGTCGAAAGTAATGCAATGAGAAAATTGTGATATCTGTTGAGAAAAACAGAGAAAAATGTATTGAATGTATCTTTAGGAGGAAATGATAACTAGTATCAAAAAGTAGGTAAGAATCTTGGTGCAAAAGTTACAGATAAATGCAAGTGGAATGATGAATAAAAAATATCATTAAAGGTAAATCGGATGAGAAAAGTGAAAAAATATCAATAAGATTGATAATGTGTTTTGAAAATATTTTAACAAAAATTAATTGATTAAGGGCATCGAACTTGAAATCATATGAATTCATGAAGTTATTAAAATCATTTTTTCAAGATAAAATATTCAAAGTGGTTTTGAAAACACAGAATGATTAAGAAAGTTAAGGTTATGAGCCTGATCATGGACCCCTCGTCAAATCCTGAATGTTAGGTAAGTGACCAGAGATACATTGGGATACACCGAGTATTTACGCATCTAGAATATTTTTATTCTGGATTACTGAAGATAAGAAATAAAAAAGATGAAGATAATTGTTTTAGAAGGGTAAAAATGAAATATTGCTCCTATTTAATTGAAATCTATTACTATTCATGATCCAACCTTGCTTCAATGTTTATTTTTGTCTCATGAAAATATTCAGACAACTTGGATGCATGGTTTTAACAACAACAACAGAGATTAAAAACAAACAGGTAAGCAAGTAAACAATAACAATTTCTGTGGCATTCAACCAAATTTAGAAAAGCAGGAAGAAAGGGAAGAAAGGAAGGTTAAATTGTTAGACATGCATCTAAATTAGGAAAGATGAAGTTAGATTAAAGGAAGAAATGAGTTGAATTGAATCAGTCAGATTAAATTATTGGTGTGTTTTGTTTGTCACCGTTTAATGTTGCATAATTTGCCGATGTTTAATGTTGCCAGAAAAGTACCAACATTTACAATTATGATTGCTACTGGTTTTTGTTGCTAATTGACTGTGTGAATGAGAGTTTAAGTGTTAATGTTTTGTCAAATGAACATTGAATGGCTAATAAATTAACCTTAAGAGTATTAACAGATTAGCAATTAAATTTCCCTATTTTGACAATCAGGAAAATAAAGGGCGACAAGAATATTAATTTTTCAATAGTAATGATCTTTGTGAGACTATTAAAGGGAGTGATGATGATCAAGAGGAGGAAGAAAGACTTACAACATTATCATTCATCAGAGTATGAACAAAATTGAAAAAAGCCGAGTCTTTCCTTATTATTTCACCTTGTTTCATGGAGCTTAAAGTGGACAAATATTATCAATTTAAACACGTTGTTAAACTATTAATTGAGTTTCATTTTGATTTACATTTGCTTGAGTAAAACTATTGTTGAGTAAAAGATGAATTGCAGTTATTTTTGTATTTTTAACCGCAATTACAATATAAAAAAAACAGTATTTCAAGATATTTTTGAACACTTTCTGCTTATAACCTTACCATTGTACTTTCATTTCAATGTGATGACAATATAATAACAATGTATCAATATAAGTGAAAAGTAAATTGCTTAATAAACCAAACAATCATTATAATTGCTAAGTATTATTGATAAAGCTTGTAGCAATTTGTTTCAGAAATCAAAGAAATAAAAACAAAGTATCAATTCAGTTGAAATATCAATAAGCTATTGATAACAAGTTAGTTTCAAAAGTGAAAACTCAAATTGAAATGGATTGATTAAAGAATTGAGTTCTTTGTCTTCATGGAGAAACTAGTAAACTTCAAGGTGAAGAGATTAAGACTGAAAATCGAAAAGAAAAAAAAGAGAAAAATAAGTGTACTTATTAAAAACATGGCGAGTTGAGAAGAGCAGACAAAGTTAACTTAAAACTGATTTGCAACACTTGATAAAAATGTGACTCTTTTTCACAATTTTAAAAAACAATCATTTCATTGAAGAAACGCTCAAGACGCATCTGGGTAATTTCATTCTTTGAGTTGACTTATTTGTTTCCATCATGAAAGAGTACTTCCGTATGTCTTTTCAGACCTAGGACAGAAACTATCATTATTTTGTCTGAGAGAGAAAGAGATGAAGAGATGAATAACTTGATGCTAATCATATTTGCAAGATGAATAATTTTCAACATTTTTTAAACTGTCTGGAGAAATACCATTGTCTTCTTGGCTTTTCTTCTGAGTTTTTCACATTCTTCAGCGCTTTTATAATACTATCATTTCCTTTTTATAACAAGAGATTGCAGAAATTCAATGTTTGGGTTACACTTGTTAGACAGATTTATAGATGAATGAACAATGAATGAACCATAACAAGGGCGGTGGTCAACTTACTATTAAAAAAGGATGATTAGTCCGTTGGAGGACGCTATTCTCGGTTAATGTGTGGGTTATTTCGTTTTTAGCAATGATCGCTTCTTTCTTTAAAACTTTCATAGCGTACAACTTTTTACTTGCTTTCTCCCGGCACAATACCACTTTGCCAAAAGTTCCTTTGCCTAGAACTTTAATGAACTCAAAATCGTCGAGACTCTAGATTGAAAGATTAGGAGAGAGAAAAGAACAAAAGATTATTAGAAAGATGAAGATGAAAGGGAACAATAACGGAAGGGAATTATAAATGGTAGGTTGTTAGGTAGGCAGGCAATAAAGGTAAACAGGTAGGTAGATAGGAATAGCTAAAAAATACGAAAAGTTGGAAGATGAAATTAAGAAAAATAAGAAATAATGAGAGAAAAAAACAGAGAGAAAGAGAAAGCTGAAGAAAGAAAGAAAGAAAGAATGGACAGAGGTAAAAAGAAAAGGATAAGAGATAGATTTGATGAGCTCTCAATTATGTTTCATTATAATTAACTAATCATTACGAAATGCACCAATTTACTGAATACACTCGGTGTTTCATCAATTAGCTGGAATTTTCGTTAATTTAAGTGTTTTATTTCTAGAATAGGGTAAGGACTAAGAACACTTGCTTTTGTATGGGCTTGGTCCATGTGCTTATTATTTCTAAAACAAGGTTTATTCAGTGGGCTCTCAGAAAATAATGAATTCAAGTGTAATGATTAAAGATTAATGAATAAATGGAATCAGAATCCATGAATTTCTGATAATATAAAGCTAAATTAAAATTAAATTTAAAAATTATAAATTCAGGAAATTGTGTGGACATTCGGGAATCGTCTGCCTTTGTTTAAATGCTTAAAGGTAATGTCATATAATGTTTGTAATTTGAGCTTCTCAAGCTTAATGTGGCTATAGGGGGTGGTATGTGATAAGCCACTCAGTCATACAAATGGCTAACTTCGGGTTGAAAAGGCCTAACATAATGGTTAGTTAAATGATAATGGGTACAAGACGGTATCATAGGTTGAAGTGTAAAGACAGGAAAATGAGGGGAATAATTAAGTTAAAAGAGTTAATTACAACTTTTTTGCCCTTTGATGTTGAACTGTTGCGGTTAATATTTAGCTTGCTGCTCATATCCTCATCTTCTTTGAGATCCATCATGTAGATGTCTTGATCATCAGCAGCCTCTATAAGTGAGGCAACATGTTCAATGGCATGGCACCATTCATTTCTGTCATTGTCAGTGTCAGCACAGAAAGTTCTCTCAATAACACTAGACCAATGAAGTCCTTTCAATAGAAAGGTATAAGGCTTAGACTTTTCGATTTTAAACACCTGACAACCTCTCACAGTAAAACGATTTAATGGTTCGCCAGCTTCCTTTCCAAGTTCAGGTTTTTGTTTAAAACCTTTGAGATCACCATTCTCATAAAGTATGAAATACCTTGGCCTCCAGTTACGAATATGTTCACCTTTTTTTTAAAATTAAAGATGATTAGAATACACAAGATTAGAGAATAAAAAATGAGAGTAAAAATTGTAGCCAAAAGATGATACACAATGGATCATGGTGAACAAGATACGAATCATGTGAAGATGATGTCGATGATGATCACGAAGCAGATAATCAAGAAGAAAAATGTGGATAAGAGGTAGATGGTAAGAGAAAGGTAGAGAAATAAAGAAAAAAAATATATGTATGAAATACGAATAGAAATTGAGATTAGAATTGGGATATTAACAGAAAAATGAAGGGAAAAAGAAGGAGGTAGTAGATTGATAGAAAGAAAATTGAAAGAAAATCAGTTTTAATTGTAAATATAATTTACCTCTTTTCAAAAGCCATCCTTCTTTAATCAATTTTGGCTCTGGAATGTTTGTTAACATTGTAAGTTGGTCACTTATTTTGAGATTGACTTGGAATCCTTGCAACAATTACCATTTAATTTGTTTTTTCATCACTAAAGCCAGATGTCTTTTATTTTACTCAATTGCCTCTCTGAATTGCTCCTTTTAAAAAACATATATCATGATGAATAAAACATCTCATAGATGGAGCCCTACATTTATATAAAATCTCACACATCAAAATCAACAAAATTTGATAACCGAGAGACAAGTCGACTAAATTTTCGCCTGACTAATTATTCTAATTAACCTGATATTAATTAACCATAGTCATCTAAATTACATGTTAAGCTTACCTTGAGTAACCAGTGTATCCACCGAAAAGACACCTCTGACCCTTATATTTTTCTGTGCTCGGATACATCATCTTTACACTCATCATGTCAACAACAACAAGCAATTTGAAGCAAAGGTTTATCCGCCTTCTTAGGAAATTTAAGCTTCCTGAAACGGAAGCTTTTGAATCTGAGGAACAGTATAAAGGTTATATGGAACAAGTTATGGCTCAAAATGAAAGCGATTTCCTTGATGATGATGATATAGGTGATTTTAGTGATTCAGGTCAAGAGTTTGACGATATAAGCATATCATCTACACCAAAGCCAAGCTTGAAGCCTTATTTTTCAACATGGACCCTGGAAGGTTCGACATCTGTTAATGGAGGAGCCGAAGCAGCTCCAACCACATCCAATATTCATCCTACAACCTCACCATTATCATCATCATCATTATCAACCACCACAACCACCACAACAATTACCACTACTACCACTACTACCACTATTACCACTACTACCAATACAGTAAATACACCACCTGGAGATAAAAAATCGTCTAAACTTCGCAGAATTTTACGAAAAAGAGACTCGAAAGAAACGAAAGAATTAAAAGTAAAAAATAACGATCATCATCAATAATAATCAGTGTTTTTAACATTTTGTAAAAAATAATTCAGGGTACAATTAAAAAGATCCTTTAGCAATGTTAAAGGCCTGAATTGTCAACACAAATTTCAAATTTGAGCGCTTCTTGAACCATCAAAAATCGGTTAATAAAGTAACTATAGAGGGAGTCACTCCGGTTACTGGTTACACTAGCTTTAGTTTGAAATGGAAACAGGATTCCGGGTTAGTATCGAGTAGCTATCAGACTTGTAATCCGGGACTGATATTTTGTAAATTCATAATTGGGCAGTTAATTTATTTGTAAAGACTTTTTTTTCAAAAATTAATCTAATTCATTTAAAGTTGTTTGTATGAATTTTGTTTAATAAATTGAGTGACATGAAACTCCTCAAGCCCGTTTGGGTTAATCATGATGGTTAGTTGATCCTTGTTTTATTCATTTACTTGAGTTTGTTTGGGTTTTGCTTTTTTACATGTGATCTAATCTCTTTCTTCTTTTTCGCTCTTTTTTTATTTTATCAAATCAAATTGCTCTTTTTGTCAATTAAACTTCTAGGTCAACCCATATTTTCTGTTGATATACATCCTGATGGATCTAAATTTGCCACCGGTGGACAAGGTTAGTCTTAAAGTCAATCATTTGAAACATCTCCGGCTAAATTAATCGGTTTACCTATTCCTCTGTCTTTCTTTCTTGTTGGCGGCCTTTCCAATTTCTCTTTTTTCTATCTTTTGCTAATCTTTTTTCTCGCTACACTTTTCCAGGTGGGGATGCTGGGAGAGTTTGTTTATGGAGCATTGGACCTATTATTGATGAAAAGTTGGAGAAAAATGATTCAGTGCCTAAGTTATTATGCCAAATGGACAATCATTTAGCGTGTGTCAATGTTGTTAGATGGTCACAATCTGGCAAATTTTTAGCTTCTGCTGGAGATGATCAAATCATCATGATCTGGCAAATCTCCAAATATTTAGGCTCTTCGACATCCTCAATTTTTCGAGGAGCTGGTAATGTGGAACAATGGAGATGTATTGCTACTTTAAGAGGACATTCCGGTGACATTCTTGATCTCAATTGGTCACCTCAAGACGAATATATTGCATCCGGTTCAGTTGATAATAATGTAATTGTTTGGAATGCTCGCAATTTTCCAGAAGTTGTTGCAAGATTAAATGGACACAACGGATTTGTGAAAGGAGTCAGCTGGGATCCAATTGGTAAATATGTCGCTTCACAATCTGATGACAAATCAGTCAAGGTTTGGCGAACCAAAGATTGGAAAGAAGAAACTACTGTCAGTGAACCCTTTCGTGATTGTGGCGGTACAACTCATGTACTTAGATTAAATTGGTCACCAGATGGTCAATTCTTGGTTTCAGCTCATGCAATGAATAACCGAGGCTCAACTGCTCAAATAATTGAAAGAGATGGCTGGAAAGCGCAAAAAGATTTCGTTGGTCACCGCAAAGCTGTCACCTGTGTCCGATTTAATCCAAATATACTTGAAGAATCCTCAAACTTTTATACATTGATCGCTTTAGGAAGTCGTGATAAGTCAATCTCCGTCTGGAGTACCAAAAATAAGCGACCTACCTTGGTAATTCATGATCTTTTTGAAAGCTCAGTACTTGACTTGACTTGGAGTAGAGACGGCTACTCTCTGTTAAGTTGCTCCTGGGATGGTTCTGTAGCATTCATTCGATTTGAGCCGGGTGAAATCGGAAAGTTATCCTCTCAAGAATCCAAAACAGCCTATTTTCAAAAATTATATGGAAAAAGTCTGCAATCTCCTTCCAAAGAAACACTTCTTATTGAAGATCCTGAAATTCTAAAGATACGTGAAAAACAACTCAAAAAGGTAAAAACTATTTTAGATTTTTAATTATTATGCATTGATATTAAAATTTCTTTTGTTTTTTTTGCAGAAAGAGAAAGAAAAACAGTTGTCTATTTCTAATAAGGATTCCAAAAGTCCGAACTCACTGATTTTGCAAAATGGCAGCAATAATTTTTCCTCTAAATCTAATTTAAGTATTTGTGATAAGAACAAAGTTCTCAAAGGCCCTACAGATAAACAAATTGAGACAAGAATGCCAAATGGACGTAAAAGGATTACGCCAATTTTTATACCGCTACCAACTGATTGTGAAGAAACTCCAATATCATTCACAGCAACTACATTTTCATCATCAGACGCTCCATCTGACATACCTTCGGAGAAACGAGAAGGTAATACATCAACTCCCATCAAAATAAATGAAGAAAAAGATGGCGAATCACCTGTATCACTTGTCAATCAATCATCTAAACCAGGAGTTTCTTCAACAGCACCATTACCCAGTCCTTCACCTATTAAAGCACCTAGACTTTCAGGTGAAACAAATCAGACTAAACAAGATGAGCCTTCTGTTGACAATGAAACTACTAATTCATTAACCTCTCCAAATACTGCTTCCAAAAATAATACTGAGTCGACAGAGAAGCGTCCAATTTCTCCTACCAGCAATGTATCTCCATCTTCAGCTGTAAAGAAAGTGAAACTTTCAAATCCACCATCATCACAACCTGTGAAAGTATTAAATAAACCAAATGAATCTAATCAGACAAAACAAGCCAATGGACAGTCCAGTCAATTGAAAAAATCTTTATCGACTGACAAAAGGAAAGGTGGCCGTACAGGGGTCGGAAATATAACAAAAACACCCACTCCTCCAACTTCAACTACTCGTCCCGAAGAAAAAACCGATAATCGACCCCTTCGATCCGAGTCGAAAGTTTCCGCGATTTTATCTAGTTTAAAAATTGACAAAAGCTCAAATCTTCTCGTAAAAATAACCGGGGATGATGGAACAAAAAAGAATCTAATTGTAGAAGTTGAAAATAATATCAGCAATTCTGCATTAAGTATTGTACGAGTCTTAAATCAAGAAAATGATAAAGTTTGGGAAATGGTTTTATCATCAAAAATATGTGGTTTATCGGCCTGTCCTTATCTAGTCGCAGTTGCCTGTAGTGATCTAACTTTATCCGTCTTCTCTACTACTACTGGAAGAAGACTTCATACACCTTTAACACTAGACTCGCCCGCAAGCCGATTAAATTGTTATAAACATTATTTACTAGTTGTTACCAACAAAGCATCAGTGTGGTTATGGGATTTTGAGAATCATTCAGTGAAAGTTAAGAATGAATCAATTTATTCACTTCTGTCTACGCCATCTAATTCAACCATTGTTAATACTGGAATAACCGAAACCGGATCACCGGTGATTACCCTTTCTTCTGGCAAATCATTTGTGTTCGACTTGTCTTTTGGAAGTTGGTCGCTAGTTTCAAATGGCAATGATCTTCTCAACTTCTTCTCCGACTACAAGCAAACCTGGAGGCCTGAATCCAGTTCTTATCCACTTGCAATTCTTCAATCTCAAAACAGGTGAGTAAATTTTAATTGATAAAATTGCTCTGAAAATTAAGTTTTTCAAGTATTTTTGTTTCCATAAAATCTAACTTATTATTTTCATTTCTTTCTTTCAGTCTTATCAAAACGAGTCATAATATTTTTTTATCAAACTCAAATCTTCAGAAGACTGGCACTCTCAGTTTCTTAGATCAACAATTGACTTCATCGCTCATTCTTGGTTCATCTAAAGAGTATCGACAATGGCTCATAACATTAGCTCAATTTTTAACTGAAGAAGGTATTGAACCTCGTTTAAGAGAATTGTGTCAATTTCTATTAGGTCCACCATTTTCATCATCGGATAGTAATTGGGAAAGTACTATCTTAGGAAATGAAAAACATGAACTTCTTCGAGAAGTTCTTGCCATTACTACCTCCAACTTGAAATTACAACGCATCTACACTGAATTCAAACAACAACTTGATCTCATTTCATCTGCTTCATCTTCATCATTTCTTTGATGCTAACAAGCATTCACCTCAACAATTCTCATTGCAAATTTCATTACACCCATTGTTCAACCGTAGATATGTACATAGTATATAAAAAAAGTAATTCAAAACAAAAATCATTGTAACCATTTAAACCATAATTTCAATATAATTTTTCATTTATAATCTTACGAAAATTGTACGAAACGATTCGAGATTTGTCTTAAAATAATTGCAATCAAGAGTGTGTTTACTCTTTCATTTTCTTCTACTATGTCAAAAAATCTGTTCATTTTCCCTTCTCTTTTCCTTTCACCAAAAATAATGTATTTTTTTTACAAAAAAATGAATACTGCAATGAAATTTCCTTTTTGGCAACCACTTGACCTCCAATTGATCTTCTCGATGAAAAATTATAAAAGAAATAGCTCATTACCAATGAAATTGATATCAGTTTAGTTTTAGATTTGAGAAACTAAAGTTCTGAAGTCCAACTATATTTATTGATTCAGTATCCATGATCCATCCAGTATTTATTGGTTTTTATCAAACCAAATCTAAGCATAATACTGAGGGGTCTTTATGATAAACAGAGAAATCAAATATTCTAATAGTCTTTTGCTGATAAATTAAGATACCTTCACAAAAAACAATCTTATTTACATTCATCAAGTTGATGAATTTTGATGGCTTCCGCTATGGTTCTTAAGCTTGGTCTATTTACTCACAACACTTGTCAGCTGAATCAATAATTGTTGATTTATTGATTCCAATATTCTTTGTTGATGAATTAAGGCCCATTTCACAATATCTCAACACGTACATATATTAAAGATATTCAAGACTTCATTGGATTGTTCAATTTTTATTGAAATCATTAAGATTAAGAATTACCAACTGATGTGCAATCATGACTTTATTGAAACTTGCATTGTCAGTTTGATCAATGAATTCAATTCACTAGTAAAGATAAAAGTTTACAGTAAAAGTTTAGCTTAGGTCTGGCAAAAAAATAACTCTGGAACATACAATTTTTAACATTCGATTTTCAAATTGACTCAAAGATTCAAAGATTCAAAAATCTCAAGATTTAAGGCCTTTAGCGATCGAAAGACTTTTGATTTTTCCAAAGCTTTGCTTGATCAATTTCGAATATAAAATTTCTTTTGGTCCTATAAATCTAATTTTAAAATTTTACTTAATAAAATCCTTCGACCTTAAACATATTTCATAATGAATCTAGATTTGGTCTATGTATCCTTCAAAATAATCAAAGATTAATGATGATGATGATGATGCGATCCATCGCCTGTTCTTTGGACCCTTCGCTTTAGAACTTCTTTAGAGACTTTACGTCTGTCATATACAAGGCCTAGGACAGCACACGAATCGATGAAAAATTTGGTTAAATTAAACTCCCAACCAAGCTCAGAAGCAGAGTAATCGTAAGGGAATGTATGATGATAGTTGTGAAAACCTTCACCAATTGCTCCAAGGGAAACTCCAATATTTTCACGAGCATTGTGCGACTTATCATATGGTTGATTACCCCACATATGAGCAGCACTATTAACCAGCCAAGTCATGTTAAGAGTAAAACAATATCTGAATATACTGCAAACAAAGTAACTTATCCAAAGAGACTCATTCCAAGCAAAATAGGGAATTATGGTTGGAATAATGAAGCACCAGGTAATCACCAAAGGAAGATAATATCTGGAAGCAAAACGATGCAAACAATTATTAGGATATCATAATGAAGAAACGTTCAAGTACAAGATTCATACCTTCTTTGGAAACGGACTATTGGATCTTTAAGAACATCGCTGCAGTCAACCTTTTTACCCTTTTCAATGACCGATGGGTGTTTACGACATAATAACCAGCCAACATGGGCAAAGAAGAAGCCTCTTCGTGAATCATGAGGATCAGAATCAGTTTCAGAATATAAATGATGAACTCGATGATCCCTTGTCCATTCGTAAATATCATTCTATAATAAGAAATATTCCAAGTTTAGAATCGTCATTGAAATGTTAGAATGGATTAAATAACATAATATAATCCAATTGATACAAGAAATTTTATGTTTACCTCAAAAGCTATTGTGTTTGCAACAGCTAAAAAAAGCCTGAGAGGCCATTTGGCTTTGTATGATCGATGAGACCATAATCGATGAGCACCAGCGGTTATTCCAAGGCCACTATACACATAAAGAAAATACGCTGCCGAAAAATGTAAAAAGATAAAGCAGATTGAATTACATTTGCTATCGAATCACTTCACAATGAGATCAAAAATATCGAGTCGAATCTAACAAACTGTACGAACCAATTATTCAATTCAAATGTTATTTATCTATTTTTCAATCATTTCTACTGATTAACCAATTGCTTGTATACCTTCAATTCGGGTTGCTTATAATTCTTAATAAACAATAGCTTAAATGAATAACTGTGTTTACTAATTTCGGGACTCACAATATTAAGATAAAACAATTACGAAGTAAACTTACCAAAGGCAACAGTTGTCCATTTAGCTTGAGTTAAGCACAAATAAAATCCATAAATAGCACCAATATGAAGCAAAGCAAATATAACAACATTCCTCCAAACAATTTGTAAACGATATTTATGATTATCCTGGTTAACCGGTTCAACATATGTAACGGATTTTCTAGTTGGTACTTTAACTCCATCTTTGGGTTCACTTTTAGATGACACTTTAGGTGATCCTTTGGGTGATCCTTTGGGTGATCCATTGGGTGAACCATTTGGAGAAACATTCATGAAATTATCATCAAATGGTTCAACTTTAATATTAGGAGCCATGTTTGTTTCCAATTAGCTAATCGTTTCAATTAAAATGAGTGTAGCACATAAATTTGATCAAAAATAGGTTATTATTTGTTTACTATGAACTTTATCGAGTCAACTCTATGTATGTGTAACAATTTGGATTGACACCAAATAGACATGAAATTAAAATCAACTATCCTGTTGAAATCAAAATTGAATTAAACAGAGGGCATTGTTGACATTCCTTGATCAGTAAGTTGTATATTATACTTGATCAAAGTAGAGTTAACTACTAAACCAAAGGTTTTAGTCAAGGTGAGATTATAAATGTAAATCAAAAAACAACAACAAAAAGGATATTTCTTAAAGTCACTTTTTTTCGTGCTACAATTACCTTGGCTGTTTGATTAATTGTTAACTATTAATTTTCCGGTGTTCACTGATTCAGTCAAAAGTGAATTTCATGCTTCCAACTGTTTCCTTTTGGTTGTAAATACGCTTTTATTATTGTCAATGTTGCATTAAGCAAACCTATTTTTGCCTTTTTTTTCGGGTTTTTACTCTAATCTAATTGACAATTTTGGTTCCATTTTTTGGGTTCTTTGAATTATGCTGCTTTACCCAATCACCTTCCGTTTCCATTCAACAATTAAACTCTCCATCTATCCTTCAGTAATTATCTCACTTTTTCATTCTCTATTTGTCACTTAAACAAACGTTTTTTCAAAAACATGCAAGTTATTTCACTCTCGCTTTTAGATTGAATTGATTGTTTGATGTTCAATGTCAAGATTCATTTAATATAGATATTTTGAAATTAATTAACGTCCAATCTTTCAACAGATTTGATCTGATTTTAGATTCTTTCACAAATATAAATTGTTATATCCTTCATTAATTAATGTTGTTTGATTTATCATGCGATAATTGCCATTCATTTGCATTTGTAAATCAGTCATTTATGCTGAAAATGTTTTTCGATATCATCAGGACTTTGATTATTTACAAATTTGCAGTCCAATTCAAATCATACCAGTAAATTATCACATTAATTGTTAACTTTCTAGTTAACTTCTTTCTACCAATTACGATCGCTTTTTAATTGCTAAAAAATTGCATTACTAGAGCTGCCATCTAATAACGATTAAGGTTAATACGGATTAAGAAATTTATTGTTATGTTTTTGTAGCATACAGAATATTGTTTATACTGTAAATTAAAACAGTCAATAGACTCTATTGTTTCTTATTAAGTTTGATTTTATTAATTATAGTGATCCTTCATTACACTGTTAATTGTTAAAGTATGAGATTACTCATTGGCATTGACTATCTTGATGGTTTTGTGATATTTTAAACCAGTGTTTGATTTAGTGATTGGTATAAATCTAATGCAGTTTCTGTTGTACTAAACAAAAACAATTCAAGTGGATCAATTTGGTGGTGACATTTTTATTTTGATTAATATTTTATTCGACAAAACAATCAACTGATTTACATTTTCTCTCTCCCTGTTATTGTGTTCAAATTTCACTGTTGCATGTTTGATTGGTGAATTGATCCTTATTCCCCTCCTCCACTCTGGTAAACAATTCAAGCCTCGGATTTCTCTCGCTAATTAGACGGAAAAAAAGATTAATTAGAATGTTGATTTTTGACAAATTAACATCAAAGAATGAAATCAAAAAAAGAGAATGTGTTAAATGATTATAATGGGTGACAATCGTTAATAATGGCTTGTATCCAGTTTGGATGATTTTCAAAAAGTTACTCTTTCTCAGAGCTAAGAATCTATTTCCAATAGATTTTTCATCATGACAAGCAGTTACTTATTCATCAATATATCTTTTAAAATTTGATCAAACTGGAAGGTCAAGTAGAAAGATCTTTTCAAATTTATGTTAATCTGGTTGACAAACTTACAGAAGCTGGTTCCTTGGAAGATTCCTCTTTTTTGGCTGCTTTATCGTCAAAATCGTATTTCTTGACCTGTTTTAATCCAGATCGGTAATCCATTTGAGATACTTTGGCTGTAAACATACGGATCTTCTCCATTCTAATGGATGATTAAAGGAAAGAGTTGGATAAATTCACAATCAAAAAACTCTACCTTCATCAACCGTTAACTTACTGTTGAGCTGTTTTGGAGACCTTCTTTAATGGTGGTTTGATGCTATTTGAAAGATTAATTGAAAGATTGATTAGTATGGATAAACTTGGAACTAAAATATGATTTAAAAATGACTTACAATCGTCCTGCGATATCATTTACTTTGGCAGCAAGCTCTCGAATCTTTTAAGAATGAAATAATAGTTATTGAACACGGACAACAATAATGGTCAACCTTACCTCGAACTCCTTCTTGTTAACATCGTATTCAAGATCGTACTTTTCATCTTCAATTTTGGCAACTCGTTTGTAATATTCCTTAACAATTTGTGTTAATTCAGCTTCACAATGATAAAATCAAGGAAAGATTAGCAAAATTACTCTTTGGGAAAATGAACCAGAATGTAAACAAAGCTGGTCTGATAAGTTGGACAAAGAGTGCTTCAATCAAGACTATTTTTTCAGTTGATATCCGACTAAAGGTCTATCAATTATGTGGTTAGCTAGTTATTTAGGTAGATGTTTGTCAATGAATAGCAAGCAACTCAAACCTTCATTTGCCTCCTCCAAGTCATGAGGTTGTCCACATCTTGATCGAATGGCTCGTCTTCGTTCCTCTGCTCGCCTCTCCTGTTCACGTTTCAACTCTTCGGCAGCTTTCTTCCTCAACAAAGCCTAATCAACATCCATTCATAAAACAATGAAATAAAGTAAATGTTTGATTTTGTTTCAAAATTTTGGTCAAACAATAGACTGTCGTCAAGTTGTCATAAGGACCTTTGAGATTATGTAAAATAGCTTGATTAATGGACTGTCGATTTACTTACCCGAAGTCGCTTTTTACGAGCTGGAGTCATGAAACCCTTCTTCTTTTTGGTTGCTGCTGCGGCTTGTTCAAGACGAGCTCGAACCTCTGCTTTCCTCTTTTCACGATCATCCTGAAATGGTGTAAAAAAGATTGAATTTATTCACTGAGCTGTTGGTAAAATGGTCAGTTGGCTGTGTTGTTCTTCACCTACCATGATTAGTGTAACTTGGAAACTATCAAAATAATAATTAAATTGTTTCTTTTAATTTAAAATAAATGATGGCGGATGACAAGTAAAGCCAAGAGGAAGGGATGAGAACAAGTAAAGATGTGGTTAAATTGATTGATGAAAGATGTTATTTGACTTCTGTTTGAACAATAATCTATTCTCAGCTCATTTTTGGATTAACTTTTCATCCTCAAGTCTCTATTTATCCCCCTTTTTTCATCATCTCATCTTATATCTTCTTCTTTGTCTTAATATTCATCTTTGTCTTCCTCATCTCTCTTCCTCAAGCTCCTTCCTCTACTCATCCTTTTCTTGAAAATTATTCTGGTCTACTTTTAAACCTAACCAAGTTAATATTGATATTGGTTTTGTCAGAATGGGCTAAGGAATTGTGAATTGCAAGATTTACAAACTTATCAAATTGCAATCATAAATTTTTTGGCAACAAACCATCAATTGACAAAAGAAGAAAGAAAGTTAGTTGAAGAAGATGAAAAAATATTAACTAAGGAGACAAAATGGAGAGACTCTGATTTTTACATAGATTTATAATAATCTCCAATTACTTTCCATGTTTCCAATCATTATCTTCATCATCATCATGTTTTGCTGAATTAATCTGAAAATTTTCACTCAATAGACTACGCAAAAGTATTACTATAATGATAAACTAGTTTGATTGTTATTTTTGTTTCCAGATCATTAGGCTCTTCAACTTTAAACCAGCGCCTTTAACACACATTAGCTTATTGTCTAATTATAATGATATTTTGATTCATCCAAACAAGTAGCAGTTCAAACTAAGCATTTCCTTGCAACAGTTTGAGCTCATTTCTTTATCAGTAACCTCTGAATTCATCATTAAGTTCATTGTTTCAAACCAAAATATCGGTTGCCTTATTAAATACGGTAAAACTGACCTAATATTGATCAGTCATTGTCACTTGGTCTTCAATCTTGTCAAAACTCACCTTACCGGTTCACCAATAGATTGAAGATTTTACGTTAAAAATTTATCTTGATCAACCTAAATTTGTAATTGCAATGTTTTCAAACTGTAAATTTGTGCTTGGAAACAATTTAACTTGATTGAAAAATAAAGAGTAACTTCATTTTCAGGTTAACCTTTATTTCATCAAATGGTTAAACATTTAGTTTACAAACAGAGCATGTTGATGGCTATTGTTAGATAATTGACTGAATATTTGTACAATTATCATACACTTATCCATAATGTTAATTATTGTGTATATTTTGGCGCTTCGAGCATCTTTGATTAAATCAAAGTTGATAGTCTCGCAAAAGCCGCATTGCATTATCACAGATTATCACGTAACCAAAATATCACAGATTATTGGTAATATTTATTTCCATCCATCTTTGAACCCAATCTTTGGACCCAATCTTTGCCCCCTGTCTGACCCTAACAAGGTCAAATTACACAGAGGCTAAAAATATTTCGCTCTTTCATCTTTTGCCTATTTCTTTCTTTTTGTTTTCTCTTTCCTTTTCTCTGTCTTCTTTTCAAAAGTCATCTCTCTCCAAAAATGTTTGTCTTGCAAACATGAAGCAAGGCGTCTAGCAAACAAAACATGCTTCTTCTTTCTACTTTTGTAGATTATTTTAAGTTATCATGAATTTATTTAATTGTGACTCCATTTACAACACGTTTTAATACAATGTATTGGTTAACATTTCACCCATTGTTTATTTACAATTCAATAGTCATTAATTGAATAGCTAAATATCCTCAATTTAGGTCTTACCTTTTTTACCTTGGATTTTCTTTGACCTCTTACCAATCACAACTTTAACACATCAAATATGGCGCGTTAACATGGTAAATTGATCATTTTTGTTATTTTTGATTACTCTACACCATTACCTTTTCATGTCTTACTTTTATTGTGATGGAAAGCCTCGATTAAATCTAATCTTTTGTGTTTTATATAATCTTTATTTCCCTCTCTCCCTCTCCACCACATAACTTCAAAACAACTTCTTCCAGCTACTAAGCTAGTCTTCCAATTATCGCCATTATAATACACCTTGGTGTTTCTTCCTTTAGTGAACATTTCAATTGAATAATTTTCAGACATCTTCAATAATAATGCCTTGTTGACAATCAAAGACAGGCTAGTTTATATGTAAATAGTGTCTCGACTGCACCATTTGGATAAACCTGTTTTCCCTCTTCTTTGGTTTCCAAAATATCTCATAGTGAACATTGAAAATCTCTTAAAATCATCGATGAATTTTCTGTGACATGATAACTTTTTTCCACTAAACGATTGGATATTGTCTATTTTATTATTGATTTATGTGTTTGCTTTGCCGATAAGATAGTACAATAATTAACCAATTTTCAACAGTTTAAATTTTTATTTTGACCAAAAAATATTGAGCGCCATCTTTGAGGTGCATTTGGCATTTTGCACAACAAATGGGTGAAAGTCGCATAAAATTTGCTCCTCAAAAAAATTGTGATAAATCTTATTTTATTTGAATAATTGATACTGCTTATTTTTTATTTCAGGTTTAAATTGTGCCAGGCGACCTACTCGTAACCTTCTAATTAAATTCTGACTGGTTTACACTGGACAAATTACCACCATGGCTACCATTAAGAAATTCTCGCTGGAAGTTCTTGTAAGTAACTAAAGTAAAAATCTATTTAGTTAATAATATGCAGGTTTTTATACCTTGCACAAAAGAAAAATCTGGCTTTAATAAGCCCACTAGAAAAATCTTGTTTTAGTCACTACTAGAACCCTGAGAAATGAAGACTACTCCAGTCAAAAAGAAAATTAACCTTAGAAAAAACTTTATTTTTAGAATGACCTTACAATTGTTGAAGCAACTAGATTTGATAAAGTTTTAAAGTTTGTGAAATGTGTTGGACAAATTACTGATTTGAAAAGACCAATTGTTATTTCCAAAATCGAAAGTTATCCTGTTATTACGCTGTTAGACTCCATGCTAAAATCAGAAACATGGTTGGCCTCGGTTACTGCTACTGATATCGCTTTGTGCACTAACTTTTACCGTGAATTTTCTCCTCCTGAGGTAGAAGAACAACCTGACATAGCACCAGATGTTGCTATCAATCCCTCCACTCTATCAAATAATCAACAGAGACGAGAAATTTGTCAAAATTATTCAACACTCTCAACACCTCCAACTTGGTTTAATGTGGAAGATATTCAGATCTGGCCGATTATCATTTTAAAAACGTCTGTGTTTGAAGAACAGCCGCAAAGAAGTATTCCATCTCAAATGAAAGATTACCTGGATACACTTCTAGAACATACCCCGGCTGATGTTGGTGGGATAATGGAAACTGAATGTGGCTACGCATCGGTCAAGGTAAAATGTGAATCAATATCTGATCGCTCTCGCCTTGTGAAGTTTCTTCAAGAACAATTAAAAGATTGGTCGGTAGAAATCCCTACTTTGAGGAACCCTTTAATAAGACTAAATGGTGTTCGTTTAAACATCACTGATGATAAAGAGGTTAAAGAATGGTTAGCAAGACTCATTCTTCGAAATAAATGGTCTGATCCAGCCAACAAAGTTGTGATTAATCATGCCTTCAAGAATAAAACAAGAAGACATGTGGACGTAATATTAACTGTTACTCCGGAAATCAGAGAAAGGATTGGTAAAAGATTTGGTGCTGTTAATGTTGGAAGCTGTCTCATTAGAGCAACTGATTTTTTTGAAATTAAGTTTTGTGACCTATGTTGTGGATATGGACATACTGCTAGAATTTGCGGTAAAGTTACTCGTTGTGCCTATTGTTCAAAAAATCACACTGGTACATGCGAAGCCCAAACGGACAGACGAAAGCAGAAGTGCCCGAACTGCTTAAAATGGGGTACTAATGCATTGGATAAAGATTGTTCAGTCTACAGAATCAAGTTAAAACATGAACTTGAAAAAACTAATTTCAATTATAAATTCATAATGAATTGACCAAACTTTTTCGTATCTTGTTGCAAATTGAATTAGCTTCTACGAATTGTTTGCCTGCTTATTCAATTAACCATAGCTACTTAAGATCTTTCTACGCTAATTTTCTCGAATTACTTCCTCAAACAAATCCTCAAATTCAAACTTTTCTTTTTCTCACATTACTTACTCACTTTACATTTTTCAAACATCTAAATCCACCAACTGAAATCTTAAACGTTAAGTCCTGGCGCGTCTAATCCTTCCTAATTACCGAAACATACAATGTTTCTAACTCGCCAGTTACAAAGTTCAAAAGTCTCACCAAAGTGTTAACTTTTCTAAACCTTAATTATTAACCGCTTCTTCATCTCTCAATTCCAAAACAAACAAACTAAACTTGTTTCATCTTCTCAGCTTCATGACCAATTTACATGTTCAACTTACAAATTAACAAGTTGCTCACTTGGTACGAGCTTTACTCAACAAGTGAAAGTCTACTATTACAACAATCTTGATCTTACTCAAAATACCAACCAGTTATGTTATCTCAACGTTTTGAAAACACTCATCATCAGAAGATTCATCGTGAATTACAAGCAAATCGTCTCAACTGGTTTTCTGTGAACGGTATTCCAACTAACTTTTATATTCTTGTGAAATTTAATCGAAGATCTCTTCCTTTTGGTAATCTTCGATCAGCTATAAAAGAAGCTGTTAAATCCCTTATCAACATTATTCCTAACCCACACACCAAACTCAGATTTATCAGAAGATCTGGTCGTCAGGTACGAATCTCTGTCAATACTGAACAGGATTTGGAGGTAATCGGTAACATCATTAACAACAACTTTCCAAACTGGTCCTGGAATACTATTTGCCCTGAACCATCGGTGATAAAATTTACAGTTCCTTCAGACGGTGATATTGGTACAAAAGAACTACTTACTCAGATCCTTGTCGCGCAAAACAACTTAATCTCTGACAACCTAACAAAAGTTAAATACATTATCAACAATCTTGAAACATCAGTGACCTTCGTTGTCCAACTTAGTTCTGTGAACAGAGAACTATTACTCAATAAGGACTACTGGATAAACTTCTTATCGTACTCTGTCCCTGCGTTTGATCATATTACCATAGTATATTGTGAAAATTGTTGGCAGCTAGGACACTATTATACCAACTGCACCCGTCTACCAAAGTGTAAATTTTGTTGTCTATCACACGACCAAAACGTCTGTGTTACACAAAATCGTGAATTCACCTGTGCTACTTGTCATCCGACACCATCAAACCACGACACTCTATCTAAACACTGTCCAAAGTTAATCACTGCCATACGAAATGCCTGCTCTGACATTGAACTCCAATCAAAATGGATCGTCACCTCACCCAGATTCCCACTGGAATATGCAAATATTCCACCTTAATACGGCAAAAAATCAACCCGCAACTGAGAATATGCTGGCAAAAGCGCTGAGGGACACCAAGACCATTTGCTCCATTGTTGAAGCAAATAGATTCACACTATCAAAATATGCTGCTTCTCAGAACCTAATCATAAACGACCAAACTGCTCTTGTCGTGTCAACTGATCTCACCATTTTTGGCTATGATAGGACACATCAGAATCTCATAACAGCTTTAATTGGTAATTCAAGAAAAGCAATCATTATATGTTGTGTTTACTTAAATCCTTCATCAGTTCTTGATCAAATGACTGTACTTATTCAACAATTGGAACGCTTCAAAAACTTTCCGTTTTTATGTCTTGGAGACTTCAACTGTGAACACCCTCTATGGTCAACGAAATCCAAACGTAATCATGCCTCGGACCTGCTGAGTAGTTTTATTGGGAGAAACTCTTTGACCATCTACAATCCAACGCCAACATCAGATAGTTTCACATTCAAACGCAACTTAAATGTCTCCTGGATAGATTTAATATTTGGAAATGTAAGAACAAAAAACTTTATGCTATCACCTGATGTTATCATTGATCACAAAATGCTAACATTAGATTTTGCCCTAGCTGAGGGTTTTGAGGATAAACTGAAACAACAGAAGCTTAGAACTACATACAGAAAACTTAAATTCCCTAACCTTAGAACCAATATAGATATGAGTACATTTCAACAAATCGATCAAACTTTCAAGAAAATTATGACTGAACATTTAAGTGATAGTAAGATTTTTAGGATTAGAAAAAACAACAGTAAAACCTTAAGACTCAGAAAAAGAATAAAAAGCATGAAACGAAATAACAATAGGAATTTTTCAGCAGAAATTAATGAAATGATTAAAGAACTAAGAGAACTAGAAAAACAAGAGAGAATCAAAATTAGATCAAACTCAATTAGATTTGTCATGAAAAACCTAACAGACAATAAGCAGATATGGAAGATCCTTAACAGAATTATAAAACCAGTCGACACTTTATCTTCACTTCTTGCTGACGACAGTAATCGAAGCAATGAGCTAAGAGGCTTCATATACATGAAACCACACTTCACCATTGCTTCGAAGACTGAAAGTAACTATCTGACTGAGGCAGAGATTGTGGCCATAAGAGCTCAAACTTTTCCTAAACAATCTGGATATGCGGATGATTTTTCTCTGGGTGCTTGGAACACTTTTTGGCGAAAAAATCAAGAAAAATTAATAAACATCATAAAAGAAACCTTCGTGCTTGGTTATATACCTCAGACTATAAAAATTTTTGGTGCTCACTTGATACCAAAACCTGATGGTCGCTTTAGAATGATACGCATCTCGAACTTTATACTACAAATTTATGACAAGATCTTAACCAAACGAATTCAGAAAGTCCTACCACAAATCATAATTCGCAACACCCAATTCGCATATCAACAAAATCTAAGTCCGATAGATCTTCATGTTACACTCACCTCTCATTGGCATCCATCAAAAAGTCTAATATGTGCAGACCTTGAAAAGGCTTTTGACACAGTCAAAGTTGATTATGCACTTGAGGAGATTGCTAAGGTTCTTCCCTTATCAGATGTACAAATGATTAAACAATTTGTCCATGGTAGGTGGTTAAGAACTCGGATATATAATGTCTATAAATATCGTCCAGATATTTTTGGTGTTCCTCAGGGATCAAAACTTGGTCCCATACTTTTCATTTGTGCCCTAAACAAGGTAATCCGTACCTTGAAAATGAAAAGTATAAATATCATGGCTTTTGCCGACGATGTTTATGTAGTTGCAAACTCAAACAAATGCAACGAGGTATTGGAAACTGTCAAAACCGAAATGGCCAAAGCTAACCTTGGACTGAATAAAAACAAAACGAAAATCTACACCAGAGGCATGAAAGAATGGCCTAAAGTTGCTGGCATTTACTTTGATGTTGCTCCATCAATCGAGAATATTGATCGCATCATAAGAGAAAATGGAGGTAGAATTGAAAGAAATAATGCCACCATAAGGAAACTGCCTTCATGTGTTGGACACACCATCATCAACGCTTTCCTATCCTCTTTATTACACTCATTATCTCCAACAATATTACACATGAATCACAATTATGAGGATATCTTCGCAAAACTCATACTCAGAACAAATCACTTCATCAAAGAAAACATGCATCTTCAACCTAGATATTCATCATGGGTTCCTATTACTGCCTTCAGCATCTGTAATCCGGTAAAAATCTGGATTACAAATGTGACCAATGCTGTTCTGGGAACCTCTCATAAATACCAAGAATGGCCCTTTCTAAACCTGGTCAAGCCACTTCCACTCTTCAATAAGATTCCAAATATGGAAGTTTTTCATTCAAAGAAGGCAAGCTATCCGGTACTATCACAGGCAGGATATCGCCTCAAAGGCAACCAACTTCAAGTAATAACAAGCGATGGCGTAAAATTTTTCCAGATATTAGAACCAAAAGGCACCTCAGCTGATCACTTTCTAGCCATCTACATCATGGTCAATCTGACCCAACATAAGCCGACTACCTACATCATCCGAAATTTCTGGTCGCCTATCCAAATTCTCCTACATCTATCTACATTGCAAACATTCTAAATATGAATGATAATAAATTCATATGGATGGAATGTGAAAAATGGAACAACCTCCTAAAACCAAGAATAGATGACAAATTCACAATAATCAAGAACCACATCATAACGAAACAAGCCTTCACAAAAAATCTATCTGACAAACTGAACTCCTTCTTTAGTAAAGTTTATGAAATTGACACCACGTACTTAAAATACTTCTTTGAATATGGCAAAAAAGTAATCTCCTTTGGCAAGATTGGTAATCAATGGGCTGAAAAAGCAGTTGAAACAATTGTTGATCTGAAATCTACACTAGACGATCTCAACAAGCTTAAACGCAAAAACAAAACCCTAGTTCACTATCTAGAAATATGCAATGGGACTAAATCCATCAGAGATGGTCTCATCAAAGGATGGAAGTTTACTGGAAATGACAAATCTTACGATACAATAATACTGGAAGCCATATCAGCACTAACTGAACACCTGGAAAAGAAACTACTGATACACGACAAAAACCATATTACTTGGAAAGCACGTAAAGCGACCTGGCTTAGAAAGACAATAAATCCTAACTAAAACCCAATAACACCCTCTAAACTTAATTTTTCCCTTTTCTATTTTCAATTGTAACACTTTTTATTTCTACCTTTTAAAACCACTGTCAAAAAACAAAAATGAACCAAACAAAACAAACAAATCCCCACAAACAATCCTACTTTGAAACAAACAACCAAAACATGTAAAACAACTATGTAATCAACCATTCTCTATACTTTCCCTAACTGGGTCATGTACTCAGACTGCACTTAGCAGGCTACAGATATCCTCTGTAGTGGGCATGCGTAATTGTATGATTCTAACAGCCGTTCTGAATAATAATAAAACAAATGGTAATGGAAATGTGCCTCAAACTTTGGATCTTCATTCATTCAATGATTGAATCAAACCCAACAGCAACAACCACTTCTTCCCCTTAGATCTTTGTGATGATGATTTCTTAATCATAATTTTTCCATCATTTTTTCATTTGTGATTAGGTTGACTATCAATTGTGATCATATCTTTGGACTGTCGACATCGATTGAAGCTTTACAACATTGGTCTTTGTCGTGTCCACAACCTGACAATCTTTCATCAATTTTTGTTCAATTTTCCAGCCGATTGTCATCTTGCAAATCATGTCATCTTTAATTCACCAGCATATTCGTGAAATTTTCATGCTACCCTCTAAATTAATTTCTAAATTCCAAGAATGGATATATGGTTATATTAAGTTGGTAGTTGGTTTGGCTTGCTCAGTTACCTGCCTATTTTGCGTTTTCACTTTTATTTGGTATTTAACTATCCGTGGTCTTTATAGTTTTTTAATCAACTTTCAATGTATACAAACAAATGGTTGTGATAATGGTGATGTTAATGGCTTAAACATTGATTATGCAGAATATCAACCTGGAAAACGGAAAAGTTTCCTCACTAGGTGTCGAGCGCAAGCTGAATTGATACAAAAAGAGCATTTTATTGATAACACAACTAATCTGTTATTAATTTCAAATCACAATTTGTGTTCTTCAAGCTTTATTTAATATCAAGACTTGTTCATCTCGGCAAAGGGTCAAAACGGCGAAGGCAAAATAAAGGAGTAATAATAAAGATCCATCGGATTTGACAAAAGTTGCTCGGATTATCATTGTTATCATCTTGTATGAAACATTAAAAATATCATGACATAATTATAACTGTAGCATCCTATGATATTCATCTCCTCATGATCCTTGTATCAGCAAGCACCGGCATTCATTTTATCGGCCATTATCTTCTTTTTCCTCTAGTTGCCTCTTTCCCTAAATAACTACAGAAGTGGAGGAATGCTTAGTGCTGTTGAAGATCTTGGCCAAAATATCATCATTTAATTGGAATTAAATTGCTTGGACAGTAATTTTACAATTGAATCGGTTTATTTTATTATTATGGTATTAAATTGTATCATTCAACATTTCAAAGGCTTTTTTATGTACTTTATTATGAAAAATAGTGATTTAAAATAAATAGTGTTTTGAAAACTAAACAAATAAACTTAATTTTATATAATTTGTTGTTCACAATTAATAATGGTGTAATGATAATTAGATCGCTTTCATTTCAAAATTTGAAAAGAGATTGAATAAAAACTAAAGCTAACTAAGCGTATGTTTTGATACGAAATTCAGTGTCAAAAATGACAAAAGGGTTGATTTTAGGACTTCAAATTGAATGATATTTTCCGATATATTGAATTCCCTTCATTAACATTGCACTAAAAGTAAGTCCAGCAGTTTCAATGCAATTTAGCTGGTAAGAATGTGAGTCAAGATGCAGGCAGGAGTGAAAGTATTGAAGAATTGCTGAAAGGCTAATTTTTAAATCATTATTACGATATTAATTTTGCTCACTTGACCACATAGTTATTAATAGTGGGAATCTCTGAACTCAAATAAATTGTCAGTCTAATTATGCAAATGTTGAAACCCATTTTCTTAAAAATAAATACCAATCAGGTTGAATACAGAACCTACGACTAGAAAATCAAATACATTTGACTTCAATAGTTTAAGCTTATAATTCACTAGACATAACAATCAAAAGAATTATGTCAAAGCTCGAAAATTGTAGTTAAGAATTAAGATTTGGTGGTTAATTGTAGCAGCATAAAAACTGTGTCCATTAGTGCTATTAAAATATTTCTCTGATGGACAGTTTTCGCAAGAATCCAGGTCAAAGTTGAAACTTCGATTCGCTTTTGTTCAGTTATGGAAGTAGTTTCGATAATGAAACCCATACTAATAATGTAACTTTCAATGCTCAACCAAGATATTTACTTATTTTACTGTATAAAATTTTCTTTTCGAAATAAAATCGATAAGTTCGATTCGTGGTTAAATTGACCGTTCTCTTTAACCGTAAGAGTTGGAGTCCTTAAACTTATGATTCGTACATGCAAATTGACAGTACACATCGACGATATAATACTTTTTTCACTTAATGAATAGTTTTCTTGATTTAGGACATTGCCATCAAAACTTTGAACCTTAATATTTCGAGAATAATTGCACCCACAATCATTATTCTTTGACAAATCATTAGATTGCATGAAGGGCTATAAAAAGCTGATAAACATGACTGGCTGGCCAAGAAAATCTGGGCTAATTCACCTAATAATGAATTTATAACACAATAGATTGTCTTGCGACTAGTAAAGCAAATTTATTTGCATTCAATAGTGAAAGCTGAGTGTTAAACAGACATAACAATCAAAAGAAGTACTGTCAAAGCTCGAGCATTAGAGTTAAGAATTTAGATCTGGTGGTTAATTGTAGGAAATTGAAAACTGTGTCCATTAGTGCTATCAAAAAACTTGTACGATCAATAGTTTTCCCGAGAATCGAGGTCGAAGTTGAAACTTCGATTCGCTTTTATTGAATTATGGAAGCAGTTTCAATAATGAAACTCAAACCAATAATGTAACTTTCAATGCTCAACCAGAAAATGCAAAGATTTTGATAAATAAAACTTTCCGTTCGAAATAAAGTAGATAAGTTCGATTCTAAGTTAAACTGGCCTCATTCTGCGACCGTGAGATTTGGAGAGCTTAAATTTATGATTCGTGCATAAAAATTGATAGTACACATCATAGACTGAATAGGTTTTTCATATCATCAATAGTTCTCCTGATTTTGGGCCATTGGCATCGAAACTTTGAACCTTAATATTTGGAGAATAATTGCACCTACGACCGACATTCTTTGACCAAACACTAGATATTAATATGGGCAATAACAAACTGACGAACTTGATTGAACTACTGATGAAGTGGAAAAGATATTCAATCAATAATGTAACTTTTGATGCTCAATCGGAAAATGCCCTTATTTTGATAAATAAAACTTTATTTTCGAAATAAAACAGATAAGTTCGATTCTAAATTAAACTGGCCTCATTCTGTAACCGTAAGTGTTGGAGGGCTTAAACTTATGATTCGTATATAAAAATTGCCGTTTCACATCATAGACTGAATATCTTTTCCACTTCATCAGTAGTTCTCATGATTTTGGGCCATTAGCTTCGAAACTTTGAACCTAAATATTTCGAGCATCATAGTACCTACAATCTTCATTCTTTGACAAATCATAAGATTTCATTATGTTCTATAAAATAAAGAAATTCCGATCATTCAAGATTCCTCGAAAAAAAGTTATAGCTTTTTACTTCTTGTGTTACCAGATTTTAGACTTGATTTATAAAGATAAATTGTTTTGCAAACACAAATCTTATATTATGTTAGAAGGATGTTCATTATTGTATCAATTAGCCCAGATTTTCATCAGTAGTTCAATCAAGTTCGTCAGTTTGTTATTGCCCATATTAATATCTAGTGTTTGGTCAAAGAATGTCGGTCGTAGGTGCAATTATTCTCCAAATATTAAGGTTCAAAGTTTCGATGCCAATGGCCCAAAATCAGGAGAACTATTGATGATATGAAAAACCTATTCAGTCTATGATGTGTACTATCAATTTTTATGCACGAATCATAAATTTAAGCTCTCCAAATCTCACGGTCGCAGAATGAGGCCAGTTTAACTTAGAATCGAACTTATCTACTTTATTTCGAACGGAAAGTTTTATTTATCAAAATCTTTGCATTTTCTGGTTGAGCATTGAAAGTTACATTATTGGTTTGAGTTTCATTATTGAAACTGCTTCCATAATTCAATAAAAGCGAATCGAAGTTTCAACTTCGACCTCGATTCTCGGGAAAACTATTGATCGTACAAGTTTTTTGATAGCACTAATGGACACAGTTTTCCATTTCCTACAATTGACTACCAAGTCTTAAATCTTAACTACATTGTTCGAGCTTTGACAGTACTTCTTTCTTCTTCAAAACGTTTAAATTAATTGTAATGGAAACCCACAAACTCAAATAAATTGTGAGCCTAATTATGCAGTGTAGAACCCATTTTCAAAGTGAAAATTGCAATATTAGTAAATTTGAATGAATTCATAGTCTTAAGTCTAGAAAATGAAGATCATTTTTATTCAATAGTTATCACTAAATAGACATTACAATCAAAATTATATAAATGAGAGCTTGAATTATGCTACAAAAAAGTGCTTAAGACATGAAAACATAAAACGTTGATAGATTGATTAGTTGTCGATTAGCTTGTTGAATCGTGTAGTTCATTACAATTATAATATCAAACAGTTCCAAAAGGTTCAAGGATTCAATCAAACAGATTAGATGAGTTGATATTGCTCCAATTATTAGACTTGTGCATCATAATTTCACAGGTTCATTCACATTCATAATCATTCAGTTTATCTACCATTATGCTTGTTTCTTTTATTGCGAGATATTGCAGGAACATTCAATATTTTATTCAGAATACAAGATTATATTGCCATTTCTCTGCGTTATTTATTGAGTTTAAAAAAAATTACATTATTTGCGTTCAGAATGACTGACATAGAAAGTTGACATTAATAAGAAAGATCATTCTATTGTCATCAATCAATAGATGAAAAATTTTCAAGATGTTCGCTTATAACAATCAAAACAACACAAGAACAATTTACATCAGATAATTTCTCGTTGAGAAGTGAAATAAGTTGGATAGGAGTAGTTTTACTTGTAATTAGAGTACCATCTTCAACAATTAGATAGTTATTTTCAAACTTAATGCAAATCGTCATCATCTTAGAATAATAAAGAGCCATTTCCATGAGTTCAAATCACTATTTCTTAGCAAAATTGCTTCTTGTGCTCTTTATTTTCCAGTTAAAGGAAAACCGATATCAGCATCATTGGACTGGGACACGTTTCTTGAGATATCGATTCATCTGTTAATGAAAATGTCTTGCAAAGTTTTGAAGATTATTAGACATCGTACTTAATAAAATAGTAACAAAACGATGGCCACCATCACGATTTATCAATGATGATGAATTAAATAATACGTGGAAGTTGTGATCATTTTGAGTCGAAGGCAAGGCTCATGGATGATAAGCAATCTTCAAATCTTCATTAGGAATGCACAAGCTGTATCGCAAGACAATAATGCTTTCTTTTACCAGAAAACTCATTGGGATGATGAACTGGTTGTTCAAAATGAGACCAAGATCCAAACTGGCATGTCATTTGGCTGGTATTGGACATTTACGGTACATTAAATGGGCGAAAAGGTAGCAAAGAAGAACGTAGAAGAAGAGTGAAATCTCTTCGATCAAGGAACCCCATTGATGGTAAACCGAAACAATGTAAATAACCGAAATGAAAATATTGTAGGTCAAAATGATGTAACATTCCTCCTTGACAGCACCGAAGAGAGCAACGAAAGAAAGGACGATTCCGAAAAATATGCCCAATATTGTAAGAGCAGTATCGGGAGACCAAATGATTACATTAGGAGCAAATAAACAATAAAGTTGACCAGCCAAGGCAATAGCATTAATGGTTATGAAAAGCCATTTGACAAACAAAAATAACCATTTGAAAGAAGCCGTCTCTTGACCAAGAAATATCGATGGATTGGTCACAATATTGACAGTCTTCACCGATTTAGGACCATCCATGGTTACCATTATTAATCCTGTCCATTATATAACAAAATCCAATTTCGAGGAATGATTGAAATAACAAAAAATGAAATATAGGTGCAAATAAAAAACATAGTTCCACATCTATGCGAAATCAGTCATTTTTAGGTTATAACAATGATTCCGACTGTTTGTATAAATAATATAATACTTACGTTTACAATATCATAAAAATTAAACACAAAACTTCACTTAATCACAGTTAAATTAGTATAAATATAAAATAGTTTGATAACAAGTTCATTAAAACAGTTTCGAGGTTTATTTTTCGCTTCACCACTACAGATGAGCAGAAAGGTTCAAATAGACTAGCGGTTTTTACAAAATTTATCAATTATTCGCGAAAGGGAATCGAAACAATTAAAATAATTTAAAATTACTTCTTTTCTAAGCTAACAATTTAAATTATTGGAGGTAAAACTCAGTGATAAATAATAGCAACAGAAACTGTTTTGTTTTGTTCAATTTCAATAATGATCACCATCGCAACCAGAGTTAACCAGAAACATGGTAAATTTATTTTAGGTTTAATTTGATAGCAAAAAAATTCAAATTGTATAAATGAATCTAATACACAGTGTAATCCATTTTTTCACCCAACGATACGTAAACTTTTATTTGATTGTTAGTTTGTGCATATTTATATGGAAAGGTATTAGACTTCCTTATGATTCACTCATATTCTGGTTGGAGCTTTCCCTGCTGGTAGTGATTGCCGTTATTCATCATCTGAGTTTCATTTTATCTTATGTTGATCAACCTTTTGTTTCAGCCGCAGTTTTAACACCAACCTTATTAGCGTCCATCTACTTCATTATCTGGCAACAATACATCTTACGGATTGAAATTTTGACCAACTCCATACTAATCATCTTTCAGGCTCTTTTCATTGTAAGCTGTTTCATCAAGTGAACTTGCGACATGCTGGCACTCGCGATAACCATCAAAAAGCTCAGTAGGAAAAGTGCTGTGAAGATTTAATAATTATAATATCAATTATATAACTGAACTAAAGCCTGATTGGTCTTCAATAAACCAGTATGAAGAAAAGTCTTAAAATTGTAGCTGAAACAGCAATACTTAATGGTTGCAGCAAAATTTCCGTCTGGATTTATGCGACTAATGGTTGGTTATCACTATTTTATCAAACATCGAAAGTTGAAGTGATATTTTGCTTTTATACTTTTGATCTTCAAAACAAGATTGTAAACAATTGTTTGTTCGTGCTATGGAGAACAGAAAATTACCAGCTAACCTGCAAATCAATTCAATAAATTAACCAATTTTCCTATCATGCGACAAATTTGACCCTTGTATTTCCATCTCACGTGTGCAGCACTTTTGATTTATCAATATGTTTTACCAAGAAATCTCTTGAACCTAAAAATGGGGACAACAACAAGACATTAGGTTAAATTTTGTTTCAGTTTGTTCTGATCTCTGGTACCTCTTGATTGTACCGAGAGCAATCTTTGCAAATATGGAACAAAGTACAAGAACAAGAACAATTGTACAGGATATCGAAATGCGAAACAATACAAACACTGCAGTCAAAATAGGCGAATCTGTAGCTTCAGTAATGATAACTAAGAATAATGGCGAGACCTTGAATTAATCTAGGTAGATTGGGTTAACCACAAGCTGGTATCGTGTACTAATGTCAACAAATGGATGTTAGTAACCTGACATAGTGATGAGTTGTTGATGAAAATAATTATACTGTACACGCGTCCCCACTCTTTATGCAAGTGCTGAGTAAATGTTTGTTTCAGGTCTAATTTTCCTCTTCTTGAAACTTCTTTTACCATAAGTTTAACATCAATAGATGAAGCGATCATTCTACTTTTTCATGGTAGACATCTTATCGAAAAATGAAGGCAAATTTTCCACAATGTCCTTGTAATTATACTTAGGCTATTTGATGGAAACAAATAGCAGCAGAAATATTACAATAAAAATAGCATTTCACGTGTCTATCAACTCTAGGTCTTACAAAGTCCATGTAATTGAATGTTTGTCTCATATTTTGATTACGTGAGTTGAGTCTTGATCTCGTCTGGCTTCATTACTTCCTTAACTTGTCTCCATCTCCTTATCCTTCATTTCAATTTCAATTGATATATAAAAGTGGGAACAATTATAATTCTTCTATTTATTGCTTGTGTCTGGTGGAAGATGAAAGAAAAGAAAAATTGATCAATATTGTTTAATGGCGGCACTTTTCTTGAGGCCCAAGTAGGCTTTTCAACAAACAGACTTACAAATTCTTGCTTTCCAGAGCTCTAAAAATTGATATGGAAAATTGTTCAAAGATTAACAAATTATTATTACGTCAGATTTATTTACCGGTCGATTGGTTCTTTCACTGAGTACATTTTTCTGGTTTGGTGAATACCACGAGATTAAATGTGGTCACAGGAACTGATTTGCATAAAACCAGTTTTGTTTAACCTTCCAAGCTCATAATAAACCTGAAAAAAATATTAAAAAACGGAAAAATTTAATTACTAGTCTTTACTTACCAGTTTCATCAATAAAGATCAAGATTTTTCCGCTTTGACACACAATAGAAATAGTTTATTACCAATAGCGACGACTTACAAATCGGTTAATTTTAATAGGATTTTAACAGAAATTAAAAAGAGCTTAAAATTTAAGACTTAATTTAAGTAACTTATTTTACGCGCAATTTACTCGCGCATGTTCATGACAACAAGACTGCAAAAAGCAAACAATCTGTTTTGTTTGGTTTGTTTTGGACTTTATTGAAATTTATTGAAATCATCGTATTTACAATTTCCGTCTTATTTGTACCTTTGATTGTTTTATCCTAAAAATTTTTAATTTAACGAAATTTCTATGATATTTGAAAAAATTATTCCTTTCAACTTAATTCATTGATTCCTAACCAGAAACATATTTCCTCTTTTTCATCACCATCATCATCATTATCTTTTGACTCCGATCTTGCTTCCATTTATTGTGACAGTATACCTTTTGTTTCTTTTTCATCACCTTTTTATTGATCGACATTCTATTTTCGTACACTTCTCCGATTTGTCTCCTTTTCTGCCGTCTGATTTTATTTATATCATAACAAGTATAAGAAACATCATCTTAGTGGTTCACACTTTCATAGAAAGCAGTTAAATGGAATCGAATGAAAGATCAACTGAGGACAGTTTATGTGACTCTCTGAATGGTTGTATTAATTTAACAAAAAGTAATGAAGCAACAAAGACTAGACAGAAAAGACCAGATAGAGAATTTTATGTCCCACCAAATGCACATATGTCCAAAGTTAAAACTGTAACTGATAATCCATGTAAAAAGTCTGCCAAAGTGACGAAAATTAATAACGCTCAGCGAAAGTCAAACCAAAGTAAAGTGAAAAAGACGCAAGAAGAAATAGTTGACACAGAGAAGGAGAAAAATCATAAAGATAGTGTCAAAAAAGTTGTCAAAGAAGAGAAGATTGAACAAAAAGAGAATCAATCCATGGTTCAATTGGAATCTTCGAACGAATCTGTCAAATGTGCGAGCTCAAATGAATCAGAACCGTCATGGGACGATATCTACGATGATGATGGAGACTGTGTAAAACCTCAATTGGTTGAACAATTTTATGATCCAAACGAGCATAAAAACGAAACCAATCTTAAAGTTAAAGATAAAGTCGACTACCTTAAATTGGAAGTTTACGAGCCCAATGAAGATGATTCCAAGTTATCTCATGTTTTGGAAATATATGATTTTCCATCTGATTTAAGGACGCAGGATTTGGTAACATCTTTATCTGTTTTCAAGTAAGTAGGATTAATTAGTAATTGATTCAGGTCAATTTCTGATATCTAATTTTATCGTAGTAATTGATGTAATTTTTTCTATTTTATTACTTTTTCAGTTCCCGAGATTTTGACATAAAATGGGTTGACGATACACATGCTTTGGCTGTTTTCTCGAGCCAAATCGCTGCTAGAGAGGCCATGTCTATGCCTTACACCAATATTCGTCTCAGACCTCTAAATGAAGCCATCAAGGAGTCGAGGGTAAAAGCTCAAAAATGTGCTGGTAAATATTTCCATTCTTCACAAAAGTTTATTAATTTTAATGATTTTCAATTTCCTCCATAGCAGAACATCTTTTACCACATAGACAAAGACCGCAAACATCAGCTGTACTTGCTCGTAGACTTGTTACGGGTGCTTTAGGATTGAGAAGTACAATTAGTTCGGAACAGCGAGCCGCCGAAAAGAAACGTTTACAAGAAGCAAGAGGTGAGAGTAAACTTGTTGTTAATTCTTGACAGTTAATTCAAATTCTCCTTTTTCCCATTTTTTAGAGAAACGAAGGATGGCCATGAAATTGACACAGGCTGTTTGGGAAGGAGACGTTGGTTAAAATTTTAACTAATCTGAAATTATTATAATACAAATTGTTTAGTTTTTTGATCTAAAGTCAATGATGAGAACTTATCTTTGAAGACATAAATTTTTAATTTTTTAAATTAACATTTGCACATTGAAATAATTGAGAATCATTAGAACTTCAATCAAGTAAGAAAGGAATAGATGGAGATAGTGGAAAAATGTCGAAGATATAAGAGAGAAATAGGCAGACGAAATGAGAAAAGCTAAGGTGATTTAAATTAATGTTTTACCTCTACTGTGTTGAGGCAATTTTGATTTTCAAATTTGCTGTCAATAATTGCTAAAAGACGATTTTTAACTCGCTTCTCAGAGGCGATACAATTAACAAGTGATAATAATTGCCTTTGTGTGTACTCATTACGAGACATGATCCATTTTTCGAGAGCATCGTCCATCAAATAGTAGGCTTTGATATATTCTTCAACCAACTCACGTTCCGGAATTGGTTTAATTAAAGTCATTTTTTCAGCTTTGGTTAAAAATTCTTGATAATCCAATTGCATAAGAGCACGGCCTGCGGGAGTACATTTCTTGGCCATTGAAAAGCCTTCAACGAATGTACGATTTGCCAACTTGAGAACAGATGACCACAACATATTCTTGGCTTCTTGAGGTACTTTAGCTTCCAATTCGGAGCATATTTGGTCCAATCGAGAAGAAAATAATTGTATTTCCTTTAGTAAACTATCAACATACGAATTGTGCATTGAAGGAATTTCAGTAAGGTCCCATCTAACATTTTCCACAGTCGTCAATATTGATTCATAATTAATTGATCTAATAGCTACCAACATGTAACCAGGATAACGTAAATCCTGGGCAACCGATACAGCCTAAAAAGATGGAGAACAGATAAGAATGATTAACCAGAAAACCAAAGAAATTAAATCAAGCTATAAAGTGTTTTATGGAAAGTAATATACCTGCATATAGTATTTGTCAAGAATTGAATGTTTTGAAGATGGAATAAGATCTCGGAAATATTGTTGAATTACGTTAAGTTGAGATGCAAGAAACATTCTAAAAAAGATTAATCATTTAAATTTAATTAGTATTTCAGAGTGGATATTACTCGTAAATTTTCCAATGTTATTTTCTAATACTTACACAGATTCAATTCCAACGATTCTTTCAGAAAGTCCATAAAGATTTTCAGGGTTAAGAGTTCGATCCATAAGTCCCATTGACTGTATTGTTGATGGATGCTGGTCATCATTTGATTCGGAATCGCCATTCTTCATTGAATCTTCAATACGAACAAGGCAAGTCTTAAAACGAACCGAAAGACAATTATTACGAATATCACTAATCTCCTTGGCAAAAAATGTGTACACTGTATAAAAATAGTAGTCAAATAAGTGAAATATGCTTAACAAAATATCGAAAGCTATTTGTCTCAAGAGAAACATTATCTGCATATATTTGCCGATCAGACGGAGAACATAGAGACTTGTATTGGTAACCAATGGTCCTTCATTATAGCTTGTGACTTTTTGGTCATTGTCACTATTTTTTGAAGAATCCATGGCCATTTCGTCTTCTATTTCGTCTTCAGACGTATCATCATCAGCTGCATCAGTTTCTCTCGTTCCATCTCTGACTACTTTATTTGTGGACCGTTCTAACTCGCGTATTATGCTATCACTTGCGTCTTCATTTTCTAAGCATATATTGTCAAATGGGTTTTCAATAGTTCCAGATGAATCAGCAAGCAATGAATCTCGGAAAAAGGAAGATTTTTCAGGTGATCCTGGTCCGCTTGTTTCACTATTTGCTAGAGAAAGGTTACCTAATGAGTGAGCACGAAGAGGCTTTAGAAATTTAAATTCTTGTAAATCAAAATATTGGAAACCATTTTTAACAGGGCAAACAGTCCAAGATTCATTTTCAAGGTACATCCGAAGCTCATCTAGTCGTGTTTTATGGTAATGGTTAAAATAATTTACTGTCTTTTCGTGTAATGTTTCCTCAAATTCGGTTGAGTTATTGTCACAAAATTCCATTCCGATATCTATCATGCGACGAGATACTCTAAGAATTGTCATGAGTTCTTCGAAAGAACAATTTGACATGTCATGGCTTTGGACAAGTGCGCGCAATTTCTGTTGTGCTTCTTGCCATATCCGACCTAATCCATGTTCCAATTTTTGCAGAATGAAACGTCGATTGAAGTTTGCTTCAACTCGATCCTCTTCACCGAGATAATCTTTATCACCGGCATCTCCAGAACCATTATCATCTATCCCTCCACCACCATCTTCAATATCACTCTGATCTTCATTACAGACAGAATTGGCAATAGTGGTTGTGGTAATGGTGGCTGCAGCAACAGATCTCTCTTCATCATCATCATTATCCGTATTCAATGCATGGCATTTATTATTGGGTTCACTTTGATGATGAGTATTCTCATCGTTATTATTGGACACAGTGGAATCATTAGTGTCTTTTTCACATTGATGGAAATATAAAATGCGTCTATAGTTGAGTAAAATGTTAAATAGTGATTTGCTGAGATCTATTAAACAAGGTATAAAACACTCATTGGTTACATATTTACAAAGTTCTTTATACTCTTTTTTACGGAAATTCTCAATCTTTTTAGCTTCCACTGAACACAGTTCAACATAACCATGAACAACACTAAAAGCTTTGTCACTTATAGCCGTTGCAAAATGCATACACAGTGAATCCATAGAGGTCTGTGTTTTACCCAATAACGAGTAAGCTTTTTGGAGTCCCTTGTAGGTATCAACATTAAAATTATGGCACATTTTAGAAAGGCTAGCATCTATGTGCTCTTCGATCATATCCAACATATCCGTAAGTTTAGAGCTCAATTCAGAAACACATTTATAATGCTTCAAAGTGTTGACAACCTTTTGACACTCAATGCACAATTGAATAGCTGCACAGTGATCATTATCCTCTTCAATCATCTCTTTTAGTCGAACATTGGTTTGCTGGAGAGTTTTGATTGTTGATAAAGACTTCAAAACATCTCGAAGACCTTCTCTTCTCCGATAACTGGCAACAATCCCTAGACTGGCGCAGGTGAAATCACTTCGACCTTTGTCAAAACCTTTCCTTGCTGACCGACAAATTCCAATTGCTTCACTCAGTTTGTTTTGAATATCTATTACTCGTTTCATCTCTTTACCATAAGCACCTTCTTTCTCCATAATGGATGTAGACAAACGTCTAGAAACAACATTTAATTGTTTTTCCAAGCGCCTCTTTTCTTGAAGGATGTAATCAAGATCTAGAAAGTACACATTGGATACAATAAAACAATAATACTTGGATTAGATTTATAATATTGACAAAGAGCCATCATACATATGATAAAAGCGGCGAAAGACATAATGAGAGTTGTGAAAGGAATTTTGGAAATAATCTGTAAAAAATTATTGGCTTTAAACTTACTCAGTTCATTTTCAACTTTATCAAGGACGTAATTTAGACTCTCAAATGATCCTACTTCATAATTAACCTTAAAAATGTCCTCATCAATACCATCAAGTATCTGCTGATCATTCTCTTCATCCATGGCGGTAACACATCAAAAGTAAACTATTGTAAGTCAATGAATCCAAACCATATAGTGTGATCTAAATGAATAAGGAAAAGATGCAAGAAAAGAGAAATGAGAGATCAGGTGAAAGTAAAGTTAACGAGATGATGGCTTTAGTAACTGTTAGCCACTAATACTTACCAGCTCATAAATAAGCCAATTGGTATTAAATCAATTCATTCATTAATTAAATCAATGGTAATTGCACAGAGCATAATAAATATTAAATTCAGATATCACAATGTACACACGCCTAGTAAACAGTTGTTGCAAAAAATTCACTGCAGGTAATCAACTGAATGGTTTGGGATCATCTTAACATTGCGTAACGTTTTCTATCAAATCATTTTAGGTAACTAATAAAATAAATTGTCTAAAATCAATGTTCTAACAATTAAAATAAACTATTAAAATCAATTTTAACTATGAAAATGTTAAAATAATAATAAGAAATACAAATACAACCATTTTCCCTTTAAATGCAAACTTCTCTATAAGCTATGACACTCATCTGTCAATTTTTCCAGCATCTTTAACAGATGAACCATAAAATGATTTCTTTACAACCTAAAGATGAACAATCGATTTATCATGTATTTTTATAATATTGAGCTAAAAGGGGAGTGAAAACGGAATGTAAAACAAATGTAACACAGGAATTAGGACGCTATAATGGGTGTATGGCAAGATGTTGTTTTTGGTTTATTAAGATAATCTGGTAATCTTGATTTTAAAATCGCAACAGATTTCTTATTCTGAGTATTTGATTTGATCACAATGCATCTGTTGGAGTTTTTTGATGATAAAAAGTCGCTTAAATTACGAGCAGCAAGTTATTGATAAAATGGACAAAAACACCGAATAAGAATTAAAGGTACGGACACAAGGCGTAACTAACAAGACTTTTAAAACAACTAGATGAAGTTAGCGACTACATCCAAATGAAAATGAATGATGTTATTTCACATGAAAATGAGATTTCCGACTCAGTTTGAATTAAAATCAAATTGATTTCTTTATAATCTATTTGATATAAAAATTTACTGCAATTTTTGTGTTAAAATTACGATTTGACCGAAAGGGCTCTACAGCAATTTTTTGGCTAATTTTTTTGATTCGATCGCAGTATTTAATCTAACAACCAGCAATTATAATCAATATTTTTATACAGGAAAGTGAATTGCATAGGAGTTTAACTATTACGCTTCGTAAGTCTGAGTTGGCTACAATCTTTGTTATGGTTAGTCCATTTGCCATGGAAACATGCAAAGCTACATTTTGGAATAGATTCATCATTAAATTAAAATTAAATTAAAGGTAACCCAAATGTCATTTAGAGAGCTTCGAAGTAAGTAAATTGATAAGCCTTGATGAAAATTGAAATTGTTACGGTTAATTCATGATCTCTTTTCCCATATTGCTTGTAATTAGACTTTTCAGAAATCTTACGATTCCTTGGTTATCCTCGTTTAGTTTCAATTGATAATTTTAGGAAACCAAATTTTCCTTTGGTTGCCGAGATATTAAGATGGTTAATTACGAGGTAAGCTGGTTTTACGTACCAAAAATAGTTGAAAATTATTTCTGTTCAAATTGTTTCACAGGTTTGATTCATCATTGGAAGTTCCTTATGTGATTGAAACCGAACAAGATCGAGTCATTTTTGTTAAAACATGTGCCCAGTTAATAGTAAGTCCAGTGTTTTTTAGAACCATCTTGTTATGAGCTTTCTGTGATTTTTGTATCTGATTATTGCATTAAGGCAACCAAGGCTTTGATAAAGTTAAACACCAAAAAAATTTACACAGCTGATGGTCATGCCGTTCAAGAAATGATGAAGATGGCCAGTCTTATTTATCAAGCCTCTAAGCAAAGTGAAAACGTGGATGATCATAACCAAGAAGATGTGATTACAATGTCAGAATCATTGATTCATAGTAAAGTATGCTGAAATAAGTGTAAATGTGATTAATATCGTTGAGAATAATAATTTTGTTTTTTCATTATTGAAATAGTCGACTGAACTAAAGAAGACTCGTCAATTGGCATCAAAAATCACTCAAAAAGGCGCATTATTGTCTGATTTATTGGAAAAAGAGATTGAATTGAGGGTAAGATACACCGTCATCTACCAGTTACTGACAGTATTGTTTTGATTGTTTAAGTGAAAATCTGGTGGTCACTATTGGATTGATTTACTTTATTGATAGGAGAAACGGGTTCAAGCAATGAATCGACAGCTTGCGATTCCAGAAATCGAGAAGAGTTTACGAGATGAAATTAAAAGGGTTGAAAAAGAGATTGAAAACATAAATTATAAGATTGAACATGTTGCTTCAGACGAGGCCAATTTGGACGTTAAAATTGAAAAGAAACAACAAGAACTTGAAAGATACCAGAAAAGATTGGCAACACTTAAATCAGTCAGGTAAGTAAATTTGCTCAATCAATTGTTAAGGTCTCAATCTCTATGGTCAACTGTTCCTAAGTAGATGGGCCAAGTTTGGCCTCATCGATTTCTTGTTACTTGCTGGCAGAAAATCGAGATATTCCTTCGGATTATCATGGAATGAAGTGCGTGTTTACCAGAAGAGGAACCTGTTTCGTGGTAATAATATCACGATTATCTGCCCGAACATCAAGAAATCGATAATATCTCTGATATTTAATCATATTGAAGGTTGAATTATTGTCTTTATATTTTTTAACATCCAGGCCAGCTTTTATGGATGAATATGAAAAACTGGAAGAAGAAATGGCGACTTTGTATGATGTTTATGTGACCAAATTTCGAAGTCTTGTCTATCTTGACTGGCAATTGGAAGACTCTGAAAAAACTGAAATCGACAAGATGAAGGTGAGTCCACTTTTTAAATTGAATTTGACTTACCTTTAATTTTAATTTATTTGCCTCTTTTAGACTCGAAAAGAGCAGATAAACAGAATGATTGAGCAGATGAGGAAAGAGGAATCACTACGAGCTGAAAATGAGAGCGATGCTGATCTGGATATTGGCATTAATCTTGGTGAACTGGAAGATGATGAGGACGAAGAAGAAGATGATGATGATGAAGATGATGTTGATAATTTTGGAGAAAGTGGTAAAATGAGCAATAATATGGTTAAAAACGATCGTTCCCATAGAGCAATGATTAACTCTACAACAGCAAAGAGAAGTGAAACTGGTAGAGTAAGAGTATTTGGCTCAATGATTGCTGGGGATAGAGATGATTCTTTAGATTCCGATTTAGATTTAGATGGTGATGATGATCCATCTGAATTGGATTCTGAAGATGAACGAGAATTGCGAAACATCAAAGACATTAATAACCGAAAAGGAGACGAAACTGATGATGATAATGATTTTTAATGTAAATGTCAAAAATCCAAATCATTTTTATCTTTAACTCTTCAACTCATACAATTAAATAGAAAATGTTTTTCGGTTTATTTACGTTTCATCTCAATTTATTTTCCAATTATACAATGCTTTTGGATAGTTTAACACACACATTCAAGTGAAAACAATTAAATTTTCTGCATAATAAGGGTTTCAGGTTTGGTCCTAATTTATCTGCAGCTACCATCTATGGTGTAATGATTAACATTTGTTCAATGTTTCCAATAAATGAATCATCATCGTGGCCATCACGAACATTTTTCTTCTTCTTCTTGGATTGCATCGCCTTTGTCTGAAAAACAAATTCTGAAGTGATTGTGCTTTGTGCATCATTAACCCTGTTGTACTTACCCTCAGAGCTTTCACTTCTCCTCTGTTTTGGCGTTTCTGTTGATGTCAGATCTAAATTTGCCATTATGGAATTCATAAGATCAATTCGAGAGTCCAGACTGAATGGAACAAACAAAAACGAAATTTTAAGCAACAACAAAAGTAATCCATGAGAGACTATTGATTTTGAGATTCTCACCTGTACTGCTTATTTGTCAACATCAATCCTTTGATTCTTCTTCGTAATTCAGGGCTTTGTTTTGCCACCAGTTTCAACGAATTGCCAAGATGTCGAACAAACTCTGGTACAACTTCATTGTTCTCAAAAATGGCCACAAAAGAACCGTTGACTACTTTAGGAGTCATCGGACTATTAGATAAAAGTAAACTCGTGCCAAAATCAGGTCGTAATTTCTTCGCCTCAGCCAGGTTGATAGTTTTCCTTGCTCCACTTGGTGTTTTAAACATATTTATCAGCGCAGTTGCTGTTTCCTGAATAATTTTCCAATCCGACATAATGTCTTGTTCATTTGTTTGGTGTGACGTGACCGTGAAGCGAATAACATAGATTCCTTTAAGTGAAGCTGGAACGCAATGTATTTTACCTTCTGAGTTTAGCCTTTTCAATAGCTTCTCAGTTAATTGGTTATCCCCTTTTAACCGGAAAACAACTAAACCCAGATGTCTGGCTGATGGTATTTCAAACCTTGGATCTAGTGTTATTTGGTCTTGAAATAAACCAGCCAATCGAACACCTTGCCGAACATGCTCTTGAAGACCCTTAATGCCAAAGTTTCTAAGGACAAACCAGAGTTTCAGTGCTCTAAATCGTTTGGATAAAGATATTTGCCAATGCATATAGTCAACAGCTAAACCACTGTTCTCGTGTTTCAAATAAAGTGGATCAACGTTAAAGGTCCTATGAAGCGATTGACTGTTTTTAACCCACATTGCTGTACAATCAAAATGAACCATCATCCATTTAGATGGGTTAAAAGCAAAACTTGAGGCAAATTCAATTCCATTCATCCATTTGCGAAACTCTGGGCAAATGAAAGCTGTTCCAGCATAAGCTGCATCAACATGAATCCAAATATCTTGAGCTACACAAATGGGACCAATTTCGGTTAGATTATCGAAAGCACAAGCTCCTGTTGTACCAAGTGTAGCACAAAGGAAAAACGGTATCAATCCTTGCTGTTGATCTTGTTCAATTGTTTCGATGAGACAATCAACTCTCATTGAGAGATCATCATTCGTCTCAATGTATCTCATCTTAACTAAACCAATAAGACCAGCTTTTTCAACTGAAGAATGAGCCTGATCTGAACAATAAGCCACCAATCGTCTGTTCAGCTCAGCATCTTCAAACTCTTCATCAACCATGGCTCGATATTTTCTTAGAGCCTCGGTTCGAGCAGCTAATAAAGCCACAAAAGTTGCCTCAGAAGCAGTTGTCTGAATAACTCCGCCACCCATTGAATCTGGCCGAGTATGCAGAAAATCATCTGGAAGGTTAATCATTTTACCCAACCAATCCATTACAATTAACTCTAATTCAGTGCAAGCTGGCGATGAAGCCCAAGTAAAACCAAGACAGTTTATTGCATCAGACAACATATCTCCAAGCAATGAAACTGGTGAATTGAGTGCGGGAAAATAAGCGTGCATCTGGGGACTTTGCCAATGAGTTACTCCTGGCATAATTACCTTTTCAATATCAGTAAATATTGTTGACCATGGTTCACCCTCTTCTGGAGCAAGATCGGGTACTAAATCCCTCATATAACCAGGTTTAACTGATGGAAAAACTCGCCTATCACGAATGTTTTCCATATAATCGGCAATATAATCAACCATTAGTTTACCTAGAGAAAACCATTTTAATTACATGCAAAGTTTATTTAAAACCATCATCTTATCCTGGGATATGAAAATCAATGATTAAAGACTTACCAGCCGTTCGATATTCAACCCAATCCATTTAAGATATTCACTTGACTCCAACAGATAATCACTTAGACTGGAAAACTCTTCTGGTTATATTCACAAGACTGGTTAGCTTTTGATACACTCTTGACTTTAAACTTGACTTGATTATAAACAATCAATTTAATCCATATCGGCAACAATCAACATATAATCACTCGATTGAATATAATAGACAGATAAAAATACAGTAATTTGTTGATGTTTCTTCCTTTGATATCAACTTGACTAAAAAGCGATTAAATGATGAGCTTTGATGAAAAGTTGTTTGCGTTGATCCAGAGTTTGATCAAATTTGAGGTAAGAGCTTATTATGTGTAAACTAACGATAAATTATTCTGGAAGAATAGAGTTGAATCAATTGATGGTGAACTAATTGATATTGAATAACATCAAAGTTCAATATAATTCACCTAATAGTTGTGATCCCTTGGGCATAATCCATATAAAACTAACAAGCTTTAAGATTCTATTTCTGAACATTTATCAACTACCAAAGTTAAGTTAACTTAAATAATTGAAGATCAATATTAAACTTCTTGATAATCAGGTAACAACCTGATCAAAAAACTATCAAGTTCAAAAGTGATTAACGTTTCATTTTACCTTTTGTTAACCTTCCGCTTTGCTGACTAGAAACTGTGTCATCTTCTAATTAAGGTAAAGTTATCAATTTACAGAATCCAAGTCAGTGAATTGGAGTCACCAGAACTCCTTGGCTTCAAAAAATTTCCCTTTTAATCAAGATTGGATTCAACTTGACTACTCGGTTCCAACTCATGTTGTCCATTGCAAGTCAGGCAATGGATACTTCAACAATAATCGCTGTCGATGCCGCATAGATTCATCTTTGACTGGACTTGATTTAGGAAATATTTTGAGATTTGTTAACCTTTAATCTTGAATCTTTTGTTTAGCTTTGCATCAATATTAAAACTTAAACTTAACCCGAATGGTTTACCAATTAAAGTGATGGAAACATGGAGAGTAAAGATTAATGTTCAGAAATTGGACTCAAAGTATAACTAATTTAGATGAGGAACAGTTGCTTCGATTCAATCAGTGTAGCAATTTTTCTTAGACTGGGAACTTTGGGCAACACATACTTCATTGAAATAACAATTCAAGATTTTTGATTCAAATTTCTATTTAGCTAAAATCTATCGCTATTTTTGTCTTGTTACTGTAAAGCTAATTTAGTTATTGACTGAGTCAATTTCTGACTTAAAACATTATCTAGTTCCAGATGATTAATTACTCGATTCAATAATGTAGAGTTGCTCATGTTTGAATAAAACCAGCTTATGGCCACTACTTTCAATTTTCCGTTTATTATCATGCAAAAACGCAGATTAAATTTACAATTAGGTTTAAGGACACTTTTTTAAGAAAGTATTGTGATTATCAGAATCAAGAAGAGATTCTTGTTTGGTTTACAGATTGACAGGAACATGAAAATTTTTCAGATGAGTTATGAAGTCTATTCTGAATCTGAACCTTCTTCCACGATTGTTATAAGGCCTTTATCAAACAACAAATTAGATATTTCCAGCTGAGGAAAAAAATAAAAAATTAGTCAAATCTATTGAATATACGCGAAAAGAGTAGAAGTGTATAAGAAATAACAAACCTTTTCATCCAGTTTTTCCAAGGGCAAACTAGAGATTTCAACATAATTTGGATAGTTTTTGACGAGATAATCGATTGCTGGAGCAAGATTTGAATCGATTTCGACATATTGCGATTCAATTTCTTGGTTAGGGTCATACGAATTTTCCATATTGTGATAAAGACGAATAGCATCTTCTTCCATAACCAGTCGCACGATTCCATAACGAAGAAGTCGAATAGATGTTTCCGGAGCAAGCTCAATACCCCCTTCAACCGTTGCAGAATCAGCATCCCAAAATTCACCCGATCCATGAATACTCGATCTTTTTTCTTGGGCTGTCAAAACAGGAGGTAAGCTTTCACGAAGCATCCTCTTGCTCATTTGATCAACCGCTGAATCTACGTTAATGTGACTTATCAATTTTGTCATTAGATTTTTAACCTTAGAAACGAACACGTCCCGGTTTGAGTTTAACTAAAAACAAAAGATAAAGATTAGTAAAAGAGAAACAAAGTTTAAAAATCGTAATACTAACATCATCCTGATGCACTACACCCATATACTGAAGGTAATTAGTTGGTAAAGACTCCCGAAACGTTTTATCCTCCTGTTTAAAAAAAGATGAATTGATTAACATATGGTATCATTTCATGGAATTAAGAAAAATTAATCTGCCCAATTTAAGACTTACCTCCATTGCAGTTTGCAATGCAACTGGAAGCATGATTTCTAATAAGTCTCCATAAGTGTTCTTTTGAGCGGCTGAAAGAGTTATGTGTAAAGAATGTTCCCCTTCAACAGCTTGAGCTTCGTGTATAAAACCTCGTGGAAAATAAAGCATGTCGCCAGGTTCTAATTCAACTGTTAATATTGGAGGTGCTTTGAGTTCATCTCGTTTAAAATTTTTGCTGGAAAATCTTGGTAGAGTGTTAGCTTCATCTAAAGGTGGATAAACTTTCCATAATTTGCGGCCTTCTAATTGGAGTACAAAGGCTTCAATATCATCATAATGAGGAGCAAATCCTTGGGAACCAGCAGGAGTGAGATAAACATTGGCACCAACATATGAACCGAAGAATTCTTGCAAAATACTATTCAATTTCCAGACTGATCGAGAATAAGTTTGTGGATTTAATAACCTTATAGAGCATCCAACTTGAAAATGATCCCAGACAACCGCTGGATAAGCTCGACCATCGGGGTTATAAGTTTTTCGTTCATCGTTGATATAGCTAGTGATGTCAATATTTTTAGTAAATTGTAAATGTCGCTCACGTAAAGCTCTATCTAAATCTGCAGTACTGTAAACTCCATGATAATAGTTGGGTTTATTTCTTTTTAGCAAGAGTGGTTCCTTTTCCCAATTCACTGACATAAAACGATCAACATCATAAGGATTGATCAACCATTGGAAACACTTTTTAGCTTGTTCTCGACTATCAGTTAAGAAGGGAGGGATACTGAAAGATCTGGTACTCTTAGCATCTTCATCAGGTTCTTTTTGAATCCTTATGGGTATTTCCTGTGCTTTCTTACTTGGCACGTCAAGGCTGCTTATAAATGGAGACTTTCTAAGATCATCTAGACTGTAACTTTGTCTATGTTTTAAAATGGACTCAATGCGGCGTGTTTTCTTATTTGGAATGTCAGCCGACTTTTTGGTAACTTTATCTTTAAATAAAACACCAAATGTTCGCTCTCTTTTTTCATTAAGAGTGTTGTCATTAGACGCATCAGTAGTATCAGTAGCGTCAGTTCCATCAGTTCCGTCAGTTCCATCTGATTGATGACCATCAAACTCGTCTTCTGCAAACCTAACTCTTTTATTGCTTGAAAAGGGTTCCTCAAGCTGACCAAAAGTTCGCTTTGATGTACTTGATTGGGGTTCGTCGAATTCAGGAACAGAAGAAGGATCATCACCCACAGATTTTCTTCTTTTAGGATTTTTTTGGCGGCCTCCTTTCTTGTTCTTACCCTGTGAAAAAAACAAGAATAAGATAAGTTTCAATAAAATTTTCAATTACAATTTACATACCCGTGCCAATTTGTAAAATTCAAAGGCAGACAACTGTTTAGGAAATTTCATGTTGTAAGAATTGAAATAAAAACTAAATTTTGAATAAACAAATGGAAATAGCCTTAGCACATGGTTTGAGGAGTTTGCTAAGAAATGTAAAATGTTTTCACAAATATGACAAGACTGTTTCCAAGGAGTTCGGTAGGTGAAGCGCGTTTTTCAATTTCAAACCCTTTATTCATCTGCTTGGAAGTGCCAAAGGGAAAAATTTTTGGTTAAATTTTTCATCCAGCCAACAATTACTTCATCTCTTACATTATTTTCCAACAAAAATCAAGGTATGTAATGATCATCATATTTACAAATAGGCTTCCAACTAACATCTGATGAGTCTGATTCATTTGATCTTAATTTTACTTTGGTGAAGCGTCTTGGTCTTTATTGAATTATAATACTTACAATTGTTGGATTAAGTATTCAGTGTGATTCTTTCAACCTCGGCCTCAACTCTGATCTTGAATGTGCTTGACTCTTAAGTGTTAAAAATGAACAGCAGGAAGAGCAAATTAATTTTGCAGAGAAGTTGTTGACGCCAAAAGGTTACCAATGCGTAGTTTTTACTTTCCTTTAGCTGTTCAGTGTTAACTTAATTAGCAATTGACTGTTGAAAATTGTTGTACTTTACATTTGAAGTGTCTTGACTTGTTTCTGATTGTCCAATATAATGACAAGTGTTTACTGAAAATACATTTGTCTCCTTTACTGGTTTCACTATAATGACTACACTGGCAAGAAATGGTGTTATTAGGGTCAATCAATGTTTACTGTAGGCACTGTAATAAAAAAAGATGGTAAAAACAAACGCAGATGAATAATTTACTACAAACACTCGTGAAAAAGAGTTAATTGACCGTAAAATTCAAAGGTAATTGGGTCGAGTTGTTACCTTGTTATAACCTGCTTATACAAGAAGCTGCATCAAGATGTACAGTTGAAAGTTTAACTTGCTTTACCAAAAATTGGTTGATTCTCTGGTTAATTTAATTCAATCGTGAAAGTAACATTATAACCAGACTTATATTTTCAAACAAAAAGCTACTTACATTTGAAAATAAATGAAAAGCAAAATTTACAGTAATGGTCAAAAGGTATAAATGTTTATAATTTACAAACAAAGTAGCCAACAGAAGATCAGCTGAATAATTGAGCTTTTCATTGTATAACTGATTACCTCAAAAAAATAACAATTTAATATAATAATTGAAAGGAAGAGAAATAACGTTTTAATTGGTTAAAATATATTAGTCAATAGTGACCTGGCAACATTGTTAATCGTCAAGAAAATTAAGCATCGTCATCAACAGAAGTTAATTATTTCTCATCAATCAAGCTTAAAATTGTTTGTATTCTGTGTGTACTTTTTAACAAGCAATTATTATGATCGATGTGAGTTGTAACTAAATATGAATGTAATCTAAACGTTATTTAAAAAAAGATGGATATGGATATATTTTATTATGAATAACCATCATCATTAAGCAGAACCTCTAAATCAACATTTCTCATGATAACTAGTTTATTGGTTGAATATTAACCTTGATACGTTAAATAACACCTTTCACTATCTTCCAAGATTGAACCTTAAACCAAAATATTGTCTGACATTTGACCAGAGTTTTGACCCATTCACCAAAAGTCAGCTTTGCTTTTCCTCTTTAAGATTTTAAATTTCTTATATTTTAGTCAAAAAAGTTCTGCCGATGACATGAGAACCGATCTTATGCAGCATCAACATCATAATTCTGGCGAAAGTAAGATCAACAGCTAACGAAACGTTAATCGTTAATCTTAGAGTTGAGTTGATCTTACCTTTTGAAACAATAATTGTTTTTACACTCATTGCTTTCATCCATCAATTGAAATCATGGTCTTCGTCTCTTCCTTTCACTTTTGATTGTTATTTTACGAGGATTGTAATTGTTTTCAGACGTTTTAAACAAATTGTTGACTAATTGATATTGTGATTGATTAATTTGTTTATAACTTGACAGACAAAAGAGGTGCAGTGTAATGTTAACTGACCAATTTGGAAACCTTAAATATCTGACCGCAAATAGGCTTAACTATTAAGAAGTCCTTTTACTTGTTGCAGAGGGTTGACTGTATTACTGTTAAGAGACTGGCAATACTTGTGAGTAGATAAAAAAGTGGAAATAAATCAAGAGTTAAACTTTATGTTATTATTACATGGTAACTGTTGATTTGAGCTGAGCTAATGTTAATGGTAAGACTATTAACAGTAATAAAAAAATAAACATTCATAATTATATAATGGTTTATAAGTAATAAATGAAACCATCAAGTGATCAAGTATCAAGATGAATCAAGATGATTTAACAATTCAAGAAAAAGTGATAAGCACATCTTTTGATGGAAATACAAAAATGTTGACTTTTTTTCAAATGCATGTCACCAAAGTGTACAATTTAGATCAATTTTGCTACAAATTACTGATGACAGTTGATATGTTGTGCTAATAATTGTGAACAATGAAGGTTATTCAATGGATGAATATAAAGAAATGTCCAAATTAACATTAGTTGATGTCAAGAAAAAATGAAAATGTGTGTCAGTAAAATGGTTTTATACGTTTAAGAATAGTATCAAGATGAAAATGATAATCTCGAGTATTGATTAACATAATTTGACAACTTCTATGGAACTGTTGATTAATGAATAAAAGCTGAACATAAACACCAACAGTTCAAGACAAATAAACACAAGGAGAGATGATAACATGAAATGAGTTGGCTTAGCATTGAACAACCGAAGAGTTTGCTTGAAAAATTGAACACCAATTTGTTTGATCATCTTTAACCTTCTTTGGTCTTTGAATGTTTCTTCCTTTTCCTATCCTCAATATGAACCACCATGACTCCACAGGTAAATTATAAATCTGTATTGAAAGATGGTGGAGAAAGCAAAATTAATAAATCAATCATTTTAAGGTTTGTTTCTGCAACAAATGTGGACCAATAATGATAAAACAACACTATTGAAGTGTTGAAAAATTGTAGCTGTCAGTTGACATAAATGATTAACAAGCCTATTTGAACAATCAGTTGAAAGATATATTAACTAGTTAATTTTTGATTGACGTAAAATCATCTCAATAAACTCATGGATATACTCAATGATTTTTCATGCAATTAAATTGGTTGGCAAGTGGTTCATCCCAAGTCAGTGTAACTATTAGCCAGTTTTCATCTTTCAATTCCCTGAACTCAGTTGAAATGATATCAACCTGGCAACGATTAAATCGACTCACAATTAAAGCAAATCTTGATAAGTTTTCTGCAATCTAAATTATTATCTTTATTAATCAACTGCGTGATTGTTTTTTGAATAAAGATCTGACAAAAAGTGAAGTAAAATGAAATGGTTTGAAGATTTAGATGAGCGAAGAGTTTAAGACATTTAGATCGATGTCTAACAGTCACTGACAGATAACTATCATTCAAACATTAGATTCAGTCCAATGTCATCGATAGCGACTGTTAATGTCATTTAAGTTTTAAATTGACTCAAATTGACTCAGACAGATAAGTACTTAATCTACAAATCATTAGATGATGCTAAAGCGTCTAGCACAAGATGATGTTGAAGACTTATCACTTTTACTCACATTGTTATTGTTGAATTAGATGATTAAATTTGGGTTTATTGCGTTATTACAAAACATGGACACTTGTAATTGAATGGGAAACGAAAGGGTCAACCATTGTTGGTCACTTCTTAGGCTTAATATTTTTACAAGCCCAATCCAATCCTTCCTAAATGATAGAGAAGTGAAATTGTAATTATTATCACAGTTAATCAACAGCTGATTCGCTAACCTTAAGTCCTTCACCAGAGATTGCTGAACAGGCCTGTATTTGCCAGCTTCGATCTCGAATCGATGGTAAATGAAGTCCTTCAGCAATTTCACTTGCTGGAGAAGCATTAAATAAATCTTGTTTATTGGCATAAATCAATATTGGGATTCCATTCAATTTATCCTCTTGTAATAGCTCATTCAATTCCTAAATGAAACCAAAAGTTGAAATCAAATTTTACTTTACATCAACAATCACATTGATTGTGCTGCTAAAAATTGATGGTAAATTTAAATTGTAAAGTTACAACTTACAATACTGGTCTCTTCAAATCGCTTCTTGTCCGAACTATCGATCACATAAATCTGGTTGAGGTAAAAATTAGGTAAAAGGAGAAAAAGTTTTGGCTATTTAGTTGATCAGAGGTTATTTTTTATCCCAATCTCACCAGAACATCAGTATTGTCGAAATAATTACGCCAATAAGGACGGATTTTCCGTTGACCACCGATATCCCAAACATTTAACTTGAAGCCCGATGTTTGGACACTTTTGATATTAAATCCCTAAAAGATACCAAAAAATATAACATTTAATATCGATCATCATCCAGATGTGACATCTCAAATGAATTTAATGAATGTACAAATATGAATAAAATGACATTTTCACTTGCATTCGACCCAAAAAGGTAATAAATCAAAATCAATTTTTTCAAATGAATATTTTCGTTATTTCCTTACTCATCTATAGTTACATTAAACTTGGTTGGAAAAGCCTGATTATATCAAAAAACATTGGAAAGACTAGGAAAAATCAATATAAACGTTCAATGAACCCAAAACATAAACAATGTTAACCAGCTACAATTTATATGAGATGCTATACTTAGTCAGGGAAATGTAAAAATGTAAAACTAAATCAAAGATTGAAGCATTTACAATTCAATCCAATTGCTTCAATTAGAAATGCAAGATTTAATAAATCAACTAACCTGAGTTGGTGTTATATGGGAAATATCTTCTGAGGACATTTTTTTAAGGATTGTTGTCTTACCAGCGTTATCCAGTCCCAATAACAATATACGGACTTCCCGATCAGGAGTAGTTTTTAATTTTCTTAGTAAAGACAATAGGCCCTGGAAGATAAATTAAAATCACAATCATTAATCCAAGTATTTCATATTGAAATGAGCATTTGCATTACCATCATGTATTTAGGTTAGTTGCGAGCTTAAGATTGCCCGTTAAGATGAAATTAAGCGGGTTTTAGGTCTATTAGATGATTTTATTAAGTATTTTGTTTGATTCACTTGGATTTATATTGTTTTAAATTGGTACATTAGGTTGAAGTAAATTGTCAACATTGATAATTTTCACTAAAAAAAGGACTGAACTGTTTGTTTTAGATTTTTGGTTCATTTTCATTGTTATTTTGTTTCTTGGTAACCAGAATAATGTTTTTTACATAACAATCAGAAAATTATTGTACAGTGATTTTTCCTGTGTTATGGTACAATCTGATCAATAGTTCAATGGGCAACACGGAAAATTTGTACACGTAAACAGGCAAAATGGGACAATTTTCAAGATTAAATGAAAGCACTGAAAGGAACCAGAGAGAAGTTCGTAATACATTTTAAGGACCAGAACACTCTTTCAGTACCTTTTTCTGGTAATCCATAATATTTAGACTTCACAGATTTCCCAAACAATTGTTCATTACCAAGTGTCTGTAACCAATCCAATGGAAATAACAAAACCATTAGATTCACCATTAACAGATATTGAACAATTTTTACATTTGGATAAATCATTTTTCCATAATTATTGACTGATTTTCCAATTCCTTATTTGACTTGTGAAAAATACATAAAACAGCATCGCAATTGGCAATCAAATTGATGGTCAGATGATATTTAAACATTAAAGTATCCAAGTGAACACGATGACCTTATGGTGACAACTTCATACTTTACATGTTTCCCAAAACACATGTAAGGCCTTTAATAACTCATTGGCCTTTGTCAATATCAATGAAATGGATTGAGTTAACTTAATATCAATAGGTTTCCAACACAATCTTGAGGTTATCAAGTTCAAGCTTCAATAAACTTTCTATTAATCTGAGGGTTTCTGTCATGTTAACAAAGGCGATCTCATTTTTGAATGGTCTAATGGATGAGATTGATGAAAAGCTGCGATTAAATTGCAAGCAACTCGATGGAATTGAATCAATAAAATGTTTACAATTATCACCAATGATTTATTGTTCAATCCTTAAGGAGATACTGAGATGGGTTCAATTGAGGTGTTGGTTGATCAAGTATAAAAGGTAAACAACCTTGGAAACAGTAAGGGGCTTCGCTTTTGTAGGCAACCGATCATTTAAAAAAATGAATGCCTCAAGGCCATAAAATCGATTTTCAGGTCTCCCAATATCCCTTCATCCTCCCTTACAGTATCATCTTAACTCTCCTCAAGGTGTGCATTCAATTTGTTTCCATCATTATCGTCTCTTCATTGCTACTCTGATTGTGTTCACGTCTTGATTGTTGATCATTGCTTTTTTTCAAAACCTATTTAACCACAGGTTAATTTTTACATTCAATTGTAATGGTGTCATTGAGATGTTTTCACAATATCACTGATAAATGACCAGGAACTAAATCTGGTAAAAGTATCCAATGCTGACTTGTTTTCCTCTTCTGTCTCCATTTGATGTCCATTTGATATTTAATCCTCTCTTTTGGTTGCTCCATTCATGGGAAATCCATTGGACATTCCTGTGGATGTAATTATCAAAAGAAATGCATTAATTATAATGTTAACAATTATGAAAATATATATTTGTGTTTGTTGATTGAGGTGAGGTGAGAGGAAAAGAGGAGATTGAAATCAATGATTACCATTATCGGGTTACCATTGACATTGACAGTCAGATCATTGAAATGACAGTAAAACAATAAATTGACTTAATCAACATTTCATCAGGGTTGATCAACAATTTTAAGAATCATGTTGATAATCATCATCCTCATCTTGATTCTTAAAAATACTTCTTCTCATGATGAGGTGAGAAGAAGATTATCACGCAATTTATCAGTAAATTTGATTCCCTCTTTCATCTTGAAATCACTTTTGGTCCATGGAAACCACTAAATGTTAATTCCAGGGAATCAGACAAATAATCTTGTTCATCAATTTAGCCCAGGGTAAACAATCTTTAATCCTGTTTTAACCTGGTTCCTGGTTTTAACTTGAAATAAGGTGGATTTACATTTACATCATCATTATTATCATGATAAACATAACAACCTACAAGATCATTCAAATGTTTAGGTAATTTCAAACACTTCAATGTTGTGAAAAAAAGAGATGAAATTTGGGACAAGCTGAAAGTAAATTATGGTTAATCGTTAATAATGAGTTGAAAATGAGCGCTTCTTCACCTTCTTATGTTAAAAATGAATTGGCAAATTAAATAATTAACCGAAATGTTCACTCACAATTTGTTATAACAATTCAAAACCAGGTGAATAATGACTAGAAACCAGAGAATGACCTGAACCAGATTTGGGCAAATAACTGGTTCTTGTGTTCCTGCATCTTAATAAACATTGATGTTAAATCTTCACTTTACTCTAATCACTTCTAAATCAGCATAAAGACCATTTTAATTGTTGCCAGTTAATCTGTAATCAGTAAAATTTAATCTCAGAAAAATTCTGTAAATCAAGAGACGATTGTTTATTGGAGCTTTGTAGCTATTCACCCAATTTTGATTCTGTTTGAATTCAGGATTTCCCTGTTGACGAAACTGATCAAATTTCTGAGTCACTATTTAATCATTGAGCTGTTAATATTTGAAAATTTAAAACAATCTAACTTTACAATAAGCTTGTGATTAAATCAAATTGAGTTTCATTTGTTAGTTGATTTTATTTGAGCTTCCGTTTGTCTCTTAATTAATCATTTGTTCTCGATATTCAAGTGATTAAGAGTAATTGTTGTCAACGATTATTACCATTTAAACAGATTGAACTAATTTTAATCAAAATCATGTCAACGCCAATCAAAACATTATATCTTGGTAAGGGTTAACCGAAAGTGACTATTCTTGAAGAAATATGGGAAAACTTGAAGAACCTTCAATTGATGATGATTATTATTTAATGGTGATGATCATGTTGATGATTATGGTAATGATGATCGGTACAGGTAACATAATTTTACCTTCTTTACCCCTAAATTTTACAATTAATGAAAACAATCACCTTAATCATTCCTTCCTTCCTGCCTTGTTACCCTCCAAGAAAGCGAGTTACAACCGACCTAATCGATTATCATTCCTACAATCAATCTGTTTTTTATTGACTGTGGAATTGGAAAGTGAATGAAAAGCTGAGGAAGGAATAATTTGTTTAGTTGAATTAAATTATGATTAAAAGGATAGTTTTATAGCAATAAATGTAATCTTTTGTAAATGTTGAATTGTTTCTCATGATTTGAATGATTTGTTTGTAACAAAAACAGTTTGTCTGTTGTCAATGAATCAATTAGAATCAACAAAATGATCAAATGAACCAAATCGATGATTATATAAATGGTATCAGTGACAATCTAAGTTTCAGTTTTGGTTAAGATTTTACCGAGTAACATTCAAACAAGACTTTTGACTATTTTGTTAACAAAAAAAGAGGAAAATAACACTTTTACTCATCTTTGTATTGTGACTTTCCTTATAAAGGTTGATTTGAAATTACGCTTTGTATTGTGTCCATTTTGGATTAATTGTTAATTGTGTTTTCCGTGATCACCGGAATATCTAAATATGCTGGTGAACTCTGTATCCATAAAAATTGGATACCTTCTGTTAATTACCTTCAATGGGTATCTGGTTAATGGTGAAAAAGGTGGTGCCAATATTGTTGTTCAAGGTAGATCCGAAGGGCACGGAGGTGGTGGCTCTGTCATTGTAAATTCACCCAAAAAGGGTCCTCAAAATATTGTGGTTCGTGATTACAGAGGAACCGTTGTGTTAAATAGCCATAAGAAAGGTGGAGCCAACATTGTGATCAACAGCCACGAGGAAAAGAAACCTCATCACAGTCATCACCATCATCCACCTCATCATCACCAAGCTCATCATGGTTATGAATCTCCAAAGATGATGCCCATGTTAGGCGAATCTGGTTCCTCATCAGCGTCCAGTCCAGCTTATGGTTCAAGAACGGTTAAACCATACGAATCGGAGGAAGTGGGAGAGGAACAAGTTGAACCAACCGTGGCAAGGAAGCGAAAGGGAAATAACGCCATTAAACTAAAGAAGAAGACTAAAATTATTCAAGAACAAAGCGACACTGAAGAAGGTACAAGACCCAAGATTCGTGGTCGAGCAAAAGGTGACTCTGATGAAGCAGAAACTGAGCCCGAAGAGGATTCATCAGATGCATATTCACCTTCAAATGCTGAAGAGCATCCATACTCTAATTATCGAGACAGATCTGGATCTCAATCAGGTAGAAAAGGATTGAAAGAGTTGGAGAAAGGTATTGACTTTGGAGTGGATTCACAAATTGAACAACAAATTGGACAAGATTTACTTGGACAGTTGACTGCTGACGAATCCTCTGACTCTGGGTCTTCTTCCTCGGGTTCATCTTCTGGTGATACCTTTGGCTTAACTGGAGATTCAGATTCTGCTGGTTACTTTACATCTTCATTACCATCCAGCGATACTTTCAATTCAGACACTTTAAAAGGCCTTTCTCTGAGTGACGCTCTCTTTGGTTCAGACAAGGATACAAGCTCTGCAGGTTCAGGGTTACTAGATTTACCTTGGTCAACAAAATAATTCCTGTAAAATGGAAACTGAAAATCATGATTGCTCAAAATACAATTCGAGTTCGGGTTCGAGTTTAGACTCTTGTCATCCTTTAAAACACTTTTTCTTATCATCTGTTGCATTCAATTTCATTCCTGCTTTTGTTCATTTCTCACTATCAATTTTTCTATTCATTTTTTAATTATTCTGAATAATTCTTTTTTTTTCTTTTAATGAAATGTTCCACCTGAAAGGAAGATAATTACATGTAAGATGTTTAAACTCCAAAAGCAATCGAGTCTGAGATTTTAATATTGAGGAAAGGAGAGGCAACACCATATATGATAACAAAAATCATCGACAAAGAAAATAAAAGTACAAGATAACAAGTTACCAATCACAGTCTGATGATCATCACAAATTAAAATAATCATCATCTTCCTAAACGCAGACGATATTCAATATTCATCAAGCAGACAATAACACAACAGAGCAAAAAATACAACCCGATCATTATAATTAACCTTAATTTTCATCTTTTGTATCCGCACAAAACCTTTATTTGATTTATTGAAGACAATCAATTATCGCTTAATTTACAAACCTAAAAAAATATATTTTAATGCCAAAGACAAGTTACAAACAAAAAATAAACCTCGGACATCAAATAATCAAAAACAGAATGTTAATCAAATGTCCTTTTCTGGTTATTTATAATAAACAACAATTTTCCTTGCGAGGCCTTTCTTTGATTCTCAATATCAGCTGATTCTGATGAAGATTACTGTTAACCATTTTCCGAATTATGTTTCACCAATTGATTAAAATGTTGCTAACTTTTACAATGATTTAGTTTATTGATTTGTCTTTAATTTTTGCTTGCAACAGTCAAGTTTCATTTCAATGGTTCGTTGAGAAACAAATTATTGAAAAGTAAAACTTGAAAACTAAACTGTGCGTTAACTATAAAATGAAAATGATTGCAATGTTTGCTCACGAAAAGATTCACAATTTAAATGTACGATAATATAATTCTTTATTATAATTTGTTTTGTTCATATTATATATATTTATATCAATGATTTAGTCGATGGTTAGACTTGATTTTTGTTGTTTTTAGATAGGAAAAACATGAAAACAGAGATATTACGATGCATTTGTGGGCCCTGAGTTTTCTTGATATGAATTTGTGAAAAAGGTGATTTGTGATGAATTGTTTTAGAAATGAGATTTGTGCTGTTTAATAGCTGTTGATGCAGGTGATGGTGCTTTGTTGTGGTAACGATGATTGGTGATGATGAAGAGAAAAAGTATGATTTCTATGTAAAGTGTATATATTCATAAGATATGAAAACTTTGTGAATGACAAAACGATGGCTTTACTTTTTTGTCTGTTCAGTCAACTCTTACTAAATATTAGTTAAAAAGTTGTCAGTTTACTATGTGATATAAGAAGCATCTATAAATGATTTTTTTACTCAAACTCTGTAACTAACTCAACTTGGATAAACTTTGCTTACTTTGCTTTCTACTTCAAGCGAAACAAACTTTCATTTGTAACTTTTTTTTCTACTCTCTTGAATTTCTCTTATTATGCTTTCCTCATCTTTTCTCACTCAATATCTTTCTCAATCACTCTATATATTTCCATAGGGTGGGAAGAACATGAAAGAAAATAGAGGTTTTTTTGCTACTCATTTGATTATTTCAATTTGTTTGTTTTAGCTTTCATCTTGATGAACTGCGTCAATCATCATTTAATTTTTGTCTCACTTTCCAATAAAGCATCCAACTGGTTTGATAAATTTGACAACATTGTTTCAATGTCCTCAATAAGGTGATTCGAAGTATTGTTAACCTTTGGATCTGGTGCACTTGGATTAATGGTTTTGAGTTCAGCTTTTTTACAGTTCCCTGAGTGGGTCGGAGAGGTGTGACTGGAAGATTGAGAAGATGAAAAGGTAGAAACAGAAGTTGAAACAGAATTAGAAGACATCACGAATGGCGGGATCAGCGATTTATCCGTGGGTGCTACTGAGCTTATTGCTACATTCACTGTTGCTGTTGTTGTTGCTGATGATGATGATGATGTGGCGTTTACTGTTGATGATGATAATGTAGGTGTTGCAGTAACAGTTATGGTGTTACTTTGTTTGTTTGTGACGGTGGTTGAGTTACTGATGATGGCAGTGGAAACGGTTGTTGGTGAAGTTGCTTTAGGACTGGTTGTTGTTGTTGACGGCAATGATTGCAGCACAGGCTTAGAGGTATTATTCACTTGATTTGTTGAATTACTATCGTTGATTGTCCTCTGTTTAATGGTACCAATATTATCATTGGCAAAAGGCATTGATTCAGTAGATGAGCTGCTCGACATAGCCTCCTTATCACTTGAGCTGCCTGAATTTATTGGAGAGGTTGGACTTGTAATTGAATCAGGTGATGATACTGAACCTGAATTCATTTGTGGTTGTGGCTGTGGCTGTAGCTGTGGCTGTTGTTGAAGTTGCAATTGATGCAGTTGTTTTTGTTGTAACTGTTGTAATTGTTGCGACTGTTGTTCAAAGTTATGTCCATTTTGATTAATGTAGCTTGAATTGGCACTAGAGACATCACTTCCATCAAAGGGAAGCGGCGATGGTGGTGGAGGGAGAGAATCATCAGTTATTGGTGAAGAAGCATGGTCAGGTATTGGAGGAGGTTTTGGGGTCACTGAATGATTACGAATGGGCAAGGGTGGAATTTCAGGGGCATTATTATTAGAATTGTTGAATCGTGTTGTTAAACTTTTTATACAAGTAGCAAAAGCTTGTTCTTGAATAGCTTCTAAACTATTACAGCGAGTTGACATTGTTTGACGGTTATCATGACTTTGATTATAATTGATCCCAGAGTAAATATAATTGGAAGAACCACTTTTCATTGAATTAGTTCGTTTTGGTGGTGCTGGTGGTTGCTTATTCTTTTTTAACGTTGCATAAATAGCTGCTGTTGAGATATTTTCACTAGTCACTGGTGTTTGATAGTTTAAATTTTTAATATGAGATTCGTCGGTTTCATAACTTTGTTGCTGAAATTGATATTGAGGTTGCTCAAATTGATGTTGATGGTATAACTGATATGGATAATGTTGATATTGATAAGAACCTGAATCAGACATGTAGCCATCAGCTGAATAATTTCCACTTACCCCTGTAACAGAGGGTATTGAAACTTTACCCAAAGCTTTTACTTCAACTCTCGGGACGACATCAGGTTTCTTATAATCAGCTGCGCTTTGATAATCATCTTCTTGTCGACTTTTGGCAACAATCTTGGCAACCGGTTTATTTTTGATCAATCCTTTCGATCTATTGAGAGTAGCTGTTGACTCAAAATCATGAATTTGCAATAATCCTTGTCGATTGTTACCTGGCTCACAATCATTTTCATAACCTTGAAAAGATGGTCGTCTAGGACTACCAAGAGAGGAGGCATCACTATTGAAGGAGTCAGACCTATGATAATCTGGTTTACAATCATACGTCTGTAATTGTGATATGTACCTTGATAGATAAGCAGAAATTTTAGAAGAGTCTATTTCATCTTTATTTAAACTCTCGAAAGAACGACCGCGGACTGATGTCACAGGATTCGTGTTCGTTGATGCTAATTGAGGTGGTGGAGGCAGTGAAGTACTACTTATTCCTTTGGATGGATCAAACCCTATACTAGTGCTGCTATTGCATATACTTGATTGGTCTTTGTTAAGTTGAACCTGAGATGATGAATTGGATCCTAAACTACCATAAGGATCATTAGTGGATAACTGTTGAAAAGTTTTCAATTCTGGCGTTAATGGGCTTTCAATAGCTGGTGATGTAATCTTGGGACCAATGGAAGTGTTAATAGCTACTTCCTGACTTAAGGGTGGAAAAATTTTCAACGGTAAACTTAGATTGTGAGATGAAGAGTGTAATGCATCTGGACAAGAGCTCGAAGAGCTTTCAGATGAGAGGGATGAAGATGATGGGACAGATGCTGATAAATTTGAATAGTGTGTTGATGATCGTCGAACTCCATTGTTTAAATCTTGAACCCTCTTAATAGCTAATTCCAATTTCTTTTGATGTCCAAGCTTTTTAATGCCAATCTCTTCTAAATCCTCCCAAGTTAGTTGAATAACACGGTCAATTGAATCATAACCTTGCTGACACAAAATATCAAAATATTCTTCAAGATGAATGAGCTTTAACCACTCAAGAAGAGATTTAGGTATAAAATTTGGTATTCCATCGGGTATATTTAACTTGGCTATACCAGCCTTCAACTTTTGACGGTGTAAGGGTTTGGTTATTCCAATGGCAGTTAGATCCGCTGGAGTCATACGTGATATGGTTGGCATATCATAGCCCGCAGAAACAAACAAAGGGATATATTCCTCAAATTGTAAACTAGTCAGCCAGTTTTCAAGAAGAGATCCCTCATCCAAAGAACCAATACTTGGAGGTAATAAGGAAAGAATGATACTTCCTTCCTCACTATTGGATGAGCTGCCAGTACTTGATAAACTGTTTCGATCGACATTGGGCTTAAGATTGTTTGAGCGCCGTTGAACAGTAGCTCGGGTTTGATTAACATCAACCACTTCGGGTGGTGGAACAGGAATAGACACTTTCTTTGCAACACTCCATCGCAAAGTTCCTTTACGTCGCATCGCACGATAGATATGTAATATTAATCACAAGGGTCAAGCCACATTTAACTGTATTAAGAAACAACATGGAGAGAAAACACAAAATTTTAGAGTGAAAAATGGTTCATATGGACGCAGGGGCGAGTTAACATCAAACAGCAATAAATATAGCTTTTAGTAGGAAAATGGATGTATAAGAGAGAAGAAGAAAAATTGGAGGAAGAAGATGATTACAGATGATGATAAGCAGAGGGAGTGAGAATGGTAAACGAGTGAGCGAAAAGAAAAGAGAGAGTGAGAGAGAAGAGATCTGTGAAGGGAACTCATTTAACGATATTAGCCATAGTAAGTGTGACAAAATGAGCAAAACCTAATTACATTGAACGTGAGCATCTGCATGTAATCTGGCAAAAAAGGAATGAATGAATTCTTCAGAGGTTGTTGTTGAATAATCAGAATAGATAATTTACCAGAAACAGAAACATTGGAACACTGATTTGATAGATAAAAAAGAAATAAAAACAAGCAGAAATCTTTAGAGGAAAGAAAGAAAGAAATTTATAGAAGGGAAAGAAAAAGCAGCATTAAAAAAATAAAAACCAAAAATAGATAGTATTGAAGATGATTTGAAGAATTAAATGAAATCAAGCGTAAATTAAGAAAGATTGAACATTAGTCAAAGGTTTATACACATCATCCATTCCTCAATAGTCAAACATATTAGGTTGTATAACACTGAAAAATTGAGACAAAACAAAATACATCACAGCACACATACACATACAATGTTGGCATAATGAAGAAAAGAAAAAAACTTCAATCAAAAGCAACAGCCAAAAACCAAAACCAGCTAAGCAACAGCAAAACAGAAATGGAGAAAAAGTCACAAGCTGTATTTTCAACCATCCGATGTTTTATTAATAAATGTGGCCTTACTTTTGATATTCTTTTGTTCACTTGAATTGATATGTCCACTAATGAAATACATAAACACAGTTAAATCACATAGCATAGAAACAAAAGTTTAAATTAACTTTTAATTCAAAAACCAACGGATAGAAAAGGTTTTCCCATTTTTCAGAATAAGACGTTTGATAACAGATATCAGAAGAACTGTAAAAGCTGTTCTTTTCAATGTCCTCAATCCTCAGTTGGCTTTAGCTCCATCTAGTATCCAAAAAGATTATATCAAGTAAACTTGTGTTGTGTGAAATTTTGTTTTAATTGTTTCAAAATCATTGTTTTCAACTTGCTTAAGTTAATCTGTTTGCTTTAATCAACTCTTTACTGTAATTTTTTAATTAATAGTGTTCCACTTGTTTGTAATGTTTGCATTTCATGGCCTTTATTAATGAAGTTACTGGTCGCGATGAATAACCAAAGTTAATTAGCAATCTTGTGAGAAGATGATTTTTAACGTTTGAGACGAAGACAGATGGTTTACAACCAGTGTTACTATATTGTTTAATTGTGAGTGTTTTTGTTTGAGTGTCTTCCAATGAAATAATTGTTAAGTGCTTCTAAATCACCATTATTATTCTATTGTTAATTGAACAATCATCTAATTAATCTGTGATTGATAACCATCCATATCATCATCTTTCAATATCCATGAATTTTTCGCATTATTTTCATTTCCATTGAATATTTTTCATCTCTATAGTGCATCATCATCGTCATTTCAAGCTTTATTAATTGTGTCGCTTTAAAATAAACAGAAAAGGAAATCTTTTGATTATTAAATATTAAGATAATATTAATATTTACTCTTTCTTTTTTGGCTTAAATAAGCAAACCTATTAAACATTTGAGATCATATTTTTTGTGCGTAAATATGATACTCTAATGATTGATTGATTTAGCGTGGACCCAATTAATCGAGGTAGAAATGAAAATGATTTAGTTACTTATAAAGCTGAATTACGGTCAAGAAAGCAAAAGTCTACTTGTCATCATCTTTGCTTGACATCATTTGATTAGATCTTTAATTAACAAGCCGTAACAAGCAGCATAAATTTGTTATATTTCTTGACATTATTTAAGGTGATTGTTATTATTTTTATTTATGCTAATTCTTCTCCTCTCGTCTCTTTTTCTTGATAGACAGATTGATTGTCATACTTGAACCAATTTCAATACAAATGATCGGATTGGCATCATAATGATCGGAAAGCATTACTACATGCATTACCGTGGATGAATAAGCGCCCTTATTTTACCCTGACTCAGGATGGATCTTAAATGGTATTTAACTCAAATGTGCCATTGTATTCAGCTAATATCATTATCAAGTCTATGATGCTTGAAATTTCCTTGAATCTTGTATCGCTACATTTAATTTCTGTTTAAATTGCAAGCCTTTAATGAGTATTTTCTTGTTTATTTCAGATACAATGGATTTTACAGAGTTTTCATTGGATAGATAATCTATTGAACATGAACTGTAACAGTTGGATCAATGGCGACTGTGGCATAGCTTGAAAATTTGGCACCATTATGCTTCAAATCAAGAGTGGTTTCATCTCCATGATCATGGACATAATAATAATCTTGCTCGTTAAAGATGATACGTTGAGTATTTGTTGAATATGGATAAATTTTTCGCAACTTCAATGGGAAATCATGTTCAAAGTAAAATTGGCCAATATAAGTGATCTTATTTTCATCAGTTATGTCTTTAGCGTAGACTTCAATGTGAATATGAATGGCTCGACCAGAATACCAACCAGGCAGAATAGTAAGGAACTTGACTTCACCATTGGCATCTGTTTCTTGATATCCACGGAGAGACCTGTCTCTATTAACTGGGGTCGGTCGGAATCCAGAGAGAGGAGCAGTATCTTCATCGATACCTGAGTATACGCCGGTAGCATTGGTTTGCCAAGCGTGAATGAAAAAGTTTGAGATTGGAGTACAGTCTTTTGCATTTGTCAACTTGATTGTCAGCTCCAATGGGATACCTTTTTGACCATCAGTAATATCGGATCGTTTCAAGTCATCGGGAAGAAAGAAAGGTCCTTCAGTGGTGAATGGAGCAAGTACACTTGAATGTTGGTGAGCTTTTCGGTTAAGTGAAGCACAGTTAATCACAGTACGATCATGTGGCAAAAATTTACCCCGTCTATGGACATCAGCTGTGGCGGTAATGAAAACAAGACAAAGGACTGATCCTAATGTAAATAATTGAACCATTTTGACGAGCAACAACTAACTGGTTTCAATGATTTGGATTGACGGTTTAACAAGTTTGTGAGAAAAGTCTGGCCTCCAGTTATTTAAATACCCACAAATTTGTCACCATTGTGTCCTGAGTTTTGATTATTGTAATGTTTATCATTTTCAGTTCGTTTCTATCATTGGATCTATCATAACAGTTAGGAAACAATTATTCATCCAGTTTAGTTAGATAATGCCAGAATTTTCATTGTTAAATGTTACATTTTGGGAATCTGGTAATCAGTTGAGTGTAATGATAATGATTCGTTATTTACTTTGCTATTGACAAACCCTAAAAGATACCATTTAACTTAGACTTGGGTTGAAATCAGAATTTTTATTGTTATTGTTTCCATTTAATCATCTGTATTAGATTTGAACATGGCTGGGAAAAGTTTACAATCAAATTAACCTTTCCATCTAAAAGTGATAAAGGCAAGAAATGATCAACCAAATGAACATTTAAACCTCTAATTGCAAATCTTCTGCTAATCATAAACATTATATTTACCTTATTACCTAAACAAACCTTGACCGTTTGATGATCTATCAATATTTTATTTTCCAGTTAATTAGTAAGACAAGAAGGTAAATACAATTGAAGAATCAAATACTACAAATTGATTATCAACATTACACACAATCTCTTACGGTTTACGGCTGGGTGTTAATTGAATTTAGTTTAACCGATGCAATGATTTTGATTTAGATTCAAGGCAAAAAACAAATTGTATTAAAATTATTCATTGATGAATTATTGATGATTACTGGTTGCATAACTAGTTGGTTGATAAATTTAAGTGCTTGAAATTTGCACCTTAAATGGTTGATAGCGAATCCGACTCACCAATTTCATCGATTATTTGCATAATTATTACAAAAAAATTGTTACATGATGAATGATTGCATTTCAAGAGCAAATGTTACATGTTTCTTCAATTTAGCAAAATGAAGACTCAATCAACACCTAAGATAATGATGATTCAGTTTACAAAATAATGAAGTTTAGTGAGAAATTTTGGCAAAAATTGAGTCAAATTTTGGTCAAATTTCAATATTTCTCAAGGCTACAAGTAAACCACATCTTGTAAACAATGTGTAATGAATCAGATTCAATTAATAATAATATTAATTTTACAAGCTGTTGATAGGTTTTGAAGTTATTCCTGGTTGTTTTGTTTACAGCAGTTTTAATTAGTCTATCAGATTTAATCATTGGTTGTTAGACTGTTGGTGTAAATAGATATAAATTGTTATTTCTTGGCATTATCATTAAGTAACATTTATCCTTCGGAAATCAATTGATACTTAAAAAAATCTCCCATTTGACTTTCACCCAGAAGATGATTGAGTAAATTGTTCATCAATGAAATTCCATCGATTGTTGATGTTTATTTCATCTCTCAACTATTTTCTGGTTACTTCTCAAGCTGGTCAATCTTTAGTTACTTTGTTTCAGGTCATTAACTTCAAGTGGACGGTTAGTTATTTAGCTTGACAAATCTGACGGGCAGATTGTGTTGTAACTGGTTCTGGTTACAAAGGATACTACTTGAGTCCATGCGATCCTCGCCAAGAGTCCATGCGATCCTCGCCAAGACCCGTTACTTTATTCATTTTTAGGACTCGTTAAGAGTGGAATAATTATTCAAGATACACCCCAGATATAGTAACAAAATAACTTTTCGCAATTTTTATTGGATCCATATCAGTGCTTACCAGTTTTCCGTTGATCTTCAACTCTTGTATTTTTAACTGTGATAACTCTTCACCATTAGCACGCATAGCTTACTATTCAATATTCATCTCTATCTTCCAATTTGGATGGGCTTCTGTTCAAGTGTCTCATCTCTCATTGATACCTGATTTAACACCCAATTCCAATGAACGTATTGGTTTGAATTCACTCCGATATTCATGGACTGTAATTGCCAGCATCACTGTTTATATAATTACCTGGTTGGTTCTGTGTAGATCAAACTCTCAGTTATTTTTGCTTTATTATAAGCTCTATCTTTTTAGACTGATATTTCGATTCAGTTATTTGTTAACTTTAAGTAAAGGTGGAACCTTAGAGACACAATCGAGAAAATGGCAGCTTTTTACAATGAAAACATGCGATATGTTTAATTTATTTAACAAAATATATATATACAATTATGGAAATAGACTCAAAGAGTAAATCATGACAGGCAATTGAAAAAAGAAATAAGAAAATTGATATTTTCAAGTTCCTTCTTTTTCCACTAATCCATAAGCTTGAAGAGCAACAGTAGCAGCTAACGCTTTGGCTTGTTTCTTGGTTCCACAAGAAACCGATGGTCTATATTCAACGCCGTTAACTATACATTTCATAATAAAACTTTTCTTATGGTCAGGACCAACTGCCTCAACCATATCATATACAGGTAAATCCCATTTATGTTTTGAACAATGTTCTTGAAGAAATGAAATCGGGTTTCTACCTCTTGAAATTTCAGCTACATCGACAACTTGCGCTGGAATTTTGCTGACAGTTTCTTCTTCTGCTACTAAACCTTTGGTATCAAATTTCAGAGATGGAATAATAGGCTCAATTGTCCCTTTCTGATTTCTACCAAGTCCGGTGCCAGGTTGCCACCCCATTTTGAGCAATAAATGCATACCAATACCATCTTTGATTCTGTTGCCTTCCGAAAATTGTTCCTTAAAAATGTATAAGATGAGAAAAGAAATGTTAAAAAATAGCATAAAAATGACAAAAAGTAAAAATAATACTTACGATTCCAGCTCTAACGAATCGTCTCTCTTGCATTTGCGAGGCTGTGATTTCAGCTGCAATTGCAGCGGCCTGCTCATTTTGAAGAGCTTGTTCTTGCATTTTTGCAGTTATCTGTAAAAATTAGAAATTAAAAGGATTAAAAAATCAATCAAAATATGATTAGAAAATAATCAAACAAGGGAAGTATCTGATATGGTACAACTTTTCCCCGACTTAAACATTAAGTATTAAAACTTTACTAACCAATCTTTCTGCTTCATAAATTTGTCTGATAGCAACCAAATTCAATGGATCTTCTTGAAGCTTTTTCTTGGCACTTAATCTTAACGCCACAAGAGTACCTATTTCTGAACTATTTGTTGACGGCGCTATTTCTTGATCAGAAGTGGAACTCGTTACAGACATATCTGACTGATCTGTAGATTTTGAAGTTTCTTCTTTCGGGTCTGGAACTTCTTTGAAAACTCTTTTTTTGCTTTTTTCAGGTACTTTTGCCGGTGGTGGCATTTCAGGTTTCACTTCTATCCATTCCAATTCTTTTACTCTATGAGTATCTCCACTTGATACTGGAAACTTATCAGTTAATTCTTTCTGGATTTCTTTGGACGATCTAGTAGGTAACTGGGCGAAATCCCGAACCTTTATTTGAATATCTTTTCTTTCTTTCAGTTTAAATGGATGTCTGATAATGGCAGAGCAAACAGATTTAGTATCGCCATTTTCATCGTCATCACTATCAGAATAAGAATCGGAAAGAGAATCTTCATTAGCGGCTGCTTCCATAGTAGAAATTGCACGACAGTATTCTGACCATTGGCTAATCGAATTCTTTTCTTTCAAATTTCTAAGTTGCTCCAGGTTCAACTTATTAATATCTACTCCTTTAGGCAATGTACCTGATTTTATCATACGCGCAAGGTTAGCCTTTGCAATTTGAAGCAATTTTTCTTTATCGACCTTTTCGATAACTGATTGACTTCTTGATCGGCTTCTTCGTCTTCTCTTTGTATGAGATGATCGATCACGACTACGACTACGGCTATGTGCTCGTCTTCGACTTCTCTTCGACTTCTACTACTGTGACCATGACTGGAACGTTGAGATTGATGATGCGAATCAGAATGGCGATCTTTATTTCGAGAATCTAGATCTGTAGGGTCAATAGAATAATATCCAAGACCTTTTCGCTCGTCTGGACTGGGAGACTTCCTTTTTCTTTTCTTCTTTCGAGTTTTTGAATATTCCTCCAAATTATAAAATGCACTTTCTTTTGACTTTTTTTTCTTTTTCTTTCGTTCCTTGTCTGACTTATGTTTCTTCTTTTTCTTCTTATTCTCCTCGATCACTTCACCCTCCTCTGGAGAGCTTATGTCTTCCATTTTTCTTGATGCTCGGAACTGATAATTAACTGCGATCCATATTATAAAAAGCCAGGAAAAATCGATGGATTTTCAAGTCACTCATTGGTTGATGGCCCTGTATATACACCAAACAAATAAAACTAGTTAAAAATATTTACACTGACAAAATATTAGAGCTTTTTAAATTCTAGGGAATATTAAAAGATAGGATTAACTCTTAATTGAAAATTATTTGAATCTTTCACTTATTCAGGTCCTTAATTTCAGGATGTTAACATAAAGTTGAAAACATAAATATTGTTAAGCAAGTGTGGGAGTGTCATTGAAATGCGCTTAAAATTAGCGGCTTTTTCAAATTTCCTCATTTGCGCATCAAAATGCATGCAAAAACATGTAAATTTAAAAGGAGTGAAAAATTTTTCCTTTCGAGTTAAGAGAGGGGTTCTTTCACGCACTGGTATCTTAACACCCTGTAACTTTGATGAGAAGAGATCTGTGAAGGGACATTTAACGATATTAGCCATAGTAAGTGTGACAAAATGAGCAAAACCTAATTACATTGAACGTGAGCATCTGCATGTAATCTGGCAAAAAAGGAATGAATGAATTCTTCAGAGGTTGTTGTTGAATAATCAGAATAGATAATTTACCAGAAACAGAAACTTCAATCAAAAGCAACAGCCAAAAACCAAAACCAAAAACAGAAATGGAGAAAAAGTCACAAGCTGTATTTGCAACCATCCGATGTTTTATTAATAAATGTGGCCTTACTTTTGATATTCTTTTGTTCACTTGAATTGTTATATCCACTAATGAAATACATAAACACAGTTAAATCACATAGCATAGAAACAAAAGTTTAAATTAACTTTTAATTCAAAACAGATACAATACGATAGGCTTTTACTACACTCACCTACCCAAAGAGTACTCTTTGCACCTACCAGAAACTGCATATAATTTTTCAATGGCCTCTATTAAGGACGAGTTTCAGCTACTTTTGAATTTCGTCGAATTTTTATTCGATTTCTTTAATTATCAATAGGCTTAATTAAATTTTCTTTCGTGAAATATCAATCCAAAAAATAGTTTAAAGCAACAAAACAACTTCATTGACAAACTTTTTGACGTTTTGAATTCATCTTCAGTGCACTACAAAATGGATCAAACTACAATCTTCGCAGACAGCACTGAGGAATAACGACAACAACATTAAATTTTCAGAAGCCACTGCAAAAATTTTGGAGGAAAATAACGTGGCGCCAACCACTTTACATTTTCACTTTCAAATTATGTTATTTTTACCTTTTTATGCTCTTTAAATGCTCTTTCCGTCAACACCTAAGATAATGGTTTAGTTTACAAAATAATGCTGTTTAGTGAGTAAATTTTGGTCAAATGTCAATATTTCTCAAGGCATTCTTCAAGTTAACCAAATCTTGTAAACAATGTGTAATGAATTTTACGAGCTGTTGATAGGTTTTGAAGTTATTCCTGGTTTTTTTGTTTCCATCAGATTTAATCATTAGTTGTTAGACTGTTGACGTAACATTTGTTAAAATCTTGTTGAAAATGTTATGTTTTAGTTCAATAGACTCATCAAAATAATAAATATTTAATATTTAACAATTTGAATCCTTTATTCAATCAAGCCAATTGTTGACTAAAGGTAGTTTATGGCATTGGACAAAATTCAATTTAATGATACTCGTTATTTGTATTAATAACATAAGTTAAACCATTGAAATGCTCGTATCAATCTGGTTTGTTTGTTTTCAGTGAGTTTATTGTTTTAAATAGCTTCTTTGGCTAATTATCACTAATGCTTGATAGCTATCAATTGATTTAATAGATATAAATTGTTATTTCTTGGCATTATCATTAAGTAACATTTATCCTTCGGAAATCAATTGATACTTGAAAAAATCTCCCATTTGACTTTCACCCAGAAGATGATTGAGTAAATTGTTCATCAATGAAATTCCATCGATTGTTGATGTTTATTTCATCTCTCAACTATTTTCTGGTTACTTCTCAAGCTGGTCAATCTTTAGTCACTTTGTTTCAGGTCATTAACTTCAAGTGGACGGTTAGTTATTTAGCTTGACAAATCTGCTCTTACAACTTTAGCTTGAAAGGTTGACGGGCAGATTGTGTTGTAACTGGTTCTGGTTACAAAGGATACTACTTGAGTCCATGCGATCCTCGCCAAGACCCGTTACTTTATTCATTTAAAATTGTTCAATATTTTTACTATGTTTTAAGGACTCGGTAAGAGTGGAATAATTGTTCAAGATACACCCATAGTAACGAAAATTCTTGGTATAACCACTGATCAGATTGTGTGCTGTTTTTTGCTGATTGAACCGCGTTAATAATTAGATTTAACTTAATCTACGTAAATCATTTTCACCTGGTATTATTCATTAAGCATCACAACTAACATTTTATTTTTCATAAAATAAGCGATAAAATTTACCCTATTCAGCAATAATATCACGATATCACTTGACAGATGTTGACAATAGAGAAAGTGTTTCTTTAACCTGATTAATGTGGTGTTACTATTAAAATAAACGACTAGTTTTAAAATTAAATTCACTTAAATTCAGTATTACATTGGTGTTTGTAATAATTAAGTTAGAAATCAAATATCTTAGTTATCATGTTGATATTCATGAATGATTAGGTCAAAGATAATATTATCAAGATATAACTGCTTATATTAGTGGTGATAATAAAGATCATTTAATAATTTCCCATTAAATCGAGACCTAATGATTTACTTGGAATGATGAATAACTAAACTGTCAAGTACAGTTTCAGTGTTTAAACAGGTTTTGGCAAATCAAATCGGTCCCTTATTTCCAGGGGAAATACTGTAATTGCAAATATTTGGGTGTTTTCCGCAATGATGTTTCTCTTTGGATAAAAATCTAGTTTACTAAATTAATCGGAATTGTGTTGTAAATTAATGTATATTAGGTGGCAGTTAAATAAGACTAACACAAATCTGTCTAAAATGGTTATGGTTATTCTGAAGCAGCAATAATAATAGTATATTAATCATCTATCATCTCTCCTGTTTTGTTTACATCTGTGATTGTCATGTTTTCTATTAAGGAACAGCAAATCAATTATCAATCATAGGTGGATGATTATCATCGCTGATCCAACTTTAATCGCTTTTTTACAAGGCCATTCCATTGCTGCATTTTGATTACCATCTTCAATTGTTATCGTTTCAGGATGGAGAGTCATTTACCATCATCACCATCACCAGTTTCTAACTCGTCTCACGGTGACGAATTCGAGGGTAACTCTGATACTGCGATGCTTTCTCCGTCTTCAAGTACATACAAACCTTTGCCTTTGAAACAAAAATTAGGTTACAGTGTAGGCCACGTGCTAAATGATCTATGTTCCGCAATATGGTTCAGTTATTTACTGGTTTTCATGACTCTGGTCTTGGGATTTTCTTCTACCAATGCCGGTATATTGTTATTAGTTGGTCAGATTGCTGATGGAGCAGCAACTCCTATGGTAGGAATATTTTCTAACAAAATAACTTTTCGCAATTATGGTGCAAAAAAATTCTGGCATCTTATTGGATCCATATCAGTGCTTACCAGTTTTCCGTTGATCTTCAACTCTTGTATTTTTAACTGTGATAACTCTTCACCATTAGCACGCATAGCTTACTATTCAATATTCATCTCTATCTTCCAATTTGGATGGGCTTCTGTTCAAGTGTCTCATCTCTCATTGATACCTGATTTAACACCCAATTCCAATGAGCGTATTGGTTTGAATTCACTCCGATATTCATGGACTGTAATTGCCAGCATCACTGTTTATATAATTACCTGGTTGGTTCTGTCTGTAGATCAAACAGTTGAAAATAGTACACCTCAAAATGAAACTTCACCCTCTTTAACTGAATATCTTTCTGCAAATGCAAGTTTTCAACATGATTCCACTATTGGGCCTAATGATGCTTCCAAATTCCGTATACTGGTCATCTCAATAGTATCCATTGGAGCCTTTTTCACCTTATTATTCCATGTGATTGTAGACGAAAAATCAAGAACAAATCGCTCTCGCACGGATGAAGAAAACTCCAATGAAAGATCAATCGATACCGAACCTCATCTCAGATGGTTTGATTGGTTTAGTGTTCCTCAATTTTACAGTATTGGAATTTTATACATGGGAACCAGATTAGTTATCAATTTAACTCAAGTTTATATTCCTTTTTATCTTCATTTCACCTTAGACTTGAGGAAAGAGAGTATTGCCTACATTCCTCTAATCATGTATTGTGCCTCTTTTCTAGCCTCTCTGATCACCAAATACCTAGATACTATTTTTAATAAACGCGTTTTATATGGAATCGGAGGAGTTGTATCGGGTGTAACTTATGCTTGGATGTATTATGGTTCTGGATCATTTTACCGTGTTTATGGAATATTTATTGTCGTTATTTTACTTGGTTTTTCGGGTGCCTTAATGTTGGTGGTATCTTTAGGCCTAACTAATGATTTAATTGGCCACAACACATCTTCTGGAGCTTTTGTTTTTGGTGCCATGAGTTTACTCGACAAAGTGTCAAATGGTCTTGCAGTAATGGTAATACAAAAGATACACCCTACTGATTCACCTTCATCAATCGGTCACGTTGGCTTTTATCGTGATGCAATTACGTATGCTTGTGGTGGAGGAACTCTAATAGGTCTATTTGGTTTAATCATGATCTACATTAAACCCATTAGGACGTATAAGCGTACACAAACATGATCAAGCCAAATTTACGATCGTTTTTGAATTTTATTCCATCCATTGATTATTTTAATATATTTTATATTTAAATGCTTAAATACTCCGATTGTTCATTTTCATAAATTTTTTAAACTATTTTAAATTATGTGGTGACAAAATGTACAATCCGATCTCTGAATTTCTTGTCAATCTTGATAATCTTCTGAAATGTCACACAAAATAAATATGTCATTTTTTCTAGTAATTTTATTCAAATAATAAAGCAATGAAGCAATATTTTTGTAAATTTGTAATTTAAACCTTTCACTAGTTCCAATTTATTAATTTACTTAATTTAGAGCAATCAAGATAAACGGGATTTCAATCAGATGAAAAGGTCGCTTATACAATACGAAGTATAGTTATTTTTTGTGTAATGAATCATCATTTAAAACTGGATTTACAATAATAATCAATAAATGATGTTATTAATCAAATTAAGTAGATAATTCTCAACAATAATGAGTAAAATCTGTTGAAAAGAGGTCATCGGATCTTTTTGAATATGTTAGCACGATTAAATCAGATTACTTTGAATTGTTGTCCACTTTTAATATTAAAAAGAGGCCTCATTGATATTTATAGAATCCACGAAAAGTAACAAAAATTATATTTAATTTCCAATATTGATCATCAAAATAGAGGCAAATATAAAAGTATTAAGCTGATCTTGAAACCATTTGATCGACTGAAATATGTAGGAATTGAACTAAACCTTACATTGTAACGTTATTTGTTTACGGAATGAGGAAAACAAAACCTATTTTTCAAAACAATCAGATGAGATATTGAATTTATCAGCTTAATTTGGATGATTTCATCGAAAAGTGGTTATCATGGGATTCACAATAAGGCTAGATGAGATTAGATTAGACGATTGATGTTTTCGAGATTCATAAAAGGGGAAAATCAACTTGTCATAAAGTAAAGTATTAATTGTTTTCAATTTCTGTATCAGATCTCGTTTTTGGATGGAATGATTTCTAATTTAATGGTCCAGTTGATGGTGTTGGTAAATGTTGAATTAAAAATTCATTTAAGCTCTTTTAAATTCAGTTAGGTCTTGCACCTTCCACTGAGTTCAATGTTTAGCTCTATTGTACCTGTAAATGCACCTCTTATATGTTAAAATGACTTCTTAACAAGGTTGAACCGGAAATTTTTGTTCCTCTATTTGTTCATTTTCCAATTGTTTACCTAAACTAGTTCACAGAGCTGTGATGATTTACAATTGCGATTGTAAATTAGCTGTCAATGTAAGGTAAAAAGGAGCTTCCTTAACAATCGTTCAACCAATTAATCTGATCCTTGTCAATTTACGGTAAATTTTTGTCTTCTACCTTCAAAATTTTACTATTCACCAATACAGAATGTTATGTGTTTAAAGAAGCTTCATTTTTACAGAAGGAACCTTTACTTCTATCTATATTTTTTGTGCAATTAATTATCTAATAATAGTTGTTCAATTAAATCGATGGAATATTAGATTGTTTTTATAAATGGCGGTTAAATTTCATTTTTCGCGAAACTTGACTTGTTATGAATGTTATGATTTCGTTTGAACTATGAGATGTTATCACAGTCTCTTCTTTGGTTTGTCAATCTGTTAATAATTGTTGTCTTCAGTGGCATTGACTCATCAACCCATGGATTTACAAATAGAGTTTCTGATAGATTGATGAGATTCTGGAGAAAACCTTTTACTCGTAAAAGACTACAATCTACTAATTATAATAGTAGCAAACAATTAGTGCCAGTTGTGTATTTATTTCGCAGACCAAGACTTCAGGATAATCTCTCTGGTTTTCCCGGTTTAAATGGTCTCTCTGGTTCAAATGTTCCTGGTTATGTTACAATATCTGACGATGACTTACCAGAACAAGACGATTCTTCAAATAGCCAAGGATTGGATCCAATAAGTAAGTAATCAATAAACAATACAAGAAGATTAAGATTTACCACAACTTTTAACACCGAACAATCCTAAATATTAATCTTTCGAAAATATTTCTATATGCTGTTAGATTTTGATATCCACTAATTTTCAATTTATTAATAATATAATAATATAGTGATTAATGATTAGTGAATAGCTGAATATGTGGAACTAACATTTTTTTAATCTTTTGCATATTTGCAGTTAAAGGAATCAATAATGCAGTCCAATCACTTGGAATACCCAATTTAAGCTCAAGCGGACAAAGCTCAGATTCAAAGGATCCTTCATTTTCATTTGACCAAAGTGACCGAATACCGATTGGAGGTTCTTTTGACTTTAAACCTTTTGATACCTACAAGAAGCAAATCGGACCAACTGGTACATTTGGTCATGAGTTTCTTGGTCACGGACATGGACATCATTTTCCCTTTCACTTCTTCCATCCAGGATTTCATCACGGCTTCGGAGACTCTCATGGAAAGTCCAAAGTCCATTACATTCCTATGCCTTATCCTTATCCAGTTGTCCACATGAAGCACATCAAACACCATCAAGAACATCATAATAATGACGTTTCTTCATGGGTTTGGGGTATCCTGTTAGCTGCACTTTTACCTATCCTTCTAGGAGCACTTTTACTACCTTTGGGTCTTCTCTTTGGCCTCAGTCTGCTTACTCTATTAGCCGTTGCTGGTGGTGCTGGAGGTGGAGGTACATTCATCCCGATCAATGGAACCGGCACCGCAGTACCAGCAGGTAGACGAAAACGAAGTATTTCTCCTGAGCTTTGGGATCGAGAGCTTCTAGATGCAATTGAATCTTTTATTCTTGATTGTATTCAGAAAGGCAGCAGTTTGTAAATCTTTTTATCTCTCATTCTCATTCCCTATTCACAATTTCATTTATATTCCCATAAACGCCATAATGTTCAAATTTTGAAGGATCATGTGCATCCAATAACTTAAAAATTTCATGATTCGCTTTTCTACATTTAATTTATTTTATTTAATCATTCAATAAATCAATCATTATAACATTAATTTTATTTTCATTGTATATTCACGTATAAACACTTATTTGTATTTTGATCGATTTGAATTTACAGCAGATTTTGAGGAACAAATTTAACCAAATCTTGAATTGTAACAACAATCTAAATTTCAATCGAGCGATTAGTTTGAGGAAATCGGATTGCATGGAATGAGCAATGAGAAGATGCTTAAGCAAATACAAAAGATTTTACTTTTTTCTCATTCATTTCATTGTGATTTATCAATGCCCATTTATTTTCAACAAAACAATTTAACAGAAATCAAACTCCATGGAAGTATCAGGCTTAGTAAATGTACTTCGATGTCTTCTAGTGCAAAGTTCTTGACCCATGAAAGTTCATTGTGAGATAGGCGATGATATCTTTTTGCTTTTCACTTTCGTTCAAAATATCATATCAATTTCATTTAGTCAGTGAAAGTGTCAACTTGAATGAAATAAACGTTGTAATAACGTTTCATCAACCAAAGTACAAATGAAAATTTCAAGTACAATGTTTAGAGAGAAAATGAAAGTTAAAAATTTAATAAAATTATCATTGGGTTGTATTTTTAACAAAACCTTGTTTGTTTTTATATTAATATCATCGCCAGCATCATTATTGCCAACACCAAATTCAACCTCAGCAACACCAAAAGTAACTCCAATCGTCACAAGTTTTCGATCTATTATGGAACATTTAAATTCCTTGAAATTTCCAGAAGCGTTATCAGATTCGCAGCTAACCTCTCGGTCGACTTATCCAACTTATCAACCTCATAAATTAACTTATCCATACATTCACCATACAATTAAAAATACAATTTTACCAACACCAGCAATAGAAATGGGAAATCAAAATCTTTCTGATTCGACTGGTAAATATTATGCTTTTCCCGAGTCATTTTCATCTCCAGTTTATACAGATCTGGCCTATCGACAAACAGCACCAGAAATTGGTAAGTCATCTGCCATCTGTAAAACACAACTTACATAATGTTAGGATGAAATAGTTTTACAGTAATTGTGTTGTCACTTTACGTTTACTCAAAATTTAACTTAAAAATTACCTGAATTCATCTTCTAGGTTCTGATTACAATACTGCAGCGTCAATAAATGGGCTAAATTACAGTCCATTAGCTCAATTAGCTCCAACAATTCCAATGACAAGTTCCTTTGGCCAACAAAATTATCCAGTAATGTCTAGACCATACACACTTTATGGTTATAGTGGAAGTGACTTTGGCTATGGCGGTTTAAACCATGAATCTGGTCATTCCCCAGGCCATTACCAGCACCATACTCCTCCGGTACAACATGGTGGCTCAAATCATCATACTGTCCAATATATTCCCATTCCAGTGGCAGTTAATCATGATAAATCAGGAAATAATCACCATAAACATGATTTAACCACATTACTAGCGGCCATTGCTTTAGCAGCAGGCCTACCACTATTATTAGGAGCTCTATTGCTTCCTCTTGGTGTTTTGTTTTTACTCAATCTGGCTACTTTAATCGCTGTTCTAGCAACTGGACTAGGTGGAGCAGGTAATGGTACTAGAATTGAAAACCCAACATTGAATCGCGGTCGAAGGAGTTTAACAGATCATTATACTGTTGGTTACGATGATCAATTTATGACAATTTTTCAAGACATCATTTTCAACTTTATTTTTGAAATTATTCAAAAAGCTTTGTAAAATAGATCACATTCTGTGCGCTTATTTTTTTCAACTTTCTTATTTTAATTTCATGGAAATCAGGTTTTCATATTTTTATTACAACGAGTACAGTCCTATCACTTGAAAAAATAAGGTAACTTAATTATTGTTGATTATTTGTTAAAGTTATTTCCCTCCTCAATCCATAACCATTCACATTAGCAAATGATTAACAATGATCGAGTGTCTTATACTTTTTCGGTGTGTATTCTGGTCTCAGTTTGAGTGGTACAACTGTATACAAATTGTGGAAACAATCGATTTAATTTGTAAGCTCATTGTAAGCGAAAAATGTGAAAATATAATTTCCATGACAATCTTGGGTGGATTATTAATAATAAACTATGGCTGTGGTCACTTTAATTTTATTCAAACCATCTGAGTTATTATGATTTATATTATGTTGTTATGAGATAACTCGCACAGAAAGCTTTGCCATGCTGAGAATATTACCTTTAAATTGATTTTCTGGGATGAGTCAAACATTTGAGGTTAAATCAATTATAAAGATTTACATTTGTTTGGTGATTACTCTTTGATCATTTTAACCAAAATTATTTGTTGTTGATTCAATCAATCATTACTGGCCGCTTTAGATTTTGACAATAATTGAATTTCAAAGTAAAAATGGTCACCAAATTAACATCCAGAAATTATTTCAATGGCATATCTTTCAACGAAAATTTTCAATGAGTTGATCTTATTTAATGAAAATCTACTATGAATTAAAACATTTGAATCAAATTCTGGATTATTATCCATTTCATTGTCTAAAAATGTTTAACTATCTATCCATCCTATTGATACGATTTACTTGTGTTACATTATTTTTGGCTCAGTTTATAATTTTGACACAAAGACTTTTGGAATTTAATGTTGTCCATGAAATAGACACCTTTGTATCTGAAGACATTGAAGTACCAGAGATAAATATTCAAATTCCTTATCAGTACGTGATGGATAAAAAAATATTACGAAGTAAACTTGGTCCTAGATTTGAGGCGGGATGTAAAGCTGCTTCATCGATTCAAGATTATGATGTCAAACATGATATTGGAGACTGTGATTTGTTCAAAACAGATCCACAGGTGTTTTCCAGATATATTGGCATGCACCTTACACTGGATGAAATAGCACGTTACACTTATCCAAATGAACGATTAATTTATGGCTTCAATTCGATAGATGTTATTGAGGAAAATTTCTTGACAAATGGTGGATGCCAGATAAATCGGAAAGCATCAGCATTTTATTTAGAACTGGTCATCAATTGTTCAAATAGTACGCTGAAGTTGGAACGAACTCAATCGTTGATGCTTTCAAATTATCTCTTTTCGTTTTATATAAACACCTCTTTCATGCAATTGAATCTAAACCAACCAGGCGAGCCTCAAATAGATGCAGTTAGCCATCCTGAACATTCAAGCACATCATCTGGTAAACGAGCCTCAAATTTTATACATTATAACCGCATCTTCAGGAATCTATTACCAAGTCCATATAGAACGTATTGTAAGGAATACTCCCAATACAAGGAATATGAAGATTGTGTCCACACCAATTCGCTAAATCAAACTGGTTCACTTTACCCATTGATCGGTGTTCCTATAGAGAAGTACAGCAATAAAAGAGATTTGCGCTTTTATATAAATTTTGAAAACAATATTTTGGCAGATATTCACAAGAAATGTCGACAACAGACAAGTCAACCAATGTGTTCTTCGATCCAGTACTCATTTGTAGTGCTGGGCGATTTTATCGATAAAATCGATAATTATCGATGATCGCGGGCTGCAGCGATCATCGATCAGCATGAGCAAATATCGATGTTTTCTAATTCCCTTTTTACCATGTTATACAAACTCATTTTGAGGATTTTTTTCTGAGTTTCTTGAATTTTTTTCATACTTTTAACGTTTCCTGGAACTTTTTCACTAAACATCGATTATCGATGATCATCGATTTTCATTGAAAAAATTGCGTAATAATCGATAATCGGAAATTCACACAATCGCCCAGCACTACTCATTTGTAATGGACCGCAATTTAATTGACACAAAACCTGGCCGTGAAAACATTAAACTTACGTTTCTCCTCTCGCCTAAACCAGATTCAGTTGCTAAGAGTAGACCAGATCTTTCAGTCCTTGATTATCTCATCCTTAGTGGCAGTCTTTTTAGCACTTGGTTTGGTATCAGCATTGTGGGTCAGCTTATGGTTATTCATCGCACAGTTGGTTTAATTATTGATAAACATAAAAATCAACAAAATGTAAATCCATCAAATTAAATCTATAACAGTATTCCTTTCATAAATAAACTTTGCAGTTTAACTTTAAATTTGCTTTATTTTTTGTAACATTTTTCATTAAACACTAGATGACGCTGTTACTTTTTACATTTCACTCATTTTTTCAATTTTAAAATTGGTTACTTTTTATTGCGTCAATCAAATTCACTATACAAGGTCTACCAATTAATTGTTATGTTGCCTTATTAATCACAATTAGTGTGCTTGATAATATCGTTAAAAGTTCGTAACAATTGTTTCGATCCATCGAACTCATTATTACACATCAACATTGATATTTACCACATATGTTGATGTTACTTTGATAAGCCGGTCTTTTTGTTTACAAAATTTGTATTGTAGTTAGTCCACAATACTAATCATATGTCGATTTTTTATTGTATCTTCGTGTATTTTCTGATTGAAGATTAGTGGTTATTGGTGTAATTTCTCTACTTTATTGTTTTGTTCACCAAAATCTGCCCAACATGAAAACACTCAGACCATACCTGCTGATGTTTACATTTCTTGGTACAACAACTGGTTTGGCAGTTAGTTTGTCACCTAAACTCTTCATCCATTTTCTATCCATTGGAATATTTTCTCTAGCTGGCTTCCATGTAACAATGTCTACAATCCCTAATTTAAAGGCAAAGTTCGTTAAGGCCAAAGTTACAGGAGTCGATATGTGTAAACAAAACGCTGAACCGATACCTGAAGCCATGGGAGTTATAGCTGGCTCTGTTTTTCTGATAACCATGTCACTCTTTATACCTATTCCTTTCCTACAATTTGACAAAAGTTACCTGATAACGGAAAATTTCATCAGTGACTCGTTGAAACTCAATGTACCCATAATTAATTTAAAAGCAAGAGTTTTTGATGATCTTCAATTCGAATCGTTGATTGCGGCCCTTCTTTCTATTTGCTGTATGGTTCTTTTAGGCTTTGTTGATGACATACTCGACCTCCGATGGCTTCACAAATTAACTTTACCAACAATTGCTTCCTTTCCACTGTTAACTGTCTATGCTGTTACTTATAACTGTACTTGGGTTTTACTACCTAAACCATTTTCTTTCGCTCTAAACCTCGGCATATTTTATTACGTTTACATGGCAATGATGGCTGTCTTTTGTACCAATGCGATAAACATTCTTGCTGGTATCAACGGATTAGAAGTTGGACAAAGTTTAATCATTTCACTTTCTGTGCTAATTTTCAATCTGATTGAGATAACGAGTACTTCATGGAAAGTCCACCTCTTCTCGATTACTTTCATCTTACCTTTTATTTGCGTCTCTTCGGCCTTACTTTGGTACAATTGGTATCCAGCTGAAATTTTCGTCGGTGACACATATTGCTATTTTGCCGGTATGACTTTTGCTGTTGTCGGAATTTTGGGACATTTTAGCAAAACAATGCTTTTATTCTTTATACCACAAATATTTAATTTTCTGTTTAGCTGTCCTCAATTATTCCACTTCGTCCCGTGTCCAAGACATCGATTGCCTAAGTAAGTTAACATTTTAAGCAAATAATTTACACATGTTATAACTATTAACAATTATTTTTCGTTCTCTCCAGATACAACCCAAAGACAAACTTGATGAACAACAGTCATTTCGAGTATAACCCCAAGCAGTTGGGTATAATTGGCTATTTGTGTTTGAAATTTGCCCGTTTATTCCGCTTATGTCATGAGCAAACCATTTCACCAAACAAAGTTATCTGTACCAATTTCACTCTGATTAACCTAGTCATCTTATGGTTTGGTCCAAAGAGAGAAGATGCAGTTGTCAGAATTTTACTTTTTATTCAGATAGCTTGTTCCGCTATTGCCTTTTTCTTAAGATACTATATTGTTCAATTTATATATTAATTTGTAAAAATGAACAAATATTGAATCAATCTCTAGTCTAACTGGGTGTAAATTGCTACTATAATACTTTTTGTACCAATTTCTTATCAACATTTATTGATAAATAAGTCGGGCAATGCAAGAAAAAGTTATAAATTATTTTTAAATTTATTTAATTAAAATTTTTTGCAAAATCTTATTCAGATCGACAATGGCTGTAACAAATATGAAAAGCAAAGACAACTCTGAATTATTATACTTCTTGATTTTTTTCTAATTATGTTTTTTCAATATTCAATCACCAAAATCATCAGTTGAATAATTACGTCAAATCTTAATTTGCCTGGAACCATTAGTTTGTTTTTAAAAAAGCTAATTGTAAGTTTTTCTTACTTTCTCTTCAGAGATGTCTTATACGAAGACGGAGTTAGGTTTTTTAACATAAAAGATATAAAATCATTCTGATCACATTTCGATGACAATTAACCTTTTAAAAAACTACGAGACAAGGCAAAATCACCATTAAAGTGCGTTCAGCAAGGCAGGACGAAAATTATAGCACTTAATTTGGCAGACAAAAGTTGACTGGTTGAAGCGTACTTTTGTTTCAAAGTTGATGAAGCAAATTCTTGATTGCTATTTGAGGATGTTCAATTTGTTGTTGAAATTTTTTCTTGCAATTTAGAGTATTGTTGGTAGACAAAAAAATGGCAATTAAGATGAAAAGATTTTGATACTTTTTGGAGTTGAAGAAAAAGAAAACAAATCAAAGCAAGAATCAACTAAAATTAAACTAACTTGCAATTGAAAGAGAAACAAGTTAAATTCCTTTTTTTGGGTATCTAATTGTAATCGATGAGGTAGGATTTGAAAGGTGGTTAAAAAGCCAATGAAAATGAGTTTGACAGCAATTTATACCTTAAACGCAAGAATAAGTAAATTAACTTCAACCTCGACTAAACAAACACATTAATTTAACTTCAGTCGTGAGAAATTGAATAAATTGGCGTCAAAGTTACATTTTTTGGCTGTGAACCTTTAACGATACAAAAGGATTGAACTGAATCGAGTAACCTTTTTTGCGGTCAGATTTTGATTGATAAATAAAGATAATTTCTAACTAGATATATTATCAGTGTAATTACAATTAAAATTGATGTCTAAAAATCATCAGAAAAGGAAGACGAGCTGAAAGTAATTGGCAGAGAGGAATGAAAAGGGAAAGATTTACTTTTAAATTTGATGATGCTTAAAAGCAAAATGATTCTGATGTTTCTTATTTGATTCTGGTTTTACAGGTCATCAGTTTAATAGAAAAATTTTTTTTTATACCCTAGATATTTTATCTCCTTTTGTTTGCTCTTTCACCTCACAGGAAAATGTGAAATGAAAAAGGTGAATTTGTTAAAGGAGGAAAGGTAAGAGGAGGATGGAAGATGGAGTGCAAAAAAGCATTCAGATGCAAAATAGTAAAACTCTCACATCGAGGAAGAAATTTGTTTCTAGCTCTTCTTCATCCTTGGAGATTTTTTGATTTACAATTTGGTATAACTAACAGCATTTGTTCTTTTTGCCTTTATGGGCACTACCTTTTTGCAATCTAATTGCGTTATCCTGTGATTGTTGTTGCCTTTGTTCCTTCTCTTTTTTCGACCTTAATACCATTCGAGTAATTGCCATAAACATCTCTTCTACATTGACATTTTCTTTGGCTGATGTTTCATACAACTCGATTCCCATTTGATCAGCGAACCGTTGAGCATCCTGGGTCAATACTACTTTAAGATTAGGATCATCATTTTTGTTACCAACTGTTGTTGCACGATTGATTAGAAATAACAAGATGTAGATGAGGCAAACGATATTTCCATTTTTGTATCCAATTAGTTGATTATGAAAACAAGATGAATTTTCAATAAATAAAAAATTGTTTGTTTATATTATGTTGAACGTCAGTGATCCCAATGCGGCAATCAGAGGATATTGGCATCATCCAGAGGGAAACCATGAAAATTTATTTAAAGCAAAGAGAAGTTCAAGTGAAACATAAAGGAAACATAAAAGAGAAAAGAGAAAACACCATTAGTCTCTGGCCTAAATAAATCGGATGCTGGTTCAGAGAGACAGAGGAGGAATAAGGGAAAGAGTGAGTCAGAAAAATTAAGAGTAAAAGTTAAATCAAAAAAGAGATTTTGTGAAGAGTTTAAAAAGAGGTTCAACACTGGATTTACTCTTAATATTTTCAATGACTTTCATATTTACCTAATATCCTACAAACATCTTCACAATTTTGATCTATTTCATGTAACCATCTTTTAACATTGGCAAAAGTGTCTCCATTAGAAACATCATAAACAACTATGACTCCATGGGTACCTCGATAATATCTAGAAGTAAAGAGAAGAAATGAATGGTCAATTTGAGTTGTCCAGAGATGAAACAAGGCATAACCATGAGGACGAATCTTGACTCTTAAACCATTTGTAAATTTGAATAGTCTCAACATTTAAATGGTAGGCGAACAAGACCGAGGTAAAAGCTTTTATGAACACAATAAAAGACAATCATCATACGTTGCTGTAATGGTTCGAAATCTTTCTTGTCCTGCAGTGTCCCAGATTTGTAATTTAATCTTTTGTCCATCAACTTCTAATGTTTTTATCTTAAAATCAACTCCTATTGTTGTAATATAATTTCCAGAGAAGGTGTCATCGGCAAATCGAAGAAGAAGACTGCTTTTACCAACACCTAAAAATACAAAAATAGAGGAAAATAGAGAAAGAGAGTGAGAAAGAGATGATTGCAAGAGGACAGACAAAAATGTATGGATCACAATTTATGTGATAATCTTTACTAAAAAAGGGTTGTTTTGAATCCACCCAGATAGCTAGATGCACAGTACACTGGGTATGATTAAGGCATGAAAAATACATCAAAATTTGCTTACCTGAGTCTCCGATAATTAATAATTTAAACAAATGATCGTAATCTTTTGACATTATTTTAAAGCAAAAAAATAACTTTGGTCAAAAGCAAGATGTAAACAGCAGAATGAAGAAAAGAGAGGAAAGAGAGAAAGAGAGAGAGGAGTAGTCAAAGTGCTGAGAAAAAAAGAGGCAAATTTAAGAGTTGGAAATGAAATAGACAACTATCTTTACACTCGTTGGTAAAACACAGAATTAAATCAACAATCAAGATAAGTTAATTTCAAAGGGCGTACATTTTGTTCCACTCACGCTTACAAAACAAAAGATGAATTAAAAACACAGGCACTAATTGAGAAGGGCGAGAAAGAAGCACAACAAGGAGTGCAAAAGCGACAAAATTAGAGTCAATTTTGCAGCAGTTGATGAAGATGTAAGAGGTGGTGATGAGACTGAAAACAGTTGATATTAGCCAACAAGAACCATGTATTGGTACATAATCATTTGATTAACCAGAAGGACGAGAGTTGAAGGGAAAACTGTATAATAATGAGAGTGATGATAACTGAAAATTTGAACACACACACCAAATTAGAGTTTAAAATGTTGAGCTGACAGCTTGTATAGTTCACTGGATTAGGCCAAAACTCGAAACAATATTGCTATATATCGTGATAAAATAGTCAAAATTAAGTCACATTGAATTAACAGTCAATTAATTGAAGGAGGAGGAGGTGAAAGAGACAGAAAGAATGAACGCAACAGATAAAACTCATCTTGTTTGCTTATTTCTCTTCCCTCCCTTTCAAACCTTTACTATTCTCCCTTTCTCTCTCGAAAGTGAGGTAGACACATTAAGTTTAGGGCGTAAGGTTTTTTTTCTGGTTTGTTTTTCGATTGATGTAAATCATGTTGTGGTAAAAGTATTCAATTAAAATGTGACAATCATTACATTTGTGTATTTATAATGTGCTTTCTTAATTTTTGTCAATCCAGTAATTTACAATTTCATTTCATTTCTTTAACACCCAATACAATAAAAATCTATGGGACAAGAACTGTGATGGTGACAGTGGCTATTGGTACTTGATGCGTAACGATTCAGTAACCTAACAAAAAGCAAGGTTGTTTCGACAGATGGTCCAGGTAGGGTCAAAGTTGAAGAGGTGTATAAAGAGACAAGAGAAACAAGGGTAGAAAGGAAAAAAAGAGAAAGAGACTAAACTGGGAATTTAGTTTGTCTTTGCATCTTTAAGTTTGTAACCATGTACTAATGTGTTGTTTAACCGTTTGAAATGGGTGAGTTGGGTTTTGAAGGAAGCTTAACTAGCTCTGACTGTCAAATTAGCTTTTCATTATTTTAAACTTCCGATGGTTTCACTTGCATCTAAAGTTGTGAGAATCGAATCAAGTTTCTCTCTTTTATACGCTTTTCGAAATGTTGACTCAAGCGATAATAATGACTGAGAAATCCTGTCCAACAAAAGCATCTCAAAAACCCATTAATTGATTGAAAGTTGGGTTTACATAAATTTGCCTCCGAACAGTTTTCACTGAATGACCAAGCCAATGATGAGACACTAATCAGCAAGTGATACTTAATTAACGACTTTCAGCTTTTACCCTGAGAAAATAAAAGACTGGCCTCGCAATTAAATGAATATCTCCGAGTTGCTCGATCATCAATCATTAAAAATGGATCATTCATTGGTTGTTCACCTGTTTTCTCAATTTATCTGTCTCCTGAAGATGCACAGTAAACGTTTCTAAACATATGGGAAATTATATCCTATTGGAAATGTCAATTTTAAAGATGTTTGATTTACATTTAGAAATTCAGAATTTAGATGAAATAAGTAACAACAGAAGCAAATTAACTCGGTATAATGATGATATTAATTGCTACATGAAGTCATCATTTCAATCTCAATCTTAACGGACAAAAGTAACACTCTTCATCGTCATTCATGAAAAGCTTGTACTCAAGATTAATTAGACATTATGGAGCTTAATGATTGAGTTTAAAACAAATTATAAAGTCGCGTTTGTAAACTTTTGCGATGAGAGTCGGTGATAAACTTTAGGAATTAACACATTAAATTAAAGCACTATTTAATGAAAAAAACTGGATCAAGATGATTCTATTATATTTATAGTATCAGGTCATCAGATAGAGACAAAAGTAACTTATCGTTTTTGTGCATCTTTACTTGTTGTTTTGTGCTTTACCCATTAATTGTCCGATTTGAAAAAATTAATCAGCAGCCATTGTATTTTACATGAAAGTCTTATAAATTATTGTGGTGAAATAAGGGATTTTTACAAGAGCTTTTAGTATTTTATTGCCAATCATCGAATGTAATATTTGATCTCTTGTTTGTTCCCAAGTTTTGCTTGAATTTCATCTTTTCATTGGCAACGAATTGGTAAATGCAATTCTTATGTGAGATGAATTTGATTGAACTTTTTGTAATTTTTACTCAAAACAAGGTTTCATAGGATTCAGCTGGTATTCTAGCTTTTATGAAAAGCTTAAAACTTGAGTCTCTTGAAATTACTGAAATGTTTAACATTTGAAAGCAAAACTTTAATAAATAATTTATTTTGAAACATATATAAACTAATTTAAATTGAGATAATCAACGTTCTTTGGCAAATGCAAGGAAAATTTGTTCCAATGTTGTACCACTTAAAGTGAAATCTTCAATCATTAAAGCCCCTTTTCCACGTTCTAATGATCGTAACATGTCACCCCACCGTGATGAAGTATCAGTAATATGGTAATGAAGTATTGTCTGATGAAAATCACGCAATATTGAACTTGGAAATTCATCTTTTATAAATTGTTTGATTTTATCAATTTCATCTTCTTTCTTTAGAGCTTCCTGGTTAATCTTAATGATCAATGTAAATCCTTGTCCAAACTTTTCCTTTAAATGTTGAGTTGACCCTATTTGAAGACAAAAAGTATTTACTTAGATTTCAATGAATAAAATGAATGACAAATCAATATAAATACCTAAACATTTAAAGTTTCCTCTGACCATTATACCAATCCTAGAGCATAAAGCTTCACATTCATCCATAGAGTGACTTGTTAATACAATTGATGATTTACTTGTATCCCGAAGATGCATTAATGTGGACCAAATTTTACGCCTCGAAGCGGGATCTACACCAGTCGTTGGTTCATCAAGAAACATCACTTTGGGTTTGGCGATGGAAGCAATCGCTAACGATAACTTCCTCTTATTACCGCCACTCAAATTTTGGTTACAAGTTTTTGCGAATTTTGTTAAATCAGTTGATGTAATGATGTAATTTACATTGTCTTTAACTTTATTCTCGGGCATTCCTATTGAAAGAGTAAATTGCAGTAAATTAAAGCTCATTTATTTGAGACAGTAAGAGTGAATGAGTGAGACATCAGAGCGATTGAATGCGACACTTAATTTTTGTTTGTTCAAAAACCCTAAGATCCTTAAGTTACAGAGGAAATTTGGAGACGC